TATTAGATCATATTTGGTTTCTCTATCGTTCTCATCAAGGAGTGGGCTTTGAAACCAAAATACAGAGAGAATATATATATATATATATATATATATATATATATATATATATATATATATATATATATATATTCTCACTGACCGATTGTGCAAATCTATACATATTATAAAATTGTAACTAAGCCGAATCTGTTCATTAAATATTTTTTGGAAAATCTTATTGAAATAGACATTATTATCGATACAGAGACCGAATCTATAGTTTTTAGATGATTTTTTGTCTGTCTGTCTGTTACCGCATCACAGAAAAACCACTGGAGGGATTTTAATGAAATTTATATGGTGATAGCTAGTTATCCGGGTCAACATATAGGACTGTAATGTAAGAGTATACTAATCTGTAAAATCTAAGAATTGGTCTTTGGTCATAAGAAGTTTTTATATAAATACCACTTTGATAAAATATGTCCAGGCAATAAATTATAATAATTACTCAAAGTATAGATATAAGTATTTATTAATGCAAATAAAAAATTGCGCACCATAAATCAACAAGGATGTAAATATATCAATAAATCTAGAAGCAGCTGTGGCCGCGACAACTTAGATCATACGTACGTTTGCACATCAAAGCGGCCGCGGCTTTGAACTGGCCGCCTGAAACCGCTACATTATTGCTGAAATTATTAATGGCATAAGCTATTTTTCAAGCGACATAATTTTATAAAGTTCATAAATAATATAGGCATGTACTATAAAATTCAGGAGAAAATACATATGTATATATAGAAAAAAATATAAAAAACTCTATACTTTTACTACAGATATTTCACAGTTCATTTGTTGCGTAACCACCTTAACATGGCGAGTAGCTAATCATAAAAGTGCTCTGAAGCAATATAAAACAAAGTGTTACGCTATAACACAAAGCTTGTACTTGAGCTATTTATAGGTTAAACTACAAATATGGTGCAATAATTGTATGAAATATATTCGGGCGTCCTCTATAAAACTCAGTACTGTACGTACTCCCATAAAACTCAGTACTGTACGTACTCTAAACAAACTACATTTTATAAATGTCATAAACATCTTCCAAGCGTGCAGTAACTTTGTCATGGAGGTGATAGCGGCGTGTTTTTCCATAATATTCAAATGTTTACAAGACGTGAACTAGATCGACTTTGCTGAAATGTTTTTCGCAGCCCATCGTCTGTCGTGTTTCCACTAAATTTTATGTAGTCTGAGTATGTAATATTTTTTTTCAAGTTGTAGTGTTGACGAACCTATAAAGTTATACTTAAAATAATTTATTACTTGTCTAGTCGATAAAACGAAGTCTTGTAATAGCAGGTCTATTAACATTAAACAAAAGATATTGTACTATGCAATGTAAATTGACTTAAAATGACCATATTTAAACTTTTATTACAAGTATTGCTCGTTATCAAAAATTAAAAATATCGGTAACTGTTTTTGTCTGTTCTGTCCAGTTCTTACCTGCTAATCTTCGACTATATATAATTTGGTGTAGAGTATGCGGGCCAAAGTAAAAAAGGCATCTTACCCCAAACAAGAAAACTAGAACATCAGCTTAATCGATGTTAGTGGCATTTTTATTAATGTATATAAATGCTAGTTCATTATTATGAATTTATTATTTATTAATAAACTAGACATTACTTTAAATTGCGATAGATTAGTTAAAAACTTTAAATATATTATTAAATACTTTTTGTTGCCACCTATAACTTTACAAAGGAACAAAAATATATCATGTCCTCTTATGTACGAGTATAAATTATTAGAAAATTGAAGACAATAAATAAGTAATCATGTCATTAATAAAACAAACATCGCTTTGATAGTAGATAATTTTATAATTTCAAGAAAACTCTGATACTGAAAGGCTTGTTATTACGGTGTCATTACTGACAGTCTGATGAGACAATTAAAATTTTATAGCTAGCTACGAGTATAATGGCTAGTACAAAACAAAGTAAACGCTTTATTGATCTAATAAGCTACAATTCTGTATTATAATATACTAATCTATACATATAATAAAATTGTAATTAAGTCGAATCAGTACATCCATACTAATATTATAAATGTGAAAGTGTGTTTGTTTGTTTGTCCTTCTTTCGCGTCAAAACGGAGTGACGGATTGACGTAATTTTTTGTGTGTATAATAAGAAGGTAAAATAGGGGATGAAATTTGTATGAAACTACCTTTTTAGAGTTTTTTTGTAGTTTTAGCGCAAGCGAAGCCGCGGGTTCTGCTAGTTAAATATTTTGTGGAAAATCTTATAGAAATAAACATTATTATCGATACAGAGACCGAATCTACAGTTTTTAGAATTTTTGTCTGTCTGTCTGACTGTTACCGCATCACGGAAAAACCACTGGAGGGATTTTGATGAAATTTGGTATGATGGTAGCTCGCTATCCGGATCAACATATAGGATACTTTTTTTGGAAAATACTCATCTCTGAGAAATCTATACTAAACGTTAAAACGTCCATAGGCTCAAACCCAAGCGGAGTGAGGGCGAGTCGCTAGTTTTGATATACAATTCAAAATATAATTTAATATTTCTTGTTAATGACTTTTAAACGTGCCAGTTGAACTATATTAACTTGGCCGATGTATATGGAAGTACTTATGAATCAAATGACTGGTTATTGATATAATAAATTCTAGCAAAGTACTATTTGCAAATTTTGTACTACAAGCATTTTCACTTATTTCTTATGTTATGTCAGCCTAAAATTATAGAAAAGCTTAATATTAGTGATAGTATAGTATATAATATATTCGATTCTAATTTGCGATATTTGAAATTAAGGTCGTATATTTCAACATAAACAATGATTAATGATCGTTAAGGAGGCGGTTGCAAAATATGTATACATCTAACGAAGGGGAAATTATACTGTTTTTCAATGATTTGTTTTGTTAAAACATAGAAATGAAAAGTTTATAATATACTCTTAATAACTTGGTATTTGTTTAAGGAAATTTTTGAAAGTTATTTCTTAGTTTCAGGAAATTCTCGGTACTGAAAAGCTTGTTATCACGGTCTCATTACCGCCACCCTGTCGGCAGCGCGTTGGCTGAAAAGTCCATTAAGGCATTACAGTGCAGCTGTTAATTCTAAGTACAGGTTTTACTATATATATAAAAGGCTTTCAGGTATGAGTGTGTGCATTCAAATAAATCATCGTGCCGCTAAAAATAACATAAATAAGAAATGTACGTCGGTAATTGTCAATAACTTTACCTATATTTTCAACCGACTTCAAAAAGGGGGAGGTTGTCTATTCAACTGTATATTTTTTTTTTATTTATAATAGTTCTAAGTAGTTTCTATATACATTTTTTATTGATATAAACATAATATATTTTGCATTATTAAAAAATATAACAATTTCACCCGTATACAGAAATTAAGTCTAGTTAAACAACTCAAGAGTAACTGAATATCCAACTCGGGGTTAAATTCATTAATGGTTAAGTTAACAAGGCACCACTTTATTTATTTGGCCGTCTGTTGCATTGCTTTATTAAAATTACCGGATGAGCTACGGTGGGCCGTACCCTATTGAGCGATCGATAGTCTACAATCTACATACACTACATTTGATTTTTACCTACAAATAATTTAAAAAATATATTTATTTATGTAATACATACTTTAAAATTACTGAAAATATTGATATTAAACCATAAACCTTTATTGTTTAGTCAAAAAATGTAAATATTGAAAATATTGAAAAGAAAAGGAAAACCAAACGCATCAAGTTTAAAAAAATATATAAAAACTTCTTTTATTTCTATTCCTTAGCAAGAAAACAAATGCCTATACAAATGATTACAGAACAAATTGTTTGTCGACTGCACAATTAAAAGTATTCAATATTATTCAAACAGTGTCGCGGAAAGGAAGCGGCCGTCACGCGGTTCCCTAACGAGACGGAATTAAATACGAATGTATTAAACCGACCCGACTCCGCTTAGAAGTTTTAATAATTTTTCCTTTATTCACTCGTCGCTCCTTCTCGGAACGTCGACCAATGTGACACGATTCTTGATTAGTCCAGACGCGGTGCCTCGAATGTCATCCACTATAATATTTCCACGGCAGGAAAAGATACAAAGCCGATGATCGTACACATTGCCGTATCCTTTATTTGTTTGCTCAACTCAGATCAAAGAGTATGTCGATGAAAAAATCAAAGCCGACTAGAATCTTGTAGATATTGAATGACCTTAAAGCGTTCGGAAGAATGTTAAAAATACTTCCAGTCGATGTTTTACGGAAGCAATAAATTCGTTTAATTAGTCGATTTAGATTTCCACTGAAAACTTTGATTAGGTGTCGCCGGAGTTTAATTAAGCTTCAAGGAGGATGACGAACCAAGAATGTCTAATCGATCGTGAATGCATAAGCGTATACGAAGTACTGGTCATCTGTACATGAGAGAATTTGAGCGATGTCTCGGATACATTCTAGATAATAGGATGTTTAAGCTATTCATCATAATATACATATATGTATGCTACGAGGAGTCGAGTATGGTGTAGAAGGTAAATACCGAAATACGTGTTCAGAATGTTGACATTTTTCAACAAATCGTTTTGTATGCTTTTCTCTAAATCTATTTTATGCATAAAATGTACAATGTTCATATATATAAAGTTACAATGAAATATTATTGGTTATTTCAGCTTTTTACTGTTTATTATTGTTATTACATTAGTATTATATATATATATATATATATATATATATATATATATATATATATATATATATATATATATATATATATATTCTTATTTTAAACGCTTAAATACTTTAAAACTTAAATTATTTTCCTCTATTTTATATTGTTAACATTAAATTGTATACTATAAACTACGTATAAATAATAAATATATTATTTATTCGTAGACTATAAAGCATCTATAAAAAGTATAGGCACATTTAACTTACCTTCTCGCAAACGCTACGACACGTTCCCGAGGCTTCATTGCAACACGCCGATATATCTGAAATGAAAAATGTTCACAATAAGTGGAAATGATCGTAGTATCGTACCTAGTGAAGGGAAAGCAACAGCTGGGCTCGCCACAATAAAGTGCCGGCGACAGTTACATATGGCGATGTAAAACTTTTGATCTATTCCGTAAACGGCGGTGCATTCAGCCGTCAAAAGTGATCCAAATTAAAGAGAAAAATGGTGGCAATTAAAAACACTGTTCGTATTAACTTAAAGGCGCCCAAAGATTGATGCAGGTTATTATGACACGGGTTTCAACTTAAAAGCCCGTTCGAGATAAATTTTAAAGCTTACTGTTTACTTACACTAATTTGACTAAAGGTAATGTTGCGTAGTAATTTATTAGATGTAAGATTTATCACATAAGTGGGATATTCTCAACCCTATTCCCTATTTTTTTCATGCCCATATATCATTTCTACGGGAGTTCATAAATTAATTTCTATTAGTTTTTATAACTTCCAATTTTCAACACTTTTGTTTGAAGATGAAAGCGCAGTTTAAATAAATATAAAATAGATGAGTAATTTCCTGAGTTAAGAAAACTTTAAAATTCATTCTCTAAAATAAGGTTAATAAATTAGTCGTGTTGCAAAAAATGTTAATTACATAGCCAAGATGAAACATGCTATTTTTACATATTTTGAAGTATTGGCACTTATTCAGATTACAACTGTTTAACAAATAAAAATTTAAAGACATCATGACATCATGTTACTCTCTTTTCAATATATAATTTTTATAATTAGAAATAAAGATTATATTTTATTTAACATAAGAGATTCAATATAAAATATATAATAATGTACTTAAATAGAGCACCATACATTATAAAAACATTAAGAGCTGAGAGTTGTAGTAGAATATGGTTTGCGATACATTTAATATAAAGACTAGTTTAATATCCTGTGTAACGCCTATCATTTCTTACATGGTCAATATTTAATGTATGAATTATAGGAGAAAGCACTTAATGTAAAACTCGACAGCCACTCCATACTTGTACCCCGCAGCTCCGACTTCAATATAACAAAATTATAGGAAACAGCCATCATAGATCGTACAGACAGGACAGTGTGCCTGTGATTACTGTAACTACGTGGGATAATCGTGTTATATTCTATAAAGTTGCTTTCTATAAAGTATTTAGCTAATGGCTAGGCTTACGCACTCGCTTTACATGCAAAATATTGATAATGGATTGAATGCAGCAAAAATCAATGCTATTTTGATCTCTATATACAACATAGTAAGATCTACATATTATGTTAAAGGTAAATGGTTCTAGTTAGAAGGTCTATAATGTAGTTGTTACGTGTATCAAAATCTATTTGCGTTATGAATAAGCAGATGATGCTACCGGCATGAACAAATAATCTGGTTTTATTACAAAATATGTAATATAGATGTATGTAAATAAGGCTGTAATTAAATAATGCTTATTAATTAATATATTTTTAGATCTATATTAGTTACATATAAAGATAACAAATGGGCATGTAAATTACTCTCGTGCTCTACATTTCTTCAAAATTGATGTAAAACTTCCGTTTTGATAAGAATATTGTCTGAAAACAATGATAATGAAAGCTATGACTTTCATAACATTTGTTATCACGACATAAGTCGTAATATAATATGTGCTATAATAATATTTCATCTTTATATGAACTTATTGATAACAGATATCAAAGTCAAAGAATATTCCTAGATTTTTGATCTTTTAATATTTCGAATTATACCTTATTTATCTCATAATATAAGCTATAAGTTAATACCATACAAGTAGAATTTTACACTATACTACCGTTTTTCGCGACTCTACCCACCATAATTCAATTATGTATACAATATATTTATAAATTATAGTCAACAAACTAAGTGTTACTCTGATGTAGGTATCTGTCATTAGTTTTTGCGTGAAAGACTAACAAACATACATTAAAGCATTTATATATCTTCACTAACTTTAGGATGAATTATTTATTATAGGTCAAATAATATTCTAGTTATATGTTCTTTGACCTATCTTGAAGTATTTACACGTACTGAAAACTACTAATACGTATGAATATACTAAAGTTTTCAATACCTTTATAGATAATTTATAAAATTTCATGTGAAAGTTAAAAAGTTTCTATGGAAGTAAAGCTATAATCAAATCAAAACATATTTTATTTAAATAGACTTTTACAAGGTCTTTTGAATCGTCACTTTTTACATTATTAAAATTTAAATGTCAGTATATAGAAAGTACTTGAGTAAACTTCCACCGGCTCGGAAGGCAGTTCTACTGAGAAAAAATCTTCTCTTCTCTTTTAAAATAATATTTGTTTACAATATTGCAATACATTGTTTCATATCTATGTGAGACAATAGTCCCACACAATGACATCTACGGAGTATTCCGTGATGGTGTAATAAACTTTATTCAATGAGATATTTTTAATTTTAGACTTATCTTACTTAAACTTTTTTTACTTAATAGTTTAAATAGCTAGCTCAATATCGACTGTGGAATTCTATTATATAATCTATATAATCTTGCCCCTTAAACGATCTACTTATTCAATTTTTGTAGGCGAAAGCTAAGCATTACCAGTTTATCCATATTTCTTGTATTTATTCCGTGTCTGTCACTGTGTCTTAAATACAACGGATGTTTTATCGGACAAAATAATAATATACCAGTTTTTTTAAAGTTCTCGTAGAGTATCCCGAGCTCTGATGTTATAAATAGCCCGAATAGCTCTTTTTTGAAGAATATATATAGATTTAATATCCGCCGCATTACACCACAACAAAATACCATAAGACAAGATGCTGTGGAAGTAGTTGAAGTAAGCAAGTCTAGCAGTATCGAAACTGCCTGACTTTCCTACAGCGAAAACAGCGGAGCTCAGTCTACCCGCAAGGAACGAGAAATGGGGAACTAACCCCCTGAAGACCTGAACCCAATGATATTTCGCAAGAATACCGTAGAATTTATAGTATTTAGAATGCCATTATTTAGGAGCAATTTAAAATTCTGCCTTCTTATATAAGGTAAAGTAATTTGTATATATTTTGTCTTCTTGGCTTTTATGAATGTTAAACCAGTGAAGCCTATGCGATAGTGCTCTATCAACTCTATGCTATATAATCCCGATCAACTTTAAAAATTAAGGAGGTTTCATCGGACAAAACGGGCATATACAATATTGAATATACATACCGACATAGAAGTTCTCTGTTTATAAACAAATAACATCTTACTATATTATTTACCTTGAGCACTAGCACCAATGAATGCGAAAATTATGAAAAGCAGACACGTCTTCCACCATCTCCTTTCTTCTGCCTTCAAACCCCTTCTGGCTGCCATGGTAGCATTTCATTAATGTGAATTCACCTCGTCGCCATCTGTGTAAGTATAAGACATCTTTAAAAAGTAATGTTATTTATCTAATATTATAAAAATATCCCATCAGGGGTGAAAAAGGGGGTGGAAGTTTGCATGGGGAATCTATCATTTCTCAAGTAAGCGACATAATTTTCCTAATTTTTTAATGAACTTACCTACTTTTCTATACCTATGTATATATAGTCTATCTATTCCGTAATATCCATTAAAGTGCCTAAGGACGAACAGAATATAAAATAGTTTGCTGATTTTTTGACCGCGCTTATCTCTAGAACTCTCTGCCAGTTTAATTTTTTTTTCCATTATAGCTTATTTACTAAGAGCGGTTATAAACTATTCTAATATAAAGTAAGTACTTATTTAGTATTTGGTAAAATAATATCTTTGAAAATAGTGATTTTTAATCTTAAGGATTCCCATCTAAAATAATTAAATGACCGATGGTTTTATATACAATGTAAATGTGATTCAGCCTTCCTGACGCAGATAAATGTGTTTCACACCTTAACATTCTACCTAAATTACGCTGCATAGCTTTAAAATAGTGTAAATAGTTTCAAAACATATAGTTTTTAGTATGCAATGGATTAACCTTACATTTAGACATAGATACACTTTTATTGCACATACAGAGTTGTTTGATGAACTCATTTCTAAAAGAGATTTCTTCCAGTCAACCTATGGATCATATTTCCAGCCCACTAAATGTAAAAAAAACTATACTAATATTATAAAGAGGAAAGATTTCATTTTTTGTTTGTTTGTTGGTAGTGGTGCTGAATAGTACAAACTATAATATTTAAAAAAAAATTGCTTAATCGAATATATTATTAAAAAAAAATTTTCTTACAAATTACCTGCTTATTACGTCTACACTAAAAATGGAAAGGAAAAACTTTTTAAATAAATAATAAGAAGCGACTTCCAGGCACTAAATTGTAAAAAATAACTAAACGGGGGTTTTCATTTAGAATAGGTACCTAATCAGATATTTTAAGTCGGTGCTAGCCGACAATATTTTAAAGATATGAATATCTAATAGGTAAATAATAAATATGATTAGGTATGAACTCTAATTAGAGTTAAAATATTATGCATCAATTTGTGATGTATTTTACGTATCGAAAAATATTAGATTTGCTGTGCATCGGCTGGCAACGACTTCGAAAATATCAAAAATACCGATATATCCGTTCTAAATGAAAACCCCCCATTTAGTTATTTTTTACATTTTAGTGCGTGGAAGTTGTTTTTTTTATTAAAATATACATTATTAGTATATAATATATATATATATATATACGAACAGAATATAAAATTGTTTGCTGATTTTTTGACCGCGCTTATCTCTAGAACTCTCTGCCAGTTTAATTTTTTTTTTCCATTATAGCTTATTTACTAAGAGCGGTTATAAACTATTCAAATATTAATTCAAATCAAATTCAAATATCAATTTAGTCAATATATATATAATAATATAATAATTATATATATATATATATATATATATATATATATATATATATATATATATATATATATATAATTATGAAGAATTTTTGTGAATATTCCTATAATGAGATATATTTACTACACAGGTAAACCTAAACCCAATATTTTTTTTATTTAGTCAATTAAACACAAAGATGCAAATAGAATTCTCTATTCAAGGCGCTTCCGTATAAAAGGAAACATATCTAGTCACTGTTAACTAAATATTTTAATATTACAAAATCGTATCTAGTTGAGAAAAATAGCAAATTTTAATCGCAACTATGAAAGCTCAGTTAATAAACTAGTTTAAACATAATGTTTAATTGCCTTCTACTTTTAAACAGCAATAAAGATATCAAAGGCGGCAGCCGGCAAGCAGTTGTGAAATTATATTTCAACTCCTACGTTACTTCTGTTAATATTAATTCGGTCTAATAAATGTGGTAATTTTTAATACAAAATCTTCAGCAAAAATTTAAATCTCATTTTTATATCTCATCAATTAGTTATCTAATTATTACGTATATTATAAAATAGTTATTCTATAAATAATTTTCATAAAAATAAATGTATATTTATTATATTATATAAATAATTATAAAAAATGTGTGTTATTTTAGATATTTAAAAAATAATATAAATAATGTTAATAAAAAATATTGTAAAATTATTTCTATTAATTTATTAATGACATTTTTACTTATACAATTTTGTATTAAACTAGCGACTCACCCTCGCTTCGCTCGCGTTCGTCCCTAGTTACGTTTTAACGTTTAGTATAGATTTCTCAAAGTTGAGATATTTTCCCGCAGTAAAAAGTATCCTATATCTTGACCCGAATAAGCTATCACCATATCAAATTTCATCAAAATCCCTTCAGTGGTTTTTCCGTGATGCGGTCACAGACAGACAAAAATTCTAAAAACTATAGATTCGGCTCTGTATCGATAATAAAGTCTATTTCAATAAGATTTTCCAAAAAATATTTAATGTACAGATTAGACTGTACTGTACAGTTAGAATTTTATCGTATATATAGATAGAATATAGATTAATTGCGACGCGTCGAAAACAAATAATGTTTGCATATATTTTAATAAAATACATACAAAGTATAATGTATCTTAAACAAGATTAGAATTATTTATACTAAGTTATTTATTGGGTGACATATTTAAAATAGTAAAATTTGTAAAATTATACTTTAGGCATATGTTAAATGTACAACTAAAAAATAGGCAAATACACAAATTTTCTTTTCCACCACGTTTTGGAATAAATACAAACTATACCAGAGGGGCAGGCCGACAGACAAACAAGCAAGAAAATGTTGAATCGAATGTACAGAACTTTAACCGTAAATTGAAAAAGACAAAAAAATACACAGCTTGTTCCTAACTTACAAAAGTACGGAAATTGCTCTCCACGTTTTCCTCGAAAGTTTACGCATAAACACAATGTGGTGTGAGCTTTCATAAACACTTACTGGTAAATAATAAAAGTATGCGCATAAAAAGCGAGTCGTCTCTTAGCATGAAAAGAAAATTTTCCATATAAATCAAATCGGACAAAAGCTAAGGGAGAACCAAATTTAATAAAGTATGAGGGTGCAGATAGAGCCTTTTATAGTACTAACTAACTAAGCTACAAGTTTGAAAAGGATGCTAATATTGTTGCATAGAACACTATATTATATGCAGTTCTTTTTAAATATAAAAAAGATAATATTTCTTATTATAACTTTCTAATGCAATGTTCGCAGAGTAAATTAGAATTACTGCGCAAATAACTGTTTTTTATTTTGTTTTTTTTTTTTATGTTTTATTTGCAGCATTTGTTAAGTTTTAGAAATAAGTTAATTATATAGACATACATTTTCTACTCATACAACATTTTCCATAATACCTATATCCATCCATCTGCATACTTATATTTTTTCGTTTTGGAAGACATCTATTTAAATTATTTATTTTTTAAGCTGTGATTCATTTAAAATACCATGTTTTTATTCCAAGTATAATGAGCAGTGAAAAAATATTGGCCAAGTTACTAATGAGCTTAACTTCTTATAATGATCGCTGTTAGTTTTGAGCGTCAGAGAAATTTTATCTTAGTTTAAATTAAAGTCGTAAATTTTAAAATATTAAATCTACTTTATATTTCGATTGTGAATAGTTATATTGAATTTATATTGAAATGTACATTACACTGTTGTCAGGAAAACATTCATAGTATTGGTATTTCTAATATCTCAGTTATTTTTGGCTACCCTCATCTCAAACACTCATATATCACTTCAAAGCGCCCTCCCGGACATGTCTTATCTTTATTACTACTTACCTATAGTTTTCTTAAAATTCCTGATAAATTGAACAATTAATTATTTGAACATACACCACACAAATACTTCAATACATTAAACTGTCAACTTAGGTAATTGTTTTTTTTCAATTAAAAAAATATATATCAAAAACTGATAAATTTCTAAACAAATAACCCGTAAAATATCTACGCCATTCGCGCTCTTTTTGTGACGTCAACGCACCACCTCTCTCACAACCTTACTCGCGCCAAATTGACGCGTTACTAAATAGACCGGCATAAATTCATTCAACTTCAGGCTACTGATGCTATCCTTTTCATACTAAAGCTTTTTATATCCTGCCATCTCCCTCTACGGCTTCCGCTTGATGAACCCTATTGAGCTCGTTAGTCATTAATTAATTCTGCATAAGAAAATTACTTTTAATTTAAACGGTGTACAGATGTGGCGGTCTGGGCTATCAGTGAAGTGTTAAAATCTTTGCGGACAATAAATATAAAAATCATGTGTGGTCTTGACTTTGATAAATAACTTTCAGAACAATATTAATCTGAATTCTTAATAACTTTTATGACATTATTTTCTTATATTTTTATAGAATTAATTTAAAATTAAATACATTTAAAATAATTGGGTACATAGAATATTGTAAATAATGTATGTACTATAAGGATTAAATATTCAATAAATACAAGTGTTATATATGTATTTATTATGCTACACATAAACTATAAAGTATAAATGTAACTAATTGTATTTTGAATCAAAAATATTTGTTGCTATTTTAATAGAAATGTAAATTATTGTTCTGTCTAATTCATATACAGAATATATCGAAAAAGCAAAGCTCTACCGTCTGCTGCCATGTGAACTTGTTATAAATTAAAAAAAATATTGATATTTTTTTCTTGAGATAGTCGGCAGCTTTACAACATAAAAGTACTATTTTAAGTTAAATCGCCAATCAATTACATCAGCTGAGCTCGCTTCCAAGAACCGATACGAAGTTTTCAGACGCAAAGTGAAATTTATAGTTTTCCAACTTGGACGGCGGGCGCTGCAGGAGCACACCGTGCGTCTCTATTACGGGTAAATACCTGAAATATAGAGTAATGTACCTATTACTTTTTACACAATCTTCTATATATTCCTACTAGCTCTACATGACCAGCGTTGTTCAATTTTAATCAATATTAACACAGGTTTTCTTGAAAAATAAAATTATACTCGTAAGTTTTATTAGACTATTAGACTTGTTAGCACTCCTACTCAACCGATGAGAGATTCGGTTTATTTTTAATACAAAAGTCAACTTTAGTTTTAAATAATAAAAATCAATCAGCTTAATAAGATTTCCCCGCACTTAGTCGTTATCAAAAGTTAATTTTATATTTTCTGTATCTTATATGATTAAAATAAAAGATTTATTTTATGTATACATATAATAAAATTGTAACTAAGCCGAATGTGCACATTAAATAGTTTTTGGAAAATCTTATTGAAATAAACATTGTTATCGATACCAGAGGCCGAATTTATACTTTTTAGTATTTTTGTCCGTCTGTTTGTGAATGCATCACGGAAGAACCACTAGAGGGATTTTGATGAATTTTTTTATAATGATAGCTGGTTATCCGGGTCAACATATAGGATAGGATTTCTTACTGCGGGAAAATATCTCATCTCTGAGAAATCTATACTAAACGGAAAGCGAAGCGAGTCGCTACTTTTTAATAAAACTTGTTTTTTTAACTAACTTTTATGCAGATTATATAATAAAGATTTCAATTTATAATAATGCAATATATGTATCTGTGTGAATAATATGTTCAAATAAAAATTTCAACATTACTTACGAGGAGATTTCAATAACTTCAAATTAACCTTGTTAGCGTGGGTCAGCTACCTGCAGGACGTCAAGTGCTTCGTCGTGAAATATGCTGCTTGTACAAGGTTTATTCCACATTCTACACTCAAGAGCTATACTTTTTCGTATTTTAAATAGATAAGGATTAAAACCGAAAATAGAACTTAAACAAAAAAAAAATGAAGTGCGAGTCAAACTAGTGTAGGTAAGTTTCCTATTATTGAAACTTAAAGACTGTAATTTCTTTTTTTTTGTGTGTACAGGCGAAGCCGGATTAGACAGCTATTTAATATTATTGAATCGTTGAAAGTTGACACCAAATTTTACTTCTAGAAAATTACGATATTTTTTATTTAATAAAAAAACATCTATGTAGTGGTTTTATTTAAGTACACTATATAAAATCAAATAGGTTATCTAATATCTTATGTAGATCACATACTAAAATAACAAAATATACCTAATTTAATGTAGTATAGAACGGCAAGCCTATTTGTTATTTAAATTACCTAATATCTTAAGTTGTAACATATTGAGCTTTTTATCTTCACCGGGGCGTTTTCAGCGTAGTAAAAGTTACATTTATGTAAAAATATACGGCAAATAACGGTAGCATGACATTGACGAATGGGTCCGCGGTCCGCCATATTTAACTGCCTTTCCTTCTTGATCGCTATTTAATAATAACATATAGTTTTAAAACAATCGCGTACTCTAAATGAGCTCTTTCAGTACAAAATATACTCGTAAAAAATTAAAATTGCTAAAACTTTTGTCATTTCATTCTGCCGTCTGAATTTTGTAGATTTAATGTAATATTTTTAACACAAAAATATTCTTTGAAGATACAGATAAAAACTCTTGATGTAGCAGTGACACCATTACCTACTTTTTAAATAACAAGAAATTTTACTGTAAATCATAGCCTTGTAGATTTAGAAGCAAAACACCGTTTTACACTTTATTTTATTGAAATTGGCTTTCAAAAAAACAACTTTTGATTCCAAGTGTTTAAAATGAGTAAACTCAGTTGTTTAGTCCTACATAAAAACGAATGGAATCGTTTAAAAAGAGAACAATGTCGTGATAATCAAACAAGTAACAAAGAAGCGTATATCAAATCACTGAATGAACTATCACAAAGTTGGATAAAGAAGTGGCCAGACACTGTACAGGCAAGCTACATTTTTATATTATAGGGCTATTTGTATTTTGGGAAAATCATACTATACGTATTTATTTTTTTATCTTATTGAAAATATGTGAATTAGGATATAAAAAAATATAAATTGTTATTTTAAACAATAAGAAAATTATCCAATATATACTCGTAATTTTATATTTCAAGGGACATGTGTACCAACTAGAGAAGCAAAAAAAAGCTGAACATTTAAAAAACATAGAGACAGTTAAGCAGTTTATTTCAAAAAATACATACCAAAGTAAAATAGATTCAATTAAGAAAGCGAGGGATTTAATATTTGAAGACAGTTGCTACGGACGGCAATTGTTAAGGTATACACGATAACGAATATTAGATACATATAACTTACGTAATGGATATGAAATGTGGTTCGTTGGTAAATGCATCACTTAAAAATGGCTAAATTGATCTGGTAATTTTTTTATATATATTATTTTTATTCCGATTAAGGTCTTGAGAAAAAAAATGTTAAGGAAAATGGGGTAACTCGTCAAATACTGTACTTCTGTATGACCTCAAAGATCATAAATAATAATAAATGTATTGAAATTGGGACATAACAACATCTGACGGGTAACCTTGTCTATACATTTAATAAAATTGTAACTAAGCCGAATCTGTACATTAAATATTTTTTAGAAAATCTTATTGAAATAGATATTATTATCGATACAAAAGCCGAATCTACAGTTTTTAGAATTTTTGTCTGTCTGTCTGTTACCGCATCACGGAAAACCAGTGGTGGGATTTTGATGAAATTTGGTATAGTGGTAGCTAGTTATCCGGGTTAACATATAGAATACTTTTTACTGCGGGAAAATATATCATCTCTGAGAAATCTATACTAAACGTTAAAAAGTAACTAGAAACGAATCCGAGCGGAGCGAGGGTCAGTTGCTAGTATGAATTATAATATTTAGATGTTGCATATCATTGATTAATCATAGAGGCTTGTCATAGCACAGTCCGACTGTTACTGTTTACTTACTAATGTTGCAATAGCGAATTTAATCTTCGTATGTTGTGTTGTAGAGGTTCATTTCGGTTGGGATATGACGCAACGTTGGAAAATTGATAATAGTAGTCTTTGAATATTAAGTATTATTTACATATGTTGATAATAATTTATATCATAGATGAATAATAAACATTAATTTATTTATCTTAATATAAGCGCTCTTCTGGAATCTAAGACGTTAGAAGAAAGAGATGAACAAATAAAATTTCAAAATGAAATGAAGAGAAAGGCCAATATCGAGAAAAACAACGAACCAAAAGCTACGTCTCTACTAAATGCGAATGAAATGGATATGAATGAAACAAAAATGGCGTTATGTAGAAAGCAGAAAGCCTTTAAAATAGCGGAAGCAAATAAAGCAATGTAAGTTAATACAATTAAATCTTTAAAAATTTAAACCTATTTTAATAAAACCTGTTACTTTAAAAATATTGAATCTATAATGTCTTAAAATATGTAGAAAAAAATAAAGTCAATAAAATTAAATTACTACTAAAATACTTTGTATAGGATTGAAACACAGAAAAAGATGTTAGAAAAAGAAAGATCAAAGCAAGAAAAGTTTGACGAAGATATTATTCGTAAAGTAATAGAACAAGAAACAAAGATTATGGTTTGATATGGTTATTTTAATAAATAAAATATAATTAATGTAGTATACAATAGTATAAGCCTATAAATACGTGTTTTATCTCTCTCTATAAATAAATATCTCAAATAAATTACGTACCTACAAGAGTAAACTATAACGGAGCTTAGTGCTTATATTATTAAATATTTCCTTATAAACGCGATAGAAATAAATGTTTATATATATTCAATAGGCAGACAAGGCTAAGTTAGAAAGAGAAGCAATAAAAGAGTATGAAAGTCAGAATAAGAAAATCAAGGAGTTAAAAACAATAAGAGAAGAAGAGGCAGAGAAAATACGAACTATATGGCAGAATTATCAGGAGAAAGTTAATTACAAAACTAAATTAATTTTTAAAGAAGTAATAAATTTTCCTTCTTAATAAATATCCATATTATATATGACGACACGTTTGGCTCAGTTTGTAGTGGCCTCACTAGGTATACCAGCATTCGCGGGTTCGAGTCCTGCTGGGGGCATTCATTTGATGAACACGAATGTTTGTACTCCAATCATGGGTGTTTATATTTATAATATGTATGCATTTAAAGTTATATATGTGTAGTGTATCAACTATCTGGTATCCATAACACAAGCCTCGTAGCTTATCATGGAACCAGACTGTGTGTTAATGTCCCAACATATTTATATATTACATATCAATTATAGAACACCAATATATTCGTCTATCTTTTTGTGCAGTAATTAAACTCGTAACTCGAAAATTATAATTGGATTGGAGATAGTAAATATGACTACTATTATAATTGCGAAAGCTTATATATATACCATGAACGAATTAGTTCATGATATATACCTATGTGCATGTTTGTTACTCTTCCACACTAAAACTGCTGGACAAACTTGGATGAAATTTAATATACATATTATAGACTATAACCTTTTTTTTAACGTTGGGAAATGCATTTACGCACGAGATGTGGGACTCACCGGCAAGGCTTCCCCTGTCTTAATGGGGCGTCGTAGGATCGCTTACGCATTCAACTACGACGACCCGACGACAGGTCTGCCGAAGCAGACCACAACAACCATGGGGTTGCTCCAAGGTCCACTCTGCTATCAGAGAGGTACCAGGAGCAACCCGTATGATACACCGCCCACCGAAGAGGGCCACCTCCCACCGCCCACCGAAGTGGGCCACCACCATGTGCGTTTCTTGGCTTCAGGCCCGGCTGGATTTCTGGGCACTACTGAGCCCCCCCACCACGACAAGGTGAACGCACGTCGGGGGGGATTATAGCCTATAACCTGCAGTAAACACATGTTTGTGTAAAATTGTTATAATTTACTCAAATTAGTTCCAAAATGTCATGAGTAGGTATATTGTTAAGAAAACACAGAAAAATTATCTATTTATACGAATATTATAAAGAGGTAAAGTGAGTTTGTGATGTTGTAGTGGGTAATCTCTGGAACTACTAAACCGATTTAGATAAATTTGGTAAGAAGATAGTTTGAGACCCTGGGAAGGACATAGGATACTTTTTATCCCGGAAACCATCCGTTTGTATAAGGAATCAACCTAGGGACGAACCCGAGCGAAGCGAGGGTGAGTCGCTAGTATTCTATAAATTTTAGAGTCATAATAATAAAATAAATATGCAAAAATGTCAAAAAATTTATAAACATATTCAAAGTCTAAACGAAGAAAAGAATAAAGAATATGATGATTTCATAGACAAAGGTATTCAACGCTTAAAGGACCGGTAACTATAGACTTATTTAGTTTTACACACCAAGACATCGTATTATAATATCTCTAGCTCATTTAATTTCGTGCATATGTAATATGTATTATTAGTTTAAAATTGCAAGAAGAAGAAGAAGCTAAAAATAACATATCACGACTGAATAAACGAAAATTATTAGACGAAGAAAATAAAATCTCTACTAAATTGTGTTTTCAAAAGTCTGTAGAAGAGAAGCAAACTGCAACTTGTCAATGTCAACGGCAATGTTTCATTGGCAAAAAATGTTGTAAATCAAAACAAAAAAATGGTAGTATTCAATTCTTCTTTAGTAATTTTCTCAATATTTTCTACAAAATAAAATTATTGAACAGTTAGCTAATATTAAGAATGCACATTAAAATCTATCATTTATGCGATTCGGGCTCGAGCGACGCGCACCCCCAGAATTAGTACTGGTTCTATACTCGGGTTAATACTTAATAATTCTTGATTAACATTTTGTTAAGAGATTTGATGAAATAACAAATTCTGCAATTTAACTACTACTTATCAAATCGAAAGGGGCTGTTCAGTATTTTATCTTTTGTTAATTTAACACTACTACAGATACAAATCGGTACTTATCTTGCCAACAATTAACATTTATTTCAACCCAACTGAACAAAATTTTCTTTTTCCTTGATGATATCTTATGGTAAATGATCAGTATATAACAAAAAATATGATAATACAAATTAAAGAATAAGGATTCGAGTATAACATCACAATAGAAATCTATTTCACTTTTAATTTCATTATATGATTTAAGATGTACCTCCTTCCTTGTTTATGAAGCCAAATAATAAATTATTGGAAAATCTCAAATTACGCGAAAAATTTTCTTCTTGGAATTCCCTGAACGCAGCGCATGCGCACTTTGGTGAGCGCGCCTCAGATACTTTACGACAGTGCCGCTACAAGAATATTGTACGAAAAGTTGTGGATGTAAGTGTTGCTCAACCAATCAGAATCTTCAGAATCTTAATATATAAAATTACCGTGTCACGATGATGGTCCGCGATAAACTCCGAAACTACTTATCGGATCTTAACGTAATTATTTTCAAAATATGTGAAATTGTTCCAACTTAAAAGATGGGATAATTTTTATGCCGATCATTTCCTTTTTTTATTGCAAAATTAAAGATTTCCATGTGTGCCACAGCAACCCGTCTGCCAAACAGATTTCTGACAGACAGATAGACAACTCAATCCACAGTAAAAGCTTCACGCAAATTGGCTTAAACTTTGAAGATAATATATTTATCACGCGACAAGTTTTTAGACGCCCACAGACAAAAAATCGAACGACGGATTTTTCGATTTCTACATACACATAATATTTAGTCCCATTATGCACATTTCCAATCCCAATAAATGTGCCGCTTTGAACGAAATTCGAGCAGCAAGACATTTTTATATTCCAAGCACTTTCTATAACGTCCATATATTCAAGTTTCCATACTAGACTTAACTATAACTTTTAACGCATAGTCAGATTCATCATTTTCATTTCAGAATTACTGACGAACAAACTGTTTGGATGCCAAATCACTGCCAGTGGCGGATTTATAAATATTTCTTAAATTAAAGTTGGAGGATGTGGGAGAAAATAAAAGTTTAATTTCGACAATCATTATACTACATTTATTTACTAGACACATATTTACAAAATCTGCCCTTAAATCCGAATCTTGTCACATTCCATTCCACTAGTGAGTTTTAGATTATAACAATACGAGTTGGAATAATAAAAGTAGCTATTCTTAATAACATACAAAATAAATAACTTCGAATAACAAGTGACGTACAGCCGGAAGGACGACTGATGGATATTAAATATAAATAGGAATGTGCATCCGACTGTACTTGTACTAGTGCATTTCTGAAGTATTTTCTTCGTAAAAATGATTGCAGAAAGGCATAATTGAACTTTTTTTTATAACTAAACTAAATCCATAGTTACTTTTGTTTGTCAACGCATAGAGATAGGCATAGAGATTGGACTAAGTGTTCCTTTACCAGCCGTCAGCTGAAAATGGCGGAAAAGCGACAGAGACAAAACGAATTCGGAGCCAGAAGACTTCTATAATAATACTTTCTTAGATTTACGCGAATATTTGACATTTTAAACAAAACGAAATTCGAAACGTCAGGAACTAAAAATCAAAATAAATCCGCGAAATAATCCGAAAAGATAGTTTTATTTAAAACTTCTATATTAATTGAAATACGATTAAAAAGATAGATATTTATAACCATTTTACATACAATTATAATATTATAATTTTCAATAATATTTATTTACATTCCATTTATGAATTCAAATTGGAATAAAAGACGGATATAGGCCACAAATTCGCTTTCTCTTTCTAGATAGTCAATTTAAAAAGTATTTCTCAGTCCATCCCCTATGTCTATGGTCAAAGCTCAAACAAAAGTAGCTATGGATACGATATCACTTATTAAATACAACGAATACTCAACACATTGCAAAGATGATGATTTAAATATTATTAATAAAGAATCTATTTTTGGATTATAATATCATTATTCCGCTATTAAGTATATAAAGGCGTATGCGTATTCGTGTAAGATGGTCGTATCGTTTAGTACGGGGACTGTTTTTGCTTGAGAACGGCTTGCACGCACTTGGCCATGGTGGGGGAGGCACGGCTAATGGAGTCCGTCATGAAGTAGTCCTCCAACTGTTTCAATTGCACGTCCAATTTACCCGATACTGGCTTTTGAAGGCTCTGCATGAAAAAAAAAATATAATTAACAATAACATCTATTATTTATTTATGTTATGTCCATGTGAGACAAACTTCATTGAATTAACTTAATGTTAAAATCAAATGACTGTTATGTTGATTGATTTGTCAAAATTTTCAATGTTATTTCAAAAATTTTTTTGTATTTTAAACCAATTGCAAATGCGATGTGAAACAATAATACAATGCCTAATATAAAATAAATGAAATTCAATAAACACAATAAATATATTTTTATTAATGTGTATATTCTTCTTATTTCGTAGCAACAGAGAAGTTATATATTTTTTTTGATAAACATACACATGTAAGTTACAGGAGATGGACTATTTATTAGCCCGATATATCACATCCCCATGGGATACTTGTAATTTAAAAAAATACAGGGTTACAGATAAATGATAAAATAAAATATCGGCCTAATAAAAATCTTAAATGAATTCACTGACTTACGGACACGCAAGGCATGGACGACTGCTAAGAGCAACATTATAACTCAATATTGACACAATTTAATTATAGAAATTATTTTATATTTGTTAAAATTAAATATAAGTTTACTATGACACGTGTTTCGGTGACACACTAAAATGTACTTTTTTAATTACTATTATTTAAAGATATACTTATAAATAAGTATTAAAAATAAACACTCTTTAGGGGTTAATGAATTCCACTAAGTAATTGGAGTTCGGTAGGTGTGATATACCTTTAATATAGTTGTACATTTAACAATTGATTATCAAGTAAAATTAAAAGTAATGTAACAACTGCTAGCAAACCTGTATAATAAAATAAATAAGAAATAAATAAAAAATACCTGCGCGAGCGCGCGTGCCTGCGCGAAGTAGTTGTTGTCCTGCACGTCACCGTACGCCACGAGCGCAGGGCTCACCTCCGCGAGGCGCGCGCGCACCTCGTCCAGCGAGTCGTACGGCAGCCGCGCGCCCACCACCTCCGATAGAGCTCTGGAATGAGATGGATTGTAGGTTTTATTTTATTTATAGTTTACTATGCGAACTGTTTAGTCAACTAGAATATATCTTCCTCTCCCTGCCCATTTCCCAATCACTTGGGGTCGGCGCAGTACATCTTCTGTACTGCTGAAAAGATTTGGCTAAAGTTTTACGACCGGCCGCCTGCCTGACGTCAACCCTCGTTGGGAATACTATCCATACTTAATATTATAAATGTGAAAGTGTGTTCGTTTGTCTGTTTGTTTGTTCTTCTTTCACGTCGAAACAGAGTGACGGATCGGCGTGATTTTTTGTGTGGAGGTAGTTGGAGGGATAGAGAGTGATCTAAACCTTTTACAGTGAGATTGATCTCATTCCCCCGCGAAAACACGTTTAATACAACCTACAACAATGCATCATACCTATGTACATCCATACTTTCATACTAATATTATAAATGTGAAAGTGTTTGTTTGTCCTTCTTTCATGTCGAAACGAAGTGACGAATTGGCGTGATTTTGTGTGGAGATAGTTGCAGAGCCGGAGAGTGACATAGGCTACTTTTTACCGCAGGAAGTTATTTAATTCCCACTATAAAACAGTTATAATACAATGAAAAAAATATATTTATGATCAAAATTACTTGAAACTTGGTATAAATGCTCTTCAATAAAATTAAATAAATAGGTGTTTTAGCGTTTTCGAAATTCATCTTATAAGGGAGTAAAATAGGGGATGAAAATTAGAGATTTTTTTGTAGTTTTAGCGCGAGCAAAGCTGCGGGTTCTGCTAGTATATGTATAATTTATATTGTCAATATAAGGACATTATAAACCGATTTTGGTCACGGTGACCAATCTAACAGAGGCTAGGCAACTTCACAGAAGATTTTATAGTGTAGAAGTACGCGCGCAGACACAAGTGCACTCTCTACTCCTGTCATTCTCATACTCCGGTAGCACAACTGCTCACACTACCGTGGCAACGCATGCTCTTCGTGACTCGGGGGTGAAACACCATCAAATTTCCAACTCTGGACTGTTGGTCACATTCTTAATATAAATACTTAAAGACTCAATAACTAAACTCGTTCGACCCGGGACTCGAACCCAGGACCTCCGAGTGTGCAGCCGTACATGCTGGCCACTACACCACCGAGGCAGTTAATACTAGGATATATATAATACTATAATTTTGGTCCGGGATGGTTGCACACCCACCGTATGATCTTCCAGTCCTCCCTGGCCTTGCCGGGCGGCGTGACGGCGGGCAGCGTCTGCTGCGCGCGCCCCTCCGCGTTCACGTACGTGCCGCGCTTCTCCGTGTACGCCGCGCCCGGCAGCACGACGTCCGCCATGGCCGCGCCCGCGTCGCCGTGGTGCCCTACACGAATATGAATATACATTGGGTTAATGCGAAAGTTTGTATGTATATATGTGTATGCGTGTGAGTTATATATCTTTATATATATAATTCTTCTGTGAGTGTGTATGTCACTGAACTTCTCTCAAACGACTGGACCGATTTTAATGAAATTTTGTGTGTGTGTTCAAGGGGATCTGAGAATGGTTTAGATTCACAATTTGAATAATAATTTTCATCAAAAAAATTATTAAAAAAAGTTTGAAATTTTCAAATTAAAGACGTGTAGACAGGACAACGTCTGTCGGGTCCGCTAGTTTATTATATGCGACTAATTTAAAACGTAGTGGCTGGGTACACAACACGACCTTGGTCGAACAATAAAACAATGTGTATCCAACTACTAAGCATTTCACTTGTCCCCATCTAATTATTATGTAATAGTGCGTGTTTGTTTCTCCTTCAAATAACACGGCTGGATCAATTAGGATAAAAAGCACACAAAGCGACTATAACCTGAAGTAATAAAGTATATTTTAAGGCATCTTAAGTACATATTTCCCACGTATCTGAGCAAAACGCGGGTAAATCGCTAGCTATAAATAGAAAACATTAAAATTAAAACGTTGAAAAAGTCTATGGGGTTAACTCGTAGCTAATAAATCTTGTAGACCTTGATAGATAACGATGCAATCCTTAGGCAGGTCGTCTCTCGTGACGAGGCCGGCGTCGGCGCCCAGCAGGTACACGACGCGCGGGCCCGCACGCAGCGCGCGCCCCGCGCCCGGCTGGTAGCCGATGTCCAGCGCCGCCACCTGCGACGCCGTGCGTTGCAGCACGTTCAGCACCTGGACGAGGGAATTTTATATTATCGCAATTTTATATTATTACAAGCGACTCACTCTCGGTTCGCTAGGATCCATCCCTTGATACGTTTTAGTTTTTGTGCGTAACATTAATTCTTTTTCTAAAATAAAAGTTGCCTATGTTACTGCCTATAACATCAGCTATCTTCCAGTGAAAGTCCCGTCAAAATCAATTCAGTCGTTTCAGAGATTATCCCGAACAAACAGACAGACAAAAATTAAAAAAAAATGTGCTTTTCTTATAAGTATTGTATATAATTTCATATACATTTAGTAAAATGCTATTATTTTAACATTACAAACAGACACTTCATATTTATTTATATTTATAGATACTCATATCATATTTTAAATGTGTGTGGAACATTGCTTTATATTTCGTCATTAAAACTCCCTCATTAGTGTATATGTACTAATTTTTAATTGACTCATATTTTAAAAAATGTTTATATACGTGTACAAACATGGCACACACAAAAAATATATTACTGTTTGAAATTATAATTGCATAGAAACACTAGTCAAAAAGTCAGCGCATGTTCGGAGAGCAATCAAACCGGCTGCATTCATTATCATTAATTAGCATCAATTATCAGTATATCATCATATTAAATCAATAAACTTTACAACGATCTCAAACTGTATATTTTATAGCAATCATTTAGTGGTAGGTCGCGTCCCTTAAATATGTAACTTACCTTCTTATATTCCATACCGCCATAAATAATTAATCAGAGAGAAAAAGAGCCGAAAATTGATTTACCTTCCATTCCTTATCTTCAAGTTTATCCTGCAGACGTAAGGACAGCTCCTGGGTGTAGGCCAGCAGAGCAGCACCCTCGGGAGTCTTCAGCTGATCAGCGCCGAGGATGACCACCGGCCGCTTGGCGCTCTCCAATCTCTTGAGCACTTCATGTGAAGAGGTACCGGTGGCTAAATCTTTCACGATGGAGGCTGAGTCACCTACATGCTGTAATAAACGTATTTTTTGTACTGTATGTTAAAAAACTGAAATTGTCCATTTTATTTATATATAAAAAAAAATATGGAAAATATTTTATTCATCATTATTACAATTTTTTACTGAACGTCATGAGTCTACTACCAGTTCGGAAAGAAGAAGCCTCAAACTCAGCAGGACTAATATGTATATAAATAATATAATATAAATAACTTTATTGAGACGAAATATGTATATAGGTCGCTTTGTATATCCATATACGTTAAAGAAAATTTTCGTATAGAAGAAAAAGAAAGGTACATCAAACTCATGCAAGGTTGTATGTACCTACTCTATAATATTGTAATATCCAAATAAATAACATAATCGTTTCGGGCATTAATAAATCATATTTTATAAAACATATTATACTTAACATCCTCCTGATCAACAATCTCATTGAGACTAGCCTGCTTAGAAAATATTATATGTATTAAAGTGTATGCGTACAGAATAGATACTGTTATTTCTGCTCTACATATGGGTCAGTGAGATTAGAGTAAAAATATTAAGATTCTCGTACTGTCCAAGGTTCATGATCGTAAATCAGTCAACTTCGCAACTCGCATCTGCTACGAAGACCTTGACAGAAAAATCCCATACTATACTTTGTCCAACCTAGAACTAGAACCTATGACGTCAGGATCTAAAACCAAACATGCTAGCAACTAGACCAATAAGGCAGTCATACTTACAATATATTCGTATGTGAGGTCGACCTTTGGCCCGATCAGCGCGATATCGGTCTCTTTGTGCACGAAAGCTTTACGTATGCGCGCGTTGAGTAATGGCGCCTCGAACCGCACGTTTGTACCGATTAGTAGCACAAAATCAGCATCTTCCACATCTGAGCGAGAAAATATTATTATATTATTTAAATAAAGAGAAGAAATAATAAGGTAGGTACTAAAAACGAAAATATTCAGAGATTCATTATCTTAACAAATGCACACTATCTGGGGCGACATTTAAAAAGTGGGAAATAATCATTTCAGGTGTACATAACGCGATATATTCGCCAAATGTGAACCAATTTCCTTTTGTTGATTGAAAATTCTTTAATAAACCTGTCTAAATTTCAAGACAATATTCCATCCCTAAATTAAAATAATTGCATTTAAATAAAACTATCTTTTCGGATTATTTCGCGGATTTATTTTGATTTTTGGTTCCCGACGTTTCGAATGCTTTACAGCATCCATGGTCACGGGAGAGACTGAAGTGTTACATGTCTTGAATGTATAGTTGTTACAGACAGCCTACCCACAATTAACAAAATGAAAAATGCACCAATTACATTACAATATTTTTAACTTAAATTTTTTTATAATTTTAATTATAATTGAATATAGAAAATTATTTATTTAATTTTTGCTATTATTTTTATAATTATTACAATTTTAAAATATTAATTAGTAATCTATATTTAGTGTTGCCATTATTATATTTATAACCATAAAGAAAAATATAAAATATAGTATTAATTATTTAAGCCATATAATTGTTCTATGTGTAATTTAAAAAAGTTAAAATTAATTAAGGATAATAATTTTAATTTAGTTTGCTATTATTTAAAAACAACTTACTAAGTAACACTATTAATATATACTTTTACAAATGAAAAATGAAAAATATTAATCTGATAATGGTAGGGGAGCCCACGAAGCTAAATGGGGATTTACTCGAGCGTCGTAGAGACGTATTGGGATGCAAAGCTTAGATGATAAGAAGAATAAAATGTTATATGATATATACCTTTACATCGGTGGGGGAAGCGGCTATAGATTTTTAAATATGTAAAAAAAAACTGTTGCATAGACATCCTCGAGCGCGTCAGATATTGATAGCATAAATGCCCTACGTATTTTTAATAATGTACGTATGTTAATCTGATCGTTTGCATGATGCGGGTGGTTGTATTTAAGGGTTGAAAATGAAAAAAAAAAATAATTTAATCGAGCGCGTCAGATTTTCTAAGGGAGTGTTAAGTGCACCAAAAAAAAGCTCTCATTCACTAATCTGACGATTTCGATGGGACGCAAACTCGCGGCCATTTTCATAATGTGCAAAAAAAAATCGCCATTTTGAAATACTCAAGCGCGTCAGATTAAGATATATATGGTTCATCTTTATGTTCTAAACGTACTGTCTCATAATCTGACGATTATCTAGAGGGATTCGCCTGATCTGACAAAAAAAAATTAGAAAAACGGTTCACCTTAAAGGACATACCTGCAACTTCCCGCTAATTCCATTCCTGTGCGCTTAAAATTGTACTTATGGCATTTTTGAGCTCAAAATATATTTAAATTATAATTTATGTGATATTTTGAGCTCGCAGAGTTCAAAGAAATAATATTTCTATGCATTTGAGCTCGAATACATATAATAACACGTTAGAATCCTTACTTTTCTACTACTGTCTACACTAAAAAGGGAAAAATAAAAACTTAATATTAAACTTAATATTAACTTGATTAGGTATGTATTTAATAGGTAGGCTTTAATTATTTAGCCAAAGCACACCGACTTCGAAAATATTTGATTAGGTATGTATAGTAAATGAAAACTACCAATCAAACTACCAAAAAAAACATACAGTCGAATTGAGAACCTCCTCCTTTTTGAAGTCGGTTGATAAACTAATACAACAGGGTGTGCGAATAATTCAAACTTACGAATTATTCGTTCCGAATCGAATATTGATATTCGATTCGATTCGAACGATGTTCGCACACCCCTAGACTCTTTATGATCAGCTGTGATGGTGTCATGGCGGCTGAAACCAGAGTGGGGACGGAGTGAGAGAGTAATAGATAGAGAAAGAGTGAGAGAGGAATAGAAACGCGGAGAAGGAAATGTAGGCATCACGCAGCTGCACGCATTTAACTTTATCGACGAATTTTTGTTATTTCGGCTTGCGGAAATCGTCAGATTATATATTTTTCATTATTCTTGCATTATTTCCTTCAAAATAAAAAAAAATTTAGCTACGCTCGAGAATGTCGAGATGACGTTTTTTTTTTACAACTTTTCCCCTTTTTTTACGTCACTCTCAAATTGTCAGATTAGTGGAATATACACTTTTTAGGATGTAATTAACTCACCCTACCTTAATCTGACGCGCTCGAGAATTTCTGGTGGTCAATTTTTTTTTACTAATCTGATCCTGTATCCTTCACGGGCGGCCTTATATATGGGCCTCATGTTTTGTGGAGGTACTTAACCGGGTACAAGGTATCCCCCTGCATATTAATCTGCCGCGCTCGAGTAACTACAGAAAATCCCCTCTTGGGCTCCCCTACTATAAGCTGTCATTTCGATCTACACAGTATGAACTTACTACATCTGCCTGTCTGTTTTGTTTATATTTATTATTTGATTTTATTATATTAATAACAGGATCCCATGACGATGGTAGTACCCAGCCATCTTCCCTATTGAAACGTCGGGAACCAAAAATCAAAATAAATCCGCGAAATAATCCGAAAAGATAGTTTTATTTAATAATGTCAAACATTCGCGTAAATCTAAGAAAGTATTAATTGCATTTAAAATGAGTTTTTGATACAAGAGTAGTAACAAACATGTACGGCTGTGCATCCGGAGGTCCTGAGGTTCGAGTCCAAGGTCGGGCTAAGTTTATTAGTTATTGAGTTTTTCTGTTAAAAAAGTTAGAGTAACAGTTGGCGGTGTATCACCCCCATGCCTTGAAGAGCACGTATCGAGTCGCTCCTGCGCCTTAACTTTCACTGGTCTTGACTCGTGTCGAGTAGTCGTCCCACCGGAGTATGAGAGTGACAGGAGTAGAGTGCACGTAGTCAGCTCATGCATGCGCTGTACTATAATATCTCCTCTCTCTAGTCTCAATGAGTTTAGCCGCCGTAACCGAAATCGGTCGGGAGGACATTATCATTCTTTTTGGTAATTTAAAACATAAATAAGTGATACATTAATTGAATGAGTACATTCAACGATAAGCTTAAAAGCTTAACATTTTCCACATCCCCATATATTATATTAGTGAGGGGAAGAGAGAAAGAGTAGAGAGTACAACAAACAGAGGCAAATTCACAAGCACCAACTACAAACTCCTAATAACACCTAAAAATAAAATTCATAAAAAAGTTCTTTTAAAACCACATAACTAACAAAAACCATTGAACTATCACATACTGGCAATCTTCGTATTGAACAAGTATGAAGAGCGCAGGTCGGTGCCGGCGCCCTCTAGCGGGAAGTACTGCTCCGTGCACGCGTCCTCAGAGCCGAGGCGGTTGATGAGGTCCTTCAGCGCCACCAGCGACTCTGCGTCCGCAAAATCACCGGCCACCGCTAGCAACTGGTACAAATACATGTTTGGTGAATTCTTTATTGGTTTTCTTTTTAAAGGAACATTTGGGAAAGGGAAAGTGAATTATCTATTGTGAATCAATTCAAATATTACGTATGCACTAAACACCAAAGGGCGGGGGGGTCTTTGCTTTGCTTAGTTTTTGGTGACATGGGGGTCGGGGGAGTTTTGAATGGTAATTAGGTCAGAAATATTTATGTATTTTGGATTTTCTGCAAAATTTAGTAATTTTGATTCGTCCAATCAAAATATAATAAATGTATATTAAATTCCTCTATAGCCTATAAATACCTTATTTCTAGACTTGATGATAACTGCTGCTTATGAATAACAATAAACAACCTGAACAGATTAAAAAATATATATACCAATGTTTACGTAAACATAGGAGGGGGGAGTAAGAGCTTTGCTTACTTTTGCTGACAAGGGGGAGGAAGGGGTTGATAATTACTAAAATTCTACTTGAATGGCCCCTTATCTATGATAAAGTAATATTTAAAACATGTAAGCAATGAAGATTTTTGGCAGTGACAACAAATAATACTTTACCATTAAAGAAGTTATAAATTAAATATAATTTATTAACTACCCTACAGTACACAGTATACATAATTTAAAACTGTTGTATATCTATAAAGGTAAATTCACTTAGACAAATGTTACATTGAATTTTTTGATACAGAAAATTGCGGCGCATCGTCATCAATGTAGTGATGCTTAGTAATTTGCATTGTCACAATCACATTCTTTCTATAGACATAACAATCTCCGTTATATATTATACACTATCACATAATTAAAAAATTGATAAAAAAAATGTTTCTTTTAATTTTTTAAGTCAATGACTAATAATAATCACCACAAAATTATAAAAAATGCTAACAATGTCAGTTAAAATCGCAATCTCGGTCACATCACAGACACGTCACAGTGACATCCCAACGCATGCAGACCAGGGCTGCCAGATTGTATAATTGGATACGAAAATTGTAAAATATGGTTATTTTCTGTACATATATTTCATTTTAAGTTATTATGTATTTTTATTGAATTTCTCAACAGTTTTATTAATTTGTATAATAAAATTTGATTTGGTATAATTTGGGTGAGCCAGCGGTATAAAACAAGTTGGCTCTACTGGCAGCAGTTGTCTCTACTGACAGCCCTGATGCAGACTATCCCCGTACCTTGCCGGGCGGGCAGTCGCGGAGCGCGCGCGCCGCCGCCACAATGGCGTCCTCCCACTCCACGGGCGTGAGGTTGCCGCGACTGTCCGCCAGCATCGGCGTCACCAGCCGCTGTCGCTTGAGCCCGTCGCACGCGAACCGCGACTTGTCTGATAGCCACTCCTCATTGATTTCCTATGAAGCAATCATTTTAGAATTATTAACGGGTTTCAGCCGTTTCGACGTAAAGGAGACACACACACACATGTTTTTTTTTACATTAAAACAGCGCCATCTAGTGAATCCTCCATGGTAAGCTACGAGGCTTATGTTATGGATACCAGATAGTTGATATAATACACAATATTATAAATATAAACACTCATGAACGGAGTACAAACATTCGTGCTCATTATATATATAAATGCCCCCAGCGGGACTCGAACCCGCGATCGATAGTACAGCAAGTAGGGTCACCACAAACTGAGCCAAACGTGTCGTCTATACAGTATGTATAACCTTTTTACCACACATAATATAACGTTTTTAGTACCATTTATAGAAGTCCAATTTAATGTTTTTTATTTCATAGTTTAAAGTGCATGTGTAATAGATATTTGTTACTCAATCATGAGAAAACCAATGAACGGACTTAATGACTTTCATACAAACAGACATGTAGAATAAATTAATTCCATTGAATTTTATGTTATTTTAATCAATACAAAAATTAAAAACCCGACTAAAACATTTACAGCTCAATAACAGATAATGAAAGAAAGAAATATTTATGTTTTTTAATTAATAAGTTCTTTTGCTTTTACCTCATTCGTTCTCGGCAGAATACGTAATACTTCGTTGGTGCGCGTCGCCACCACAATGTTGCTGCCCAGAGGGTCCAATACATCTACGGAATCAATCTGGAAATAATTAGAACTCATTTATTTTGTCTCGTATTTATATAATAATTGTCTCTTTATTAGTTAAAAAATGCGTTTTTCTGCATCTACTGAATAATGATTTTTTAGCAAAAAGATAAGCCACCACTAAAATAACTTGATAAATAAATATACCATTCATAGGAGTTTAACTAAAATTTATATTAAATTACACAAATAAACCATACAACCAAAGTGTAGTTTAGTGCATGACTACCTCTTTTTTTCGAGACCGGTTAATTAATTAATAATCTGCAGAGTAACTTTGCTTAAATAATGTTATATGAAGTAAGATATAAATTAGTAACTTGACATACCCTCCTGGTCTCCCAGGGTCGAGCGGCGAAGCTGTAAGGCTTGGAAGTGAGCGCGCCGACTGGGCAGAGATCGATGATGTTTCCAGACAGCTCAGACAGGAACATTTTCTCAACATATGTACCAACCTACAATATTATATAAATATAAAACTCTTAAAAAAGTAAAGATTTTTATAATATACTAGCAGAACCCGCGGCTTCGCTCGCGCTAAAACTACAAAAAAAACTCTAAAATGGTAGGTTTCATACAAACTTTCATTCGCTATGTTACCCCCGGCTATGTGAACTTGGCACCCGACTTTGGAAAAATTGTTCTTTTTTAGGTTTATTTGAACGATTTCGGTTAGTAGTAGATAGTAGTGAAGCTAACTTCGTTTGTAGTAGTGTCAAAAAAAAAAATACAGACAACAAAAAAAATGTCATCCCCCGAAGTTGGTAAAAAAAATTTTTTTCGCTTGATTCGTATAGAAAAACGTTAGTAGTGGTTTGTAGTGCAATTTTTTTCGTTTGTAGTAAAACAAAAAAAAAAATTTTTTTTTCGAGTATTTTTCCAGAACGATTTTTACTACATACATTCATTGTTGCGTTTGTAGTACCATTATTTCATTTGTAGTAACGTTAATTTTGGTTTGTAGTACCATTACTTCGTTTGAAGTAACGTTAATTTCGTTTGTAGTACCATTACTTCGTTTGTAGTACCATTATTTCGATTGTAGCTGTTTGTAGTAACGTTAATTTCGTTTATAGTACCATTATTTCGTTTGTAGTTGTTTGTAGTAACGTTAATTTCGTTTGTAGTTTCATTATTTCGTTTGTAGTACCATTAATTCGTTTGTAGTACCATTATTTCGTTTGTAGTTGTTTGTAGTAACGTTAATTTTGTTTGTAGTACCTTTGTTTCGTTTGTAGTAACGTTAATTTCATTTGTAGTACCATTATTTCGTTTGTAGTTGTTTGTAGTAACGTTAATTTCGTTTGTAGTACCATTATTTCGTTTGTAGTTGTTTGTAGTAACCTTGATTTCGTTTGTAGTACCATTATTTCGTTTGTAGTTGTTTGTAGTAACGTTAATTTCGTTTGTAGTACCATTATTTCGTTTGTAGTTGTTTGTAGTAACGTTAATTTCGTTTGCAGTACCATTATTTCGTTTGTAGTAACGTAAATTTCGTTTGTAGTACCATTGTTACGTTTGTAGTACCATTGTTTCGTTTGTAGTACCATTATTTCGTTTGTAGTACCATTATTTCGTTTGTAGTTGTTTGTAGTAACGTTAATTTCGTTTGTAGTACCATTGTTTCGTTTGTAGTACCATTAATTCGTTTGTAGTACCATTATTTCGTTTGTAGTTGTTTGTAGTAACCTTAATTTCGTTTGTAGTACCATTATTTCGTTTGTAGTTGTTTGTAGTAACGTTAATTTCGTTTGTAGTACCATTATTTCGTTTGTAGTACCATCATTTCGATTGTAGCTGTTTGTAGTAACGTTAATTTCGTTTGTAGTGCCATTATTTCGTTTGTAGTTGTTTGTAGTAACGTTAATTTCGTTTGTAGTACCATCATTTCGATTGTAGCTGTTTGTAGTACCATTAATTCGTTTGTAGTACCATTATGTCGTTTGTAGTTGTTTGTAGTAACGTTAATTTTGTTTGTAGTACCTTTGTTTCGTTTGTAGTAACGTTAATTTCGTATGTAGTACCATTATTTCTTTTGTAGTTGTTTGTAGTAACGTTAATTACAAACAAAATAATGGTACTACAAACGAAATTAACGTTACTACAAACAGCTACAATCGAAATGATGGTACTACAAACGAAATAATGGTACTACAAACGAAATAATCGTACTACAAACGAAACAATAGTACTACAAACGAAACAATGGTACTACAAACGTAACAATGGTACTACAAACGAAATAATGGTACTACAAACGAAATAATGGTACTACAAACGAAATTAACGTTACTACAAACAGCTACAATCGAAATGATGGTACTACAAACGAAATAATGGTACTACAAACGAAATTAACGTTACTACAAACAACTACAAACGAAATAATGGTACTACAAACGAAATCAAGGTTACTACAAACAACTACAAACGAAATAATGGTACTACAAACGAAATTAACGTTACTACAAACGAAACAATGGTACTACAAACGAATTAATGGTACTACAAACGAAACAACGGTACTACAAACGAAATTAACGTTACTACAAACAACTACAAACGAAATAATGGTACTACAAACGAAATAATGGTACTACAAACGAAACAATAGTACTACAAACGTAACAATGGTACTACAAACGAAATTTACGTTACTACAAACGAAATAATGGTACTGCAAACGAAATTAACGTTACTACAAACAACTACAAACGAAATAATGGTACTACAAATGAAATTAACGTTACTACAAACGAAACAAAGGTACTACAAACAAAATTAACGTTACTACAAACAACTACAAACGAAATAATGGTACTACAAACGAATTAATGGTACTACAAACGAAACAATGAAACTACAAACGAAATTAACGTTACTACAAACAACTACAAACAAAATAATGGTACTACAAACGAAATCAAGGTTACTACAAACAACTACAAACGAAATAATGGTACTACAAACGAAATTAACTTTACTACAAACGAAACAATGGTACTACAAACAAAATTAACGTTACTACAAACAACTACAAACGAACTAATGGTACTACAAACGAAATTAACGTTACTACAAACAGCTACAATCGAAATGATGGTACTACAAACGAAATAATGGTACTACAAACGAAATAATGGTACTACAAACGAAACAATGGTACTACAAACGTAACAATGGTACTACAAACGAAATTTACGTTACTACAAACGAAATAATGGTACTACAAACGAAATTAATGTTACTACAAACAACTACAAACGAAATAATGGTACTATAAACGAAATTAACGTTACTACAAACAGCTACAATCGAAATAATGGTACTACAAACGAAGTAATGGTACTACAAACGAAATTAACGTTACTTCAAACGAAGTAATGGTAATACAAACCAAAATTAACGTTACTACAAATGAAATAATGGTACTACAAACGCAACAATGAATGTATGTAGTAAAAATCGTTCTGGAAAAATACTCGAAAAAAAAATTTTTTTTTTGTTTTACTACAAACGAAAAAAATTGCACTACAAACCACTACTAACGTTTTTCTATACGAATCAAGCGAAAAAAATTTTTTTTACCAACTTCGGGGGATGACATTTTTTTTGTTGTCTGTATTTTTTTTTTGACACTACTACAAACGAAGTTAGCTTCACTACTATCTACTACTAACCGAAATCGTTCAAATAAACCTAAAAAAGAACAATTTTTCCAAAGTCGGGTGCCAAGTTCACATAGCCTGTTACCCCCTTATGGGATGAATTTCAAAAAATGCTAAAACACGTATTTAATTAATTGTATTGAAGAGCATTTATACTAAGTTTCAAGTAATTCTGATCATAAATATTTTTTTGGATTGTATTATAACGATTTGTTACGAACAAACACACTTTCACATTTATAATATTATTATGGATTAAAAACCAAAGTGACTATTCGCCCGATCTATGAGTCTACTAGAAGCTTTCAAATAGCTGACCCATGGATCGATTGAATTTACTTCAAGCTTTTAGATCCATGGGAAAATTTTCCATGCTTCACTTTTACAAATAAGTTCCCAAAAACAAATTATGTGGTGTTCGTTATACTTATATGTCGCAGGGAAATTGTAAGATCTGTTAAATTACACATTCACTAATGAAATTATCATTACCCGGTGTATTATCATCTCCTTTCCTTACAATATTACGACAAATTTAGGTATATTATAATTTCCCTAAGCATATTCAGTGATATTGTGAAATATGAAACTATGAAATTTTGAAATATAATTATGAAACGGTCACTGATTTAATTATTGTTCATAGGTTTATTAGTAAGTATTTGGTTAAGAAAAAATAATTTTAAATTTGCGACATATGTATGCATTCAACAAAATATGATAATAGTTTTCACTCAAAATTATTTCTACTACACTCAAAATATTATATATTTTTGAGAGTAGGGGTTCTAGGTTTGAAATTAAAAAAAAAGACTTAACGAGAACAAGAAGAAACTATATAGATATAGTATGAATAATACGAAAGTTATCGGATATCTATCAACATAATGTATATTTTTATCTTTTAAGTGTTTTCATGTATATTATTTATAATTTTGTTACGTTAATTGCATATTTTAGGCCTGTTATATGACACTGTTTCTCACTTCCATTGGTTGGCTGAAAGATATCTCTTCTAGAGATAAGTCCATTTTTAACCACATTGATCTGTTATATCTGTGTTATATACTTAATATGCAATAAAAAATAATTATACCTGCATATCAGTTCCTCTACCAGTAGTACCAAAGTCATCAACCCCAGCCACTTCCGACGCAAACCGAATGCATCGGGTGCAATGGATGCATCTGGTCATGATTGTCTTAATTAAAGGACCCACATCTTTATCCTCCACAGCCCTGTAATGTAATAATATCTTAATTTCAAATTTATATATTTTTGTATTCAACATTTTTACAAATAATAATTACTACATTTACAAAGAAATTTATTTTTGATTTTATATAATTTTATATATTGTTTTATATAGCAAGTTTTTGCATAATGCTATAAATCTGCAATATGTTAAAAAAAAATATATATCCTCGAAATTCTATACAAAATAAAAGTTTATAAAAAAATACCTTTTTCCAGAAAAATGTATATCTGTGAATCTACTCTTATCAGAGCCAAATGCCATAGACTGGTCTTGTAAATCACATTCTCCTCCCTGGTCACAAATAGGGCAATCTAATGGATGATTAACAAGAAGGAACTCCATCACACCCTCTCTTGCCTTCCTTGTAAGATCAGAGTTTGTTTTAACCCTCATTCCTTTCATAACAGGCATAGCGCATGCTGCAACTGGTTTAGGAGATTTTTCCACTTCAACCAAGCACATGCGGCAGTTTCCAGCTACAGCCAATCTTTCATGATAACAGAATCGAGGAATCTCAACACCTACTTGAGCCGCTGCCTGTCAATAATATCATAAAAAATAGTTAAAACTAAGCATGGTACCACTACACTATGTCTGTCTAAATATCAATAATTATGAAATTGTAAAAAAAGTATTTAAGAAAAAAAAACACTTTTGAATGTATAATGTTGAAAAATATCATTCAGTTTTAAGATATAGATGCCACTAAAAGGAATAATATATTTATCCACATAAATCCTAATAACATTATTATGATATTATGTACCTGCAATACAGTTGTGCCAGGTGGAACATAAACAGGTTTATCATCAATGAAGACTTCGACTTTCTCAGGTTGCGCTTGTACTTGACCAGCATATTTCCGGGCTGTCGAAGGAGCTACTCGGCTTGGGGACAGCGCAAGCGCCCGTGTCAGCGGCTGGCGCAACATTTTCTGCAGCAATTACGAATCAAATTTTATAACTAACACTTGTACTTCCTTTCCTAATCGTATACTAAGTAATATTTAAATAGAAAAGCTCTAAAAAAACTTTTATATTAATTACAATTTTGAGAAATCGATTAAATAATAGTAAACCCTCTGTTATTATTACATAAGTAGGGTTGTCTAACCTAAATAAATATTTAACACATAAATAAGTATACTAAATACTATTATAAATGGTAAGTTATCTAATAAAATACTTCTTTAAAATAAATAATGACGCAGTTTAATTTAAAACGTACAAATAAAGTATTTCGAGTCTGAAAAATTTAATGACAGGAGACGACAAACCAAAAGCTGTCAGAAGAGCATGTCAAATAATTGTCAATACATGTCTATTTACATTTTACGTCAATACAGCTGCGTTCGAATTTGAAGTTACGGAATTATTACTTTGCAGTCTACTGTCATCACAGACAATATTATCATAGTCGATGTTGGCAATACGTAAAACCAATTATTCTTTATGGTATTCTATATTCTTTACGCTCTAATCTCTATCTTTCCCTTTCTTTCGTTCACTTAAATCGGGACTTGCGGTGTGGTACTTGTGCGATAGACAGAATATTTTTTTATTAAAAATGGCATTCGGAGACGTAAAATCTGCACAGGGTCTCAGTGAATTGAACAAATATTTAGCTGAGAAGAGTTATGTTTCAGGGTACGTACTATGACCATGTAAACTATTCAAAAATGCATTCTACCACGTCAACCGCTGTTAACCTCTATTTTTAGGAAAGTGTATTAAAAGTTACATTTTTCATGATAATAGTACGACCTTGACAATAAGACAGCGATAATAATGTTGCACTTATTTTTTTTAGATACACACCTTCTCAAGCGGATGTACAAGTGTTCGAACAAGTAGGAAAGGCGCCGGCCGCCAGTTTGCCACACGCCCTGCGCTGGTACAACCACATCGCCTCCTATACTCCCGCCGAACGTAAGGCATGGGTTGCTGGAGTAAGCCCATTGAACGCTGGTGCTAAGCCTACGGCAGCTGCACCAGCCAAAAAAGAGGAAGATGATGATGATGATGTAGATCTATTTGGCTCTGATGAAGAAGAGGTACGTAACATTTATTATATATGTATTATTTTTCTCAACTTAATTTATTGTAAATTTATATTTATTTAGATTTTTTAATGTTAGTTTGTTTTCAATATTTTTGTTATACTATTTCTAGGATGCAGAGGCAGCCAAACTCCGTGAAGAACGCTTGCAAGCATATGCCAATAAAAAGTCAAAGAAACCAGCCCTTATTGCTAAATCATCTATACTCCTAGATGTTAAGCCCTGGGATGATGAGACAGACATGGGTGAAATGGAAAAACAAGTGCGTAGCATTGAAATGGATGGCCTCCTATGGGGAGCTTCAAAACTTGTTCCAGTTGGTTATGGTATCAACAAACTTCAAATCATGTGTGTCATTGAAGATGACAAAGTATCAGTAGATCTTCTAACAGAAAAGATTCAAGAATTTGAAGATTTCGTCCAATCAGTTGACATTGCTGCCTTCAACAAAATCTAAACGATGCCATCTTATTTATCATCTTTTTCAATAAAATAATTTGCTTTACAAGTAAATTTGTTTTAATTACAATAAATACAAATGCTTACTTACAAAGTTCAACTTAATTCTATGTCTTTAATGATGAACACTTAACTGGTTGATTATTATGAAAATAAAATGAGTAGGTACTTGTTACTAAATTTATAGGCTGATTTCAATGTACATTTACACTATAGAGATTACAAATAAACAGCACACCTACAAACTAAATTATCACAACAAATTGCTAGAACCCTTTACACAATATACACAATGTACCAAAACTGTATAGGTCATTAAGTTCCTGAACAATTCACTATTCAATGACTAGCTGTGGTCTTGACAGAGTAATTACTACTCATTCAACCTGTACATTTTTAGGAATACTGTCAGCTAAATGTGCTTGCAAAAACATCTTTGGGATATCATTGCCAAAGTAAATTTTGTTATTTAATGCAAGTGCTTCATATTTCTTTAGGTCTAAATATTCCTTAGTTAATAATAGTTTATTGGCTTCGGCTTGTTTCTTCAAATGATAGTAATCAGCTTCTGCTTTGGTCTGTTGTTTAGCTTTATGAATGCTGTCTTCAATAAGTTCAATCTTTTGAAGAGATTCTTTTTCCATAATTTTTTGTTCATATTGAATTTTTGCCACATGAGCCTCTTTCTCCGCTTCAATTACTGCTTTCCTTCGAGCTGTCTCTGCTTCTTTCTCAACAACCTGGAATGGAAAATAATAATTCTTAGGCCCTGTAAATTAGTGATTAAACATAAAAAGTATTAATCTTACTTTTTGATGTTGTTCTGCAATTAGAAATTTAGACTTTTCAGCTTCCATTAGTTCATAATTTTTTCTTATAGCCTCTGGTATTTTTGGTTTTGTTACACGGACACCTTTCACTTTCAAACCAGGAGCTAATTCATTTAAATCATTCTGCAATGCCTGAAAAATAGAATATAAATTAGTGTTATCAATTACATTATAAAATCAAATGATTATTAATCTTTATATAAAACTTACTGTACTCAGGTTTTCATCAATTTGATCAAATAGGTCAATGTATACTTCATGAAGTGTGTGAGCACTGCAAAACTGATTTAACTCATGATGGACCTTATTAAATATCAGTGTTTTATCATAGTCAGCTGTGAAGTTGCGCACTACATCTAGAACTGAAAAACATTTTCATTAAGCTAAATATACAAGTGGCTTTGTATTTATACATTATACATCCATAAATACTAGGGACAATGTCAAAAATATTTTAAACTCATCAAGTCATCATATCAATATACTTACCACTATTAGGATCTAATTTATTAACAACTTCAATTCTCTCAAAATATATCATGACTCCTCCACTTGTACCACAAGGTACATTTTTTACTTCATCAGTTTGAAGAGTAGTCTGAAAATATAAATTCTGTTAAGTATTCAAATGTATAACATTTTATTATTCAGTTTTTAAATTAAATATTAACCTGAATGGCCTTATATGTAGTCAAAACTGGTATCATCATGTGAAAACCAGGTTGGCTTGTGACAGGCAGTAGTGCTCCACCCTAGACATACCATAATAAAAAAAATTATAATAAGTTTATGGTATACAATGGAATAATATTTGTATTATACAATAGTTCACTTACACGATAGTAAACTCCTACATAGCCTTCTTCAACTTTATGTAAGGAGAAATGCACAGATATTCCTACAGCTAAAATAAAAATGGCCAACATAGATGTCTGATCTGCCATGGCTGGACTGCGAGAAGAAAAATACAATTATATTTTGAATATTATTGCAATAAATTCATAAGAACTTCTACTTACCTCCAAATATCTAAATGAACGCTCACTATTAGCGGTATGATGAATAGTAGCTATTAAACTGTAGTTTAAAGTTCTGCACGACTTAACTGAAGAATATGTTTAAAGTGTATTAAAAACGTGAAACCATTAAAAATCAATATCTACATTGACAACATTGTAATAGATTAATATGTAATTGTATTGAAATTTGAAAATTACTATACCTACTTTGTTATTTTCAGATCACTGTCAAACTTTATTTATTCGTGCTGTCAAATTGAATTTTCCAAATTTCCCTGTCAGTGATCAGTCATGACACATCACACAGATTGTGGCAACTGGCATAGATAATATGGCGAGCCAGTAGTATAAATATGTGTTCTGGAAGGGCCTTCGATCAACCACAGTACTGTTGATCGAAGGGAAGGACAATCAAAGCTACAGATCTAGAGAAATTCGGCGAACTAAAAAAAAATATTATGTATATTTAAGCCTGTCTTCTAACTTATAGAAACCAAGAAAGGTCAGTCAAAAAATATCTTTGATATATTGTTAAGGAAATTCACTCTGAGCTAGTTCCGGGGCTCCACGCTTACAAATCTGGCCCTAGCCTTCCTCAAGATTTAGGGTATAAAAACAAAAAAGATTTTTTAAATAAGACTGGTAGTTCCAAAGATTAGCGCGTCAATAGATGTAAAACAACCGATTTAAAACGTTTGAAATAAAATTTTGCTGTTTTAAACCCCAAATAAATCGTTTTGAACGGTTGAAAACTCGCCTACAAAAATAAAAGAACTGTATTGTACACTTCATTGTGAGCAATTTTTGGTCACCTGACGTTATGTTTTGTTCTAATTAGTTTTTAGAAAATCAATAGAAAGTACCTATCTACATTACCTACTACACGAAAACTTAAGTATGTAGGTATACCTACCTATACTTATTTACTAAATTATATTTAAAGGTATGTGCATGTTTGTGTAGGGTAGGCGAGCTGGCAACGTTGCGTCGAGTCACGACTGACGTCTTCGATCAACAATACTACTGTTGATCGAAGGACGACGTCAACGAGAGTGTAAGTTTGGTTTTAAGCCGAATCAAATTAATTATTTAGATCTTTTGAAAACAATGATAAAAAATGTTTATTTACCAACACAGAGTTTTTAATTAATCAATTGTTTTTATAACTTATGTACCTGTAATACCTACGCTTGGTCGGACGTAGTATATCACTATCAGTATATCACACATAAAAAAAAACTTTGCACAGGTAAGGTGGGTACTATAGTGGTAATACAGGTAAAGTAGGTAGGTGGTTTAATTGGTTATAAACCGGCCTTACTATATGCATGTCCAAACAATAAAAAGTGTGTGTGCGCAATCACACACGGTACAAGTGAAACATCAGGAAAGTAACCTACGAGAGAATGAGATGAACATATATTTACGCGTTTGTCTCTTTCTCGTGTCGCATTTTCGTTTCATCGAGTTTCAAATCACAACGATTCTAAAGAAGTTTCACTTCAAAAACAAGCTCGTCAACTTTATTATATTAGTTCACTACAATGCAACAGAAATTTTGAAACAGAAACTAATTATAGGTAATGCAATTGTTTTCAATTTGTTTATTGTTTAAAAGTTGTACGCTAAATTAAAGGCTTATTTGCCAATTACTATAATTAAAACAAAAATGGCTTAAATATTAATTATATTTAAACATTAATCATGTTTAGAAATTATAAAAATATCAGTCCACTTCAGGATGCACAGGTATTTCTTCCACAACAACTTTACTTTGGCAAGATTTGCCATCAGCGTATATACCGTCTAAAGTTTTCGCTATTGTTATTTTAAGAGCTCTATACTCTTCTAAAGCTTTCGCACACAATTCGCCTTCAGGGGAGTTTCCTGGTTCTAATACTAACATTTCAAGAGATCGTTTTAAATATCTTTCTGCATTCAACAGTTCATCCTGAAAATAATAAAAATTAATATCATAAAAAATAGCAAAATAAAACTTGTGGATTATCTATTTCAAGCAAAGTTTATTAAAAATCTTTAGGCGTTTTTAGTATAGTATTTAAGGCAATATTTATTTATTTACGTTATAAATATCATTGCGTAAATATTGTTAGATTAGACATACGTACAACATAAGCGGGAGCAGTTATTTCACGTGCATCTGACATCTTCTTAGCTAACTGCACCGTGGTTTCGTGTAACTCGTATAAAGTGATTGCTGAAAAATAATTGTAAATAAATTATAACATAATAATATATTTCATATTTGTAATGTGGGATACATTAACCATGGTCCATGTGTTTGTATGTTTTCCTTCACCGTAAGGTAATCACGTTAGGAAAAAAATGCAGTGGTAGCAAAGCTCGGGAAACCGAGTGAAGCGGGTTCAAATCCAGGGTCTTGCAACTCTAATATTTTCATATGTGAATCATTATCAACGTGAATTCATATTATTAAAAATATTTAATAACTTTTAAACTTAAATAAGAGCTATATTATTAATAAAATTCACCTTTAGTCCTACATATGCCAGGACTAAGTGTTTCAAGTACTGGTAATATTTCTTGGCACAGTTCAATTTTTCGGCGCATCAACTTTTTAGTAGGTCTCGGCTCCCTATTGATAGTGTCTCTAAGAACTCCAGCGAGACGTTGTTTGGCGTCCAAAAGTAGGTAATGGTTAGGTGCCAATACAAGGGAAACATTTCTTATGTATTCTTCAAGCTCTTTTTCATCTTTTTTATCTATGGAAAAAATAAATATTATTTATGGACAGATTAAAAAAACACTTATCATGGCTATTATTTATAAGTTCTTAAAACGGATAAATCAAACAAAATTTTTGATTCCACTTATTGATATAAAGAATAGGGTTTTTCGTCTGATAAATAGATAGGCTGTCTGATAAGTGGACTTTTTTCAAAACTAGTTTCTAGTGTCTTCACTAATGTATTATTGTATGCTCAAAACGGGTTGAGCATTAAGAAAAGAAATAAAAACGGTCGTTTGCCATTACATTTACTCCATTAGTATTAAAAATATATGGATGGTATAAGTTTTATTATAGAAAGTATACATTTTTTGTCTGTTTCAAAATATTATAACATGGAAATTGTTTTGCTATATAAAGTAGACTTGAAACCTTTATACTTACTTATGACTTCTAACTTATTAGAACAACATTGAACCTTATAATCTATAGCAGATTGTTCACTTTCCTTCGCACAGCTGTGGCAAACCCAAGCATCATTCTTTTTAGATATATATCCTTTCTTACAACGAGGACATAATGCAGAGCTCATATACGTGCCCAGTTCAGTAATGTCTGAGCATCGATTACATGTGCATTTAAAATATTTACCAACCATCAGATGCTGTTGTCTCAGTACAGTTCCCTGGAACAATAAATAAATAATACTTAATTTCGCTTTGCTCGGATGTGGCTAATAATAGCCGATAAAATAGCGCGACGGCATTTTTTCTGACTTTAAAACTAGAGTTATTATGACTTTTGACAGTAACAGACATTTTTATCGGAATAAAAAATAGCCTGTACCTAACACTCGGCGGTAGGTAGTTTCTTATTAGTGAAAGGATTTTCAGAATTGGATAGGTTGAGTTTACACGCTACATACGATTGTCTTATTATTGTAAATATTCAAGATTTGACAAATATTCTTCAAAGCACATCTTGAAGTAGTGACTTACGAGGGTAAACAGCGCCTGTGGACGCACTCGAGAGTCAGTGTCTTTTATATTTATTATATTATATAGAAGCAGCGCCACCATTTAGCAAATATTATAATTAGCCGTAATTGTGTTATTCCAGGTGATCGCCTATCTGTGTTCTAAATCGCTAAATCCGTCCAGCCATTTCAGGGTTAAGGAGTAACAAACATGCATATTGCACACACACACATACAAATTTAGCATATATTTAGTTCGAATTATTTATATATAACTTAAGAAAAAGAAACTATCTCATACTTTCTTAGATTTACGCGAATAATTGATATTTTAAATAAAACTATCTTTTCGGATTTTTTCGCAGATTTATTTTGATTTTTGATTTCTGACATTTCGAATGCTGTACAGCAATCATGGTCACGGGAGAGACTAAGGTTTTAAATGTCACTTATATAGTAGTGTCTGTAACAACACGAAAAAATCCGAAAATAAATGAAAATTCCCAAATACGCAATACCTACTTTCAAGGGGTCAGTATAATTATAATAAATGGGATCTCCCTTCTTGATATCCCTGCTAGCGTGGCAGACGAGTACATTACTATCGTTTATCGACATATGAGTGTTGGCGACACAGTCGTGGGCCAACAGTGCGGCTTGCAAGTACATCCCGCGCAGCACCTCCGCGCACCCTATCGCGGGTATCGGCGGGCCGCGGACCTCGAAACTGTTCACGTCGATTGCTGCACATATCCGCTGAACAAGATCTTTGTTGTGGCCGTTGTCGAATAGACCTAGCGATTGGATGAACTGAAAGAATATAATTACACTTTATAATCAAAAAGAAATGTAAAGTCATGCTTTGACGTCCCATACGTTTTTATTTGTCAAAAAACGAGCTTAATTAGCCCACACTCAAATATGTTATTTATAGCTATTAAAGGGTTTCAGATCAGCTTTTTGACATCTAATTATTGTATCATAGGATATACATTAGGGTGGCCCAAAAAAACAATATTTTTTTTCGAGTCTCTTACGAAAATATGTTAGTTTTAATAGTCCCCTCTAAAGCGCAGTTCAAAAAGCAATTTTTAAGAGGTGGATCAATTTTTTTTTAAAATTCCAAAATCGTTGAAAATCGTTTTTTTTTGTCTTTTAAATTTTTTTTTCGTTATTTCACTATTTTCTACTTAAAAGATAATTAGGATTCTGAAATTTTGAAGTCGATATTAAAATATATATTTAAAGGTCGCTCAATTTTTTTTAAGTTTCCAAGTAGAGTACCTTAGACCTTTTCGAGCGACTTCTAAAAATAAGACATAAGACTCGAAAAGAAAAAGAATGATTTTTTTGGGCCACCTTAATTATACATACTATACAACTAAAGCTAATGAATAAATAGCATTCAATTAGAATATTTACAAATTCATAAAAACAAAAGAGTTCACATAAATCTACAAATATGTATTTCTACGTTTCGGCTGAAGGGACATACATATGATTTTATATAGCTTTTATAAAAACCTTTTTGCAAGCATTGCCAGTAAAAAAGTCCAAAGGAGAATATATATCGTCAATAGTGTTGACATTGATTATTATTTTCTATAGCTTTCTTAATTTAAAATTATAATATGATTAAAACCTTTCAAATTCTAGGCTTTTACTTTAGTAAAATACTTAAAGTACGTACCTTTACGGTATTATCATAATATTCCCACACATTACTCTCCCGTCTTCTGTCCAAATGGGTCTCCAATTCCATAAAGACCTTCCATTCTTGGGGATGTGTTTCCCTCTTCAGAATCGCACGTAAAACCAACAATGAACCAACATTTTGTACCATTGTCATCGGATTCATTCCTTGATTGAGTTTTAAGTTTCGAAAAAAATCACATTCTTGTTGATTGTGCCATTCTGAAATAATAACACAGATAGTTACACTGAATAAATATTACGGTATAGTCTCAACAATTTAAAAGGTTACTGAATTTGTCAACTGACAAAGTATAAATAACGTTGTGGTGTCTGACATCTTTTTTGACCGACTTTAATAAGAAGAGGGTCAGTATCGTATTTGTACTCATCTTCGCTAATTGTAAATCGATTTTAGCCCTTAAGGCTAGACTTTAAAAGTGATTTCGAAGTTCACTTTTTTAATTAAAAAGGTACATATTATATTCCTCAATATTAAATTTAATTAATATTCTTAGGTAGATTATTGGTAATTATCAAAAATAACTACGCTACTCAACCACTTAGACGGGTTTATAAGTACTTATTTTCTCAGTAGACTTACTAGCAATCTGATCGGAACATCCATCTCCAGGGCATATAGGTGCGACGGCACAATTCTTGCACACCAAGAACTTGCTTATAAGCGGTAAGTAGCAATTGAAGCAAACCAGTGAAGTGTCGCTATTAGGACCCAAAACAAACGGCTGGTCGGAAAGAATCCTCTCACCAGGCTTTAAATCTTTCGCGGCAACTAAATATCTAAATGGGACATTAAATTAGGCAATCTTAGTTTTAAAATTATTTCGTTAAGGAAATATTTTACGAAATACTATTATAAACAAGGCAGTGGTAGCCCAGTGGTAACGCACTTACTTATATTTTTATGTGCGAATCATTTCCAACCACCAGTGGTAGTCACCACGTGCCTTACGGTGAGGGAAAACGTCGTGGGGAAGCGTGTATGGAGAACTTAGTAAATTTTTAAAAGACATATGAAGTCGGCCAACCCGCACTTGGCCAGCGTGGGGGATTATGGCCTGATCCCCCTCGTATTGAAGGGTGGCCCACCCTCAGCAGTGGGACGTTAGAAAGGGCTGAATATTATAAATGCTATAGTTTGTATGACTGTGTGTCTGTTTGTTATACGGCTTATAAAACGGCTGAACGGTTTTGGATGAAACTTTGAACGCAGATAGACTATGACCTGGAGTAACACAGGCTACTTAACCACCCAAGGGAAGGAAAGGAGAAGGGAGTTAAAATCGCTTGTAAAATTAAATGAAAATAAATGCAAAAACAAACTGCTCATATTACTTTAAAAAATCAAATATTATTAGGAATTTTATATTAAAATCTAAAAAGTAAATGATATTTAGGTATATACAACAACTAATTATACACAAACCTGCCTAATTTGTCATTATGTTTTACTTCGTATTTAGTATTCATTTTGCGATCAATAAATGATTTATTCAGAGAGCACACTGAGAACTTCATCCGAGCAGGCGCGACGGGAACTGAGTCGCCGGCAGTATTTATAGCTTCGAGTACTATTTAAAGCTTTACCATACTGTGCTATTTATCCGAATGTATGCGTTCATATAAGTCGCTTCATACATTATTATAGTTTTAATTACACGTAAAAAGTTTTTTATTATATTTAAATCATCAAAATAACGAATGTCTTTTATTTTTAGTACAACAATTTCTACAAGCACTACGCCTAAAAAGGGAAACTAAAGATTCCGTAACGAATACCACAATATTCGTTACGGAACCGTAATTGTATGTTTATAATATAAATAATTTCTATATAACATATTAATATGATTTGCTTATAAAATTAATATTAAAAAAAATGATCAATTCACTTAAAATAGATGAATATGAAATAATACAGAAAAAAAATTAACTGAGATTATTCAAAAACTAACAAATATAAGAATCCACATAAATGAAATAAAAACAATGCGTAGATGTTTATGTAAAAATTTTATTATATTATTATTTACATTCTTACCTTACACATAAGGTAGACTTATGACTCGTAAAATATGCAGTAAACAACGTTTATTTACAACAAGTACAAAACCACTTCTAAATCATTACCTAACTATGTATTTACAATAAAATATTTTTGCATTCATAACAAGCTTTCACTTTAATATATATACTAATGATTACATCAATGTTGACAGTCTTTCTATACAGCGTAGATACGATTTCGTTATGAATTAGTTATTATTATCATATAAAAAATATCGTAATTGCACCTTTATTTGATATTGATCTTTTGCATGTATATATTACTCTACGATCTTAGCTAACAATCTTACAAAATATTGCTTTTTGTTATAAGATCAGTCACGATGGCTCAATATCGCGCACACTCCTGAAACAAAAGTTTAAATAATGTTAGTGCTATTCCATTTCGTTCGCAGTAAATTAATGTGATTCGTATTTTTTATAGAATTATATATTTTGCCGGCGCCGATACGCTCCGTCCTGGCACACGACGTTGCCGAACCGGTGCTCGCGGACGGCGAAACGGTGAGCACAAGAGTTATAACTACGTATGATGGCCGTTCTAAGCCCGTTGTAAACATGTTGTCGCTTGTCTTCTAGTGATAATATTTTCTTTTAAATTATAATTTATTTAAATGGCGTGAACCTAGTAACGTCGTGATCGACTGATGTTTTTCTCTTTCTTCCTCGTCTAAAACAATGGCTATCATTGTTAATTCTCTGTCGGACAAGTTTCTAATAGCCATCGTATAGGTACCTATGGGAAATAATTTTCGTAACAAAAATATTCACTCGCTGTTTCTGAACGGCTGCCTCACGCGAAAACACAGGTGAACTACTACGACTGAAAAAACTTGAACTATGTAGGTATACAGATATGACGCGCGGATGATACGCGAATGATACGTTCTAGTGGGCGACACAGACTACTATTAGTCCGTGTCGCTTGTTTCCGTGCCTGATACGTTCATAGTACGGTCATGGTATGAGACGGTGTAGTAAGCAGACTCCTTAATTATTGGAATATCATCCTCATCCTCCTCAACTACATTAATTCAGTTTGGTGATTGAGTTTTTTGAGCTGATTGAGAGAATTCAGTCAGCTGATCGACAATTTGAAGAGTTGCAAATTAAATATTTTCAAATATATTTATCAAAGATAATTATCAACCCATATTTATCATGATAATTATCACGATAATTATAAAAGATAATTATCAATGATAATTATAGTTTCGAACCCTGCCATAAATAGAACATCAAATTTTACATATTATTTTAGTTCTTGAGCAAAAAACACTACAAATAATATGAAAGAGCTTCCAGTGAGATTAATTTTGTCGTTTTTGAGTAACAAGAGTAGTAGTTTTAAATACAATAAACAAACTTGACGACATTACATAAACACTTATAACATTAATGTTTGTTCTTAGAGCAAACTACTCTTACCTGATTCTGATACTTTTAATATAACAAGAATATTTAAAACTTCAAATACATATTAAACGACCAGGATGTTTTAGTGACTGCAGATCCGGAAGCCCTGGGTTCGAGTCCCGGGTCAGGCCAAATTTAGTTATTAAATTTCTCAGTCAAGAAATTATCAGTAACGGTACTGAGTTGTAAAGTTTACGATTTTTGCACCCCCGTGCATCGGAGCACGTAAAACTGTAGATTCTGCGCCCTTCTCGCTTTGTCGACAGTGAAAGGAATAGTGTACACGTTGTATCTGTGAGTGCACATGTGCACTATAACATATCCTGCGCAGTTGGCTAACGTCACAATCAGCAAGACTAGCCAACTGCGTATAAATAATCAAAGACTGGTCAGGAGTACGACACTATTATTGCATTGTTCGTCCCTAGCTTGCTTCCTGATACAAATTTTCATCCCCATTTTCACTGCCTTAAGGGATGATTTCCGGGATAAAAAGTATCCTATGTCCTTCCTACAGTCTCAAACTATCTTCTTACCAAATTTCATCTGAGATTTACCCCCTACAACGTTACAAACTTTACCTCTTTATAATATTAGTATAGATGAAAAGACCAAAACAAACGCACCAGAGAGACACAGGGCTAGCGACAATCACAATATGCCATCGAGTATGGAGAGCGGCGTGGTCTGGTGCGCGGCGCTGATGATGTCCTGCAGGCAGCGCGCGAACTCGTCGAGCACGCCGCGCACGGCGTCCGCGTCGTCCGCCGCCGCCGCCACCAGGCACTGGCACACCGCCTCGATCACCTCCGACGTCATGAAGCTGCACGGTTGTCTGGGAACCATAAATACATACATAATATATAGTGCATTCAAACAAGTACGCGTGTACTCTCAAAAGTCAAACTGGATGCGTTACTATTAAAAAAATATGATGAAATAAAAAAAAATATTTTATTTTTTTTCTTTTCTTTTTAAATTGGAATCAATTATTTAGTATAATAATAAATATATATTTTTTATACTTTGTATTAAAAAAGTAAATGTTTATATATTTTTAAATATAATACCAATAAAGACAATACCAAAGTCCATTAATTAAAACAAGGCAATCGTACGGAGCGGATAAAGGACACCCGACTATGATACTTTTATATTACAGTCAGGAAATGGCTGTAGGGTTGACAGGTAGCAATACAATGCTATAATTTCGAAACAGTTCTCTAAAGAAAAATTGTTACCTATATTAAATATGAAATTTCCATGTTATTGAGCTATATTTTTACTCCTACTGCATGGTAGCATAAAAGTAATATATATATATATATATATATATCATGGACGAATTAGAGACTGGACCTGACATAAAATACAAATGTATGAAAACTAGTTCAACCAAGTGACGCATAACGCACACAAAGATTTTATTACATTATTATAAACACTGATACACAATACAATATTTGTAGTGCTTGAACGTAATCGATAAAATACATATATCGATGAACCAATGAATGACATTTTAGACATTGGTTAGCATAGTCATCATATTTTACATCTTTTAATTTAAAATATCTGTATTTATTATAATACATTAAAATAAATGAATTAAAGACGCAATAATAATGTGTCAAATAATAATCATTTTTTAATTTGATTTTTATAAATACGATGGCTTTGATGGCAACATTCTGTTGGCCTATAATAATGTTAATAAACAAATGAATATCGGTTGTATATTCCATTAATATATAATGAATATTATTTTGTAAAGATTAAAAAAATATTAAGCTAATTTAATTAAATAAAGTGATTTTGTTGATTCTGTTATTGAACTATTTTAATTGGCAATTGATTGTCTCGGGTTATAAAAATAAAAATGTGAGTTATAAAAATGTGACACTGTCCTAATATTGCTCAGTTATTAATAAACATTTGTGAAATTAGGAAAAAGAAAAAGTGAATGCAAATTGTGAAAAAGTGAGTGTTGGATCGTGAAAGTAAAATAATTAGTGCAAGTGGTAAAGTGTTTTATTACAAATCGCCAACCCAGAAGTTTAGTGCTAAAACATTATTGTTTGATTTTGTGTAATTTATGTGTTGAAATAAAATAATCTTTATTATTATTACAATGGAATAATATTCCAAAGTATATAAATGTGGTATAAAATAAAATAAAAAATTAAGTACACATACTAATTATAATTTTTGCATTTATATTTTTATTTGATTTAGAAAATATTTTTATAAATTTATTGTCATCAGATTGTAGGATACTGTGATAAAAGTATTTTATGTTATTGTACTGTACAAATAACACAACTCGTTCAGTTATTTCGTCAAATATAGATATATTTTTCGACATTGTCAAGCACTAGTCGATGTCAAATCGACTCACTTGACAGTTTTGTCATTTGTTCTGAATGGTATAATCCAGCCCGTTTATGATGGTTGTCAGATGTCAACAATACATGAAAAATCGACTATATTTAACATAGTAGGATAATATGACATTTTATTTTACATTTAATTAAATTTTGTGATAAATAACAATAAATGTAATAAAATAATGTATTTACAAGTGAAAAGAAATAGTGCTGCTTCCGCCGCTATAGTTTTTACACCATTTAACAGAACATTTAGTCATTTTTGGGAGATGTTTTGTTGACAAGTAAGTGCTTGAGACTGACACAAAAAACAAACGACCTAGGCTAAAATTCCCTGGTTACTGACATGACCGTTAAAGGTACGTCCGCTTATATGTCTGGTCCAGTCTGGTCCGCTTATATGTCACACTATATATATATATATATAGTGTGACAACACTGAGTACTGACTTAGCGTTGGTTGGCGGCGCGGGGCGGCAGCTGGCGACGCGGCCGCTCGGCCCGCGCGCGTCCCGGCGCCGCGCGCGCTCCAGCGTCTCCTCCACGTTGCGGCACCCAACACACTTGCAGATCGACGTGCAAGCTATTTTCGCCTTTATTATTGGAAAACTTTCAATTAGTAAACACCTTTAAATAAAACTTTATTTTAATAAGTAAATTCTGAATGACAATACAATAATTATTTGATATCGAACTCACTGAATCTGATGATGGTTACTAATACTTTCTTAGATTTACGCGAACATTTGACATTTTTAAATAAATATATCTTGTCGGATTATTTCACGGATTTATTTTGATTTTTGGTTCCCGACGTTTCAAATGCTTTACAGCAACCATGGTCACGGGAGAGACTAAAGTTATAGACGTCTCAAAGGCATTACACACTTGTTACAGACAGTGCCTACTATTTTACAAAAATGATTTCTAAAACATGACGATTCCGAAAGGATAGTTTTATTTAAACATGTCAATGTTTGCGTAAATCTAAGAATGCATTAGTAACCATCATCAGATTCAGTGAGTTCGATATCAAATTATTGTACTGTCGTTTAGAATTTACTTATTATTATTAATTGATTTAAAATGTTTTAACGCGATAAATTATAGTAGGATAATATAAACTTCTAAGAATTTATTATATAAATGTATAAACAAAGCTAATAAAATCATGTTTTAAATATTATTTACATGCTTTTAAAATTAAGATGATGAAATTAAAAAAAAATATCAACCTTTCTATACGAACCTCATAGCATTCACAATAATTTTTCAAACAGCCACTTCTTTTACAATTACATCCTTTATTATGCCTTCTAATTATATCAGGACCTCCAATTTTCGCTTTTCCGATTTTCGGCCTAAAATAAGAAAATATGTGAAAAATCTTCAAATAATAGAATTTTATTTTTATAATAATTACGCATAAATTTTATTAACGCGAAAATTTGTAAGGATGGATAGATAGAGATATATAGATGTTATTGTTTCACGCAAAAACCACTGAACGAATTTTGATTAAATTTGACAATAATACTGCTTACACATCAAAGTAACACATACTAAATATGTTCGGACATTAATTAACACACAGCACCACCTAGTTCCATGGTAAGCTACGAGGCCTGTATTATGGATACCAGATAGTTGATACACTAAACATATAAACTTTAAATATTGTGAATGGTGTTTATATTTATAATACATATTACAAATATAAACACCCATGACTGCACATTGCACTACAACATTCGTCCTCATCACATAAATGAATGCCCCCAGCGAGACTCGAAACAGCGACCGCTGGCACAGTAAGTAGGGTCGTATAGGCTATAGGAGCTACGGAAAAACACTAGTAAATAACAATCTAACCTAAAAGCATTAGGATTCCTTTCCAAACAGCCTCTAATGGCTTTCTGGCGTAGTTCCTCGTTCTCTAGGTTATTGTGACAGTTGTTGCAGTTACACCGGTTGCAGAACTCTCCGTTCGCGAAGCAGTCGCAGTACAGTTTGAGGCACTTTGACTTCGTACAGTTACACGCCTTGCGCGGCCTCAAGCCGAGTTCTGTTGCCACTAGGTCTGAAAATATTAAATATTATTTGTGTTATATTTACTGCGGAATTAATATAGTCAATACTTAAACATAGAGTATAAAGTAATTAAGAATCTCTAAAATTTAAAAGACTGTTTATATATAAAATTATAAGAAAAGCTTATTAGAAGAAAAGCTTTTCTGACAAAGAAATTATAAAATACATTTGTTCCATGTATATATTTATAAACAATATATATATGGGTATTTTCACTTGGCCAGCGTGATGGACTATGGCATGATAGTCCTGGTATTGAAGGGAAGCCCGTGCCCAGCAGTGGGACGTTAAAAAGGACTGAATACAAATGGTTTTTAAGTTTTAAATTTTAATATCACTTACCCGACTCTGAAGGGGCTGGTGTAGTGGGCGACTGATATGGATTTAGTACATCATTTTCAATGTTTAACAAGCTTCTTTGTGAATCATCCTAAACAAACATACGGAAAGATAAATATAACTCAAAAATTAAAAAATATATTTCAATATAAAACAAATTTTGTATACTGCCTATCAAAAAACATGTCTTACTAAGTTTAGTGAATACTGAAGTAAAAGAAAAACTACTTAATACACAATAAAATAGGAATATAATAATTGTAATTAAATTAATTTATAACAAAAATAGCCCCACATAAGTGTAAAAATATAAGAAAAAAAGCAACTGGTTCATAATGTGAAGTCCGTCAACCCGCACTCGGTCACGTTGGCCAAGTGGGTGCTGTGGTGATGTTATGGCCTGATCCCTCTCACATTGAGGTGCAAAAAGGACTGAATACAATATATAATGACCGTTCTGTTGTGCGCATCTGTTGACGAGTTGTCGTAATTAGAGGGGATGACAATCAGGGGGTGGTCGTCGGAGCGCGCGCTGGCGTCGAGCGCATCCATACCGTCGGCACTGTTCTCTGAAGTTGCACTCTAAAAATGTAGTTTTGGATGATAACAAAAAAAAAGTAAAAATTGCAAATCAAATTTAAGTTTCGTGAAAATTGTAATGAAATGCAAACATTTTTTTTTTTCAAGAAAATCTTAATGGAAAAAGAAAGAATATTGACGGCCATGCATATGTTAACCTTAACATATACGCATAGCCGTACATACGATATAACATATCAATATCTTTATCAAAAATTAATACTAAAATAAAAGAATAAACTAAAATAAGGTAAAATTAATTAAGAAACACATCTACACCAAACATTTCACTATAGGAGCCAAACATTCAAATAAATAATTCAGTAACTACCTTAATAATATCATAATAATAAATAAGCATTAAAATTGAATAACATCAAACAAATTACAAGTTAGAAAAGAACTCACATGCTGCCCTTCATACTCCACTTCCACCTCGGCAACACTGTCAGACACCGCCTTTTCAATGAGCGCGCGCAGAGCCGCCTTCGAGTCGACCTCCTCCTCGCTGCCGTCGCCGGGCGCCGCGTCGTCCGCGCCCGCATCCGCCGCCGCGTCCGTCGCCGGCGACAGTGGCGCCAACAGGCTCTGCGACGAACGTGGTGTTTGCTGGAAAACATATAAAGACTTCTAGTAACTATAATTGATTTTCGATCACGACTGCCAATCTTTTGAGGCATTATGCGATATATTACGCGGCAGAACGAATTGTTCCCTTTGCTTCCCCCATACCGCCTTAAAGGCTTAATTTCCCTTAACACTAGCTTAATAATTTAAAATTATTGTTATTTTAATTACTTTATATTTTTATTTGTCTTTTCAAGTTATTATAAAAGTTGTTATTTTATCGGTGAATATATTTTGATAAAGATAAAATATATAAACTTACTGTAACAGTTTGCAACGTCTTCGGTACGATTGGTGCTATCCTCACCAATTTTTGCTGAGGTTTCGATGCCACTGAAATTATTAGTAAAATTGAAATTCATAACACACGATATAATATACACAAGCTATATATATCTAAGAAGAGAAATCATAAGTAGACATTTATATTTATAACCTTTGATTATAATTTTAATGAACAATTACATTCACAAAATGATCTTAGTAAAATACCTTTAGTAAGCGTTGCAGGTTTATTCCCGGCGACCACCAACGGCGGTGGCTGACCGCTAACTAACTTCTCTGCACTCATTTGAATTAAATTTCCTGTACACCAAAAAATATACAAAATTAATATATTATTCTAAAAAATAGATACAAATTAAAAAATCATGTATACAGAAATTTATTATTAACTAGCATTGCCCGCGGCTCCGCCCGCGTTCAGATGACCAAAAACTAAATTCTTAGGTGTTACATATTAGTATACTCTTACATTGCAGTTTTTGTATTTTTCCTCAGAAATAAGATATTTTCCCGCGGTAAAAAGTATCCTAGGATCGCGCGCTACATCGCCCGGTTTATATAGCTTGAGCAGGCGGTCGAGCGATGCGGGGCAGAGGGGATGGACTCGCCGTAGGCATCTCAATGCTCGCCAAGCATTAAAAATGTTTCGCTACTAATTACTTCTAACAACGATATCTCAAAAACTATTCATCTGATTGATTTAGTGTAAAGAGCAATTTTAATCTGCATTAAATGACTAAGCTAACTAAAATATTCATTTGGATAAGGATTAATACCGAACTAAAGAAAATAACTTTGAAAATAACGTAATGTTTTTAATTAAAAATGTTAACATAAAAGTGGTTATTGTAAGTCAACCGTAAGAGATAGAGATATGCTATCGCGGACTTTTTTGTAGCATTTTTATAGATTTTGAATTCTCTAGTACATTACTTAACTGTATCTTTGCTAGTTTACGCGGCGTTCGCGTGGAAAGTTCCCATTTGGCGAGATTTTTTGCGACCTCTTCAACATTTGTCGCCGTATTTCAGCTAATTTACATAAAAGCATAATAAATTATATACCTAAACCTTCCTCAAGAATTACTCTTTCTATTGTTGAAAACCGTATAAAAATCCGTTCAGTAGTTTTCGAGTTTATCGCGTACAGACAGACAGGAGGACAGACAGGAGGACAGAAAGACGCGGCCGGGGGACTTATTTTTATAATAAGTATAGATAATACAATTACATAAGACTTATTGTGTAGGATCGATCCCATGTTGTCTCATGTACACTATATTAAAAACTTAAATATTATGAACACCTTTATTGTCTGCCAACATGAAGGTTTTAGACGGTACGGCAACTAAGGATTTAGGCGCAGGCTTTGATGTCGCAGAATTCGTGATAAGACGGAAGTACTGAACCTAGAAACAAGCAGTAGTATTAATGTTAGTTAAAAGTTTTTCATTACATATAGGTATTTTATATTTCTGCTTTGTTATATAATCTACGTATGTCTTTCGTTTCACTCTTATTAATAAAGGTCATTTTAAATTTGATTTACTTTTTGAAGTTTTTTTAATTTGAATCAATTTTTTATACTTTTTTTTATCAAAAAAATTTTATTTAAAAAATACATTTCATTATTGCTAGCCAATTGATATTTACTTACGCCTTTCCCTGGAACATTTATTTCATGGAGTTGTGTGCGTTGTCCATCAACTACCATGTTGCCGTCTTTTATTCCCTGTAAGCACATATTTTGCCATTAGTATCATTTAAGTAAAAAATATATGTGATTTTACTTTCGTTATCAATTCAGAAAGTACTATTTAGAATAAAGGTCTTATATACTCTTAATATTTTCTTAAAGATATACATTTTTTACACAGACCAGTAAAACATATAAACATTTATCATCAACATTACAATGTCAACAAAAATTTGCTCCGCGCGGGAATCAAACAGGCAATAATAAAAGGAACTTACTTGTTTAGTCGGCGCGGGTACTTTGAGAATAACATTCTGTGAAGAGTTGGCTGGAATAACCACTTTCTGTTTCCCCGCACTACTGGATGATGCATCTGTTAAATTATGGAACTTTCATTACACATTGTGGTAAAGATGCTAAAGTGGCATTATAAAATCATCTATAAAAAATAATTCTCCATTCAAATTAATAAAATTTAAGAGTCTGTAATGTCAAAATAACAGCTTTTTATTTAATACATGTGAAAGTATATATGGTACTAATAGAAAAAAACATTTTTTTAAATTTGCGTTTATCAAATATACAACAAATAAATCATGTGGTGTAATATATCGAGTATCTATTAAACAGCTGTCTCGGAGAACTATATTTTTTTAATGATTAATATATTAACTATTTAAATTATTGTGATTTTCGTAATTATTTTATTGCTTTTTAGAACGATTTTTTATTAGATTTTTCAAACAGATGTAACCCTTACTTAGAGCTGGTGCAGGCATTAATTTATGTGTTGGTGACTTAATGGAGATGATCTCTTGTTTTTTTGCCAGCTTCAATCCTTGTTTTGATGGTGTTGCAAGTAAAACCTAATAAAAATAAAATAAGAGATAAGAATTAAAAATAAAATTAGTTTTTTGTAATAATATAGTAATAGTGTAAAATTAAAACTGTTATTATATATTATTAATGATATACATGATACATCTATATTCTATACATATAATTAAATTCTAACTAAGTCAAACCTGTACATTAAATATTTCTTGGAAAATCTTATTGAAATAGCATTATTACCGATGCAGAGGTCGTCTGTCTGTCTGTTACCGCATCACGGAAAAACCACTGGAAGGATTTTGATGAAATTTGGTATGATGATAGCTGGTTATCTGGGTAATATATAGGATACTTTTTACTGTGGGGAAAATATTTCACCTCTAAGAAATCTATACTAAGCATTAAAACATTCCTAAGGACGAACCCGAGTGGAGTGAGGGTGAGTTGCTAGCCCTTGATATATCCATATATAATTTATTATTTCATCCAGAATATTAATTATTATTATAAAAAGAAAATTTAAATATTTTTTTTTAAATCCATTCACAATTGATGGGAATAAATTTATGACATATAAAAAAAAAGCAAAAAACTCTTCTTTTTTTCAAATTATTATATTTTTAAATGTCTTTTAAACTAATATTATTCTATGAACGCTTACCTTATTGGCAAGGGATATGGGCATCGTCTTCTGCTGCATGGTGACCAAGCGCGGGCCTTTGCCGCCAACCAGCTTGGTGATGACAGCGGATTGCTGCGAGCTCAGCTGCGGCTGACCTGGCGTCAATCCATACTAATATTATAAATGTGCGAGTGTGTTCTTTTTTTTGTGAATTATCCTACTTTTAAACTTAAAAAAATCGGACAAGTGCGAGTCTAGTAGCCCAGGCTCCATAGCATGAAACATTTTTGTTTTGTTTTAAAACACTAATTTGTTAAGTGAAAAGTACGATTTGCATTTTATTGACAGCATAATGTTTTTCTTACAGATCTATTATTCTTCTTTCTAAGTGTGTTAAAAAATGTGTTAGGAAAACCATCACTATATATTATAATGGCCTCCTTCTTCTTACAGGCAATTATAAATTACTAACACTTAAAGTGTCATAACTTTTAGTAATGTTATTTTCATATTTTAATTTTAAAATTATTATTACCTTGTACAGCTATTAACTTCGTCAGAACTGGCTTATTCTGCGACCCACCGACACTCTGCGTCGCAATTAATTGAGCCTGAAAAATACAAATTTTAATCATAATCAATAAATTTAGCTAAGGGTAAATAACATATGGGACCAATTTTTATAAATAATATTTTTTATTTGTCCCAATGTATCTAAGAATAATCTTAATAGATAATTTCAATATAAGAAAAATGATGTTTAAAAACTTTTTGCTCTATAACTAAAAAGTAATTAATTAATAAAAATAATTTTAAATAAAACTATCTTTTCGGATTATTTCGTAAATAATTTAATATTTTTAATATCTGTATAGATAAATAAAATTGAAGTGCCTGTTAATGTCAAAAAAACAGCTTTTTACTATGTATATGAAATTATATATGGTAGCTTATAAGAAAAACACAATTTTAATTTTTTTGCCTGTCTGTTTGTTCCAGCTTTTCTCTGAAATGGCTGGACTGATTTTGACTTAGGCCACTTTTATTTTAAATTTTATATATATATATATATATATATATATATATATATATATATATATATATATATATATATATATATATATATATATATAAATGTTACCTGATCAGGATCTGCTCTGAGATATTGCACATTTGGCATAGAGCCAGATGCGGATACTAGTTTGATTTTTTGTGACCCAGACGAAGGTACCATTATAAGTTGTTTGCCAATTTGAGCTAAAACAAAAAAAAAATTTTATTACATAAGACAACTAAAATTTTAAATCATTTTTTTCCAAAAAAATATATTTTAAGTTTTAATAATAGAAAAATAATAATTAAAGCTACCTTGAATAATAACAAAAATTAAAAATATATCCCCTACCTACAACAGTATTCCCTTTAGAATTACTTGGTAATGCACTTATAGGTACTTTCTTTACTAAGCTGCCGCCGCCTCCTCTATTGGCTATAAATGTGACAGGTTTCGGAGCTATCGCAGGTTGTTTGTTTGGGAAGGGCTTGGCTATGAGTTTGGGAGGCTTTGGAGCAATGGCCACTTGACGTGGTGCTGTTAATAGTGCTGATTCATTCTTTTTATTTGTGCGCATCGGCGACATCGTCTGAAATTATAAAATAAGACAGTATTCAAAACCTAAGTTTATTATTATTAAATATCTAATGCTTTAATACACATAATTTTTACATATTATCTAAATAATATTAAATTTGCTCATTATTTTATGCATAAAAATGTTAAAAACTACATTTCCATAGAAAGGATGTTTATTCCATACAACTTGTGCGCACTTATTATATTCTTACCTTTCTGCTTGTTTACCAAATAATTCACCAAAATTTTATCATAATAAAAATTACCTTAACAGCAATGACTTTGTGTGGAATTGGCTCCTGTTTAATTGTATTCAATAATTGTGGCTGGAACTGTATGTCTATCATTGATTCTGCTTGACTTGATATTATTTGTTGTTGCTGCAATTATATTAAACATAACACTAGAAGTGATGATTTTGCACAATTACTAAATATTGTTTACATGTCAGCTTTACGGCAAATTATTTGCTAAAATAAATAGTAATTACTAATAAAACTACAATTAATAATTTAAAATATTGAGACTAAATTTATAATAAAAAGAAAATATGAATATTTTGCTATGATTATTTTACAATAAATACTTACGTTTGATTCAACAGTTGTCGTCAAGCCAGTAGTTTGATCACTTTGCACAGAATACTCTTGGAGGGAAAATTGATCCCCCATAAAATCTGAAACTGTCCACATTGTAAACAAAAAAAACAAATAAGCAGATGCATAAAAAACAAAAAAAAGGGTATTAAAGTTTTAATAATCTTTTCTAAATTAGAAAGAATATATCTCATTATTAATATTAAAATGGAAAAGTTTAGATGGATGGATCTTTGTTACTCAATGACGCCAGAAAGGCTGAACAGTTCTGGATGAAATTTGGCAAAAAGATAGATTATAATCTGGAATAGCACATAGGTTACTTTTTATGCAGGAAAATATACGGTTCCTGTGGAATAGATCTGTTTTTGATTTTCACCAGGGGCAAACCCGACAGATGCGAGGGTCAGTCGCTAGTATGTTAAACATATAATAAGATATATGTTATACATGTAGACAACTCATATATTGTAGATATATGCAATATGATACTAAAGCAATATGTATACTGACCAATAATTTCTTCACTACCAGTGTCCATGAGAATCGGTTGTTCTTCATTATGTTCAAATTCCATTGGAATACTTTCCTCATGACCAGAATATTCCAAAGTTATATCATTTTGGTTCACTATAGCATCTTCAGAATGCTCAAAATCAACCTATTTTTAAGAGAGAATACTACATTATAATATATAAAACTTTTTCATATTACTGAATAACATTATCAATACAATTCATGTAATAAAACCCTAATAACATTTAGAGTTTATAGACATGTAAACATAAAATTCATATTTTACAAATCCTAAGAGAAATATATTTTTTAAATAGCTGAGATAAAACCATAATATTATAACAAAATAGACTCAAAAAAAAATCTTGTATTATACAAATATTTACCCCCATAGCACTCTCTAAGTTCAAAGAGTCATCTAAGTTGTTATCCATGTTGTTAACCAGTTGTTTTCCACTATAATAAAAGTTTTATAGGGCTTCTTTGATATATTTATGCAATAAAAGCATTAAAAAACATTACATTTTTGAGTTCAAAAGAGGCCGCCATTTTAACTTGTCAAATAATCCCAGCCTCTCCCGCAGGTCGCCACGGTTAAAAACAAATTGTCAGAAGCAAAAAAACACTTTACCACATAAATTAATAACTATAGCTTTAAATTTTTGACTTGAAATAATAGTTAAAATACATTATATGCGTTTGCACTAAAAATAACATTGCATAATTTTATTTATTTTAAACAATAACTCAAAAATCACATAAAATTATATGGCGCTTGTTTTAATTTTGTACATATGTCAAATTACAGTGTCAGACATCCAACATAAAAATATTAAATTCTATACGTCTATGGATATAATACGCCATGTTCAAGTTAATACTTGTTACATTTTCGAAATAAAAAATGAAGTGATCTTATTTATTTATTTTTTACAAAAAAATTTTTGGTAGGAAGGTAATTGTAATTTTATTATTTATTTATTTATATATATTGTTACAAAAACTTAAATCCAGGCCTAAAAAGGAAGCTCCTTCTTTTTGAACGTGTCGGTTAAAATTTTCATGAATTCTGCACTTTAATAATTATGAAATATGAAAACATGCGTAGAAACGACAAAATAATTGGTGTCATGCTACAAACAAAAAGAAATAAAAAGTTAAGACATCAATGCAGTATATATCTATACTCTTTGCATCAATGTCCATTGTCATATTTGACAACTGCAAATTATAGAAAACTATTTTCGGTTCAATTGATTGTTTTCATATTTGAGTATAAGCGAAGTGGTAAAATAACAATAATGCTTATTAATTTGCAGAGTGTTCGTCAGTATTTAACTGAACTTCGAAATTCAGGAGGATTACATAAAGACCAAGCCGAAAAGTAACAATGAATTACAACTTATGAAAATGGATATTGGGGATAACCAATATGCATGCATGTAACAACTTGTTTCTTGTTCCAGGTACCGTAATGTATTGCTAGAGATACTGAAACACCCAGAAGGTGAACTCGCAGAATGTCTAAAAGCATTTGTAGAAGCAAGTATGTTATATCAAATACAAATCAATCCTGTTTTCATATAAAACTTTTATTAAAGTAATTGGAGCTCAAGTACAATATTACTATTATTTTAAATGTTAATGGTTTTTAAAATAATGTGAAAAATGTAATTTAGTATTAGTATTTATTTTATTAATATATTTATTTATTATTTTTTGGTAAAAATGATTAATAGCTAAATTACTAATTTTAGTTGTTAATGAAAATGTGAGCCTGGTAATATCCCGTCATCTTCTCACTGATGTCAGTACACATTTAGCTTTATTACCGGACAATGTTTCGCAAGAAGTATCACACTTTGCTTTGGATGTGATTCAACCAAGGGTCATATCTTTTGAAGAACAGGTAAACATGCAATATGATTAAAACTGTTTTTATGAGCATTTAGTTGTCATACTTGTATGAAAATTGTCTTAAATGTATTTTAAGTTTGTGTTTATATCTGATGATTACTTAATATTTAATTACAGGTTGCTAGCATTAGACAACATTTGGCTGACATATATGAACGCAATCAAAATTGGAAAGAAGCTGCCAATGTTCTAGTTGGTATTCCACTGGAGACAGGACAAAAGTATAAATTCTTTAAAATTTATAACATATTTTGGAAACATGATGAATAATAATACATTACTAATTATTTTTTATTAAATATTATTAGATAAAATGAAAAAAAAAACAGATTAATATAAGTAGTTATAGTGAAAAAATGATTATATTACTAAAAGTGTTATTACTTTATGTTTAAGCTTTTTGTTCTATTTTTTTCAGACAATATACAGTAGATTATAAATTAGAAACATATTTAAAGATAGCAAGACTGTATTTAGAAGTTGATGATCCTGTGCAAGCTGAGGCATATGTGAATAGAGCCTCCTTATTGCAAGCAGAGACTACCAACGAACAACTGCAAATATATTACAAAGTTTGCTATGCCAGAGTTTTAGATTATAGGAGGTATGACTAATAAAAAATATATTATTATCTATATATCTAAATGATAGTATATTAACTACAGTATGCAGATTTTGTTCACAATTTCATGGGTTTTAAGTTTTTTGCACAGAACCCAAATTCTTTTTCTACCCTAAGTTACTCCTTATAACATCTTTTATCTGCCAGTGAAATTCCCTTTAAATGTCCAGCCATTAAGGAAATTAGCCAGAACAAACAGACAAGAGAAAAAATTGAAAAATTGTTTTTTTCTTATTAGTACCATATATTTTCATATTATGCATTTAGTAAAAAGCTAATATTGTGACATTACAAACAGACACTTCAATTTCATTTATTTGTATAAATAAGGAACTATCCTTTATGCAAGTTTCATTGAAGATCTTTTAATGTTAGTTTGGCTAAGGCTGATAAATTTAAATATTGAAAAATCATCAAATTTATTTAAAGTGATAGATTTTATGGGAAATTAAAATTGGAAGAAAGCATTACATTTTTATATTAATTTCTGATAAAATATTAATTATTTGGATTTACTAATGATGTACTTTTTTTTTAAATACATTTATCCCAATTTTATTTATAAACAACTGACTCTTGATATTAATAACTATTGTGTTCTTTAATTTATATATTTTATTTGAATTTCTAAAGGAAATTCATAGAAGCAGCACAGAGGTATAATGAATTATCATACAGAAATATAATACATGAGGATGAGAGGATGACTTGTTTAAGAAATGCACTTATTTGCACAGTTCTAGCTTCTGCAGGTAATGTATAATAATCTACAGTCCCCAACAAGATTTTTTAATGACGAATAACAAGCAAAAATTTCATGAGTAGCTTCGACAAATAAAATATTACCATGCGGAGGATGAATATCCGAGCGTAGGACTGAGAAATCCTACCATTTTATTTGTACGACGATTTGATCATTCAATTATGCGTATTTTTAATAGTACAAGTTTTACAAAACAATCTTCTAGAACGCCTTGTTGTAATAGCTGCTTGATCTGAATTGACATTTCTGGCGTATGAGCGGTCTCGAACCGCTTCATCATTCTTATTGAAGGAAGAATGAGTGGTGGCTTGGAGGTAAATGGCAGACGCATTCCCGTAATCAATTCGAGAAGGGCTTTCGGAGCCCGAAGCATCTGCCACTGTCTCAGATACGCTCTGAGACAGTAAAATGTTTGGCGAATTGGTTGCGAGTCATAATATATTATTATAAAAATGAACTGGTCATCAATAAATTTTATAACGTTGTTTTTTTAACAAGTTCTGAGAGAGGGACGATTTAATCCAAACCATCTGTATTGTAGGACAACATTATGTCTGTGTTATGTTAGGTTATTGCAGGTTTATATTATGTTTATATATGTTAGTAATAAATTTTATACAATCAGCATTTCGACATGTTCCATATCAATCCACAATTGTATCTATGATCTGCCACTATCAAATTTTCGTAGAAAGAAAAGGTGGGCGTCTCGTCAAGACGAAGCTACTCGTGAAGTTTTAGCTTGTTATTAATTATTAAAAAAAACCCCTTTGGGGACTGTAGACTATAAGAATTATCTTATATTGATTCCATAATTAATTGTTGTAGGTACTTGTAAAAAGAAAATTTTCCTTAACATATCTCTATTGTCATGTATTGTTTAGAAAGAGCAAGAAAACCTTTCTAAAATAAATAACCCACAATTTATGTAAAGAGTTTAAAGTCCCGTATGTCACTTAATACCTCAATATAAAACCTTAATGCAATAATAGAACATTACTGTATTAGTTAAGGTATTATATTATTAGATAATTGATAAAATCTTAAACTAACAAGCTCTCACATTTGTAATATTAGTAAATTTTACGTTTACAGGACAGCAAAGATCTCGAATGTTAGCAACTTTATTTAAAGATGAGCGTTGTCAGCAACTGCCAGCGTACTCTATACTAGAAAAGATGTACCTCGATCGGATCATTCGTCGCTCTGAGCTACATGAGTTTGAAGCTTTGATGCAAACTCACCAGAAGGTACATTAAAGTCTTGAACATAAATAATTTTATTTATTTTTGTATTACTATTTTTGATTTTATTTATTTACTGTAAGAAGGATTCAATTCAATTTTCTTGTTCATGGCTTCAAAACGTGCCAGTTGAGCACAGATTACCTCTTCAATATCATATAGAATAGAAAGACTTCTGTAGGAGAATTCAATTAAATTCTTTGTTCTATGGCTTAAAGGTGTGCCATTTGGGCACAGTTTACTTCACCCTGTTTACAGTATGTATATATGTATGTATGTGTGCAGGCAACGACCTCGGACGGGTCGTCGATCCTGGACCGCGCGGTGTTCGAGCACAACCTGCTGTCGGCCAGCAAGCTGTACAACAACATCACGTTCGAGGAGCTCGGCGCGCTGCTGGAGACGCCGCCGGCGCGCGCCGAGCGCATCGCCTCGCACATGATCAGCGAGCAGCGCATGAACGGGTACATCGATCAGATCAGCGCTGTGGTGCATTTTGAGAGTGAGTATTCTGCACATTAATTGAAGTGAAACTTATAGCCGTGCCATAAGAGGGAAAAAAACGATTTTTGTAACAGAAACGGTTATGCTTAGTTACGGAAGTGAAACTTCTTTTTTAAACTAACGTATGAATATTTCAAAGAATAACTAAAAATAGATGTTTATAAGAAAATACTTCTTTCTAGTATTTTTAATGAGCCATGGAAACATCAAATGAATATGTATTGTTAAACATTATGGTCACAAGTTAAATATGCATTTACATTTAAATTCCAAGAAGGTTCGTTACTAGAATATGCCACGAAAAAGGAAAGGCTATTACTAGAGGTAAATCAAGACAGAAACAACAGAAGAGAAGAAATATTAAAAAAAAAATTAATATTATATTTTATATTTTTCTTATGGTTATAAATATAATAATGGCAACACTAAATATAGATTACTAATTAATATTTTTTAAATTGTAATAATTATAAAAATAATAGCAAAAATTAAATAAATAATTTTCCATATTCAATTATAATTAAAATTATAAAAATATTTAAAGTTAAAATATTGTAATGTAATTGGTGCAATTTTCATTTTGTTAATTGTGGGTAGGCTGTCTGTAACAACTATATCTTTAAGACATGTAACACCTCAGTCTCTCCCGTGACCATGGATGCTGTAAAGCATTCGAAACGTCGGGAAAAAAAAATACAAATAAATCCGCGACAAAATCCGAAAAGATAGTTTTATTTAAAATGTCAAATATTCGCGTAAATCTAAAAAAGTATTATAGGTAAACCTTTCACAGTTTATTCAGACCACAAACCGTTGGAGAATTTAAATATTAAGTCTAGAACAGATGAAGAATTGGGAGAATTAGTATATTATCTGTCACAATATGACTTTAAAATAAAATATGCCCCAGGAAGAGAAAATTTAGAGGCAGATTGTTTAAAAAGATTTATTTTAAGCGTAAGTTTACAACAACAAACAACCTTTATACTATAAATTACTATCTTACCTGAAGTACAAAGAAACGACATTTAAAGTTATTAACCAGGTTTGTCGATTCCTTTTCACAAATTAAATTAATTAAAGTATTATAACTTCAGAATTAAAAATGTTTTTATCATGACACCTATCCATCTGACAGCGCCACAATTCAAATTCAATATAAAAGGATTAGAATAGTAACATATTAAAGAGATCTTATTTCTTTACATATATTTTTTTATCATTTAATCTACCAGAAACGTATGTAAAAAGATTAATCTCACATAATTACGAATTAAGTGTTTTTGTAAAAATGCAAACATATTCGTTTTTCGATTTCGCTTTATTATGAGTATAAAGCATAATTTATTTTTCCAGCTCGTGAAATCCTACCGCAATGGGACAAGCAAATTCAAAGCCTGTGCTACCAGGTCAACGGTCTCATAGAGAAGATCGCGGCCGCCGAGCCCGAGTGGATGGCCAAGCTCATGGAGGAAGAAATGATCCAGTAGATTGAGCTAAGAACTGTGTATCTCTTAATATATAATTAGTACATTACCATTAAAGGTTTTTTGATTAAATTATGTTTTTATCTTTTTATTATAATAACTATAATAACAATACTTCTGTGAAAATGTAAAAAAAAATGGTGATGTTAATAAATGGTTATTTCTTGGGCACACTAGATTTAATAATAACAGTCTAGGTCTACTAATCTATGGTCGTCTAGACGAGACGGAACATGCAGGGTACTCAAAATCGTATGTCATAATTAGGTATGCAGTGCGATGCCAACATAATAGCGACTTACTCTGTTTTCCAATTACAGAACATAATGCCGTACTTTTGCCGAAACACGAACAACGCAAAAAAACACTTCTTATATTTGCTGGTCTAAATCTGCTAATGGTAACCGTTGCGCGCATCACGCCAAGTCAGTACTTTTCAAAGTGCTCGATTGTGCGTAGCGTTGCTGTAGTTGAGAAATTCTAAGTTGAGCATTATGGCGCAAAATGCGCTTTAGTGCAGTAATTGGAAAACACCCGGACATGAGCTGCGAGTGCAGGTACGCGCAGCGTCTCGTCCCCATGCGCTCCGCTGATACTTAATTTTCCGTTCTGCACATCGTAACCATCGGGCCTTATCACGAACAAAGAAATAGTAGTTCAAATAAATGTCAATAGATGACGTTACATGTACCGATTTGTTATTAAAGTTGTGTTAAATTAACAAAAAATAAAAAATAGATCCCATAATGGTGTATTATTTTTTTAAAAAATATTCTAAGTGAAGGGAAACGAATTATTGCACTTGAATCAAAATTAAATCAAATTTGCGAAATTTTACTGATTATTGAAATATCAGCAATCAGATGATGGGATTGTAGTGTATATTTACAGATGGCGCTTTTACTTTTTTTGAAATGTTTATCACGGTTAAAATCACTGATTTGTTTTTATTCGAATGCAGGATGAATTTTGCAATATTTAACGTACGTTAGTTTGCACATATTTATAAATAACAACACTTTAACTATTTGCGAATCAACATTTGTTTTCTAATCAAGCTAACAAAAATAGCCCGAATTGGCGCTGTCCATTTTCTTTGTATGGGAAGGGCATCTGTACTAGTATAGTATTTTGTGATCTGTGTGGGAACGTACGGTGTTGAGAGCCGCCAACAAGTTTGAATCGTATCGGTACTTAATACTTTTGTGACAGTTGGGAAGACTATAGGTTCGACAGATAACACTAACTTACCACAAGATGGCACTACAGCTCTTTAACTTCGAAAGGTTCACCCTCAAAATTGGTATTTTTAGACAACACTTGCATTTGACAGCGTTTCTGTTATAATCAATGGGCGATACCTACGATGTTGATTTAGTTACCGCCATATATTTTGAGTAAAATGTGACTTAATGGAAAAAAAACCGCATTGCGGGATACAAGTGCCCACCGATTGACCAACCATGCACACTCGTGCTTTCCAATTCAATATTTAAGGGCGCACCGAGACAGCGAAACGTAATTACGAAATAATTTCGCGTTATAGCGTTCGTTTGATCCCTTGCTGTATTGTCATTACTAAAACTTTAATTATGCAACTAATATGTAGGATATTTAAGGATTTATTTTATAAATTGTACACTTAAGAAACACGATTACTTGTAGTTTCCCCGATAGAAAAAAAATTCCAAAACGATATCTAAAAAACAAAATAAACCCTTAGTGTGGCGTAAATAATTCAAGGAAGTTAATGACTTTTTTAATAATAACAAAACTATGTTTTTTATAACGTATACACTTTACATTTTCAAAATGTGTATTGTGAACGCCATACCCCAACCCTGCCCGCTTTCGTCCTACTAAAATCAATTAGCACCAAAAGCTTGTGCCTCCTTAAAAAACATAAGTCAATTTTACAGGATTTTTGTCCATCAGTATACCTGAACATACAGTTCTAATTCGTCATCATTGAGATGATTCGAACGTCATTAAATTCATAAGAAGATAGTTCTTTTTATAATTCAGTACATACGCCAAACTAGGGATATAAAATTATTAAGTTGTCCGCTTCAATACGAAATTCATAACTCCGCGGTCGTTGAGGGATTAATAATAGACGATAAAACTTCATCATCAAAATAAAAATTAAATTAAGAGATCCTACAATAAATATAATTTTTTTAAAATATGTAATCCTCCAGGACCTTTGATGCCAGGTCCTTTATACCCTCCGTGGTCTGTCATCTGCCAGACCATGATTACAGTAATATAATTTCTTTACAGACAAAAGTCAAAAAGTCCAAAAAAGTATATATTTCTTTTGAATAAACTCACAATTCTATAGTACAATATTAAAATAATTGTATAATAACTATAAAGTAAAACATGTGTATGATGTAACACATACACACAATGATGTAACAGATACAACAAAATGTTAACAGGTTTATAATAAAAAAAAAACAAACATGTTGATTCCAACAGACTATTCATTTAATTCTCAATCAATCAATAGGATACACACCATAGGTGCTTATTTACAAGATGATACAGACATTGCAAATAAGGTTAATTTAATAAAAAATATATTGCAATAGAGGGTTAAAGCGTGCCGACGTACACGAGACACTGGTAGATATGAAGGAGCTCGTCTTATATTTGATATAGTGACAACTCGCTCTGTGACTGCAGCAGACACTTGAAGGATGATTTGATTTGACATACGTTTCTCAATAATAGTAACAGTTAAAGTGGCTTTATTTATCTACAAGTCTAAAAGCCGGCGGCTCGTAAATGCCTAGGGTTCCAGCTCGAGGGCGACGCCGACCTTGTGGCCGCCGGCGTTGAAGTTCTGGCCGTCGATGGCGGCCGACAGGGTGAGGGTTACGCCTGAAACAAACATTACAATAATTTGCGTTCCAGCTCGCGCTTATGTGAAATATAATGAGATAAAAAGTAGAGTTAACCTAGGTATAGGCTATCACCATTCCAAATATTATTCAAATCTGTTACTCCGAGTCGTTGTAGTGACAAGTATTCATTACAATTCTCTTGTTAATGGCTTCAAAGCACACAAATTGAGCACAAAGAACATTGGAAACGGAACTCAAAATAATACATAATATTTATAATATTACTAAAAATTATAATTATTGTACTCTTTATAATTGAAAGCTTTATGCATGTTTCCTATTTTGGATACATTTTCAATTACAGGTTAAGCTGTTTTCCAAGAATGCATTTCATCATAGGCAAATAACTAATCTTGGTGATCTCAGTAATATTTTAGAAAAACAAAATATGAAAAGAATTTTCTATTGCACAATGCAATCATACATCATAATATGTCAACATGTGATGTTCAGATAGCAAGATAACAGTTATATGATAGAGACAATGATAATAGTAATCCTTTATTTAAATAAACTAGTTTGATGGTATGAAAAAAATATTTTAGGCAACTTTTTACAATAAATGGTTTTTTTTATAATTTAAATATTTTATTTAAAAAAGTATTTAAATGATAAAATGGTGTCTTCTTACCAATGTAATTCTTATATTTTAATATAATTATAGTTCATAAAAATATATTATAAAATCTGTATGTTTATAAATTTAATGAACAGAATAATGTACAATGTATTGGTATTAAGTATTCACAGCATTTACTCAAAGGTCTGTATGATAAACTTATATTAAACTTTTTATGTTTAACACAAAAAAGACTTACCTGGGCGCAGTTTCTGTTGGTAACCGAGTCCAATGAGCGATTTATTGTTGATCTTGGCATGAAGCGACGCATCCTGGTCAAGTGCGAACTTGGCACCAACACCAAAGAGGGTGTCGGAGGAGCCGGATGTCCATTTCATGCTGACTCCACAGTCCAACTTGTCTGATACCTTCTGGTAAATGGAGCCTCCGAAATCCTTGCCATTGTCACTATAGAAATAATTTAATATTATTTTGAGTTTTTTGTTTGTGTACATTTAAAATAATTATTTATGTAAACATTTAATTTATGATTCATTTTTAATTTAAGCAAGCACTAGAACAACAATGCAATAGAGCCAATATTGCATATAATACTAAATAATTAAGTTAATCATTATATATTAAGCTTCACAAACTTATTTGTAGTAATTTTGTTTCATTAAATTTTTCCATTAAATTATCTTAGTAAAAATAAGTGGGTTTTATTTTACCAATAACAAGAACACTTTTCTTAACTACTTTTAGTCAGTTTTAACCAAACAAGTTTGCTAAATTGCCATAGCATTATGTAACTTTAGAAAATCAATACACACAACTCAACTACTGCATTGTCTCTGTTACTATGTCAATGATAATAGTTGTCTTTATTGTAATGCATATGAATTTAATACCTTTATGGAGTCATTTTTAGGAACTTTTACACTTTGTAACTGGATATGCTTTCAAACATGAAACAGTCTTTATTATATTTTGCAACTTAAATTATTAATTTCTTTACTACATTTTTAATTTTACCAACTAATTTTACCTAAAAACTATAACTCTCATGATGAACTCAAATAAATATAAGGAAATAACTTACACATTGGTATGCAGAGCGAAGTCATTGGTCTGGTAGCCAAAGGCAAAGTTGTTCTTGGAGAACTTCGCCTTTTGTGTGTCAAATTGTGTGTGCACACCAGCTAGCCATCCTTGGTACTTAAGCACTGCAGCAACATCGACAATGGGTCCTGCCAAGTCGAGGTCCAAGTTGGTATTAATAGCTACTGTTTCATTGGAGAATTGGGTCTTCAGTTTTCCAGACTTGCTTCTATAGAATGAAACAACATATTTATATTTAACATAAGTTGTAAGTAGTAACTAGTACATCAGCAGTACAGTTACATTTATAAGAAATTTCATAGCTCATCCTGTAAATTTGTATTATGCTAAGCACAATTTTAAGTATAATTTACCCAGTCTGTGGTGCAAAGGTTCCCTCAAGTGTAACCTTAAGTCCAGCTGCAATCTTATCCTGAATAGTAATGTCTGTGGCCAGTGTATTGTCAGTGTTCCACTTTTCTGTAAATGTTAGGCCATAGTCTTTCACAGCATATTTAGATGAAAGGCTACCAAAGACCTGTAAACACGCAAAATTCAACAAACTGAAATAAATATTACTAGACTCGTCACACATATCATTGGCTTATTTCATTATCCTGCTAAATACATTTCTGCATAGTTTACAAGACATAGAAAAAAACGAATGGTTCCTATAACTTTCCTTGATTTTTCTAAATTTTTTTCATTTATATTGTCAATATTCCTTTAACATAATGTAGGTAATCGTCTGAACTTTTTGACAGGCATAAAAGGTAAAATTGCTCAAAAAAGGACTTAGCAGATTATCAAATTAGGACAACAATATATAATTCATTTTAACTTATGTTAATGTTAATTTATACCACAAAGAAAAAATGTCATGACTATGTATTGTATTATATGTATTTATTTCTAGCTTCATCTACCTTTCCACTTTCTTGGTTGGAGGTAATGCCACTGCTGAACTCAACTCCAGACTCGCTCTTGGTCTTGAGGTCAAGTTTGAAAACTCCGAAATGGTAGCCCTTAGAGAAGACATCACTGGCCTTCTTTCCAAGATCAGCATAGTATGGGGGAGCCATTTCCTGTTAAAATTATGTATATATATTTTTTAATATGTATATAATTTAAATAAAGTATGCGCAAGACTTTAGCGTTACGAGTACATTTTCGGGCAATGAACTTTGCTTTTATGATAATCTTATTAAAGCTTTTTTTGTAACGTTATCCTTTATTAAACCATATCATATCGATAATCAACAAAGATGTGCATAAAAATTAGAACATCGTGCCAGATGTGTCAGGGTTGATAAATTTTGCAATAAACTATTTACAAGCCATATTACCGCGACAGTATTACATAACATTCAAGGATTTTATCTAAGCCAAAAGGTAAATCCTTGTTAAATACCTACTTGTACGTTAATATTCTATTACAACGGTAAACCACAATTTGTACGGTGACCGTAAACTTGACCTTTGCTTTTAAAAGATACTAAAATAAGTTCCAAAGGCGAAAATCACATGCGAAAGAGTACTTTACAATTATTATAAAAGAATCATTATTTTGTGACATTTAAGAATAAATGTAAGGAGATGTGGAGAAAATAGATGTTTTCAAAGCTATTCTATTGGTTTGTTACAGTATTTTCTATAAAATAATTAATAAATCACATGTATGACGTAGATACTTCCCCGGCTAATGCTACGTTTGTAACCTAATAAGAAATTGTAATATTACACTCCTACTTGAGGTATATAGTACAATTAAATCCTACATACTTACTGTATATTATAATTATTCACTAACTGAAATAAGATACGCAGAATTCAGAGAATTCTTGGCAGTAACTCCTGCACTTCAGTAGTATATAAGTGTATAATCTATGACTTCAGTCTTCACCACAAGACAATTCCGTTTTCCCAAAGTAACAGCAAGAGGGCGTTAACACCGGATTGCGGATATAACGTTATTGATGTAACGAATAATGCTTTTTTTACTTAAATGATAAAATTTACGCACTATTTAATAATATGTTACTTAAAATATATTTGTAAATTATAATAAATAATTTCATATTATTATTTAATAGATATTTCCTAAAAATATAATATGAATAAAAATAAGAAAGAATTTGATTTTCTCTTCTGGTATAAAACTGTGACAGCCCATACAGATGATATAAAAACAATAATCATTTTAATTTAAAAAAAAATTAAAATACTAACTATAATTTATTACGTAGTATAAAATATTTAATAAAATTCTATCGTTTTATTAGTGGATATCTTTCAATTACACACTTGTAATTGAAAGTGATTAGTAGTAAAAATGAAAAATATTATGGCGCCAAATTTAAATTACACAGTTCACAGTTCATTATATTGGATTTTTATAAATAATATAAAATACACATCTCCTACATTTGATAAATGTACTTACATTTCTACATTTGTATGATAGACTTAGCAAATATTTTGTAAATAAAACTAACCGGGCAACATAATATTTTGTTTGAATAAAGCTCATTTTCTTTATCTTCATTTTTTTCTTGTTCACATGGGCAATCAATGCGATGACCAGACTCATCTTTGCATATTACCATTTGACCCATTGAACCATCCTGAAAAAAAAGTAATAGATATTTTACGATGAAAGACACAGATCAGCAACAACAATAATATACAACGACATTGTAACTTTTTCACATTTATCGTTTAATAATTGAAGAAAATTACACAAAAGACTTACGGATCGAAGACATGGCACTGTTTCTTTGATAATTGCGGCTTTAACTATGGGAAATTTAAGACATTTTAAGAAAATATTAACATACACATTTCTCAAGTCAAAAAACTCGCTAAAAATAAACATAACTAGGAAAAACTCATTAATAAAATAGTAAATTTCTAATATTTTACTAAAACATTAATTTTATAAGTCTAGATTACTAGAAAATTTGAATTATACAAATCTATGCGGTCTATAAATCTTTTTACTCACTGTAGGTATATTTTAACGATGTACAACATGTAAGTAACATTATGATCTCTAGATTTAATCTGATAAAATGGTCAATGAATTGCGTAGGAACCGCTTTATTTACTATTTTATGTACACAATCTATACATAAAATAAAATTCTAACTAAGCCGAATCTGTACATATACTTCATATTTTTGGAAAATCTTATTGAAGTAGACTTCTTCATCGATACAGATTACAGAGGCTGAATCTATAGTTTTTAGAATTTTTGTCTATCTGTTACCGCATTGCATCACGGGAAAACCACTGGATAGATTTTGATGAAATTTGGTATGATGATAGCTGGTTCTCCGGGTTAACATATAGGATACTTTTTACTGCAAGAATGGATGATATATTTCTCATCTCTGAGAAATCTATACTAAACGTCAAAACATAAGTAGGGACGAACCCGAGCGAAGCGAGGGTATATAGGTCTATAATAAGTTGCTGATAATAATGTTTTGGCTTGTCGCTCTTATCTGACATGATAGGTTTATTAATCGAACACAATATTTATGCTGCCCTTTATTAAACTTCCTATGTATATAGAATATTATCTTAATAATTAAATGAATTGTGTAATTAGTGATTAAATTAGATATATTTTTAGATAAATGAAATCAGTTTTTTTTTTAGATATTTATTAATAATTAATTAGCTAGATACTTTCTTTAGAAGAAGGTATTCATTAATTACATATAATATAAATAAATACTAAATGGGCCGTGTTTTATAGCCATCTCCATAAGTTTCGAGACGATTAACCTGAAGATTTTTTTAACAGCTCGTCGAGCCTACCGTCCAGACATCGAGGATCGACGATCGACTCGATAGACGGCTCGACGCACGGCTCGATGAGCGGCTCGGTGGACGTCATGACGAGCGGCTCGACGGACGGCTCTACGACTCTCTACTTAATGTTCGTCCCTAAAAGTATCATATCCCTCCCAGGGTCTTAAACTATCTTCTTACCAAATTTCATCTAAATTGGTTTAGTAGATCCAGAGATTATCCCCTACAACCTCACAAACTTTACCTCTTTATAATATCAGTAGGTATAGATTAGGCACATAGATATTCCTAATTTTAAATGTAAGTATTCATAAATCTTAACTATTAATTTGTCATATCGGCGTAGATCTTAATGTGCATGCTTGGTAAGTACCTGCATGTAAACATAAAAAAGAATATACCAATTTACCAAAAATAACAAAATGTAAGTGCAATTACAAAAAGTAAGTATCTACCTAATGTTTATTATTCTAGAGCAGGCTCGATATGATATGTACTTATAAAATATAGACAAAGGTATTGAGTTAACCACTATTCTGTTCTAAACATGACAATATTTTTATGTCCATAAGTAATTACTGAAATCAAATCAATATCCCGCATTATAAAGTAGGTAATACATCCGTAAATGAACATCATTACAAAAATAATAACAATTGACATGCAAAAGCTCGGTACTTATAGTATGAACCGGGTAACGCTTCTCGAATGGTCGTTGGCTTATTTTAGGACAAACCAAATGTATGTGCGCTTCAATCTTCGCTCGGCATTCTCTGAGAGAGCACTTTATGCAGCGTTAATTAACATTTGCCAATTTATTATAATGGCAAATATTTGTCACTATGATGTTTTAAAAAATGAAAAGTACGGTCGATATTTAATCGCAAACAAAGATTTCGAATGTGGCGAGTTGATATTTACAGATGTACCTATTGCTGTTGGACCAAAACCAGGCAAGTATACTAGTGTACGACTGTCTCGGATTATAACACAATAAATGTGAAAATCTGAGTATGTTTGAGTTTAATTATATAATACCTCTAAAAGGAAATACACAACTTTCCTCATACAATAAAACTGAATATAATTTGTAGAAATAATAAGAAAGAAATAAAAAGCACGAATCAATGTGCCTACTAGAAAGTGCTGAATAAGTACTATCTATCCGTCCATATATTAGCAAGATCTATGGATGTTCTACTAGGCGTCTTGTCAAATTGACCAGCTATTATTGCTAAATTAAAAACTGAATATTAAATATCTCGTAGGTACTGTTTAATTATGAATGCATATATTATTAATTCAGGTTAATTTTTATGCCTATGTATTAATCAATATATAACTTTTAGATTCGCCACCGCTTTGTCTAGCATGTTACTGTCCAGTAGAAAACACGTTATGCTCACGTTGTTCTTGGCCGATATGCAGCACTGAATGTGAACAGTCACTGCAGCATTTGCCCGAATGCGAGTTATTCGCAGAAGCAAAAGTACGTTTTCAACCTGTTGAGGATTGGACTGTTTGTGTTCCTCAACTAGATTGTATAACTCCACTAAGGTCAGTTAAACCATATTTTGATTCCTAATAAAACTTAAATTGAATATATGTCTTAAAACATTCATCTCTTTAATTTAAATATGCAGATTACTGGTACTGTTAGCCTAAATCTTACTACTGCTGGACAAAGGCATGTCCTCCATGTTTCTAGACACATTTTAAACATAAATATTTTAAAGATTTAACATGCAATATATTTTTATAACAGGCTCCTAATAGCTAAAGAAAATTATCCGGAACGTTGGAAGCAGGAAGTCGAAGTAATGGAGACCCACACGGAAGAACGTAAGAAAAGACACACCTGGGAAGCAGATCAAATAAATATTGTCAACTACCTCATCGATCATTGCAAACTTGGAAAGAAATTTTCTAAAGAGTTAGTGGAACAAGTCTGTGGAATTTTAGAAGTAAGTACATAGTAATATATTTTAGTACCTACGCATATTAAAGTGTTTAGTTCAAAAGGCTAATATAATCAATTCCGATAATGAAATAATTATTTTTAGCGATATTACATAGTTTTCGTTTGTATGTTTTTGGATTAATGTTTAATAGTAATCATGTGAAAGTTGGCAAAGATCCTAATCAGAGGTGACTGAATTCTTTATGAGATATGATGTCAGTAGGTACCCTTTTAACAATTTTACAAAAACATTATACCTCCAGGTAAATTTCTAAGAAATTAATTAAATTTTTAAGAAATATATTTTTAACTGTAACGCTGGCGTGTCCGCGGTCGTTGAGCAACTGAAGCTAAACTACGAGTGTCATCTTTTATCCTATGAGAGTTATGAGAAGTGTCAAGTGAACTCGAATTCGGTAATACCTTTTTTATCCAACTGTGGGAAAGCAAAAAGGAGGGTTATGTGTTTGACCAAATGAGTGTATTATATGTGTGTATGTTCGATCGTATGTTGCCTCGTAACTTCTAAACGGCTTAGCCAATTTGAATGAATCATACGTCGTTAGATTGTCTTTGATAATGCGAATGTTGACTGCATAATACTATTTCCCGTCGTTAACTTGTTCCCTTCTTTTTAGTTCGCTTTTTACACAGTCGGTTTTTTATTTTTATTCATTCCTAGCATTGCCTGCGGCTCCGCCCGCGTTCAGATGACCAAAAACCAAATTCTTAGGTTGTATTTTTTCTCAGAAAGTTTTTGTATTTTTTCTCAGAAATGAGACATTTCCCGCGGTAAAAAGTATTCTATATGTTGACCCGGATAACCAGCTATCATCATACCAAATTTCATCAAAATCTGTCCAGTGGTTTTCTCGTAATGCGGTAACAGACATACAGACAAAAATTCTAAAAAGTATAGATTCGGACTCTATATCGATAATAATCTCTATTTCAATTAGATTTTCCAAAAAAATATTTAATGTACAGATTCGACTTAGTTACAATTTTTTTATACCTACGTAGGTATAGATTGATGTAGGTACCTACCTAATGTTTAAGAGTGGTGAATGGTGATATATATTACCTAATGGACTCTAAGTAAAAAAGAGCATGAATGATGCATCTCAAGAAACAAATATAGTAAGATTTTTATTTTGTTACATTACCAGGTAAATGCTGTAGAAATTCCTTCGCGAGGTGGTTTTAGTATACGTGCGGTGTACCCTCGTCTGGCCATTGCATCTCATAGTTGCGTACCGAACATCGTTCATACCATACTTCACAATGACTACCAGTATGTGTCGATTTCTTAATTAAATCAATCACAGATATAAAATAAAGAGTAAATGGCGGTTACATTATTTCTAAATACATAGTACTCGTAGTTTTGTAACTTATAAAAATACTGTTACAGGGTACAAGTACGAGCAGCAATATCTATAAAAACTGGAGATCCCTTGCATCTTAGTTACACTCACGTCTTGTCCCCGACTATAATCCGCAGGGAGCATTTATTAAAATCCAAATTTTTTCACTGTGATTGCCCACGGTGCGCCGATCCCATAGAGCTTGGGACACACTTAAGCACTTTAAAGTGCAATAAGTGTGACAATGGCATAATATTGTCCAGCAATCCTTTAGGTAATTTTCAAAAATTTTTAAATTGATATATGCATATATACGTCTTGTGTTACTTTTGAAGCATAACTAAATATCTAACAATACATCATTTTATTTTTCAAGATAACGATGCGCAATGGAACTGCACAGACAAGAACTGCGGGTTCAAAATATCCGGAGCTGCAATGCGCAAGATGCTAGCCGTGGTACAGGCAGAGCTAGAGCAATTAGATGCAATAGACAGTGGACCTGCTTCTATTGAAATGAGAGAAGCTACAATAAATAAAGTAGGTATATCATTTAATATTTTGTAGAAATTAGTGATCGTATTTTTAACCAACTGCGGAGAGTATTTGACTTGTATGTACGTAAATGTACGTCAAATCCTATTTTATTATTATTATTATTTTATGTAAAATTTCATATATTAAAAGTTTTTCTGATAATAAATGATGAGTATAAGGGTTAAGGTATACAGATAAGTTGCGGTGATTTCGAAATAGTTACAGATCATAAACGAAGTACTGAAGCTTTTTTCTGTCTGTTTATACACGTTAATTTCCGCAACGACTGAATTCCTGAATCCAAGAAAGTGTCTCGGGCCATTTATGTCAACTATTAGTAAGAAGCACAGACAATATAACCTATAATGTCTGTGGTAAGAAGTTAATAATAAGATAGTAAAATTTTAACTCCATTACGATATACTGACCATTGCATATGCTTCAGAATTTAAATGTAGGTAGACAACTATATATAGGTAAAATAAATTTATGAAGACTATATTTATACTATTATAGTAGCATATTAAATCTAAAGTTACGATACGTTGGTTCAGTTTGTAGTGATTCTACTTGCTGTGCCAGCGGTCACGGGTTCGAATCCCGCAGGAGGTATTTATTTGTGTGATGAGTACGAATGTTCGTACTCCAGTCATGGGTGTTTGTATTTATTATATGTATGTATTTAAAATTATATATATGTAGTGTACCAACTATCTGGTATCCATAACACAAGCCACGTAGCTTACTATGGAACTAGATGGCGCTGTGTGTTAATGTCTCAACATATTATTTAATTCAAACCGTAGCAAAAACATGACTCCGACAAAAATCAGAATTAGAAATTGGAATGATTAGTACATTTTTTGAAAACAAGAATTAAAAGTTATTCATTTACTTTCAAAAATTAATATTTTTTCAGTACAAATCAGTGTTTCATCCGCGTCATTCATTTTTGCTGAGTATAAAGCATGCCCTTGCACAACTGTATGGGCGTGTAGAGGGTTACACGATAGACGAGCTACCGGACGTGATGTTAGAACGAAAAACAGAGTTCTGCAGATTGGTTCTAAGTACGCTGGATGTGATATCTCCCGGGGACAGTAGGATGAGAGGTTCGTATGAAAACATTACTTTTGTACTAATATAATCTACCAGTAACATATGCTCGATACAGATGTAGCGAGCAGGGTGCTTAACAGTCTAGTCTGCTCTAGGTTTCGGTCAGTCTTAAAACCGTTAAAAAAGGCATTTAGCATGAAAGAGTAACAAACACACATACTTACATATCATGCACATGAAAATTTTCGTATTTATAAAACTAGTCTGATTACCTACCAAGTTGAATATAAAGAGATTACCGGCCTCTCGATTTTTTATTTGTACTTTATTCAATTATGGTGGCACGGTAGTTCATGTATTTTACAAAAATTCTTCTGTTTCTGCGTCGATTTAGGGTTCAATGTGTATACGGAAATAGGGGATCATAATATATTTTTTTTCGGGATATCACATAAGTAGTAAGGAATCTCCATACAATGTCACGATAAACACTATTTACTCGTATTAAGCCCGAAAACGCAAAACTAAAAAATATACCTACCTACTTTAATAGTAGGTACATTAATTTTAGGTATGATGTTTTACGAGCTACATGCACCTCTCATGTATTTGGCGAGAAATGAATTTGGAGCTGGTCTGATAGATCGGGACAAACTGAAAGAACGGTTACAAGAACCTTTACAATGTCTGGCCGACGCTGCCAGGATCCTTAGCAGGGAAGATCCGCAGAGCCCAGAAGGAATCACTGGTAATATTGCTTACCAGTCCATGGAGCAGTTAAAAGCAAGCTTAGAATCTCTTTAGATTGTTTGCATATCTTTAGGTAGGTACCTACCTATATATTATATCTATACTTATTATAAAAATAAGTCCCCCGGCCGCGTCTTTCTGTCCTCCTGTCTGTCCTCCTGTCTGTCCTCCTGTCTGTCTGAACGCGATAAACTCGAAAACTACTGAACGGATTTTTATACGGTTTTCAACAATAGAAAGAGTAATTCTTGAGGAAGGTTTAGGTATATAATTTATTATGCTTTTATGTAAATTAGCTGAAATACGGCGACAAATGTTGAAGAGGTCGCAAAAAATCTCGCCAAATGGGAACTTTCCACGCGAACGCCGCGTAAACTAGCAAAGATACAGTTAAGTAATGTACTAGAGAATTCAAAATCTATAAAAATGCTACAAAAAAGTCCGCGATAGCATATCTCTATCTCTTACGGTTGACTTACAATAACCACTTTTATGTTAACATTTTTAATTAAAAACATTACGTTATTTTCAAAGTTATTTTCTTTAGTTCGGTATTAATCCTTATCCAAATGAATATTTTAGTTAGCTTAGTCATTTAATGCAGATTAAAATTGCTCTTTACACTAAATCAATCAGATGAATAGTTTTTGAGATATCGTTGTTAGAAGTAATTAGTAGCGAAACATTTTTAATGCTTGGCGAGCATTGAGATGCCTACGGCGAGTCCATCCCCTCTGCCCCGCATCGCTCGACCGCCTGCTCAAGCTATATAAACCGGGCGATGTAGCGCGCGATCCTAGGATACTTTTTACCGCGGGAAAATATCTTATTTCTGAGGAAAAATACAAAAACTGCAATGTAAGAGTATACTAATATGTAACACCTAAGAATTTAGTTTTTGGTCATCTGAACGCGGGCGGAGCCGCGGGCAATGCTAGTAGATTTATAAAATATGTGGTCAGTAGGGATACAATATATAGTATATATACTAGCGACTCACCCTCGTTCCGCTCGGGTTCGTCCCCACTTACGTTTTAACGTTTAGTATAGATTTCTCAGAGATGAGATATTTTCCCGCAATAAGAAGTAGGTATCCTATATTTTAACCCAGATAACCAGCTATCATCATACCAAATTTCATCAAAATCCCTCCAGTGGTTTTTCCGTGATGCGGTAACAGACTGACAGACAGACAGACAAAAATTATAAAAACTATAGATTCGGCCTCTGTATCGATAATAAAGTCTATTTCAATAAGATTTCCAAAAAAATATTTAATGTGCAGATTCGGCTTAGTTACAATTTTATTATGTGTATAGATATAGTTTACAATATATATATATAGTATAAAATATATAGGGATATGCGTGTTTTTTATTTTTTTTATACAATAGTTTAAATCATTCCATAATTGTAAAAAAAATATCCAGCTCCAAAAAACAAAAATTTAGTATAAAATTAATTCCATATAATATACAGATACGGATTTGGCGTGCAAGGCGTGACGTCATAGTCTATGACCACATTGCAATCAACGAATGAACATTGAATGGATCTAGATTGTTAGTACCAATCGCAAAGACCAAACAACAGCGCTCTGCTATAGTAAACTTTGACGTCACATTCGGTCTGACCAATGGCGTTGCGTTTCAAGTACATATATTTTGAATTTCCCACCTATTTTTGCACTTTTTAATAATTATTTCATAAATCAAAGAAAACAAAGAGAAACAGGCATTAGGCAGGCAGGAAAAGTATGACTATAGACGACGAATATATTTTTATGTTTGGCGCGGGACGTGATGTTTTCTCGTAAGTTTATTAATTATTAACAATATAACGACTAATGCAGGAAAAGTGTTTCATTGTTTTATAAAAGATAATAAAAAAAATATTTCACCTTTATTTAAATTACACGCATATTCTAAACATAATGTATTTATCTAAGCAATTTTTTTGATTAGGTGTGTCAATCTAAACACATGTAGAAAAGACAGTTTAATCTCTTTTATAACTAAGTGTAAATAATAAAGCTTTATACTTTCAAAAGTGTTTTATTATATTCCATACATTTCATAAATACACACTAAAATTTTATTTTTTTAGGCTTCTTTATTGTCTCTTGAGATACTGGTTTCAGTTGCTGACCTATATCTTCAATATTGTCATCATTCAACGTTTGCAGTTTTATTGAAGTTTCCTCCTTTGAATTTTGAACCTATTAAAATGAAATTCATGTATCACATAGTACTATTACATTTACATAATTTATTATTTATTGAAATCACGTAATGATTATATTATCAGGTGAAATTCCTAAGCAATTAAGCATATATGAATTTATATAATATACTGAAATATATGTGTTACTTAATAAAACAGAGCCTTCAGATACTTTTTTGGTTAATCCAAATCAAGATAAATTTTATTCTTAAGAATTACGCAGAAGCAATTTGCAAATATCATAATATGTATTGTATATTAGTGTGAATTGAATAATATCTTTAAGAGGGTATTTTCTTCATTAATGTAACAACTTACAGTGGGACAATCCTTCCTCAAGTGAGTAACATCACCACATAACTTACAGCAACCACCATTTGGATATAAACCTTTTGGATTATCTGGACATTGTCTTGCTATATGACCCTGTAATGTATTTTTAATACAAATAATTTTCATTAAATTAATAAACAAAATATTTTATTTTACCAGTATTTAAAGAAAACTTAAACAACATTTTACTTCATAAATTGTTTACTGTTAGTATTAATTGTATATTTAATTAGGATTATAATTTATAATAATATTATGTGAAATATAATCAAAAAATTCTTAGAAAATAATAAAATAGTTGAGAAGATTATATATAAAAAACTTACAGACTCTTTACAGATAAAACAAGTAGCAAATCGGAATTCTTTATCCCTCTGCACTTTGCATTTAAACTGCCTGTGCTCAGTTGACCCACATTTAAAACATAGGCCATCTGCTGCATCCACCCCGGGCAAGTTTGATTTTAAATCTGGACAATCTGATAAATTGTGTCCACCCTTCCTACAATTATAACAAACTTCTCTTTTGACTCTGGCTAAAGCTTTTTCAGCTCTCCTTCTTTCCAATTTCATTGTCCTTTGCACTTCACTTTTGGGAATGCCCTTTTTTATCATATTTTTTTTCAATTCATTCAATCTTTCAGCATCTTTCTTCATAATTGGGAATCCATCATACCTTACTAGTTCTACTTCTTTGCCATTAATGATAAGTTGAAAGCTTTGGTCATTTATAGGCTTCCGTCTATTTGGTTGTTCATTTTTTTTTAATTTCTTTTTTTGCTTCTTTACAGCACCTTTATCACCAGTGTGATTGTTTTTTTTATCTGTATTATTAAAAGAACTGTTGTTAGTTTCTTTATTTTCAGTATTGGATTGATTTAATAAATTATGCATTTTATTTGCTTTTTTATGCTTATTTTTTTGCGTTGGTGTTACATCTTCTTGAGCGATATTTGCATCATCAGTTTGATTAGATTGAGAAGTATTATCAATTTCAACATCTTTACACTGAAGTTTAGAAGACTCTTTAGTCTTTTTATTTTGAGGAGAAGCTAAATTTGTTTCTGATTGTGAAACATCATTGTTCTGACATTTATTTGTTTGGTCTATTGTGGCTTTATTTTTCTTTTTCTTTTTCTTTGATTTATCAACATTACTTTCATTACATATTTCTTCCTGTGTCACATTTACACTATTTTCTTTCTTATTTTTCTTCTTCTCATTTTTATGTACTACATTTGTGTTTAGTGTTTTACTAGGTTGATCATCAGGGAATTCACACCAAGTTGCTTTTCTTTTTTGAACTCTGTGTTCTTTAAGAAAATTATTATAATTGTCGATTCGCTGTTGTTCTGCCTAAAACAATTACATACGACATAATATTGATATTTACTTTTTATCTAAATATGACATGCCAACTTAGCATTGACTTGAATTTTTTCAGGAATTTATATCTATAGGACTACACTTACAAATAATATATAAGCTACCACTGTATAAGCTATTTTAACTGGCAAAGACTTCATTCACACAACATACAGCCTAATTGAGTACCTCCTCCTCTTAGAAATTGGTCAATAAACTGACAGTGTCTACAAAGGTCCTAAGTACCTAATTTTCTTCTGCAGCGCATGTTTGTTTTAGCACGGTTAGTTAAGATAATGTGCAACGTCACACTATCATTTGATAAATAATGTTTCTGTGATTATTTAGTGCAAAATAGTACAAGAATCAAAAGTTAATCACTTTTAAATGTATGTAAAATTTGAAGCTGAAATTACTTAAATAACAACATACCTCCTCTCGCTTTTTCGATTCTTCGTTATCTTGCTTTGCTTTCAGCATATGTTCTTTCATCACCTCCCATGGGGTACTATCTTCAGGGGCCTTAAGGTTAGAAGCCTTGGACCCTTTAGCTCTTGCAAATCGTGTCATATTTCTGTTTGAACGAAATTAGTTTTCGTCTAATATTAAAGTATATACACACATTAATATTATAGGTACATTTATTGTTTATTTCTTGATTCAGCAACTCTACCTAACGTTTTAGGCTTTAGCAACTACATCAACATGTGTGTGTTTGATAAAAAAATCATGATTTTTTACAGATCTATGTCAATTTGATAAAAGTGCGTTTCGTTTCTTCTTTATTACACCTGACAGCCATTACGAAAAAAATAATCGTGTCATTGGTAAAATAAATTTGTATGCTTAATTACATAAATAGCACGCTTTAAGCATTAAAATAAATTACTAAATTACGACTCACTGAGGTTTAGGATATTTATTTCAAACACTTTGGGACTCTACTGGGGAAGATTTCCCGAAAGGAGGGCGCCACACTTATGGCCTATTCACATTCAGTCCGAGATTATTCAATTATTGTGATATCTCTTTTATAACTGTATTTTTACTTCTGTTCTCATCTTTGATCAACAATACTACTAGATAACGTGTCACATACAAAATCAAAGCTACATTCTGTCCGCGCCAATATGTACTTATACAGCTATATTTGTATACTAAGAACCAAGACAAAGTCCCAATGGATAAAATAGTTTTATTTTCACCCTAATCAACGCCATGGCACCTTGTAATAAAGTCACTAATCTTCAAATTATCATCATACACTTACGATCATGTCGTAAGTTTTATAATCTTTATCGTAAAATCAACCTTATATCAAAAACTATAAAGCACTTTTTCCCGTTCTTGCTTTGTGAGCTAAATCGTTGTTTTGTTTCTGTTTGCTTCTTTGTATTGGCGTGTATCTTGGTCGACCTGGGTCAACGTTCTTAGTGGATTTAAAATTATTCGAAATTTCATTTTGATATTATTTCGTAAGTTAAATCTTAAAATATTGACTTAATCTACATGTAGATATTTACCAAAAATAAGACACTCCGTCTGAAAAATTTCTTCTTCGTGCATTATTTTTGCAACTTTTAAATAGGTACATATTGCAGCATTGTGAACGTGTTTACGTTGGCAGTATTTCAATAGAACTAATTGAAATATACGCTCACTTTTCAAATGAGCTGATATTTACCGAGACGCGATTTCTTACGCCGACCCGATATCTAGTAGTTTTGTTGATCGAAGATTCGCATCTTACCTATGCACCTTAGGTACGGTGTACCTGGAAGTAAGACCAGCTGAAGGAAGAATTGGGAAGAGGTGCATCCTACGGTAGTTAAAATAAAAAAATAAGAAATATGTACCTATATTTGATTTTTTTTCGAATTCAGGTAAAAGGGGATAATAAAGTTTATATGGGTAAAGAATTATTTATGATCAGAATTACTTGAAACTTGGTATTAATGCTCTTCAATACAATTAAATAGATGCGTTTTTTAGCATTTTTTGAAATACTATCCCATATGGTAAAATGGAGGAGGTAAAATGGGGGATGAAAGATTATATGAAATTCTGTAATTAAAATATAAAAGAGTACATAGAATAAAAAAATCACCTGTAGACGATTTAAAAGTTTTAAAATTATTTTCTGTTAAATGATGTCCTTCAATATAAAAATTGTGATTTTACCTATTTTGGTCGTCTTATTGCTTTAGCCCACAATTTCTTCAGTTTTTGTCTTTTGGGAACAAATGATATTCATTTTATTTGCATCCTGACACTGTACAATTTGTCATTTTAAATAAAATCGCGACATCTGTCGAGAGTAAAAGGCAAAATCCTTCCCCATTATAGAGGAATTGCACTACAAAGAAACAATCAAATATTTTTTATTGGTGTTTTATTTTAGTCAAAACTAGCAGAATTAATTAATCAATATCCCACAATTCTAAAACTAAAAAGCCGTTAATAAAAAAATATAAATTAAAAACACGCCTGCATAAAAACAAACTAATAAAAAGATGAAAACAAGTCGAAGAAATAATATAGTATTGTGCAGTCGGAGACATGTCTCCGATTGCTTATCACCTCCAGTCTCCAGGTAAATTTCTAAGAAATCTATTGTTAACTGACACGCCGGCGTGTCCGCGGTCATGGAGGGATTATTGTTATTTTTTTAACTTCTATCTAATTCTAACTCTAGGTTTATATTTTGAACACAATACGTTACCGTAATTGTTTTAAAAAAAATGTTACAGTGGAATCCGTTTATTATGACTCCCGACTATATTGACCAACCGCATAATAAGACGTAATAACAGTGTGAAGTTTAGTTTCGATTATGATGGCTATTTGTTGGGCGGGAAAAATAAAATAAATACCAAAAGTATGTACTATGATTTCTTTTTATTCGAAGTTAATTTTTCTTCTATTAATTTAACCCAGTTTTCGTACTGTACATTGTCTTCTTCATCAACTTCATCACAAAACTTATCAATATCTTCATCTTTTGGCTCATCTTCATTTTGATTTGGCTGCCCCGTACTTTGGCGGCTGACTATATTATTTGCAGCAACTGGAGATGGTTGGTCGTCGCTGTCTTCAAAAATTATTTTGTTATTCTTATTGTGTTTTTTATTTATAGAAATACTTTTTTTCATATTTTTATCTTTTACAGATTTAGTAGTGTCGACATCTGGTTTTGATGTAGCTGGCTGGCCGTCATCATCAAAAATAATTTTCTTGGGCTTATTATTTGCCCGCTGTACATTATCCGATATCTCTATCGTCGCAGTATCATCTTTTAAATGATCTTGATTTTGTAGACCTTTAATTCTCTTTGATCTTTTATTATCACTGTTTTGTGATTCCCCTTTACTTCGTTTGCCCATGATTCTGTAACAAAAAAATGATTGTAAACCTATCTTAATTGCAAATGTTATTTTAAAGTTTAAATACTTTTTGACTGACTTCAAAAATACGAAGGTTTCGGTTGTTGTTGTAATTACATGATATTTTCGCCAATAATATATTTTTGAATATGTATAAATTATATTTTTTTACCCCATTGCGGCGGGTCCCAAGAGCTCAAAGGAGTGTTATGTGTGTGACCTGTGACCTGTATGTATAAATTGTACGTAAACCTGGCGGCTCACGCTCGATTCGCTCGGTTTCGTTCCTAGGTACGTTAGGTACGTGTTTTCTCGTGGGAATGAGATAATCTCCCGCGGTAAAAAGTAGCCTATTCTCACTCTAGTCCTCCAACTACGAGTATCTCCACACAAAAAATCACGCCAATCCGTCACTTTGTTTCGACGTGAAAGAAGAATAAAAAAAATAAACACACTTTCACATTTATAATATTAAATAAGTATGGATATTGGATACCATTCAAATATGATATTGTTAGTGCTGTCAACGTATTATAACCATTTTCATTGTGTTTATCTGGGCTTACCGATTAAGCATATTGTAAAAAAAATGACACAGTTATTACAACATTTTTATCAATATTCATATTAAGAAAGGAGTAAACTCCTTTCTTAATATTTGTATCGAGATAAACGGTGCAAGTGAGTCCAGTACGAAAGACAGTAGAATTAATAAGAAGTTTTAGATAATATTATTTGCTATTTTTAAATAAATACTTAATTATTTGGGATGGATGAATTGTAAAAATAACATCGTATAATATACGTGAAATTTATTTTAAAACGTAAACACGAATTTCCCGAATTAAGTAGGTACCATAATAATATTTTTGAGCCGTCACATGCGGACGTTTATAGTCCATAAATAAACATTACCTACAACGATCTACAGTACGTAGTGTCATTAATAATCACGATACTACAGTTGATAATTCTAGCTTCGAAATCTATTTATTACGCTAACTAAATCCAGATAGTTGCTTCTTGCATTTACGTAAAAATATTAACATGAATTTAAAATATTTTGTAAAATAAGATTTAATCGTATATGATATTTATTTATGACAAAAATGTGATTGTTCAAAGTGAGTGAGATATTAACACAAAATTCGTAAGTCCCAACAGATACATAAATTAATTTTCACTTTTCAGTGAACCTTTTTTTTAACGTTGGGAAATGCATTTACACACGAAGTGTGGGACTCACCGGCGAAGCCAGTACTACCCACTAAAACCCAACAAAACCGTCCCCCGTCTTAATGGGGCGTTGCAGGATCGCTTACGCATTCAACTACGACGCCCCGACGGCAGGTCTGCCGAAGCAGTCCACCACAACCATGGGGTTACTCCAAGGTCCACTCTGCTATCAGAGAAGTACCAGGAGCAACCCGCATGGTACACCGCCCTCCGAAGAGGGCCGCCTCCCACCGCCCACCGAAGCGGGCCACCTCCCTGTGCGTTTCTTGGCTTCGCGCCCGGCTGTGTTGCCGGGCACTACTGAGCCCCGCACCACTACAAAGTGAACGCACGTTGGGGGGGACTTTTCAGTGAACCTGCTTAAAAACAATTATCACTTGTTTGTATTATTTTACAATTTTATAATAATGGGTTTTGTAATTTAATTTCAGTAACACTATTTACTTTAAAAAATTGGCAATTCTTTCTCGAGACATCGTGTAATATATCAATCTACAATAATTAGAACTGTTTGTTGCCTGAACTATCTGGCATTTAGTCAATAATGTGTTAGTATTTTAGTAGTGAAGCTTATTTGCTGTTTTTCATTTTTAAACTAACTCAAATGTTTCAGTAATTTCAATTCCCAAGTACGATACTAACATTCGTATATTATCTAGAAAATACAATATTATTTAAACCATAGATCTGTAGAAACTGTAAAAATTGTAAATACTTAATCAATATAGAAAGAAGATAATATTTAGCTGAGAGGTAAATTAAATAAATAGATTTCTTTCGTTAGATAGACATAATATAGATAAGAGACAATATATGTACAATGCTCATTTCTTTGTACCGTTTTAACTAGAATTAAAGTACCTACCTACCAAATTTCAGGTGTCGGTTCTCACAGCGGTTTCTTAATCCTAGCGTGGATAAGAATACCTGTTAAGTAATGGTCAAATTGAATATTTGCCACGGTATCGAATTCGAACCCAATACCTCCAGCATTGTACCTAACTAAAAATTGTGCAATACCCACTAAAAGTAACTAGCTAGTAACTATTTATTTACTACATATATTTTACTTCTTAGTTTATACAACTAATTAGTCAAGGAAAAAACTGTCTAAATGTGTACATTGTACAAGGCTATTTGGCATCTACCTACTATACATATATTAATTTTAGTTTGTTATCATTACATCGGATAGACAAGAGTTATTTATTGAATCTGTTCGCAATAACTTTTTCAATAATAGTCTGATAAACGTATTAGCGAACACTCAGCGAGATATCAAATACAAGCTTGCCTTATTTACGTAACACGCTAGCTACGACACGACGACGCGGGCTTAGTGCGATTGACACCGTCCGACCGCCACTCGCATCCCGCTTCGCACTTATTACACCGCGAATCGTAAATGCCGCATTGATTGAAACATCCTTCGCGCTATCATACTTAGGAGTGTTATTTGTTGTGTGATAGTTCGTTTTGTCTAAACAATTCTAAAATAACAATATGTCCGAAAAACAATATATATTGGGAATGGATATTGGTACGACATCAGTCAAAGTTTGTGTATATGATCCGGACACAAAAGAATTAATAGCTAAACAAAATAAGGATACCGCCGCAAACATTCCAAGTGATCAAGGAATAGAAGGAAACAAGCAGGATGTTCCAAAAATAGTATCTGCTGTGCACTACTGCGTTTCAAGACTACCTCGCGATGTTTTGCGCCACGTTAAGAAGATTGGAGTGTGTGGTCAAATGCATGGAGTTGTTTTATGGAAAAACCGGTATTGTTTGTTTTTTTTTATACTTATTGTTATTTGTTTATTATTAATCCTTTCATGAGTTAATTAAAAATTGTGATTGCAGAGCATGGGAAAAGGTAGAAAAAGATGGTGTTGTTATCCGATATGAAGCTACAAGAGAAAAAATGTCCGCTTTATATACATGGCAAGATACAAGATGTAAACCTGAATTTTTGGACACTTTGCCAAAGCCTGATTCCCATTTGCAATGTTATTCTGGCTATGGTTGTGCTACTCTTTTATGGATGCTTAGACATAAACCAGAAAAACTAAAAAATTTTACTTGTTCAGCAACTGTACAAGATTTTGTAGTAGCTATGCTTTGTGATCTTGAGAGTCCCATAATATCAGATCAGAATGCAGCTAGCTGGGGCTATTTTAATACAGAAATTAATGAATGGAATATAGAAATTTTGAAATCAATAGATTTTCCGGTAAATCTATTGCCAAAAATAGTAAAGAGTGGAGGTATAGCAGGGACATTAAGCAGTTCTTGGAATGGGATTCCAGAGGGAACACCAGTAGGTGTTGCTATGGGTGACTTACAATGCTCTATTCTTGCCACTTTAGAGACCAGGGGGGATGCTGTTTTAAATATATCTACCTCAGCCCAACTTGCCATTGTAGTTGATAAGATATCTGATTTAGGGTGTCAGACCATTGAACATTTGCCTTATTTCAATAACACCTATTTAGTTGTAGCTGCATCATTAAATGGTGGAAATGTACTGGCTACATTTGTAAAAATGCTTCAACAATGGATGCTTGAGTTTGGATTTCCAATTCCTCAATCTAAGTTATGGGAAAAGCTAATAGCTCTCGGCTTGGATGCCCCAGGAGGTACTAATATGAAGATAATACCTTTACTGTTAGGTGAACGTCATGCACCAACAGCCAAGGCTTCTGTGGAAAATATTGACCTATCTAATATTCAGTTGGGTTATGTATTTAGATCATTATGTGATAGTTTAATTGAAAATTTACATAACATGATGCCGAAACAAATTTTACTAAATGCAAATATTAAAAGAATTGTTGGCAATGGTTCGGGTTTGTCAAGAAATGCTGTACTACAAAGAGCTGTAGAAAATTACTATAGTTTACCTTTAGAATTTACATCGGGAGGTGATGCTGCAAAGGGCGCAGCTATAGCTGTCTTAAATTTGATATAAATCGAGTAAGTTAAATATACAATAATAAGCAATTATATACATCATATATAAGTAACAAGCAAGTCAAGTAAACAGTGTTATTTAATTTTTTTATTTTATAAACATTATGAACATTCACATATAAAAACAGACACTGATCAATGTTTTTGAATTAAGTTAAAAAATGTAGAAAATAATATTATAGTTTTTGTTACTAAGTATGAACGAACAATGTATTTTAATGTTTGGTTATCAATAAAGAAAAACTTTTTATTCCATTACAAACTTATCATTGCTAATTATACTATTCTATATTAGGTATAAGATATATATAATTTTTAATTAGTTAAATAGTTTATTGAATAAAAAAAATATTTAAAGTTTACATATAATAGAAATATGTATGTTTAAGTATACTTACCTTTGTTTTTCTGTTTTAAATGATAAACAAATATCAATTAGATATCTTAAGTCGATAGACTTCCACTGTCCACTGACTTAAGTTTTATAAAATGTATATAAATTTTTACACAACAAAATATGTGATGGCTGATACGTACGTCTTAGTTTTGTGGTTATGTACTATTACTAATAGTTAATTGCATCAACATAAATGATAAACCACTTTAAAATTAACTTGTTCTGAATTACATGTATTCAATCTTGCTTATTATCATCTTTATTATTCATTTATATATATGAATTAAGATTTTCTATTTTACCCTACTTGTCAATATTCGCAAATCAGTATTTACTATTTGAATTTTGATTTTTTTAAATAGGTACAAAATTTTATAGTAAATGGTTAATTGGCTACCACAGATAAAACGTAGTAGTTGTGGTTACATTCTCTTTGACCACGGAAGTAGAAATAATACCAAGATACTAGATAGATTTTTCTTTTATAATAATTGTTCTGTTCGGTCTTCCTGGATTAACATTTAAATAAAGAAATAATACACATGTGTCATGTAATAATCTTTATGAGGACAACAGCCAACAAACTTATTATTAAAAAAAATCATCATGAGAACGTTTCATGTAACTGGAATAACTGGATCAAATTAGAATGCAGCTAGCTAAGTCTATTTTTTACAGTATTATACGAATGGAATATAGAAATATTAACATTAAAATCAAATTACATCTTTTGCAAAATATTTTATTAGGAACGTAGCGTATGTTTGGAGACCACGTGTCAAAGTGACAGGTGTGACTTGTGAGGCAAATACGAAATAGGTAGCGGTCAGCGGAATTGTCAAGTTTCAAGTGTACACATAACCCAATCCCAAATACAATTGGGTTTTTGTGTTTGTTTATTATAACATAAATTAAATTATGTTTGATAAGTTCATACAACAAAATTCCTAGTAAATATAAAACAATGAATTATATAATATTATAACAATTTTATTTAATATCACATACTTTATATAAAATTTGTGTCAGGAGCTGAGTTTTATTGAGGACAACATGGAAAATATTAAAAAATCAGATGACGTGGATAGTCCAACAGCTGATGGAAATTTATTGCAACCACCAAAAGACAAGAGCATTGCAACACGAAACCCATTGATGAAAGTACGTACATATGTGTTGGCACTTCGACCATGGTCTCTAAGTGGAAGCTTACTACCGACTCTCCTGGGTGCTGCTTTGGCCTATCGTCTTCCCGGAGATAATGGATTTAGTTGGGTTACATTACTGCTCACTCTTTGTACAGTTATTCCAGTTCATGGAGCTGGAAATGTTGTAAATACTTATTTTGATTTCGTTAAGGGAATAGATAACCGAAAATCTGATGATAGAACATTAGTTGATCACATTTTAAGCATAGATGAAGTTGTATCTTTGGGAGCTATACTATATATGGCAGGATGTGCTTTTTTTGTTTTATTAGTCATAATGTCACCTGCTAGAATGGAACATTTAGCTTTGGTGTATTTTGGTGGTTTATCATCTTCATTTTTATACACAGGAGGAATAGGCTTAAAATATATTGCACTTGGAGACATTATAATTCTAGTCATATTTGGACCTGTGTCTGTTGTGTTTGCTTTCCTAGCCCAAACAGGGAGAGTTGATTGGCCTATATTTTGCTATGCTATACCATTAGCTTTGAACACTGAAGCTATTTTACATAGTAACAACACAAGAGATTTAGAAGCTGATAGAAAAGCAGAAATTGTGACTTTAGCTATTTTAATAGGCAGAACAGCATCTCATTTGTTATATGCCTTCTTACTATTTACACCATATATAATGTTTGTAGTAGCATCTGTTCGTTGCTCTTTTTGGTTCTTATTACCATTACTTACATTACCTAGGGGATTTGAAATTGAAAGAAGATTTAGACGTCCAGAAACTATGCAGTATGTTCCAAGACAAACTGCAAGACTTAATTTTTATTTTGGCATGTTATATATGATTTCATGTTTATTTGCAAATAAACTGCCTTTTTTGTCAAGATAATGTAAAAAAAAAATCTGGTGTTTTAATTATATGTGAAAATATATGTACTTACTGAGCTTTCAAATTCTAATACATATTCCTACTGAATTTTCAACTAAATCTACTTGTAGTTTCATGTTTATAATTTAATGGGCTAGATCATTATTATGAAAATGCATCAGGTATAGCTTGAACTTACGAAGAATTTGGAGCTCAACTCTTAATGCAACCTATAGATTTTATATAAAGATGTGACTGATAATGTAATACAAATTGTAATCATGGCAGTTATTTTTTTATCTCTAAGTGTATGTGCTTCTTTAGTTTTAAATGTTAATATAAAAAAGTTTATAATACTTTTTTGTAGACGAGAACATATCATGATATCAATCATAATATTCAGGATAGAATTCAGTAGCAGGATGTTGTTTTCTAAAATATAGACCAATATGATGAAGGTTACTGATAACAGCTTTTATACAAATGCAAAGCAGTGTGGCTGAGGAGGAAAATCATTTTGAGTTAGTTGAAATGAATGAAAATTTATTTGTCTATGATATGTATCTTTACTTATTTGAAATCTCATGTACTGGCTACCTCATTATAAGCAACAGTATGCATAATATTAAAGCACTTGCATACAATGTATCTATGATGGTTTAATAGCCTCCTGTTATCTGTATTGAAATATAATATGCTTATTAAAATAGTTGTTTGTATTTGACAATAATAATAATTAAATTATTAACATAACTTAAATTGTATCATATTAAGAAAAATAAAATATAGTAAAGTAAATAATGAGTTTTATTTAAATTTACTAAACGCTATATACCACTTGTTACCTGTAATTGGTAGATTTCCAATAAAATTATTTATGAAAGGTGATAAAATTATTATATGTACCAAATTGTACTTGATGACTGTAATAAAAAGAAATATGTATAGGTACATTAATATGAGAATTGAAACATGTGAATAGTTCAGCTTTGTAATGTCCATAATTATGGTCCGAATAATATGAATCATTTATATATTAGGTCAGTACAATATTTTTTTTTTGGATTTTTTTTTCAAGGAATAAATAGATATTTAGTCTTTAATCATACTTTATTGACATCAACATAAAGAGTTTATAATACAATCTTTATTACATATAAGATAAATACAAGAATCAATTTATAATACAATGAGACCATGAACTTTTAAAACAAATATTTAATTTAGGAATGCCTGATCTATATATTACTAAATTGATAAAGTTGGCAGTGACAGGACATTTTTTATGAAAAAATATTTTTGGCCTAATTCTTTAGTACTGGAAAGTTACCTTATTACTTTATAGATTTGACTGTTATACTCTGTATACATGAACATAGTACATATGTTCACTCATTACCAATAAATGTACTTAAGTTATTACGTTTCTGATATAAGAAATGCTTGAATATTGAGTTCTATTACCTAACTATGCTATCGAAAATATTTTTATCCATATTATTTATTAATAAAGGAACATAATCACATCATTGACCATGAGAAATGATAAAAAAATCAAACAACTAACAATAGACTAAATTAAATCACTATGTGCAATTAGATACTAATACATAAAATAAATTCATTTGCAATTTTCAAGAAAATAAAGTCTTTAACATTCCATAAAATACCTACTTGTGATTTATATTATTACAATATGTACTCGATATAACATTAGTTGAACTAATGAATATAACACATAGTATTGGAGTTAAAAAGTAAAAATTAATCGAGTACAGAGGCGGACGATTATAATCTATTAATAATACTATGAAATCACGCGAATAAGAATATCTCGAGACTTGACAATAGCTGCCTAACTAATTAAAAAAAAAAGACATTAATCTAAAAAATATTCCCCATTACTGCTATATAGTAACCTCCCCACTTTGTCTGTGTAATCAATACGAAACCAAGATTACTTATTTTGCTAAAATTTCCTAGCCGTTTTTGTGCGATGCACAGACACAGATATGATGCAAATTTCTATTTAAGGAAATTTTAGTGTCTATATCTAATAATAATCGCCAACCTCTGTCCCAAAGAGCACAAAAAGATTGAATTATATAATGCAATATTCCCAAACTATGTTGCACTCCTCTTTCAGAGATTTTCATATATCTATCTTAGGTAGATCCATTAGGCCTCTTTGACTCATGTAAGAGTGATACTTAAAGAACCGTTAGTTATACAAGAGTCTATGTAAACTAGAGGATATTTAAAGCTGCAGATCTTGAACGTTTGAGCATACAGGTTGATTTGCTTATGAACATATTGATGAGAATCTACAAACATTTTTTTAATGTCAATGTCATAAATATTTTTTATGGATAAAATTGAACCATTTCATTATTATTATCGATGATTAAATTTATTAATTAATATTTATTTATACACGAATAAACGCACAATTTTACTAAACAGTAATTTATATGCTGTATTATACACTCTGTAGACCGCCGTTATGGATAGAGTTTCTAATAAATAGTAAGTTTTTTTATCATCGTCTTCGACAGAGACGAATGTGTTAAGAGTAAACATATTTTTTGCTAAAAGTCAATCTTCCCACGCGTCACAGAACTTAGAATAATCTCTCATCCATACAAGTGGACAATAGTCCGTTGGTCGCTGGCAATACCCAGCAGTTAGTCTCTATATATGCCAAACATTATGTACATCAGACTTAGTGATGGCTTAAACGTTTATGACGTTGGTTTCTTTTCGCGTTGCCACTGGAGTATCCTTTCTTTAAGTTCAGTTGCTGTAATTAAAGAAGCGTTATGTACTGAATATTCCACTAGTAAATGGTAATGTTATAATTTATGCAAAAGTTTGTGAGTAAATGAATGTAGTTACTTTACGTTGTAACAGCTCAACAGATTTGGATGAAATTCGCAATGGAGATAGATAGATTAGGCTATTTCTTAACGACATAACTACAACGCGAGTGGTGCTGGGGACAAACGCCAGTAGTAAACTCTAAGATAGATGTAAAAACATAAGTAGTATACCAGGGCGCAGCTGGTCTTCCGTGAGCGGTTGTCTGTTGAAAGGATCCGTGGCACTGTTCAGTAAGTGGCGTAAGATCACTGATCGATCCATGACCTGTATATAAAAAAAAACAAATTATTTGAAAGATATAATGATTATATGAAAGAAATCAGAACAAAAAAATCAATACAAAAATAGTGTGTTCTATAATAATCTTGGCATATATTATAAACCAGCGACTCACCCTTGCTTCGCTCGGGTTCGTCCCTAGGTACGTTTTAACTGTTAGTATGAAATACAAATATTTGAATTTCTCGGCTTTTCTGTACTATAATATGCATATAAACCTTCCTCTTGAATCACTATCTATTGCTGAAAACTGCATTAAAATCCGTCCAGTAGTTTAAAAGATCTAAGCGAACAGACAGCGGAAGCGACTTCATTTACACTATATAAAGATTGTCCTATATCTACAATACATTATGTATTTAAATAAGTATGTTTAACATGTCCGGGTAAAGTTGAGTTTGAGCATTTTTTTTGTAATTTATGATGTTTATTTGCAAAGGTGTTTTTTTAAATATCTGCATCAGACTAAAATGAATACTAAGTTTCATTCATATCAGAGTGCTATAATAATGTAAGAACTTCAATGTAACTCGCTAGTTGTATCCGCGAACATTCGGCAATTATATTGTAAACTTGAAATTGTTTTTGAAAGTTGGCCGTGTTCTTCGCAAAACACGTTTAAATGCTTTGTTTCCAAATATATTACCTTTCCCGATGGCAGGAAAACTGGGTCTGTCATTAAAGTATCCATGAGAGGATCTCGGAACTCCTCCGGCGCGTCCGCAAACTCATCACTCTTTTGTTGGTTTGATACTGCAATTTATATATTAGTTATATTATTGTATGTATTTTTATCGAAGTAGAATGATAAAAATTAAAAAAAAGTGCGTGTATGTGCAAATTCACACATGGTAGAAGTGAAACTTAATATTATATATTTATCAGACACTAGCGACTCCCCCTCGCTTCGCTCGGGTTCGTCCCTACTTACGTTTCAACGTTTAGTATAGATTTCTCAGAGATGAGATATTTTCCCATAGTAAAAAGTATCCTATATGTTGACCCGGATAACCAGCTCATCATACCAAATCTCATCAAAATCTGCCCAGCGGTTTTCTCGTGATGCGGTAACAGACAAAAACCTAAAAACCATAGATTCGGCCTCTGCATCGATAATAAGGACTATTTCAATAAGATTTTCCAAAATATATTTAATGTACTGATTCGACTCTGTTGGAATTTTATTATATACATATATATATATTATATATATATATATATATATATATATATATATATATATACAACTTTATATATATAATTCTTCTGTGAGTGTCTATGTCACTGAACTTCTCTCAAACGACTGGACCGATTTTGATGAAATTTTTTGTGTGTGTTCAAGGGGATCTGGGAATGGTTTAGATTCACAATTTGAATAATAATTTTCATCAAAAAAATTATTAAAAAAAGTTTGAAATTTTCAAATTAAAGACGTGTAGACAGGACAACGTCTGTCGGGTCCGCTAGTATATATATATACACACTATATATACACACATTCTTTCGCCGACTTAATCCTATATATTATTTATGTGTTTGTCTCTTTTTAGTGTCGGATTACCATTTTATTTCCGTTTCATCGAATTCTAATCACAACGATTCTAAAGAAATTTCACTTCAAAAAGTACTAAAATTATAGTTGACAATAAGAATAATTATAAACACAAAACGAATATAGCGTTAATTGAAGAAGTATAATTTTTGAAATAGCTACCTTATATCGAGCTCATTTAGACGATAGCAATGACCAAACAATTATACTAAATTATAGCTTATATTTAAGTTTATAAGTATCTTTTTGTAACTTCACGAAACCATATTATTAGTGGAAATTGGATTCGGATACATAGACTACGGGAATGAACATTGTTACCCCGAAAAAATAGAAGCTTTATATTTTTTTAGCTCGGGGTTTAGTTTCAGGACACAATATTGATGTTGGTGCCTTGTATATATGTATATAACATCTCTCTGCAGATGTTTTTTTCATTGTGCGATAAGCGCTTGCGCTGCGTTTGACTACAATCCGCGCTGGAAAGCACTATGAGGTCTAGGTTGGAGCGCGCTTGCCTAGAAAATACCTATTTACTCTTGCCTTGTAGCCAGTATTGAGGAGCTACAAAAAAATTGGTCGTTCGATAAGATTCCAAAGTCTAGTTTGAAAGTCTACTAATCTCAGTAGTTATAAAGCCAAGTCACATTGATCCAAAAAAGAATGATGAACAAAATGCATATAACTATTTTATATTATATATATCTATCTTCACTTCGCTCGGATGTGTCCCTAGGAACATTTTAATTTTTTTGAGCGAAACCCGAATTTTTTTTTTAAATAAAGTCAGTTAGTTAGTTTCTAAGTTACTCCTTATAATATTAGCCAGTGAGTCCCGTCAAAATCAGTCCAGCTCTTTTGGAGATTAGTCGGAACAAACAGACAGACAAAAATGTTAAAAATTGTGTTTTTCTTTGTAAGTAACAGTATAAAATTTCATATGCATTTGGTAAAAAGCTGTTATTTTGACATTACACACAGGAACTTTAATTTAATTTATATGTATAGATATTAATATGACTTACCGGCAATCTGATAAGCGTTGTCCGCGAGCGCCTTGAAGCGCTCTATCTCTGAGGGCGACTTGATGCAGGACTTGGCGAGGCGCAGCGCTGCTTCCTCGAACAGCTCTATGCGGAATGATCTCTGTGGGATATGAGCAAAATTGAATATAATGAACGGCAAATATCTTATCAAAATTATTAATGGAACAAAAATGCAAGTAATAATCGACTAGAAAAACAATTGAAGAACTTCTTTTTCACCCATTATTAATCTGCAAAAGACACTATAGGCTATTGCACAGAGGTAATTCTTTCAAGCAAAATCGCATATTTTTTAATATTTAGAATATATTTAAAAATGTAACTTACATTTTAGATTTTAAATTTCTTTGATTTACTGCAGGTCTTAATGATATACTGCTTTAGGCTCGTAATATTTGTATTAGAGAAGAAATATTGCGCTACATTTGTAAATCATAGGAACATTCATTACTAAAAAGGGACTATTTTTTTAATGTCACACGCACCATGTTTTTTTTAAATTTCAATAAATTTGGATTATAAATAACATTATAATATGTAATTTAAAATATTCTTAGAAGAGGCATGAATTGTAAATAGTTAACACTACTAGAAACACCACTATAATATGTATATCGACAAATGAAACTCATTAGACATTTAAATCCTAAGCAAAACAATATGAAATAACAAATTTATATGATTAGATTCAACAAGTACAAAGACAGTAGTAATAATAATGTCTTCCCGATCGACTTCGGCCACTGCGGCAAATTTCACTAAGACTAGCCAGCGTAGGAGATATTGTAGTGCAGCGCGTGTACGTGCAGACACATCGTGAACTCTCTATTCCTGTCACTCTCATACTCCGGTGGGACGACACGAGACACGACCGGTGAGAGATCAGGTGCAGGACCGACGGCTTTACGTTCTCTCTGAGGCACGGGGGTAAAACACCACCAATTTCCCAATTCCGGTCTTTCCCCGCTGTTTCTAGGACTTTCTTAACAGAAAGACTCAATAACACTTGGCCCGAGCCGGGAGTCGAATCCAGGCCCTCCGGATGTGCAGCCGCACATGCTAGCCACTACACGACCAAGGCAGTAGTACCTCGTCAGCGGCGAGCGCGGCGTGGAACTGCGGCGAGTCGAGGTGCAGGTAGATGTCCACGAGCTGGCTCAGCAGCCGCCGCGGCTCCCAGCCGTAGATGTCCGGCCGCCGCACCTGAGACACCCGATATATCCGTCAGTAAAGTAGTAAGTAATTACACACGAGATACTTATTTTTTCTTTATTTATAAAACACTATTACAATACACATAAAACACTTAAAGAAATTTACAAGTGTATCTAACAATTATTGTATTTTATAATTCAAAAATTACACACAACACTTATTAAGCATCTGGCTGGCACCGAGTTCGAAAATATCTGATTAGGTATCTATTCTAAATGAAAACCCTTGTTTAGTTATTTTTTACATTTTCGTGCCTGAAATTCGGTTTTTCTTTTTTTTTAAGTTTTTATAATACTGGTAAAGTGAACCGTGGGATGATAATTCAATTTTAATATGATTTCAACAACACGTTCGATCTAACTTATCGCCAGATAACTAAAGCACTATAATAACATAAAATAAGGTATGAACTAGATTACAACAATACCTTAAGATTATTGCACTTAGGTCCGCAAAGTTGCTGCAAATTGAAATTGAGCATGGAAGCGAGCCGGTCGACGAGCTCGGCGCGCAGAAAGGGCTCCTTGATGTCCACGGTGAGGTACTGCAGCATGTCCACGGTCTCGCGCGCCAGCGTCAGGTAGGAGCGGCACTGGCGCTCGTCCTGCGCCAGCGCCCGCGCGCGCGCACCGCTGCCCGCCGCGCCGCTCGACTCCGCCTCTTGCGCCTCGTGGATGCGCTTCAGGTACTAGGGGTGCAGAAATGGGGAAAAGGTTAGGTTAGGTTAGGTTTTTTAAGCACGCTTGACTTGGGGGGTAAGCTGGTAAATGCGTTACGAAAAAATATACGTACGTTTGTTGCCATGGTAACCGTTGTTATTGTGTGACAAATGATACATTATAATATTATAATCTCTCCTTAAATGATATTCTATAAATATATTATTGTAATATGCCTAATATGCGTTATTTTTAGTACCTCGCCAAACCTAATTATTTAAAACAACAAATATAATTTAGGGTAATGAGATTCAATATAAAGTTATCATAAATCCAGCTTACCGTTAGACATTCATCAAGGAGGAATGTGGTGTCATTCATGAGCATGTTGATGAACTTCACAAACTGCCGCCCTGATCGAGATTCTTTGACAATGGCCTAAAAATAAAGAGTAAAAATAGTAACATTTTTTCTCGGTTTTTTAATGATATTAACTCGAAAATAATATAAATTGTCGGGGACACGGCAGTGCCCCCGCCAAGTCAAACAAAAACAAACAAGAAACAAAGGCACAGCCGTACCATTCTTTTCTCGAAGCTATTCAGGATATTTTTGTTTTTATGCAATTAGACGACTTATTATATTTATTATTGCACACTGTACTACTAAGCGTGAATGCAAAGTAAATAAAAATTAAAGATCGCAGCCAACATGGACGTAATCGCGTTCACCCAATGCATGTAAAGCTCTTACTACTTTTAATTTTAACTATTTTAAAAAAAGTTTCATATATACCTGTTTATGTATGGGTCTTTCCCACATACTCTTGAGTATTATACTAATATGGAATCTAATAGTAAACTTGTCATAAAACTCTGTACTCTGTCCCGTCGTCTCTATGTCCGTGTAGAACTTCATCAGAGCACTCGGCAGTGCTGTCTGGGACATTGGATGATCCATGAACTTCTCATAGACGGCGTCATTCTTTAACTTAATAGGCAAGGAGAGATTTATCACGAACAAAACTTCCACGATTTTTGCGACTAGATAAGGATTTTTGATGAGATGTGAATTACATATGGCGCTTAATAGCCATGTGATGATGGGATCCTCTATGTAGTACGCCACTATCTGAGGGACATATCTGAAAATTAAATAATATAAATTAGCAGTTTTTGTTAATATACCGTATGGATTTACATTCCGGGGTTTGAATGATAATACCATTTAATTTAATATAAGATTTAGCGTAATTATGTTTATTTGCATATAATGTGAATTATTACAGTTTGAAATATAAAAGTGTATGTGTGTCTATATTTGTCACTTCTTTACACTCAAACGGCTGGACGAATTCGGATGAAATTTAGAGTTTGCAATAAACTATAACCTGTAAATAAAAAAACGGGCTTCTTAGGTACCTAGGAGACATAATAAACAGTAAACACATAAAACACAATACTCACTGCACAGCAAAGAGCATGAACTCGGCTATATCCTCCACGTACCACTCGGGCGTGGCGCGGAAGGCGTGCGCGGGGGCGGCGGGCGCGGGGCACGCGTCGCCGCCCGCCGCCTCCAGCTGCTTCACGAGCAGCGCGCACACCGACGAGTAGAACTGCACGCCGCGCCGCATCAGCTCCGGGTCCAGGAGGGCCGTCTCTGCGCATTGCTTTGACCTGTGGATTTTGTGGATTGTATGTAATACTATACTATTATTTATGATAACTACTTTTTAGATTTATTAATATTTATATCGATTAAAAAATATTTGAGACAGTACATATTATGTAAATCATAACCTGAAACGTTATTACTTATTGCAATAAAAAGGATATTCTGCAGATTTAGACGAATAATTTACAGAACTACTGAATATCTGAATAAATAAATGTATAGACAATTGACCTATTCTTTGTCACTTGGCATAGATTTAAGACCCTTTCATTGTTTTATAGCTATCTAGCGTGAATGTTACTTTTTTTTGTGAGTAAAATATAGCTCATAAATAATAACAGTAACTAAAATATTTATTCTCACATTTATACATTAACAAATAATTACTACCTACCTTCAAGAATATAATAAAAGAAAAACAAAACTACGATTTTCTATATATCGTCACTTGCAATGAACAACGTTGTAACTCAGTATTGAAATAATTTATTAAAATAATGAATAGAAAAACCTCACAGTATCTCACTATATCGCACACAAAATTTCAATTTACTCTCAAGTCTCGTAATAAAAGCACAGATATAAGTAAATATATAAAAAGAAACAGATACCTGTGTAGACGTTTGATCTGGCGCCGCCACCGCCGCAGCAGCTCACGGTTGCGCAGCGCCGAGTAGCTGTTGCGCCACTGCGGCTCCGCAGCCATCAGCTCCTCGATCACCTTCTGCAGGTCGCGGAATGCACTGCACAACCACGTTAAGTGTTTGCTAATTAACTCCGCGTATTACAAATTTTCAGCAAAAAAAATAATACAAATTAGCGACTTCGAAATACAAAACAGAACAGATCAAAATTCGCCATATTGAAATTAACGGGTAATTTATCAATACCACTACACACAGGTGTGGCCTCTCAGTGAACACTTTAACTTGTAAATTATTCTAGCACTTTAGCCGTTTTCATGAGGGTTACGAATTAACTTTAGTATTGCTCTGTTCTATCTCTTTGCTATTGTAAATACGAAAAGTGTGTGTATAATGAGTACCTACTTAGATTATATACATATATATACTTTCGCACTTGGCCAGCGTGGTGGACTGTGGCCTGATCCCTCTTGTATTGAAGGGAGGCCCGTGCCCAGCAGTGGGACGTTAAAAATGGCTGAGTACATATATGGGCTATTGTTAGTTATATAAATACTAAAGTCGCTAGTCAAAAATATAATTACCGGATCCGTCGTTGGTGCGTGTGCAGCGCGGGGATGAGCGCCACGTGGTGCATGTGCAGCGTCAGGAACCAACACACCGTCTGGAACTTCGCCTCAGGCCACGTGTGGCTTGGGTCGTTATCTGCAACGATAGCAAAAATTCTAATTAATATTGAATCATCTTCAGTTGAAAAAAAATAGTGAAGGTTTAAAAAATTACAGTGACATGAATAACATAAAATCCGACAGCATTCTTTGTTATTCTTTCACGTCAACCTGCTCCATGCAAGGGATTGATGTGATCTTTAGAAAGAAATAATTAAAGGGCGGGAGAATGAATATATTTTATCGTTATTTACTTCAAACGATCTGCAAATGTATACAAATATGAAATATTATAAAGCTAATGAAATTGTTTGTTTGTATGCGATAATCTATGGATCGACCAGTCAGATTTCAAAAAATATTTATGTACTTTATATTTATAGCCTTTTTATCGAGGAAGTCTACAGGCCCTCTCAGATCACGCTTAAACCAATAGGAAAAGGGAGTAACTCAATATACATAAAATAAATTATGCAAACAGAGCCATGTACAGAAGTATAACATAAAATTACAAAAATACAACTTACTTAACGCATCGAGCCAGTCCTGCGACTCCTGCGCAGTGAAGTACAGACGCGTCTCGTCGCGCACGTTGATCCACGTGCCCGGCTGGAACGTATACAGCGGGTACACGCGCTCCAGCTTGATACGTACGGACAGCAGTTGCAGTACTGAGCATACATTCAGCATGAACCCGTCGCCTGGAATAACGTTATTATTGTTGAAATTATATAATATTCCTCAAATTTAAAATACTGGAGGATCTAGGCATTGCAGAGTTTAGTTATAATTATTATGGCAGCTACGGACTTTTAACAACTAGGTACTTCAAAGAATATTTTTCTGTTAATCATAGATTGCGATATCACCTTTGTTTTTACTTAAAACTTACATTACACTACGCCTAAATTTCAGTAATAAAAAATGAAATTATATTAAGTTTTATAAAATAAACGTATATTTCATGACTATGATGTCCTCCTGACCGAATTCGGGCAAAGCGGACAATCTCACTGAGACTAGCCATCTGCGCAGGAGATATTATGTGTCTTTCTAAAACACACAGCGTTACGATGAAGAAAGCTGTTGTGTGAACCTGCTTTCAATTAAGTATCTATGGTAAAACTTACCTTGTTATCTATGGTTATACCTGTCTCTTTCTCTCACCAGCGGGCTTCATCTTCCGTCTCAGAAGCATGTCCTAAAGTTTCATAGCGTTTGTGAATTTTGCCGCGAAGACATAGCAAAATTTTTTAAGTTTATGTTATTGGAAAACACTCTTGAAATACATTAAAATATTGTGTTAAATTATCGCACAGCGTCAAATACGTATACGTATTTTAACTTTTTAACATAAAGTAGTGATTTGTAGTAGTGATGAATTCGGAATATATCGAGGCGGTAAGTTTTGGAGGTGAACAATCTTCGAAAGTTAATACTTCGGATGAAGACCGACTTTCGAACAAAATGAGTTCTCGTGACTCGTCATCTTGTTCATCCTCGGAGGATGAGGAGGGCATAGTATCACCTCCGCCCAACTAAAGACGACAAATGTCTAGTAAGTATATACATTATACAAGTTTAAACATGTTCAAAACCGCGAATAGATACCATTATTTAACAAAGAGGATATAATTATATCTCAATATCTTACAAGCTTACCTATTGAGGTTAGTATGTTAATTATAAATATGGAACATTAATCAATCAATTGGTCTACAACAAAATGATACTCCATCAAGGTACATCTCAATTTTTATCAAATCCACTAACTTTAGATAAAGATCTCTCAGAGAAGTTAGATAATCTACAAAAATACTGTTTGGAACTGTTGCATCTATTATAAGATAAATTTACAATTGTACTGATTTTATAAGTCTTAAAGTAAATGAAAAGTTGTGTCATTCTGATAAAAGTAAAGATTATCTTGCTTCCACTGGACAATTAAAATTTAAATTATAAATATTATTTAATATAATATTAAATTAAAAATTATTAGCCGTATGATCAAATAACATCTTATAGCTAAGATAGTTGTTGAGATCAGGCTTACAAGATTTACTAGGCTGGACAGCTGCCAATATTAATTCACACTGTTTGATAAATTTACTAGTACATTTGACCCGGAGTCACTATATTACAAAAATTCTGAAACTATAGTGCAAATAATCTGGGGTAGAAGGGCCAAGTGCATTGAGGTAAAACGGGACCTTATTTTAAAAGAGATTACTAATCCAAATTTATGAAATACACTTACAAAAGTCAAGAATGTCTTTTAGCTGTAAAGCCATGCAGCTTCCCTTAGGTGGCTCTTAGGTGGCTTAGCACGCCTTCTTATGTTAAAAAAAAAAATCTTAGAGACACCACAATCTCAGAACAGGAGACATTTCAAATCAAATAATACAAATATTAAAGATTATAAATCACAATCACAAAAGAAACAAAATCCTAAATTTAACATTAACCAGCCCTTTTGTAGAAATTACTCAAGACACACCCCCAAGTAGTAAATAAAGTTGACCATCAGGTCAGGAATGTCAGGGGGATTTGCCTAAAAATTAGGTTCATATGTGGCAGCAGCTACATAATGAAATTAATAACTGTACTCGAATCCTATTCTCAAAGAAACCTCCTGTACAATTTCTAGTTAACCATGTGTTAAAAAAAATAAATAAAAAAATAAATATAAATAGAAATAAAATAAAAGAATAATAATGATTTTTTTTTTCTACCAGGGAGAAGACATGACGGACATGATTCTTCAATTAAAGCAGAAAAATATATTAGAGGCACCTCTAAAAATGAACGCAGGATTCCTTTGTCGGATTATTTATTTATATTTTTCTTTCGAAAAGTGAGAAAGTTAGATGGGGGTCTGCGTCCCATCTTTGACCTCGGAGGACTCAGATCTTATGTAGCACTGAAACATTTTCAACTAATTACACAGATAGATGTAGCAAAATTTTTACAAATAAACAATTGGCTAGTGAAAATAGACTTTCACCAGGCCTATTTTTTTTTACCTACCAATTGCAGAGGCGCGCAGAAGGTTTCTAAGGGTGATGTACAACAACGAACTTCTTCAGTTGACTGCCCTACCATTTGGTCTGTCATCAGCCCCTAAGATGTTTGCCACAATCACAAGCTGGGTTGCGGAAATCCTTTGAGTACGAAGGTGGTGCATATTAGTTTATCTGGACGATTATTTCTTGGTCAACCAGGACCAACCAGTACGTGTGTCACAGGTTGCGGAAACTTGAGAACATTAGAAATCTTGGGATGGCATGTAAACTACACGAAGTCTGTTCTGCAGCCTTCTCAGGGGGTATAATATCTAGGCTCACTAGGGAACACTAAACAAAGGAGAGTGAAACTTCCATCCAGGAAGGCAACAAAAATAAAAATATTTCTTTTCAAGGTTTTTAGCACTGGAAACTGTTCTCTGAAAGATGCTCAGAGTTTATTAGGTTTGCTCAACTTCGCAAACTATCCAGTTCCCAAAGACCGTTTACATGTCAAAGATTACAACTGTTTCTGAAGGAGTTCAGACAAAACCGATTAAGGGAAAGAAAAAGCCTACCATTACCTGTTCAATTAAACTTCAAATGGTGGTTGGCAAATGTGGACCATAGCTCACTGCCAATATTAAACAAGAGTGTCACTCATTACCTATCCTCAGATCCAGCGGATGCATGCTGGGGAACAGAACTAAACAACATTTACATTTCAGTTAATTGGGCTCCACATCAACATTTGGTATTCCAACATCAAGGAAATGTATGCTGTATTTGCAAGCATAAATAGTCAGCTGATGACTTTAAAACGGTACATATTCGAATACAATCCAACACTCGGACTCTAGTTGAATACCTCAGAAACGAGGGGGGCCACATTCTCTTAATATAGACACTTCTCAAATTGGCAACCAGGCTTCTAGATCTCACGGAGAGACTACAAATAACTCTATCAGCCACTTACCTCCCGGAGAGGTTAAACGGAATCGCGGATCGCCTATCAAGGGACCGCAAAGTACCAGAGTGGCACCTAGTACCCCAGGCAACGGAAGCTATATTCAAAATTGGGGCGTCCCAGACGTAGACTTGTTCGCGTCAAGAGAGTCAGCAGTGTTAGCAAAGTACCTAACATTGGATTCCAGAGATGGTTGCGCAATTTTTGTGACGCTTTCAGCCGTCAAAGATTTCCAGCTGGGCTGGGCATTTTCCCCACCCAGCTTAATACCCAGAGTCCTTGCGCATTTAAACAACGCGAAGGAAGTTTATATCCTAATAACACCAGAGTGGACCAGATGCTTCTGGCTCCCCAACCTGCGGTCGAGAGCGATAACGGAACCAATTCCAATAAAGAACCTGCGGAAGGAAGGTCTTGATAGATCGGACTACAAACAACTGGCCCCACAAGTGGACGAGTTGTCTCTAATAGTTTGGAAAATTGGGGGTGGGCTGACCCGATTGCATACTGAACCACAGAGGAACAAAGCTTATTAAAAAGTAGCTGGCAGACATCTACTTTAATATCTTATAAGGCCTCAATTAAAAACGATGGCTATCCTGGTGTTGTAAAAATCATCAAGTTGCAAAATTTTTGGCAAAACTAATTTTAGTGGATAAATTGCCTATAGAACTATGATTTTACATAAATCTGCTGTTTCTACATACTGTACAACATCAGGAGTAGACCTTTCATTATCATTCAGGTTTTAAAAGCAATTTCTCTAGCTAAACCTGACGTAAAGAAATTACCAATATGGGACGCAAAATTTTATATGATTGGTTAATGTGTACTTTAAATTCTGGTTCATTTATTTGATATTTTCAGGCGAACAGCCTTGATACTTTTACTTGCTTCAGGTCGCAGAATTCATGACCTAACCCTCCTGGATGACTGTCCGGAGAATCTTATTTTTAAAGATAATAAGGTAATTCTGTGGCCTAGATTTGGGTCAAAGACTGACAATCAAGTACACAGAGAATCAGGTTGGTTGCCGCGGAGGCATCCAGATCCTCATGTTTGCCCAGTCAGACACATTAAGGATCTTATAATTAAATCTCAAAGTAGAAGGAACTCAGGTAAGAACATTACAAGCCTATTCTTTTTTCTGTCAGAAAAGCTAAGGCCAGCCTCATAGACTGTGATTGCAGGTTGGATATGTAGTATTTTTAAAGATGCCAATATTGATACCCTCCAGGCAGTATCAGATCAGTTGTTGCCTCAAGGAGCTGGTTTGAGAATAGACCTGTACAGGAGATACTTAATAGACGAAACTGGAAAAGCATTGAGACATTCAGAAAGTTTTACTGTCGGCCAGTAAACAATAAGGATTATGTTAATTCCAGTGTTGATTTATTATGTACAAATGTTACTAATATATATAAGGTCTTTTGGCAAATTTTCTTACTGTTAAGAAAATAGTTAATTTAAATATTATTTATTAATTGATAAATAGATATTAATTTTTAAATATTATGTCTATCTATTATATATATCTTAGTCATGATGACTAAGGTTTAATGAAAGAACTGATTTATGTATCTTTGATATTATTATTATTTAAGAATTACTTTTATTGTTGATTTTAAAACTATAGAGTAACAGAATTACTTTTTATTTTAATTCACTATTTTAGTGTTTTGTTGATTTTAAAGATTTTATAGATTAACAGAGGTTGTGACTTATAAGTTATTAAGTGTTGTTTATAATGTTATTTTAGTTTTATTAGATAATTAAACTGATTTTCTTAAAAACAGTTTTATAATTTATTCTCATCATAGCGTTTGTGTTTACCACCAGCAGATACCAAACAGGTCTTCATCGTAACGCTGTGTGTTTTAGAAAGACACATAATATTACTGTTTTGCATTACAACAAAACAGGTATTATGTGTTGAATAAAACACACAGCGTTACAGCAATGTTCTTGCTGGTGAGATGAAGACTCTATGAAACTTTAGGACATGCTTCTGAGACGGAAGATGAAGCCCGCTGGTGAGAGAAAGAGACAGGTATAAAACCATAGATAACAAGGTAAGTTTTACCATAGATACTTAATTAAAAGCAGGTTCACACAACAGCTTTCTTCATCGTAACGCTGTGTGTTTTATTCAACACATAATACCTGTTTTGTTGTAATGCAAAACAGTAATATTATAGTGCACAAGTATTCGCGCATACACAAGTGCACACTCTATTCCTGTTCACTCTCAAAATCCGATAGGCTACTTAATACTTCGACATGACCGATGAATGTTAAGATATAGAACCGGCGTGCTCTCCGAGGCACGTGGATGTAACACCGCCAACTTCCCAACTCCAGGCTGCTAATGAGAATTCCGTAACTGAAAATCTTAATAACTGAATTTGCCCGACACGGGACTAGAACCCAGGACCTCCGGATCTTAGGACAGAGGCAGTTGTTTTATGTATAGTATATATAAACATTCATAACTAACAGAAGTAGAGTACACAACTCTTTCTAACACGGTACATTAGCAAGCAGGTTTATTTTAGAAACATTAGGTATTTAAAATGACGTAATAGTTAAAATTTCCATTTAAATTATTAGTCGTAAAATATTCTTTCAATGAAATTTTTTACTTAAGAATAATAAATTAATTCAATGACTGTTTCATTTAAAGGATTATTACAATTTTGCAAATAATTAAAAAAACGTAACAATTACTTGCGGAACCGTGCACGACAAAAGCTAGTAACTAACGAGTGGCTCTATATTTAGATGTTTTATTTACAATGTAGACATCCACATATCTTCAAAACTGTTAAGTCAATGATTACGCTGTGATCTTGGAAAGTATATAAATTGGATACATGCCAATAGAAATCATTAAACCAACGAGGTGAGCGACATTTGAACGCAATATCTATTTTAGATAGATATTAAAGATAAAATACTAAAGGCAGGAACGACGCGGTAACATAACTATCATAGAAAACTTGGTTAATAGTTGTCAGTATGTATTGTTGAATTTTCATTAAAAATGTCATTCTATTACTTACGCACTGATAGCAACTCGACAGCGGTAAATATTATATGTTTTGTAGACCTTGTTATACCACTCTATGATGTTTCCAAGAAACTTTATAGATAAAGTTAATCAGTGTTATATTATTTTTATTTAACATCATTATACGTTAATCACCAACCAAGAAGCTCCTTTTGTTACAATTCATTCGCCCTTTCGCCAATTGGTCGTAATATGCGAATTCAATGAAGATCGATTGTTGTATGAAAATATGTTTATTGTTTGCGCATTATATGAGCCATTGACCGCCTTGACTCATAGAGTAGTGGAAATAGATAGTATGTCTGGATTCAGAATTTCCTTGTATTGTCATTTAAAAAAATCTCTTGTAACCAAATATTTCAACTCTGTTTTTCTTAACAGATTTATGTTTTGAAAGCATAATAATTATTAATTTTGTAAAAAAGAAAAAACACTTTTTGTTCTACTTAAATATATGAATGTTTGTGTTATTTATAAGAAAGAATTGTTTTATAAGTGAAATGCGCAGAACTCATCCGAAGCGTTTTCAAAACAAATAAACCAGTTCAGAAATAACTCTGGCGATGATTTTTGACAACACCTGACCAGTAAGACAAGGGAAACAATTTACACGCGTATCACAAAGCATTACCGTATTTCTTTATAAATTTCATGACCGTGTTATCAATTTTATTTTTAAATGTTTGTTTTTCATTATTACTATTATTAAATACTATCAACATCCTTAAAAGTTCATTTTAGATAATATTTAAGCATTTTTTTTAATTAGAAACACACTCAAAGTGTCTGTAAAGGAGCAGTAGATATTGAAATTTGAATGACTCTAAAATATATAATTAATAGATAATAGGCACTCTAGTTCTATGTTTTTTCTTCTCTCACGATACCACTACCAAGTGTAAACTGATTCTAATTACTCTTTTTTTAAATTAATTAGTTAATTAATACACTTTAATATTTTTGGTTAAATTTATTACATTACATGTCCTAATAAGTTTAAAATGATATTAAATTAGACAAACTTACCAGCAAGCGACCGCTCGTCCGTTTGCAGTTGTGCTCGTCGCTCATTGCGCTGCAGAAGCGTTGCGAAGTAATTGAGGAAGGGTTCCCGCGCCTCCGGGCACAGCAGTATGTTGTGGCAGATAGTGTGCAGTGTGCTGCGGCTCGCTTCCACCTCCCTTTGCAGAGCGAAAGCTAGGCTTTGGTCCGTGCCAGTGGCGATCATACGCTCTGCGAACCGCGGATTTTCTTCTGCGAATAGCGATATCTGTAACAATGTTTTCATTTATTATTATTCCCTGTAATTTTTATCTCAGTTTGTTTATGCTAGTTCTTCTCAAGATTGCATATTCTTGCTGATAGCAGAGTTTTAGTTTTTTGTGAGAGAGAAAATTAGTTTTAAATTGTGCTCTTGGCATATAGTTCCTCAATTTTTATTACATTGCGACCTTTCACTAAATTGGACTGACTTTTTACTAGAGCTTTAAAGGTGATGTGAATGTGCATTGAACAGGAAAGTACAAATTGTATCATTGGAAGCATTCAATCAATTAACATGAAATGTAATATAATTAGATTGTTTATTTCTACAGACTGTTCTCTTCAATCTGTAAAATAAACAGAAATCCGTTACGCAGTTTACATTTGACGTGGTTCAAACATAACGACAGAAACGCAAAATCACAGAAAATTTTAAGCACAACATTAAGAAATTTTTCAAAGTACAAATCAATATTTGTGACAATATAAACAGAGGCACACACAATAACTCACCGCAAAGAAGGGTCCAAGGAAGCTGACTCTGGCTATTTCGCGTCCGGGCGCCGTGGTGAGCGGTGGGGGGCACAGGCTGGGCAGGCGGGCGATGAGCGCGCATATCGGCCGCGTGGAGTGCCGCGGGCCCGCGCGCAGTTCGCACAGGGAGCGCAGCGCGCGCAGCACCGCGCCGTGCCCGCGACCCACCAGCGGGGACACGCGGCGTCGCATCTCTTCCCGTATCCCCATCAGTAGTGGAATGAATACCTAATCATAGTCCAGTATAAATATCCATACAGTAGGCAATGTAACAGTTGTCAAAAAATACCAATTTTTATGACAAAGGGTTTTGAAAAGCTAGCTAAAAAAAATAAAACCTCGGTACTGCCATCTCGTGGCTAGTTACAGCTATGCTCATTTCTTTATTTATGTAGATGTAATTTGTATTTAAATATGTTATCTATTGGACCATTATTAGAAAAGATGATAAGGGTGTAATTATTTTTAGGTATCTCAGATAAAGAATCATTCATTTTGCTAATGACTGTCTATGTGATAATTATATAATATTTAGGTCGTAGGTATAAATTACTATTACATACATAAAAGAAGCATTTTGATATATACTCACCTCATCAAATGCTTCTTGATCTAAATATGTAGCTAGTAGCACTTCAGGTATGAGACCTATTGGTGTGTTACCAATCAAAATGTAGGGTAATAATGGTGATTTCCTACATTTTTCTAATTCGAATCTACCTCTTAACACTAACACCAAATTATTAACAAGTAAAGTTCTCAAATTTTGTAATAGGTCACTTAATGGCGGCTCTGAACTTTTCTTTGCATGTTCTCTCTCATAAATGTTTATGTTTGAGTAAAACTTTAAAATATAACTAACAGCCAGGCCCTGTGTTGGTATATTTTTTGGTATAGGTAATGACGGTGTGGGACATTCAGCCTTTTCTGTGCCTGTCTCAGGTGCAATATGTCCCGTTGTTAAAATGTCATCTCCACAATCTTCACTTAAACTTTTTGCTGTTTCAGTAATAGCAATTAATTTCTGATTTAAAGGATCTGATCCATCAATAATTTGTGTAATAACATCCATTAAGGCTTCAGATGCTAATTCTTCCAAGGTTAGCTTTGGATTATCAAGTAATGATGCGGCTACTGATGGTACAAAAATGCCACCTGAAAATAACACTTATAATTTTTATTTAGTTTAAAAAAGAAAAATTAATATTTAAATTTATTTATCACACCTGCACTATCTTCTGACCAAGATACTTGAAGTATTTTGGCTACAATGTTCCTTAGTTGTTCTTCTGTTAGCTCAGTACAACTAACTGTCCGTGATCTTTGTATTTTACGAGCTGGAGATTGTGTTGAGTCATTATCTTCAACCTTAAATATCATATTATATGTATAAAATTAATAATAACAAGAGAACTAGCCTGATCAATGTTTTAAAATGTTTAAAATTAATACAATGAACATAATCATAAGGAAAATATAAGGCATATATTTAAATGATGATTTCTAAGTAAATAATAAATGATAAAAGTTTTGTAATTGTATAATGGTTGATTATTGATTTACTACAGATATTGAAATTATTAGTATTTATATTTTTAATACTCTACTCACTTCCATGGGTTCCTGTTGTGTTTCAGATTGTGAATTTCTTTCAGATATATCATCAACTTCCATAGACAGTGAACGTCGTGAACAACTGGGTGAAGCATTACTTGTTCTTGCCCTCACTGGTGGAGGTTCGGCAAATTGTGCTGGAGAAATTGAGCGAGATGTACTGTCCTCTCTAGTGGATACACCTTCTGAACCACTCACTGTTGACTGAGGTAAAACTCTCACAGAACCACAGCTTAACAAGTTATCCTCACCCATTGAATCAAAACTATTGTACTGTCTTGTCTGAGATAAGTCTGTCATTTTAGTGTCAGGCATCTCATCCATCAAGTTATTATCCGTTTTTTCTGTGACAATCAAGCCATCAGCTGGAATTTTAGCTTGATCTGACACTTCATTTTTGTTCTCTGAATAATTTTGATCTTTGTTTGTACCTGAATTTTCAATAGAACTGCGAGGTGTTTGTGCTGGTGCTGGTGACAGACGAGAGGGTGGAGTAGGGATTAAAACGTCAGTTGGTATTGAAGCACCCGGAGTTATGGGGGGACTTGTAGGAACAGGAGATGATCCAGTGCCTCCCAAAGCTGCAAGACGTGCCAATCTACGTCTTCGTATCTGCAACGAATTAAAATTGATTGTTGCGAACAGAGCACGTGTAAAGTTTACACTCACACCAACACTTCTCACTACGACACTAACGCTTTGTTTTGTTACGAAATTAGATTGGCCATACGCATTATGCCAAGGGCCGTTTACAAAATACGACTCACCTCCTCTGGACTGAGTTCACTCATTGTGGAAAATGATTCTTTTATTATATTATTTTAAATGGACTACAGCTAACACTTTTTATAATGGATTAGATTTTAATAAGTCGATTCAGACAGAACAACGGAGCAAGCCACACAACGTCAAGCAGTCAGTCACCTCTAGCTCAGCTGAGACGATTGGCTATTTGACGTTTATACTTGTGAATAGATGACGAGAAAGTATTGAAAATACACGCGTCATCCTCACGAAACCTAAACAAAGCTTAAAACACTATGTGAGTCTGTGGACTGTGGTTTATTTTTGAAAGATATTTTTTTTCTAATTTACTCGAATTATAATGACTAAAAAATGTTAAATAAGTTTGCAGTAAGTTAATTTAAATTGAAAAGAGTAAAGTTTTTGCCTTTTACTTATAGTACCTATCAGTAAAAAAATATCGATAAAAGAAAAGATATGGCATATTCATATTTTCGAATAATTATAATTTTATATATTTTTACGAGTATTTAAAATATCTTAGATTTAAAAATATAATTTTATTCATTGGATTGTTTTCTTTGGTAAATGGTAATATAAAAATATCTGTCTAATTTTCTATAGTCTGTGGTGTTATAAATAAATCAATGGCCGCATGTTTTCAATTTGTTTATGTTTTTTGAAAATCATATTTGTTGTACAAATTTATAGTTTGTTCTATCTCATCGTCAAATTAATATAAAATATTATTAATTGTTAAACATTTTTTTTAGAATTATAAATAAGAGAGTAAAGACTCAAATAGGCCAACATGTAGAAGTTTAATTGAGCTATGCTTAACTGCATACACCGCTAATTATTAGTTTTATATAATTTTTTATAAAGTTTTACATCAAAATGACGCATAATTCTGTCTCAGATTTTATTATGGGCCTAAAATCCCGACACACTGAAACCAGGCATAAATCTATAAGGGAACTTCTGCATTTTGTAAAGACGGACTTACGAGAAATGACCCAGGAGTCTGCCACCCAAGTCCTTGATGAACTCAATCAACAAATCCATTTACTCACTTCTAGTTACGATAATAACGACAAAAAGGCTGGAATATTAATAATAGGTAATGGATGTTTAAATTCAAAATACAAATCTTTAATTCACTATGTTATATGACTTTTTCATGTTTTATTATATAATTTCAGTATGTTTAGTGAGTGGAGATTCTGAAGCCAATAAAACTAGAATAATTAGATATGCCCAATATTTAAAAAATATTTTTCCTTCAAATGATATAAATATCCTAGAATTAGCTGCTAAAACAATGGGCCGGATTGCAGTCTCATTGGGCATAAAGAGAGGAGAATTTGTTGAATTGGAAATAAAAAGAGCATTTGAATGGTTAGCTGAAGAAAGAAATGAATGCAAGCGTCTTTCTGCTTGTTTTATTTTAAGAGAACTAGCTATAGCAATGCCATCATATTTCTTTCAGCATGTTAATTGTTTCTTTAATTATATTATGCTTGCGTTACATGATCCTAAAGAGCAGGTTAGAGATGCTGCTGCTAAAGCTATAAGAGCTGCTTTTGTTGTTACTGTTAAAAGAGAAATCCCAGAACAAAGCAATAAAGCACATTGGTATATACAGTGTTATGAAGAAGCTATAGCTGCTTTCACTGACCATATGGCAAGAGAGAGGATTATAAGTAGGGATGATCATGTCCATGGTGCTCTTTTGCTATTAAATGAACTTCTAAGATGTTCCAATGTAAATTGGGAGAAAAAATACACAAAGCTCATGCAAAAACTTGACTCGGAACAAGAAATTTTGGATGAAATGTCAAATTTTAATCCCAAAGGACATTTATCTGGATACCACAGTTACACTGATGAAAAATCACAGTCTGTAGTTATTTATGAATCTTCCATTTGTAAAAAGCTGATTTCTGAAAAATATGATAAAATAGCTGTTGGTAAGTATTATAAATTCTAATGCTTTATTATTTTATTATTATATTGAAATACTTTAATCTTTTTCAAAACTACTCCACAAAGCTGTGACACACACATACACACATACACATTATAATTTTAATTTATTATTTATTTTATTAATTATCCAACAAAATAAAAATAAAGATTTATCAATTCTTGACTAGAATCTAAAGATATTCTTTATTTTTTATTATATTACATGATAATTGACCCGAAACCCGTCTTCTGTATACCATGTAACCGTGGGGCTTGTAACAGTAAAAATGTAATGCAATCTCGGCTGATGCCATTGTATAAATGCGTTGTTATATCTTAACTACGTGTCGCATATGAAAGCGCGTCTACTGCCCGCTTAAAATTCGTCGTGTGCACAGGCCTTAAAAGAGATCAAATTTTCTTTTGTGAATTCTGAATTATAAAGTAATTTTAAGTCAATAAAAGTATTTTTTTTAGTTATTTATTATATATATATGTTTATAAAGTTATTTTACAATAATTGAAATTTAAATGTTATTAGGAATGTCAACAACACAAAATTCTTCAGTCATTCAATATGTATATTTTTCAGAAGTTATGGCTCAACAAATATCAAGATCTCATAGTGTTCATCAATTGCTTCTATTATTAATACCAAGATTGGCAGCATTCAACAAAGAAGCTTTCACAAAAAAACATCTTAAATCAACAATAAATCATCTTATTACATTTCTTAGAGGCAGAGAAAAAGAAAAAGCAATGGCTTTTACGACATTGGGGTTGATTTGCATAGTCGTTGAGGACGACATCCAACCGTATCTTACTAGAATTATAGAAATAATAAAAGTTGCACTTCCATTAAAAGATGTACCAAAAAAGAAAAATGGAAATGAAACTACATTATTCAACTGTGTGACCTTACTTGGTATTGCCATGAAAGAATGTGTTGCAAATGAAATAAAGGAACTTCTAGATCCAATGTGTGCTACAGGACTTAGTCCACAATTAACAACATGCTTTAAAGAACTCAGCCAAAATGTACCTTCTTTGAAAAAAGAAATTACAGACAGATTACTGAATATTTTGTCCTTAATATTGAGAAAGAAACCATACATTACTAACAGTGCAGATTCGCCTGTAGTTATGTTTTCTACAGCTCTGTTAGCGGAACCTCATGATGCACACAAATTAGTCTTAGCTTTACATACTCTTGGGAATTTTGATTTTGATTGGAATAATACACTTATGTCTTTTATAAGAAGATGTACAGATCATTATTTGCAAAGCGAACAACAAGATATACGTCTCGAGACCATTAAGACTGTAGCTAAATTACTTATTAAAGCAATTGAGAAATGCGCTTACTCAAATTCGCGAACTTTAAATGCATTGATTGATGAGTCGCTGGGCAAGCTTTTATCTATCGGTCGTTCGGATTTTGATCACGAAGTACGTTATCGAGTACTAGAAATATTCACCAATCCTATATTTGATAAATATTTAGCTGTAGAAGAACATCTCAGTTGTCTTTTTGTTGCTATAAATGATTCAAATAGTGATGTGAGTGAATTAGCCCTTTGTGTAGCGGGAAGGTTGAGCAATGTGAACCCTAGCTACACTACTCCTGCCTTGCGTCAGTTATTTGTACAGATTTTAATGGAACTTCAACATTCGGAATCAACACGTAATAAGGAACAGTCACTGCGGATGATCAACAACCTCATATGTCATGCTCCGAGATTAACGCGACAATTTGTAGATACTATTTTAAAAGTGCTTGTTCCGAAACTGAAAGAGAGTGATAGCAACTCTGTCATGATATGTACAATCCTAAAGGCTATTGGGGATCTCGCAGAAGTGAACAGTGGAGGCAATGCCTTAATACAATGGTTACCTGAATTGATGTCAATTCAACTTGAAATACTATCAGATCCAAATCAGCCTGAAAAACGGAGTGTAGCTCTTTGGTCGTTCGGACAAGTAATAAGCTCAATTGGCTACGTCGTTACACCATATATGGAATATCCTAATCTTATGGATATGCTGCTTAATTTGATAAAAACGGAGCACAATTCAAGAGACAGGCGAGAAGCAGTTCGTGTGCTAGGCTTGTTGGGGGCACTAGATCCATATAAACATAAAATTAACCAGGGGCTTATTGATTTCCAAACAATATCTACATTGATACCAGTGACAGATAGTCACGACAATATTGATATAAATGTAAGTGAAATGCTAGTGAGCATGTCTCCATTGGTCCTGGATGAATTTTATCCGGCGATCGCAGTTACATCTTTAATGCGTATTTTACGAGACCCTTTGTTGGCCCAGCATCATATAAGTGTCGTTAATTCAGTTACTTATATATTCCGAACGTTAGGCATTAAATGCGTGCCGTATATATCGCGAGTGACCCCCAGTCTTTTGTACGTGATTCGTACTACAGATAATTACAATTTTCGAGAATTTCTTTTTACCCAGCTCGCACTTATAATATCAGTAGTCAAAATTCACATTCGGCCATATTTAGAAGATGTATTTGACTTAATCAGAGAATATTGGACACATGACAGTCAGATTCAGCACACACTCATATTACTTGTAGAGCACATAACTGTGGCTATTGGCACAGAATTCAAGATATATCTAAGAAAGATACTACCAAACATTTTAAGGGTTTTAAAATACGATAATAGCAAAGATAGAATATTAACACAGAAGCTTTTACTGACAATACAAAAGTTTGAAAATAACTTGGACGATGTTCTTATGTCGGTAGTGCCAGCTATAACGGGACTCTTTGATGGTAGGAATATTCCGACGTCGATATCGATATTAGCGATGAAAACGATTGAACATTTGTCAATGTATTTATATTTTAAGCCATATTCGGCAATGCTGATACAAGAGCTAGCAAAGGTTTTGGAAAACAGTCCCCCTTTACGACAAGCGGCCATGGATACTCTGTGTGCTCTGATTGTTCAATTGGGCCGCGAATATATAGATTATATACCTTCAGTAGACAGAATATTAAGCAAATATAAAATTCAATGTCCAAACTACATTGTATTGGTAACTCGATTGCAAGTGATTTCGACTTTGGCTTCCGACGATGATTATTTAGATGAAACTCGGTTACGACTACGAAATCAAAAGACCGATGTAAGTGTATCAGCATGATTTTGTTCGGAAAAGAAAGAGTTATTTTAACTTAAAAAACTTTTTGCTATTTCAGTCACTTTTAAATATGATCAAAATTTATAAATAATATCAAATATTATGGGTTTTAGGTCGTAACTAACAGTGACCTGCAAGCGATTCAGAAGCTAACTCTTAATGTAGATAAACTTCGGAAATGTTGGTTAGTGAATAACCTTATATCAAAAGAGGACTGGGTGGAGTGGTTGCGGCAGCTGAGTGTTGGATTCCTCACAGAGTCGAATAGTCCAGCTATTAGGTATGTTTACTTAGATTGTATTTTATTTTTGAAAAATCAATCTTTGTAGATTCAGTCATTCAGTGTCAAATATAATCAGAATAAAAAAATCACAATATAGTACTACAGATCATTTATTCTCTAAAATATTTTATAATTCCTTTCCAACAGAGCATGTGCGAGTTTAGCTCAAAACTACCCGCAACTAGCGAGCGATTTATTTAACGCGGCCTTCATGTCGTGTTGGACTGAGCTAAGCGAGCAGCCACGTGCCGAGCTCGTGTCGGCTTTGGAAAGAGCTCTGGCAGTACCTGATGTTCCTGAAGTTTCTTTAGCAGTTTTGAATCTGGCAGAATTCCTGGAACATTGCGATAAGGGTGCTTTACCCATATCTATCAAACTTCTCGGCGACACAGCTATCACTTGCCGGGCGTATGCTAAAGCTCTGTATTACAAAGTAAGTTACATTTTGGAATCGTCATTCAATCTTGGCTGATATATGATATTGTGTGAGGTACTTATCATGCAATTCTTTACAAAGAGTATTTTCCTCATGGTGAAGTTAGAAGAATTGTGATGTGTTCATTAAGAACAGTTAGATGTTTGAGGTGCAAATATTATTGAATCAAGTTACGATCGTCCAGTTCATTCTTTTAGTGTATAAGACGGAATTTTTTAGCGTTATGTAGGACGGTATACACTGTAAAAAAATGAAATAAATCCTGTCACTTATCATAGTTTTTACACCAGTGTAGTAATATATAGGATTTGCGAAAGAGACATTTCGCGAGAATAGAGATATCAAATATAGAATTCGCGGTGTCTTCCTTGGCTTCTTTATTACCAATGTATGTATATTAATTATTTGATTTTTTCTTGTTACAGGAAGAAGAGTATAAAAGAAATCCTTCAACGCAAGTAGTTGAGGCTCTAATTCATATAAACAATAAATTACAACAAAAAGAATCGGCTAATGGCTTATTAGAAAAAGTTATAATGGAGAAAAAGAATGGAGATTGTTCCCTCAATGTTCACGTTCGGTGGTATGAGAAGTTACACAATTGGGATCAAGCGCTGGACCTTTATACTAAGAAGTTAGAAGTGGAACCACAAGATGTAGAGTCCAAGATGGGGATGATGCGCTGCTTAGAAGCTATGGGTGAATGGAGGAAGCTATACACCATCACTGCGGAGCAGTGGGATTCGATGTCTGACAATATCAGAAAGAAATCGGCAAAAATTGCGGCAGCCGCTTCATGGGGTCTGCAAGAATGGGACTCCATGAAGAAATATGTAGACTGCATTCCCGAAGATACTCAAGACGGTGCTTTTTACAGAGCAATTCTATCTATCCACGATGGTCAATGGTCGGAGTCGAGACATTTTGTAGATACAGCAAGAAATTTATTAGACGCTGAACTATCTGCAGTTGTCGGTGAAAATTATCAAAGAGCGTATGGTGCTTTGGTGAACGCTCAGTTATTAACAGAGCTGGAGGAAGTAGTTACATATAAACTTGTAGAAGAAAGAAGGGGTATTATTCATAGAACATGGTGGACAAGGCTTTTAGGCGGTCAACGTTTAGTTGAAGATTGGCGCAAGATGCTACAAATACGCAGTCTTGTACTGAGTCCACGAGAAGATTGTCAAACCTGGTTAAAATTTGCTTCTCTCTGTAGAAAAACAGGAGCAATAAGTCAGGCTCACAAAATAGTTATATCGATATTAGGTTGCGATCCGATCGCGAACCCCGATGTGTTATTAAGGGTTCAAGATCCAAGAATTATATTAGCGTACAGTAAAATTTTATGGGACGCTGGCAATAAACGCTACGCTTACGACGTCTTGCAGAGACTCGTTGATAACTCTGAACCTGAAAATGAAGAACAGTGCCGATTACTCGCACGCTGTCATCTTAAACTAGGATCTTGGTGTGAATCGCTACAAGAAATCAATGAATTGTCTATCCCTGAAATTTTAAGGAATTACGCATCTGCCACATATAATGCCCCAGAATGGTATAAAGCTTGTCACGCCTGGGCTTGCATGAATTTTGAAACCGTTTTATTTTATAAGCAACAAGATAACATTTCGGAGAGTAGCACAGCCGGAGGATCTAGCGAGAAAAAGATATCGCGAGCAGAATTCATCAATACTTACACGATACCGGCTATCGAAGGGTTCTTTAAATCTATCAGCTTGTCGAATGGCAGTTCTTTGCAAGATACATTGAGACTTCTCACGTTGTGGTTCGATCACGGCCATCATCCTGCCATTTACGATGCATTGTTTGAAGGCATCAGACAAATCGATGTTAAAATATGGCTACAAGTAATTCCACAATTGATAGCCAGAATAGATTCTCCAAGAAGTTTGGTCGCTAAGCTCGTGCACATTTTACTAATAGATATAGGAAAGCTACATCCACAAGCTCTAGTATACCCCTTGACTGTGGCGACGAAGTCCTCTTTTGTAACAAGAAAAGCTGCCGCAAATTACATTTTAAAAACTATGAGTTCCCATTCAGAAAGATTAATTAATGAAGCTGCTATAATATCTGAGGAGTTGATCAAAGTAGCAATGTTGTGGCATGACCAAGTTTACACTGCGCTTGATGATGCTTCTAGGTAGAGTTTCATATATTTTGAATAATAAAAAAAACATTTGAAAAATAAAGCTCAAATTATTCACAATATGTTTTTTTTCCAGGTTATATTATAGTGAAAAAGATTATAGAGGAATGTTTAGAACATTAGATAAAATGCACGCAATGCTGGACCGTCCACCAGAGACCTTAAAAGAGGTATCGTTCTTACAAATGTACAGTCGAGATTTGCAAGAGGCGCAGCGTTGTTGCGAGCTTTATAAGGTGTGATACTTAATTTTTTATGAGTACTGTATCAATTTTGTTTTAATTCTATTTTCAGATTTAAACGCAATAAAGATATTGAGTTTTATTTTGCTTGACACTTATATTTATTATTGTAGCGATATCATTTGAAAAATTTGGAATCAATTCGTTATATATAGCGCATATACACTTAGGTGCGAAACTGAGTCAAAAGTTGAAAATTTTACATGTGAGAGCATCATAAATTTAGCTTTTAGTATTACATTAAAAAGGAGTATATAAACATAAACTACACTAACTACACATAGACTTTATTATCTAAAATTTTATTTTAACACTAATTTAAGGATTATTTTTAATGGTTAATTTTTGCACCACCTTTTGCACGTTAATATTTGGTCCAAAGACTTTTTGCCTTTTTAATAGCGTTTAATCTGCTGTTCATACTTTTCACAAATTGTTCACTGGGCTCACACTGGGTGTAATTTTATTACACTCATATAGAAGTATGCATTCAAACGAAGAAGTATTCGTTAAAGTTAGTTGAGAGCAAGCAAACCTTGACCCAGGGATGGAACGTTATTATGGTATTTTAAAAATTTATTAATGCAGATAAAATTGGGCTTACCATTTAATATTTTTTTTACTTTATATATGTATAAATTTCTCAGAGATGAGATATTTTCCTGCAATAAAAAGTATCCTTTATGTTGACCCGGATAACTATCATACCAAATTTCATCAAAATCTGTCCAAGGATTTTCTCGTAATGCGGTAACAGACAGACAAAAATTCTAAAAATTATAGATTCGGCCTCTGTATCGATAATAATGACTATTTCATATTCTGATAAATTTTGTACAGATTACAGAAAAATGTACAGATTAGACTCAGAATGTTATTATATGTATTATGTATAGATTTTATACTAAGATAGATCTTTTTGTGCCAAGTGTATGTACCTATGTTTTATACAGAGGTAAAGTTTGTAAGTTTCTACATAGGAGCTAATTTCTATAGTTAATATATTAGGAGTATTAAAGATAATTTTTCATTCTGTTAAAAATGTACTTACTGTCGGAAATCATTATAGTAACTGAATAATATTTAATAATAGAATTCAGAAAAAATGGCCGTTGAGTTACTTTATCAACTATTGTTAGGCATCTAGGGTCTCGCTAGTATTTTATAAGTGAATAAACATGTCAGGAGAGCAACGAGGAGCGCTACCTGAACAGCGCGTGGGACGTGTACTGCCACGTGGTGCGGCGCATCGGGCAGCAGGTGCGCTCGCCGGCCGCGCTGGAGCTGCAGTACGTGAGCCGGCGCCTGCACGCCTGCCGCGACCTGCAGCTGGCCGTGCCCGGCTCCTACGTGCCGCGCCATCCGGTCATACGCATCGCGCACATCAACACGCACCTCCAGGTAACCGCAGCCTCATCCCGCCACGGGTCACATCTGCCTTTTTAACGCTTTTCTGCCCTTTTATGATCTGCTGCCAAAGATAGTTATGTGAAGACTCATTACTAGAAAAGCCAGAACTACCCACTAAAATTCAGCGGAATCTTCTTAGTATTAATGGGGATAGCAGGGTCATATACCAGGAGTAACACGCTCGGCTTACCTCCCAATACCCACCGAGGTGGCTAAATTAGCAAACGCTATTGAGCCCCTACCTGTTCTTTAACTTCAGACTTTTACGTTGAGCAACGGACAAAATTTTAAGAACTATTTTTTAATCTCATTTTCTATGCTTTGAGATTATATGTACTAATCCTAATATGATTATAAACTTTAGGTGATCAAATCGAAACAACGTCCCCGTCGTCTAACGATCCAAGGCTCCGACGGCAAACAGTACATGTTCCTGCTGAAGGGGCACGAGGACCTGCGCCAGGACGAGCGCGTCATGCAGCTGTTCGGACTCGTCAATACTTTGCTTCAAGCTGACCCCAGCACGAACAGACACGACCTCGCCATACAGAGATATGCAGTTATACCACTGTCCCCTAACTCTGGTCTCATAGGCTGGGTCCCGCAGTGTGATACGTTGTACAATTTGGTCAGTGATTACAGAGACAAGAAATCCAATAAGCTGGCCCTGACAAAAGAGCAACAGATCATGTTGGGAATGGCGTCCGATTATCAGAAATTGATGCTTAAACACAAGGTATGTAGTGCACAGTTCTTTTATATATTTTTAATCTATTAATAGTATTTGTATAATAATATTGATCTATTTGGTTTAGTACGAAATTATAAGAAGAATTGGCGGCTTAACAAGTAAGCCCTAACAGTAGCCTGTGTTTTACTCCAAGTGTATTTGTGTCATATTTCATCCAAATCCGTCCAGCCGTTTCAGTGTAAAGGAGTAACAAACATAAATACTAACATACCAACTTTTACATTAATTATAATAGTAGTTCGGCCATATTTAAAATTAACTGTAACACAATAAACTTGTAGGTTGAAATATTCGAATACACGTTATCCCAAACGCCCGGCAATGATCTGGCGAGGCTGCTGTGGCTCAAGAGTCCGTCCGCCGAGGCGTGGTTCGAGCGCCGCACCAACTACACGCGCTCGCTGGCCGTCATGAGCATGGTGGGCTACATCCTCGGCCTCGGCGACCGGCACCCCTCCAACATCATGCTGCACCGGGTCACCGGCAAGGTCCTCCACATCGACTTCGGAGACTGCTTCGAAGTCACTCAGACCAGAGAACGCTTCCCAGAGAAAATACCGTTCAGGTTGACCAGGATGTTGATTAATGCTATGGAGGTATGGTTTTTACTTTTTAGTGTTTATGGTTTTAAAATTTTGGATTTTATATATTTTCTGACATATATCATGTAGTGAGAGAGAGAAAGGGAGAGACAGTAAATAATAAGAAAAAATACCTTACAAATAATGCATAAACACAGGACACATTGAAATGTATATGTTCTCAATACATGTACATACTGTACATATATATAAATCTTAGTATTAACCTCGTAAGATCCAAGCTAAAGAATAGATTAAATAAAAACTGTTCAGTGTTGAATATTATGTGAAATAGATTTTCTTTAATTGATATTCATTTTCAATTTTAATTATTATTAATAATATAATACTTTTATATATTAGTTTTAAGTGTTTACTAAATTCAATCAAAATAATGAACAATGTATTAAATTATTTGGAATTTAAATTAGGATATTTATTATAATTAACTCGATATAAAATATACAAATAATTAATTTATTAACTTATAATTTCATATACTAATACAGTAATTAAGGCTAAATTGTTTTTATTACTAACAAATATGGATGTATTATCTTGAATTAAAAAATAATATTATTAATCTTTATTTTCACTCATTATAACAAATGCATCTAACAGGTGACAGGCATAGAAGGCACGTACCGGTTCACGTGCGAGTCCGTCATGCACGTGCTGCACCGCCACCGCGACAGCGTGATGGCCGTGCTGGAGGCCTTCGTGTACGACCCGCTGCTCAACTGGCGCCTCATCGACAACGAGCAACACTCCATCACCGAGTCCACCTTCTCCTCAGACATCGACTCTCCCTACTCTCTGCCGAGCCGCAGTCGCAACATTCGCTACGAATCCCTAGAAATGCCCCCTGAATCTAATCTAAACAAGCGTGCCCTAGCTATCCTTAACCGTATCCGCGACAAACTCACAGGCCGCGATTTCCCTCACATAGAAGCGGTTGTCAGCGTCCCCAAGCAGGTGGATTTGTTGATCAAGATAGCCACCAATAATGAAAATTTATGTCAGTGTTATATGGGTTGGTGCCCGTTTTGGTAAAAGTATTTGTGTAACCAGAGTGGTTTAAGTGAAATTGTTTGAAGTTAGTGCGAGTGGCGTCGCAGTGAACGCTTTTGTAACTTAATTGGTGAGGCGAGATGGAGCTCATATTGTATACTGCATACGAGTGACTAAAGATATAGAAGTCCGGCTAACTTAAATTCAGATCGTATAATACTATGGAGGGTAGAGGTAAGGAGTACTATTTCTATGATGAAAAAATGTCTGTCGACATGCGAGTGGGTACATTTTGAAGTAAGCGCTAAAAGTTCATATTATTAAAAGTTCAAAAAAAAATCACTACACCACTAACCTAACCACCATAGGTTTTTCGGTTACATTTACTAAATTATTTTGAACGGCGTAAATAGTGTCAATAACTACTCAAGTCACCCAAAATATTTAGTTTTTCAACTCAGCACATTTCAGTCTGTTTACAACTGCTAAATTCAAATCAAACCTTTTTGCTATGCTAGCGCCATTCTGGTGGGTTTTTGAACTGTTATTTACCGCTTACAGGAGGACACTTTTTCAAATTATCTCCCATTTATGACGGGTATTACCTCTTTCCTCCAAATACAGTACGCGTGTGATGTCAAGATATTTTGTCTTATTTTTTAAAGCTCATTTCATATTATGTTTTTTGAAGTTTATTCCTATTTATTTTGGTCTTATTATCAAAATTATCGTTAAGAGTCAAAAATCATCATCATGCCTGAATTTTATCTTATATCGTTTGGCATTTCAATAATGATTTGTTTTGAAAAGAAGTAGTTGTTTTGTGCTCATCTTCATATCGCTTTAAAATCCTAAATTATTTTTTTCCGATTTTTTCGCTGATTTATTTAGTTTTTTTTTATTTCTGACGTTTCAATTGATTTACAGCTATAATTTGTCTGAAATATCTGAAAAGATAGTTTTAATTAAAAAAGTCAAATATTCGCGTAAATCGAAAGAAGTTTATCTTTAGGTATGCCTGCTGTATTCCTAAAACATGTAAACAATAATTTATCATAGTCATTGCGTATTCAAAATAATAGTATGAGATAGAACGCGCTCAACCACGACGCCCCGATGGTAGGTCTGCCGAAGCAGACCAGAACAACCATGGGGTTGCTCCAACGGTCCGGCTGAACTGCCGGACGCTTATGAGCCCCCCACCACGACAAGGTGAACACACTTTGTGGAGAGGGGGGATTTTGGGCGATTTTATTTAATACTAGATTAAGTTAACGCAACACTCAATTTCAGTCGGTATAAAATGACTTGGTGGAATAATACGTTACCTCGCATTACCTGTATAACCACTATAATTTTATAAGTGCTATTTTATCTTAAGATATGATCATATCCTGTAACAACACTGTCTCTACTGATATACTTATCAATTGTTGTTATTTCACTTTTGACTGCCCGTGTATAAAATGTTAAGTAATTTAATTATTATCCTGAAAATACATATTTTTATTAATTTACTCAATTAAAGAAAATGTAATTTATTAAGTGTAGCTTCGGTTTGCCACTGGTAAAACTATTGTAGGGCTTAGATCTAATATTTTATTTTCATTTATATTAGGGGATTTCCCGTTTGTACAACTAGTCCTTTATAATATCGCTATTACTTTATTATTTGTAGAAAGTGATAAGTATTTTTCAGTTATTATCTTATTATTATACTTAAGTTAGGATACAAAAAACATTTCTTTATAATCAGAGGCAATGCATAACCATTGTGCGACGGCAGTTCTTTGTAGCTTAAGTGTTAAATGTATTAAATAAAAATATCTTTTTTTTTACCATAAATATATATTTTTTCAAATCTTCTTTTGGTCACATTGCATACATCATCCACACATTAAAATATACTTTACAAAATTATTGTTGAAATAACTTAATGTAAATAATTATATGAAAGTTTTAAGTTTTAACATCTACAAAGCTTATTTCATAACTTATTTATGCCCGATTTCACCAACGTCACCTAAGTTTAAGGGATCTCCTAAGCATGGTTAGGGGGCTGTTAGGGGACATTTTCCGTTTTACCGACAGTTAGGGGTCACCTAAATATTAAAGGGCCCCCTAAATTTAGGTGCTCGAAATATGGGCTTAAAAACGATCGTAAAACGAAATTTAATTTAGGGGCTAGTTTAGGGGACTTTTAAGCTAGGATCCCATACGTAGGTGGTAGCTTATGGGCTCTTGGTGAAATCAGGCATTATTGTCGTAAAATCCTCAAAGAAACAGCAACTACGTTGGTCCGCACTCTTCATATACACATTTGCGACAGTAGTTTTGTGATGAAATTAATTCCATGGCATTATTGAAAAAATCGCGTTTAACATGAAATTATTTAGCATTACGAAATTACACGTAAAATTAGTAATAATAATTGATAGAGGAGTTAATAATAATCAGATTAGCAGTATATTAGGAGATAATTGAGGAATATCGTTATGTAAACTATTAAGCTTTAAATCTTATATCTTTTAACGAGCAATTCTTATATATATAATCTGAATCTCGGGAACGGCTCCAACGATTTTCATGAAATTTAGTACACAGGGGGTTTCGCGGGCGATAAATTGATCTAGATTAGTCTTATGTCTGAGAAAACGCGTGTTTTCGAGTTTTCATGCAGTTTTCTTTTGCATTATTCCACGCAAAATATGGTCGGTAATTTGCACGTTCTGATTAAGCATCGTGGTCAAGCGGCCAAGGTGCAAGGTCAACAATCACAGGTGTCCAGGTTCGATTCTCGGTCGCATACAAAGTTTTTACTTTTGTTTTTTTTAGTTGTAAGTTTTTAGTTTCTTTAAAAAAAAAAGGAAAAAATTAGTTAAGCCAAAAACTCCGAGCGAGGATCGCTAGCCCAGGTACTACACGCTGTCCCGTTGGTAACTTACAAACGAGAGTGGTAACAATTTAGACAGCTTAGTGCACAATACTTTGTCCATGGTGGGCTTGCTCAGGTACACGTCCATATCGCCGTCCGAGCCGCGGAACTCATTGAGGGTCTGTCGGCAGACCCCACACGGTGCGGTGAAGCTGTCCCTCTGGTGCGCCACAACAGCAACCATCCTGAACTTCAGATACCCGTCACATACCGCCTTCGGCAGTGCTGACCTTTCCGCACAAATACTAGGCGTGAACGTTGAATTCTCAATATTACACCCAGTGTACACTTTACTATCTTTCTCGGTCAATATGGCCGCCCCAACCGCGAAATTTGAATATGGACAATAAGCACGTTCACGTATCTCTGATGCTTCTCGAATTAAATTTCGCACCACTTCGCCTGGAATTTAAGCGTTTAATTAGTCATTGACGTGCTTAATCAACGATAATCTAGATAAGAAAATTGGCCTTTTGAAATGTTCGGTCAAATCAATGATATGGTAAATATATTATATCATATCATAGGTAAGTACATTAATTACTTAATAATTTTTATCTGTTTTAAGTTATCTACATGAAGTAAATCTAAAAAACTTATTTTTCATACCAGTGTAAAAACCTGCATAGAATTGCAATTTAGCAAAATGCAAATATTCATTATTTATTTATAAATATCTACAATTGTAGGTCAAAGTCAAGCAATACGTTCGATTTATAAATAGTTTTCCTTTATATTTAGCAAGAAGATCATTGCAAATTATAATTGTAAGTACATAAAGAAATATAAAGTTTGAAAATTATTTGAAATTGCAGTTGAAGCATCTATGAGGGAGTTATAATAATGTGTGAGTACTCAGTACATAGGTAAATACACTCACTCAATGAGTTGAAGTCGACTATTTCGAAATTATCCATGGGCGCGTAATTATTGTTGGGATCGCGTGTAGATTACGAAATCGCAGAAGCGTGCGACTCCCCGTGCGGTCAGCGGCCTACTGATTATAATTTGTAGCGTTGTTCCCTGGTCTGTGATTATAGCTAATGATTGTTGATTAGATACTCGAGCTCTCATGATTGAAAGTCCCTTGTAACTATTGTTTCCATGTTAAAGCACCTTTTATTTTTATTAATTTACAGTAGTTGCTAATCTTAAATGGGCTACAGCGATTTTATTCATTCAATAGTTTATAGTGGAAATAGGAAAAAAACCATAAAGGTGATTTTTTTTTGTCATAGCAACGGAGGTACGGTTCGTCCGTCGCTTAGGTAGGTCTCAGTAACTTTATTGATTAAAATATGTATATTAACACTCCAGGATAGAGTAGATAAGAGGAAAAATATCATGTAAATTAAAGACAATCTATACATACAATAAAATTGTAACTAAGCCGAATCTGTACATTAAATATTTTTTGAAAAATCTTATTGAAATAGACATTATTATCGATACAGATACCGAATCTATAGTTTTTAGGATTTTTGACTGTCGGTCTGTCTGTTACCGTGTCACAGAAAAATCACAGGATGGATTTTGATGAAATTTGGTTTGATGATAGCTCGTTATCCGGGTCAACATATAGGATACTTTTTACCGCGGGAAAATATCTCATTTCTGAGAAAAAATACAAAAACTGCTTCGTAAGAGTATACTAATATGTAAAACCTAAGAGTTTGGTTTTTGGTCATCTGAACGCGAGCGGAGCCGCGGACAATGCTAGTTTATAAATAAATACCTTTGTATGATATAAAAAACTATTATAATTGAAATAGGTACATACCTATGTAATGCTTCTCAAAAAGGTAGGTAAGAGGAAAAATATAATTTGAAATAAATTTATAATTACCTTTGTATGATGTAAATAAACCTATTTTTAGAAAATAATTGGAAATCAATATCCGCGTAAAGAAAATTGAATGGTACTCTTACATCCAATGCAATGGCTTGATGACACGATACTATGATCAATAACGGTTAAGATAAAAAAAATTAAAACGTTTGACGCATTTAGAGTAAACATTGTAATTATTGTATTGAAGTATCTCCAGTAGTAGGACGTTATAAAGGTCTATATGTTGAATTTATATAGGTACACACAAGGTAAACTTTTAACAGCGCTGAATAGGAAACTATATAAAGAACTGAATTATCCAATAGTTTCATTAATCTGACTAGTTAGTTAATTTAACTTAATACTCGTAATTCGTAAATAGTAAGTAGCCATGTCCTAAAATATTATTTAGTTGACTCTGCGCTGAACTAATTGTCTAGTACAGTATATTGATTATTATCATGAATATCCTCATAGTATAACCACAATATTGTCTGAACGAACTAGAGAGAACAATTGACTTTCAAGATTTAATATAAATCCCATTACAATCAATAAAGTTGGTCAATAAGTACTACTTAAAGAAATAACTTTCGTAGGTATACGAGTATAAGTCAAGGTAACGCTCGCTACAAGATGAATGTATAGGTAAGTACTCTTCCTGCTCAGTGATTATTTTATATTTCTTGTCGAAAATATAGTTTTACTAGCATTGCCCGCGGCCCCGCCCGCGTTTGGATGACAGAAAACCAAATTCTTAGGTTTTACATATTAGTATACCCTTACATTACGGTTTTTGTATTTTTTCTCAGAAATGAGATATTTTGCCGCGGTAAAAAATATCCTATACGTTGACCCGGATAACCAGCTACCACCATACCAAATTTCATCAAAATCTCTTCAGTAGTTTTTCTGTGATGCGGTAACAGACAGATAGACAGACAGACAAAAATTCTAAAAACTATAGATTCGGCCTCTGTATCGATAATAATGTTTATTTCAATAAGATTTTCCAAAAAATACCTAATGTACAGATTCGGCTTAGTTACAATTTTATTATATGTATACCTAGATTATATGCATAATATAGAAGGTTTAAACTTTCTCGATCCAAAGACACTGCGTCTCGGCTAGTAGTCTTCAATAAATGTAAATTAAAAACAGCTGAACCTTATATACCTTTATTAGTGCCTACAAATATGTATAAACACTCAAGTGCGAATCAAACCCGCTACCTTTAACGCAGAAGGCAATGTCAAGTAAACAAGATTGCCCTTACGCCAATTAACATTTTCTATTAATGATTTACTATTTTTTCATGAAAAGCGATTTAATATTACTCTTGACGACTAGTGTATACAGGGTTATTGGTAATACGCCACAATCTCGTTAAAGACCAATTGGCTGGGCCATTGACGGGGTCACTGACTTTGTCATTAACTGACATTGACTTGGTGACTAAGTCACTGGGTCACTGAGTCACTGTTTCACTAAGTTACTACTGGGCCGCTGGGTCACTATTTGACTGGGTCACTAAGTGAGTGACGAAGTGACTGAGTCACTAAGTGAATAAGTGACTGACTGAATACTGCTAAGTGACTGAGTGAATAAGTAGACTATGAGACTAAATGTAGACGGAGTGTGTTTTTTTTCGCTTTTGAGGAGTTCCTATTGGAGATTTTAAAAAAATGAGAGCCATAATAATAATAATAATATGCAGATAGAAAATAAAACAATAATCTATGTATTAATTTTTATTTTTTGCATTAAAGCAAACTCCATACATACACAATAACATGATAGCTGCCAAACAACAAATTGCAATATCATGGCGTTTTCACTATTTATGATAAAGTCAAGTAAAAAATGTTTTACATATTTTTGGATTAAGTATTTTCTGTACTTACTACATATAATGTACTACTTATTGAACTTTCCATATTGTGGCACATACTTGCTTTTTAAGACTTAACGACCTATTGAATAATAATCTCAGTGCATTAAATTTAGACAAATTAAAGAACTGCATTTGGAGAAGTGTATCGGCATTTAGACTGTTAGAACCATTGACTAGACTATGAGTTTTATCGCTATAGTTCTAACGTGCTAAATTTCCTCACTAAGCTACTGTCTCAATATAGTGCACTGAATTTATCATAACAGCATCATTCAACTAACGTTTTGAACGTGACAAGGTTCACACAGCAATACACCGTACGTTTTTATACTATTCGATTATAAACGAAGAAACTGAAATGTTAACACGGTACATTTTCATTCGTGTTAAAGACGTACAATCTCTCAATCTAACAACAATCATACCCACTTGAGACGTTGAATAGTTTTTAGTTTTTTATGAACAACTGATGTACTAACTTCTTTTTTAATATTTTATGTTAATACACAAAAAACGTACAGTAAGTACAATGCCCACCATAGTGTGAACCCAGTCTTAGAGTGCAAGAATAAAAAATATAAAAATTAAGATAGAATTGTTTACAATTTGATATATAATAGTTTATGAAGCAAAATTTTACCACATTCATGGATTACAAGAAGAAACCTTTTATTTATTCATAAAGCAATGACAAAATAGCATATGGAGTTTAATACATCTAATAAATGCTAACATGTGAAAAAATTGTTGAAAGAGACAAGAAGCAGGATAACATAGAAAATAGAAAGCTTAAAACTAAATAAACAATCAATTACAATTATTATTAAAAATAATCTAGGTACAAATACCTATAAAATAATTTTTATTATATCATTTAATTATTATATATAACTTTTATAACGTAAAATTAATAGTTCAATTTTAACCCTTTTATCTCATATTATATATATCCCCCTTTTATCTAATTTAATAAACATAAATTTTTTTGTTGATGAATTAATCAACTTCAAAATTGATGGCTTATCTTTATTTTTGAAATTAACAAATATAAACAGTACATAAATAACATAACATTTATTCAACCATAAAACCGGAGTTTAGGTAGAGAGAACTACTTTTCTCAATATCGGCTAGCGCGGTTCCACCATTATGGGCACGGTTGGCATATCCACAACCTTAATTGAATTCGGTAAGTCTATCGAGATGTTACATCTAATGCCTTAACAAATGACAAAAAAGCGTTTTATACAACACAAATACGTAGGTCAGCGTAAATAGCGCAGGAGATTGTTTTCTATTTTACGCTGAGTAAAGTACCTTTATAGAAATTAAATATATTGATCATATACTCCGATGGGCACTTTGCCATTTTTTGGGTTGCTGTGACAACCTTTTTTGAGGACTGGATCCGCGCTTGAATATCCGTTAGATGAATTTTTAATTTAAAAATAACCCATTTATTCTAAAATAGTTCACAAATTATCAAAATATAAATATTATGATTATTATATACCATAGGATTTGCTTTTTAATATATTATTTAGTTTGTATCGAGAGGCAGTTAATAGTGTCTATATTGAATTTAGCGTCTCATAATATGCGATTAAATATAGTCCTCTAACAAAACCACTTACATATCTAAATATTCAGTATTCAGTATACATATATTGCAAGTGTGTCAAAAAAAGATTATAGAGAAAGATAAAAATACATTTTGTATTTGGAACCACATAGGGATGTGAAAATTATTGTACAAAATTTTTTTACGTCGACTAGTTATGAATTATTCATTATTCCAACCGAATAGTGACATTCATATTTAATATTATATATCAAATATATACTTAAAAAAGTAAATTTTCTACTTTTATATACTTTGTATATTTGCACAATTTTTTTATTTGTGATTGAAATAAGGGAAAATATTCTACATATTATGAATATGTACATATTTACTATAGTCAAATTAATAGTTTTAGAAGCTTTTGCGCTGATAGCTATATATATATATATATATATATATATATATATATATATATATATATATATATATATAAAGCAATTCCTTTATTTTCTGCCCATTACTATCAACTTAGTTTTAATGGTCATTTATCACCATTGCTTTAGCGTTTACTTATCATACAGAGTATTTTTTACTAACATGCTCTCCATACAGTCGTCTAACAAAGGCCTCTAGTCAGGGCAGTACGATTACTGGGCGAGTGAAGTGAGACGCGAGTGAGGCACACCCGACTGTCATACATTTTATATAATAGCCGGGATTCGGGAAATAAGTTTAGCTTAGGTTAGGTTTAGGGTTGATAGTTATAACTATAACTTGCATGTAATTTCGAAACTTGAAAGCACTTTGCATTTCCGTTAAAATTACGACGATCGCCTATTGTATGAATTTTTTACAAACATGGATTACCAGAAGGGACACCAGCCGACGTAGCACTGGCAAAGGTTCTCATTGCTGGTGGCCTGCTGTATGAGGAGGTCGACCTGACGCTGCACGGACACGCTGGCCTCCTCGATGTGCGTGAAGTCGCGGCCGGTGAGCTTGTCGCGGACGCGGTTGACGATGGCGAGAGCGCGCTTGTTGAGGTTGGTCTCTGCGGGCGCGTCGTCGGGGCGCTGCGGCGACGCGTCGCCGTCGTCGTCGGGAGCGCCCGCGCGGCGCCCCGCGTCGATGAGGCGCCAGTTGAGCAGCGGGTCGTACACGAAGGCCTCCAGCACGGCCATCACGCTGTCGCGGTGGCGGTGCAGGACTTCCATCACGGACTCGCATGTGCGACGGTATGTGCCTTCGATTCCGGTTACCTGTTTGAAGTGGGATTACTTTAACTTCATATACATATCTATACAGATAAATAAAATTGAAGTGTCTGTTTTTAATGTCAAAGTAACAGCGTTTTACTAAATGCATATGAAATTATATACTTTTTTTTTTTTAACGTTGGGAAATGCATTTACGCACGACGTGTGGGACTCACCGGCGTAATACAGCCAGTACTACCCACTAAAACCCAACAAAACCTTCCCCCGTCTTAATGGGGCGTCGCAGGATCGCTTACGCATTCAACTACGACGCCCCGACGGCAGGTCTGCCGAAGCAGACCACAACAACCACGGGGTTGCTCTACAGTCCACTCTGCTATCAGAGAAGTACCAGGAGCAACCCGCATGGTACACTGCCCTCCGAAGAGGGCCACCTCCCACCGCCCACCGAAGTGGGCCACCTCCCTGTGCGTTTCTCGGCTTCGCGCCCGGTTGGGTTGCCGGGCACTACTGAGCCCCCCCACCACGACAAGGTGAACGCACGTTGGGGGGGATATGAAATTATATACTGTCCTTATAAGAAAAACACATACTTTTAAATTTTTATCTGTCTGTTTATTTCGAATAATCTCTGAAACGGCTGGACTGATTTTGACAGGACTTTCATCGGAAGATAGCTGATGTTGTAGGCAGTAACAAAGGCTACTTTTACTTTAGAAAAAGAATTAGGGTTCCGCTCAAAAAAAATTCAAACGTACCTAGGGACGAACCCGAGCGAAGCCAGGGTGAGTCGCTAGTTAGATAATAATAATTAGTCCAGATATTAATGTTGTATAATAACCATAAATAACGCGTGCGTCTGAATATAGACCGCGTAAGTACACTGTTATTAATTTGTATATTTCGCGAAAAGTGACGTCACTAGCTAGCTTTACAAGTTATTTTAAATCGTTTCAACATCCCTGTTTAAATTACGAATATACTTGTTATTTTTAATGAGATTACCATACCTCATTTATAACCTTTTCATTAATGAAGGAAATATCAAAATCAGTTTACAGTTGACGGAGTTATCTCGTAGCATATACCCAAAGAATCATATACTCGGATTCAGTATTTCGCCCATTTAAAAATCGCCTAAAATCCATTCACAAAGAAATATTATTTATGCAAAACAAATTTATTTACATACCTCCATAGCATTAATCAACATCCTCGTCAATCTGAAGGGTATTTTCTCTGGAAACTTATCCCTCGTGACGGCAACTTCGAAGCAATCACCAAAGTCAATATGCAAGAATTTCCCGGTTACTCTATCCAGCATGATGTTGGAGGGGTGCCGGTCGCCGAGGCCGAGGATGTAGCCCACCATGCTCATGACGGCCAGCGAGCGCGTGTAGTTGGTGCGGCGCTCGAACCAAACCTCTGACGAAGGGCTTTTAAGCCACAATAGTTTTGCTAGGTCATCTCCAGCTGTATGCTCTAAAGCGTGCTCGAACACTTCCACCTACAAAAATAAGTATGATATAGAAATATGGCTACTGATTTAATAAACCGAAAATAACAAATTAAGTATTGCTCGAAAATTGACATAAATTTTGAATGATTTAAAATAATTAAAAATATAGGTATATGGTTTAGAAATTTACCTTTTGCATGAGCATCAACTTCTCTAAATCTGAAGCCATTCTCTGCATTATCCTGTGTTCAATGTTTAGAAGAATCTTCCTCTTCTCTCTGTAATCTTTTATTAGGGAGTGCAGTGTGTCACAATGGGGGACCCAACCGATTAACCCCGAGTTAGTTGAGAGTGGTATCACAGCATATCTCTGGATTACCAGATCTCGTCTGAAAGTGTCAGGGTCAGCTTGAAGCAAAGTGTTGACGAGTCCGAACAGCTGCATGACGCGCTCGTCCTGGCGCAGGTCCTCGTGCCCCTTCAGTAGGAACATGTAGTCTTTGCCGTTGGAGCCCCGAATGCAAAGTCTACGAGGGCGCTGCTTTGATATTATCACCTAAGGAATTAAGTGTATATTTAATTTTACTGATGTAAAGAAAACTACTTATGTATTATGTATTCTTTCCGATATTTCAAATCCACAACATAAAAAACTAATTTTTAATGAAAATATTCATTATTTATTTAAAATTTTATTACATTTTTTAAAACACTAATCTAAACACTAACAGCGCAACAAACACCATGATTGATTTTCGCGTGCACTGCGGATTCATACGCGGTAGTTAATTAAACATAAATCTATTCAGAACAGGTAAATATCACCAATTTGCGTTGTTTATATTATTTTGAGACGGCAGTGGCTTGTCACTGCACTAGCATATAACTGGTTTGTAATACAACTGTCTATACAGGCTGCTCAAGATAAAAGTTTTTTAATATATTTTTAATATATTTTTTGGTAATTTTATTTTTTTACCCGTTTTCCATAATTATTTGTATATTTAGGAATTTCTAATTTATTATTTATATTGCTTCTTAGAAAATGTTTTAATATTTACAATTTTTATATCGATACAGTTTTGGAATACTTTTTCACTAGAAATATTAACATATCTCTCACATAGCCCACTTGGGAAAAGGAATCTATATTAATATTATAAAGAGGCAGAGTTTGTTTGTTTGAACGCGCTAATCTCAGGAAATATTAATCCGATAGAAAAAATCCTTTTGCATTAGATAGCCCCTTTATTGAGGAAGGCTATAGACTTTTATATATCATCATGCTACTACCCAAGAGAGCGGGGCAGTAATCATAAATGTCAACAAATCGGGCAAATTTCCATACATTATTGTAAAGGGAACGGAGAGAACAGTTTGTTCTTTTATACTTTGAACGCGGGCGACGCCGCGGCTTCTGCTAGTAGGGTATAAAAGTAAGTGGGACCCACTAGTATTTGTAAAGGAAAACACAATATCTAATAAAACTCATCATCACTTTCGGATGCAACTATGGCTTATTTGCTTATCAGCCGAGTTAACATTATAGTTGTTTATCCACATGTATGTGTCATACCTGCAAGCTGCTCTGTATATGCGCGATACGTATCAGATCCTGGTGCGGGATGTAGGAGCCGGGCACGGCCAGCTCCAGGTCGCGGCAGCTGAGCAGGTTGGGGCTCACGTACTGCAGCTCCAGCGACGTGAGCTGCGGCAGCTGGCGGCTGATGCGCCGGAACACGTGGTAGTACAGGTCCCACGCCTGGTTCAGATCCCGAACCTGACCCGACTCCTGTGTGGATGTCAATATAGTTTTTGGGTTTTTTAGCAAAAGGGTTAAAATAATAATAAATATTTTGGGACATTAATACACAGCACAATTTAGTTCCATGGTAAGCTACGAGGCTTGTGTTATGGATATCAGATAGTTGATACACTACACATATACAACTTTAAATACATACATATTATAAATATAAACACCCATGACTACAGTACAAACATTCGTGCTTATCAAATGAATGCCCCCACCGGGACTCGAACCCGCGACCGCTGGCACAGCAAGTAGGATCACTACAAACTGAGCCAAACGTGTCGTCAAAAAATGGAACTATTATTTTGTCATATCTGATATTATAGGTATTTTTATCGATAACTAATGGTATAATTTAGTTGAAATCGGAACGTAGATGACTTCTGTTCTCGGCTATACTATGAGTGTATTAAAATTACCAAAAATGAAAATTTCAGAAATGTCACTCTCTAATAATTGTACATGTGGGGAATAAATAGAAAATACTTGTTTAGTAGAAAATTGATGAGATTTCTTAAATGTTACATGGAAAGAATAATAGTAAAAACGATAACTTATATTATACAAATTTTCATACTGAATGAAGTGTTAGATGTCTTTAAGTTATTATATAGTTGTTACAGACAGCCTACCCACAAATAACAAAATGAATTCAAAAAAAATGAAAAATGACACTAAAGTACCTTACAATATTTTTTAACTTCAATAAAAAAAAAATTAAGGTAGTAACACCTCAATCTCTCCCGTGACCATGATTGCTGTAAAGGATTCAAGACGTGGGAACCAAAAATCAAAATAAATTCGCGAAAAAATCCGAAAAGATAGTTTTATTTAAAAGGTTAGAAAACTGTTTTATTGTTATATCTGTTGTTGTATTGTTGTTTTATGTTGATATAAAAAATACAAAAATTACCTTAAATCGATTGCACCATTCTTGCGCCTCGTTAAGGTCTCTTCCATATGCTTGAGTGAATGAGGTTTCTTTCAAAGTTTTTGGTCCTCTCTCCAACATAGCGTGCAGAGGTTCTAAGGTTTTAAACATAGCTTTCACGTCATGCTCACTGAAGTACAGCCTAGAAGCTTCTTCCAAAGCCTCATGCCACTGTTCGTGCCACAAAATGGCGACTCTGATCAACTCCTCAGATATCATTGCAGCCTGATTAACTAAGTTACTCGAATGAGTGCACATGGATTTTAAAATTTGATTGGCCGCGTTCTTGCGGTCGACGAACGATGACTTAGATGCAACGGTCAAAGGATAAACGAGCGCTTGTGGATGAGACTTTCCAATATCAATGAGTAGAGAATGTATCAGTTTCCCAACCAAAGCCCTTGGTGTGTCGATCCTCGCTATAAGTTGCGGTATAACTTGAAGCCAAACGTTAATGTCGATCGTCCTTATTCCCTCTAAGAGCGCTTCATGAACAGCCGGGTGATGCCCATAGTCAAACCATAGGGTGAGCAATCTCAACGTATCTTGCAGTGAACTGCCATGAGACAGATTTATCGACTTGAAGAAACCCTCGACGGCAGGTACGGTATACGTTTGAATGTACTCGGCAGCTGATTTAACCTCCTCAGGGTTTGATATGTCAGCTTCTTGATGCTTATAGAACAAAACAGTTTCGAAATTCATGTAAGCCCATGCGTGCCATGCTTTATACCAATCGGACGATAGAGTAGTTGCGGCTGAATAATTACGTAATATTTCAGGAATTGAGTGTTTGTTTATTCCCAGTAAAGACTCGCACCAAGATCCTAACTTAAGATGGCAGCGAGCTAGAAGACGACAATGTTCTGCATCGCCAGTATCAACATTTTCCACATAGCGCTGCAACTGGTCATACGCTAACTGTTTGTCCCCGGCGACCCAAAGGTGTTTTGCGTACGCCAAAGTAAGTCTTGGTTCATGAGAAGGAAGTGGCATATCACGGTTCTTGCTTGGATCTATTCCGAGGAGCTTCACTAGTGTCCTGTGAGCTTGTCGAGGCGCACCACTTTTCCTACATAACGACGCAAACTTTAGCCAAGTCGCCATATCTTCTTGAGGAGTCAACACCAAACTGTGAACTTGAAGAATTTTTCGCCAATCTTCAACCAATCTCTGACCGCCTTGTAGTCTCGTCCACCAAGCCTGTCTTATTGATTCACGTCTTTCGGGAACTAATTTATAGGTGATCACTTCTTCTAGCTCAGCGAGTAACTGAGCATTTACCAAGGCCCCATACGCCCTTTGATAACTTTCACCAGCCACTGCGGTTAGTTCAGAGTCTAATATGGATCGGGCATGATCAATGTATAATTTTGACATGTTATAGTCTTCTTTATGAATATTTAGGACAGCTCTATAAAACGCTCCATCTTGAGTATTTTCTGGTAAAAAGTTTACATATTTAGTCATTGAATCCCATTCGTTGAGTCCCCAAGCCGCAGCGGCGGCCAATCTGGCGGCTTTGAACTTTTCATCGTCACTCATTTTCGGCCATCGTTTCGAAACAGTGTTGTACAATTTGTACCATTCTCCTAGAGCTTCGTAACAGCGCATTTCGCCGAGGTACGTTTCACCGTTATCGGCATCTCCTGCTTGTTTTTCTCCATACAGATTCAATGCTTTTTCCCAGTTGTGTAATTTTTCATACCATCTTATTTGGACTTTGAGACTCGTATCACCAGCTTCACGTTGAGTCATTACGCGCTCAAGTAAGCCTTCTGCGGCTTCTTTTTGTTGTAACTTGTTATTTATATGTATCAAAGCCTCAACGACTTGAGAAGTAGCTCCGTTGCGAAATTCTTCTTCCTGTAAAACGAAATATATTTTTTAAATCTTTTTCTCCAGTCACTGCTCTGTTCTGTTCTGATGTTGTGTTACCAAACGCGGAATTTTGTCTTAATCAGATTTAAAGAAAAACGAACCTACAGTAAATACAAAAATTTGAATTTGCGGGAAGCAATGTTAACCGCTACAGTACTACTACTAAAAAATCATTTGTCATTGATATTTTGGAATAAAATATAATAAGTAAAATTTGGAATAATTACATAATTAATTAAACTAACACAATACCTTATAGTGCAGCGCTTTAGCGTACGCTCGGCAATGCATAGCCCTTTCTCCTAGTAATTGAGTAGAAATTGGTAAAGCACCTCCTTCACAGTGCTCCATGAATTCTGCAAGATTTAGCACTGTGTGAGCTAGCTCTGGAGCGTCAGGGGCAGTTAAGGCCTGCTCCAAAGCGTTGGATAATTCAGTCCGCGAAGTGTTGTCTAACTCCGTCCAACACGAAACGAATGCCGCGTTAAATAGATCACGTAATAATTGAGAATAATTATGCGCCAATGCCAGACAAGCCCTGAAAATATATTTTTTTTTAATTCTATAATTCTTTATTTGGCATTACAAAATATTGATAAAGAAGTATAGGATAAATTTTAGTCAACATAAATAAAACAAGAAAAGGCAAATAAATGCATAATTAGGAAAAAAGTTTTTTAAATATGAGCACAATAACATGATCACAATATTATATTTTTCATATTTTTAACATACCTTAAAGCTGGGCTGTGAGATTCAGTAAGTAATCCGATGCTGAATCGTCGCAACCATTCCAGCCAATCGTCCTTGGAAACTCGACTGCTAACGGTCCACGCTACCTTCAAACTATGGGCGTTCACGTAAAGTTTGCGGATCGACTGTGATGTGTCGCAAGCCACAATGCGTGCCTGGAAATTTGTTTCAACTATATAAATCTGTGAATTATGTGATAAATGTGTGATTTGATGTGCGTTGACTATCACATTACTCATGTATTTTTATATATTTAATTTATAAGTGCTTGTTTTAGTTGATAAATCAAAGCTCAGATTAAATCGGTGAACTTAAAGAGCTGAAATACAGAATTTTACTAAAAAATGGCTTAAGTTAAACTTAAGGGTGGCAATGTTTTGATTGCGAATAGTATATTTCGGGACCTAATAAAATTGTAATCATTACACTAGTTATGTAATCAAATGGATTACATCATATTCCTTGCATAAAAGGATGTTTAATTAGTAAGAAAAGGTAGCCATATGACTTACTCATTTAATAATCTTTCTCAGAAGGATCTATTTACATTTACTATTGTAGAACCTTTATGTTTCGTAAAATCTAAAATGTGGATAAACCAAAGGGAATGTTTTAATTTATTCAAAAGCAACAAAATAAATTAGGAATAGAAAGTTTTAGGGTTGATTGGTCACTTTTGCATGTACTCCATCTGGACCCAACAGGATGTCCCCACCCTTATTTTCAACGCTTGTACGTTGTATCCGAATATTATTTAAACTTAAGAATTAAAAATGAAAGTAAGTTGTAATCGTCCTTTGGACGAAGAAGCTGTTTTAATTCAACCCTCTGTCCAGGATCAACAATTTGAAATTCGTTTTTTTTATTTTGTGTCTTATTTTTTAAACTAAAAATATTTTTGTCAAAGATATAGTTCAGAGTTCTAGAAATTCTGTCTAAGGGTTAAGTGATCGTAAATTGAAGTATGTGAATACTAAGTCAAACAAAAGTCAATCTATTCAAACTTACAGTTAAAGAATATTCTCGTAAAAATTGTACATACCTCCTGATTATTATTTCTCGGTTTTCTTCTAGTACTTTGCAAAAAATCATCGACAGCTAACGCCGAGCTCGATTGCAGTTTCGAGAGCAACAATTCGTAATTTTGATGTTGAATTCTGTGCTTCAATATAACTTTCTGAACAAGCGGAATAAAATCATTGTACTTTCTACCGAGTTGAATGATCAAAGCGCACAAAGTGTCCATCGCAGTAGTACGCAAGGCGTAAGTGTCTAAGCTCCTTACAAGTGGGTGTATTATTCTTGAAACAAGCTCACTATAATTCAACGAGTCCGATAAATAATCCACAGTTTCCATAGCCACTTTGGCCACTTGGATCGGACAGTCTGACGCGTCAAATAATTTAACAATAGATGGAATGACTAAATGCATATAATCATCGAGGTTGTCCTCAAACTTTTGCAGAGCGTAGAGTAGTTTCTCAGTTACAAATCTGTCTTTACTAGTATCGTGTGCGAGAACACGCAATATTTGTGGCATCAATTGTGGCAAGTACACTTTAAATTCCGAACCGAGCGCTACGGCAATGTGTTCAACCAATAATATAAGCGTTGGCTGCAACGGACTGTTTGGTGTCCAAAACTCTTTAATAAGGTCGAATATTTTATCTAAGTAATTTCGTATATGCTGTTTCACAATAGCTACCAGTTTTGCCAGTTGAGTGAATAGAAATTCTCTGAAATTATTATTATCAGTGGCGCGAGCTACGTACAGAAGACTAGGTGTAACACGCGATATATATGGAACACATTTTATTCCTAGAGATTGGAATATAAACGTTACAGCTTGCACCACACTTGTGTGGTGTTGTTGAAGGGTTTGATCGCGGAGAATTCGCATCAAAGTTGATATAACAATAGCGGGATAATACTCATCAAGTACTGGCGAAGACATATTTACTAACATTTCGCTTGTAGTCATATCGAAATTGTTTTCTTCAGCTTTGCTGTCAGCAACTGGCACAAGGCTGGAATCTGGTTGTCCATCAATTAAACCTCTAGTTATTTTATGTTTATATGGATCTAAAGCACCTAAGAGTCCCAAAACTCTGATCGTTTCGCGCCTATCCTTTGGTTGTTGTTCTGTCTTCAGGAAATTAAGTAATACATCCATTAGATGAGGATATTCTGTGTAGGGTGTAACGACATGTCCGGTCGCACTTATAAGTTGACCAAACGCCCATAAAGCGACGCTTCGTTTATCTGCGGCACTTGCATCAGATAGTAAGTCAAGCAAAGTTGTTAGAAGTTCAGGTAAACATTTTTTAAGACCTGTATTATCTCCATGGACATCGGCTAAATCACCTACAGCTTTCAGAACACTTATAATCACTCCAGGATTTAAATCAGGTTCTTTCAACTTCGGTACAAGAACATTCAAAATTGTTTCCATATATGGTTTAATAAGTTTAGGCGCATGTAAAATTAGGTTATCCAGCATTCTGGCAGCCTGTTCTTTGTTTCGACTCATGCCTGAGTGTTCTAGTTCTGTCAAAAACTGTATTAGGATTTTTCGAAGGCCGGGCATGACATACGCGGGATTGACGATGCTGAGTCGACCAATAGTACAAATTGCCAATTCCCGAATTTCCAAGTGTTCATCATTCATAGCAATAAAAAGGAAACTTAAATTTTCTATTTGTGCCAAATGTGTGTCAAATATTTCAGTAAGAGATTCTAGCACCCAATATCGCACTTCATAATCTGGATCTGTCACAGATACTACAAGCATTTTGCCTACAACTTCAGCAGTCAGCATGGTGAGAGTTCTAGAGGGTGTTTTCATAGTTCTTACAGTAGCATCAGCTAATAACTTCGCTGATGTTTTAACAGCCTCTACTCTGACCTCTTGGTGGTCACTTTGCAGGAAATGTTCAGCGCATCGACGTACAAATGTTAGCAAGCTATGCTGACCTTCAAACTGAAAAGTTCCAAGAATTCTTAACGCCAATACTACACTTGCAGTGTCTTGAGGCTCTATAACAAGACTGATATTACTTTGCTGCTCCAAGCTCCTCGGAGCTCCAGGATGTAAAAAGGGTTTATTTCGTAATACTTGTGAGAGCATATTTAAAAGTCCTTCAGATATTTCTGCCTTTAGAGTGGGTAAGTTCTGACTCAATTCTTTCAAGCATATAGTCAAAGATGGACTGAGACCAGTGGCAAACATTGCATCTAGCAATTCTTTAATATCACTAACAACTAGGTCCTTGACTGCACTACTGAGCAAAGTGATGCATGCAAATATAGATGGGTCAATCCACATTCTCTTCTTACTTATAGTGTCTCTAACTGGTAGAGCCTGTTTGATTACATCCATAATCCTTGGAATAAAGGCCTTTATGTCACCCTCAATTGCAGCTGCCATCAAACCTAAGGTTGTGAATGCCATATTCCTATCTTTCTCTCTACTTTTGATTGATGTTAGAAGATAATGCATAGTTGAGTTAAGATATTTTTTTAAAAATAATTCTTTATTAAATGCTGCTAGCCTTGGGATTATAATCAAGAGAACTTGTGGAACACCTTGTGTTTTCAGTAGACGCTGTGACATCACATCTGAAATATAAAAAAATCTTATTTATACATTTATTTATGTACTAGGGACTCACCTACACTCCACTTACATTGTATATTTAGTATGGATTTCTCAGAGATGAGATATCTTCTCGCAGTATAGAGTATCCCAATGTTGACCCCATGATAACCAGCTATCATCATACCAAATTTTATTAAAATCTGTCCAGTGGTTATCGAGTGATGCGGTCACAGAGAGACAGAGAAAAGTTCTAAAAACTACAGATTTGACCTCAATATTAATAATAATAACTATTTCAATAAGATTTTCCAAAAAATATTTAATGTACAGATGTGACTCAGAATTTTATAATATAGATTTGTACTAGGTATACTGAATATATTCAGAAAAAATGTATTTATTAAAATTGTTAGTAAGTTAATAAACTATGTTCATTTCTTTAATCACACACCACTAGGACGATGAAACTTTCATGGTGGATTTATGTGATATGCAAAATATCATGACTCACAAAGTTTTATGACTCCAAACTCAATATATAAAAAACTATATAAAAGTAAAGAACTATGAATATAAAATCTGTATACAAATTATATGACTCAAAACTCAATATATAAAAAAAATAAAGAACTATGTACATAAAATCTATATACATTAAATAAGTCATTGTTCTTATGTTATCTTTTCATTTACCTTGACATGTCCTCTCTATTTTCTCAGTCAGCAATTGTTTACATACTTCGGATTCATAGATTGGAACAGGGTACTGAACATTTTCTGTTTTAAAACCATCACACAAATAGCCTCTTTTAACAGATGGACTATGAAGTTTGGAACTTATAAAAATAATATCATCTGAAACAGTAATATCCTTTTGTGTGTCCAAACTGTGCATAAGATATGTATATTTTTTCTCCCAAGCTGCATTAGCACATCTGAACAATTCATTTAATATTAGAAGACCTCCATGAACCCTGTCCTCTTTTGTTATCCCCTTTTCCCGAATTGGTATATCTTCAAAGGATGACATAGCTTCCTCATAGCACTGCATGTACCATTGAGGTTTAGCAGTTGATTGTTTTGCTGATTCTCTTTGAGCTGTAACAACTAAACCTGCTCTGAGAGCTTTTGCTGCGGCTTCTCTTATTTGTTGCTTTGGATCTTTCAAAGCTATTAGAATGTGGTCAAAGAAACCTGATACTTGTTGATAAAAATAGGTTGGCATGGCTATGGCCATTTCTTTCAAAAGTAAAACTGCTGAATGTCTCCTGCCTTCATTTCTCTCTTCGGATAACCACTCGAATGCTCGTTTTACTTCAAACTCCACATATTCAGCTCTTTTAACTCCAGAAACAGTAGCTAGTCGACCTACTGTTTTAGCAGCTAACTCCATAACACCGACATCAGAAGATGGTAATAAATTTCTCAAATAATTAGCGAATCTCGTGATTCTTGTTTTGGTTGTGTCACAATCACCACCAATAAGACATACTGTAAAATATAATTAATTTAATGTAATAAAATATATATTAATAACATAGTTTGAATAATTAAGAAATATTAATTTATGATAATAATATTTACCAATGGCCAGAACACCTCCTTTCTTTTCATGGACATCATTACTGGATACCATCTCAAAGATTTGGTGGTTAAATTCATCGAGAAATTGTGTAAGTTCTTCTTGAGGAACTTCTCGAAGCTCTGTTTTGGCATAGTGGTACAATTCTCGTGCCGTTTTCGTTTGTATATCCACATGTCGGGACTTCAACCCCGCTACAAAAGCGGTCACTTGATTCGACATCCTAATAAGATTATATTAATAATTGTAAACACATCATTCTTATTTTTTTAATTACTTTTGGATGTTTCTAATATGAAAATTCAACACCAATAATTATTATTTGCAATAATAATACACAACATAAATAAACACTCAGGGGTTATATGTTTTTAATTTTTAATTTTTATCTGTATCTTTTTCTTTTCAAGCTGCGTTCTTTTTATTGCCATTTAAAAATGAATTATTTAAAAATGATTGTTTGTAATGTATATAAATGTTTTAGTCAAAGATATATTCAAATGAATACAACATAAATGCGTATATTTCGTATTTTTTCACTAAATTAACTTATTTTTTAGTTTATCTAACGCACGAAAATTTATGTCTATGGTCAAATTGCCGATATTTCATTCATTTGAAGCTTCATATTCTTTCTCTGTCGTTTAAGTACCTATGTACGGGCGGTCGTCGCTGAAGATATCCGTATAAATTATTAAATGAAGGTGCTATAGGTGTTGATTTTATGCAAAAACTGTAGGTTATAAATTGTTAAATAATGATCTTACTGGAGATCAATAATAGAATTATAGAAGAAACTCTAACAGTTAAATATAAAAATGCACTGGCGCGGTGAGTACGTTACGCTTAGAAAGTTTACCTGTTTTTATAACGATTACAATCTTAATTGGTGCGTCATATAACTTATATTACTAGTGTTTACTCTAAAAAGTGTTTACATGTTGTGAATTTATATGGGAAAGAATTTTACCAGTAACCCCCTTTTCGCAAGGAACTTGACAAATGTCAAATACAGTTCTCACAGGGTGGGCCCACGTTGGCCGCGGATTATGCAAAATTCGAATCGTATCGGCATTATGTCATAGTATTCATGGTTTATTTTCCCCAAACCACGGCTTATAAATGACGTGATACGAACCATATCAGCATGGATGAGTCATGTAGGTTGTTTGTAAGTACTTGCACCAATTGCGGAAACGTTCCATAAACTGTTTTCGGATTCCTTTGGAAATAAACAATATTACAATTGATACTGATACATAGTAACAGTGGAGGGAGGGATGTCTAAATAATCAAAAGGATGCCAGGAAATGACTAACAGCTGTTTCCAGTTTAAGTTTTAATTTATCAAGTGCATTTATTTATCTTTGCAGTTTAAAGCCTGAATCTATAGATGTTACTCTTGCTGACTTTGATGGAGTGCTCTTTCATATATCCAATGTCAATGGGGATAAAACCAAAGTTAGGGTAAGTTAAACTAAATATAGTTTGTGAGTCATATTTAGAGATAAACTTTTATTTTATTATAAATGATTATACTGAAATTATTAACAAGTTAACTAAATAATATTTTAAAAAATACTTTATATTTCAGGTTAGTATATCATTGAAGTTTTATAAGCAATTAGAAGAGCATGGGGCAGATGAATTGCTTAAGAGAGTCTATGGGCCACTTCTGACAGAACCTGAATCGGGTAAGAGAACATTTTAATTGAGAATGCCAATTAACTATTACCAATAACTAAAACTATTTTATTAAGTCTAGGATGTAGTTTATTAAACCATTGTTGCTCTTATTTTATCAATAAGGAAAATTTCTTATTACCAATATTATTTTATAAATATAGCAATCTAAAGCAATAAAACATAGTGATTCATAAAACAAATGATAATACTACTGTTGTGCTAATTAGAGCATAATGTGCCTACTAGAGTAAAAACTTATTTCATGCATCCAATTAGCTTTATAAAATAATTCATTAACTTAAAAATGTTAACACATAATTAAGTTTTTTTTTCTATTCATATGAGATTTACTATAAATTAGAAGTTTATTTATATTAGGTTTTAATCCATACATACATATGAAATTTAAAACAGCAATTTGCATAAATAAACTTTTAGGTATCAATTGTGCATAGAAAAAGTAAAAAAATGGATATGTTTGTGGGTGTGATGTATATTTATCTGTTATAAATATTTGTGATAAGATTACTTATATACTTATGACTAAAATATAACCTGATAAGATTTAATAATTGTTTTTGAGCAATAAAAATTTGAAGTTCGAAGTATAAAACTAAATAGATTAATATTTTGAAGAATATGATTGAAAACAAGTTAAATGTGTAAATATTTAAATACACAAAACAGGAAATTTATTTTAATGAATATTAATATAACAAAAAAGAAAGACTAGCATATTTTAATATTTTATTTAGAATAATGAAATTATTATAACTTTTGAGGATACAATGAATAAATACCATGTTATTTTTATCCTCAAAAGTTATAATATATCTGAGCCATAATATTTTTTGAAAATGTTTCATTCCATTTAGTAAACATTTCCTGTATATTACTTTATTATATTTCACATAGGTTACAATGTATCAGTACTACTGGATCTGGAAAACATCCCTGAGGACTGGGAAGATATTGTAAAAAAAGTTGGTCTTTTAAAGAGGAACTGTTTTGCATCTGTATTCGAGCGTTATTTCCGGCTGCAAGAAGATGGTGATGTGAGCCACAAAAGAGCAGTAATCAACTATAGACAAGATGAAACTCTGTGAGTATGCACAGTTTTACATTAAAGAACTTTATGAGAACATTTTGTATCTGTTTCAAATGATAATGCAATATTAATAAATAAAATAAATTCAATTGTAAAAAAAATATTTTGATGTTATATCAATTCAAATAAAAGAAATAATAATTGTAAGTCTATGTATTTTTAAATAATGAGCATGTATGTAGTGAAATTTTAAATTTTATTGATTTTGATTTTATTTACTTGTTATATACTAATATGTATGGAATAAGGACCATCCGCAAAAGGTTCTTGAGAGACACATTGGTTTGGTTTTCTGTTTACAACGTTTTTAAAATATAGGGGGAGCAATTGACCTGGTGCATGTTATTTATAGAGGATATACCAAGTGGTTACTACTCCTAATACTTCTCTGATAGTGAATTGAACCTTGAGATCAACCTCGGCAGTTTTTATAATCGTACTTAAAATGCTTATATTATTTTGGACAGGAAAAATTTTAAATTTTTTGAATGGATATCTATAACCTATGTCCCAAGTAAAGCTTAAAGGAATTGATCATGTATCATACAGTAGTCATGTGAATAAAAAGTATGCATGGATCATTCACTTTTAGATATTAGAACAACAGTAAATGTGAATATAATTTTTCTAGATATGTAGAAGCGCAAGAAGATCGCGTAACAGTGGTGTTTTCCACGGTGTTCCGTCATGAGGATGATATGGTTATTGGAAAGGTGTTTATGCAAGAACTTAAAGAAGGGCGGAGAGCATCACACACAGCACCACAGGTATAGTTGTGTAAATTGTGATTTTGACATTGCTTTTTAGTTAGTATTGTTATTTAAATGCTGAGTTAAAAAATGCTAAAAAAACATCTTTTCATGCTGAAAAGCAGATTTTTCCATATTTTTTTGGGTTTTTGGTTCCCAATTTTAATAATTATGAAACTGATTAATTAGAGAATATTTAAATAATATCCTCTGTGAAAAAATGTGATCTGATTATTTAATAAATCAAATTTATTAATCATATTTCTTTTATTTTTTAGGTTCTGTTTTCACACAAAGAGCCACCCTTAGAACTGTTGGATACAGATGCCAAAGTAGGAGACAATATAAGTTATGTCACATTTGGTGAGTCAGAACTACCAACATTTAACATCAAGCCCTCATTTTCTAAGAAATTTAATGATACATTATATACTACCTAATATCAAATAATATATAGTGCGATTCATGTAATGTCTATCAAAGTAATATATTCAGTGTTAAATGCTAGTCTGTTTCACATTACTATATTGTAGTCTCAGATGAGTTGTTCTTAGAAAGTATATATTTACTTGAAATCAATAATTTTACTTAATTTACTCAAATAGTATTACTATTTAAGATCTAATAGATTTCTTAAAAAATTAATTAACTTTTTGTGCATACATTCAACTCCTGATGGTGGTTTTAATTTTATTCTTAAGTATAATATATAAGGGTTCTGTTCACCATAAAGAAAAACATATTTTACATAGCTAATTCTTGTATGTACTTTGTTTTCAAAAATCTGGTATTCTCAAACTTTTCTTTAAAGGTACTGGATATTGGTATTTTCTTTTACAGGAAAATATATATATATAACAGATTAAAAATAGCTAATAATTAAATAGTCTAATGAACATAAAGATCATCCAACACTGAAGTCACATTACCATTTAAAAATATTTGTTAATGCATTGAAATACAAAGTTAATGTAATGTTATGTCTTGTTTAGTGCTGTTCCCGCGGCACACGTGCGAGGCGGCGCGCGACAACACTATCGACCTACTGCACATGTTCCGCAACTACCTCCACTATCACATCAAGTGTTCAAAGGTGATTTGTCTTGTATGATATGTATTTTATTCACGCCTTTTTAACGTCCTACTGCAGGGAATATTGGCCTCCCTTCAATATGAGGGGGCTCAGTCCATAGTCCACCATGCTGGCTTAGTAAGGATTTGTGGACTTCACATTTCTTTAGAAAACTTGCGAGGCTCTCACCGTAAGGCAAGTGGTAATAATGTTGGAAATTATTTGCATATATGTATATAAATATCAGAGGTACGAGATCCGGGATTTGAACCCGCTTCACTCGGTTTCCCAAGTGAACGCGTTACCACTGGGCTACCACTGCATGATACGAAATGATAATGATTTTTTTAATTCACACCGTTTAACGTTCACTGCTGGTCCACTCCAGGCAAGGGTATTAGATCATAGGATATCATACTGTTCAAATACGGGCTTGCAGAATTATTTGGAATATAGATATTATCTTATTTACTATAAAAATTAAAAATGACGTGTAATGAGTTTATAACACAGAGTCGACAAGAAAGGAGGCGGAAGGGGTCAAGTACTGCTCTACATAAGATTTCCCATGATCCATTTTCCAGGTGTTATATTTAATAAATTGTTTTAAAATCCCTGACCATTTTGGACCGATTTTCATCGTACATAGCTAGGAACACTCCCGACTAATTCCCTTTCAAACAAAAAAAAGTCAAAATCTGTTCATCCGTTCGGGAGTTACGATGCTACCCACACACATACAGACACGTCAAACTTATAACATCCCCTCGTTTTTGCGTCGGGGGCTTAAAAGGAAACCAATTTTGCTAAATGACAAAAGATAAAACATATACATACATATATAGTACCTAAATGTTTGTGCGTGTGCAGGTGTACGTGCACTCGCGCATGCGCGCCAAGGCGGGCGAGCTGCTCAAGGTGCTGAACCGCGCGCGCCCCGCCGCCACCACGCGCCCCAACGAGCGCAAGACTATTACGTAAGGGCTATTACTACTTACCTCCTAAATAAACCTATCTTTAGGATTTTTTTGGAGGAAACTCCCGACCATGATTGTTATAAAACATTTGAAACGTCGCCAACCAAAAATCAAACTATGTCCGCAATAAAATCTGTTTTATTTAAAATGTCCAATATTCGAGTAAATCTAAAGAAAGGACATATTACTTACATCCATATACTGTTTACATTTTCTGATGAAAGTATAAAAATATCCATATTTTTGCAATTTTACTCCTGATTGTAAATATCTCTATTTGATAATCAGTTTGTATTCAGTACTTAATTAGAATTTATTCATACGATTCTTTACATTACGGTCTCTACTTTAAATTTCAAAGAAACAAACCCTTTTTTAAATTTACAATGTTACATTTATAATATAACATAGAGTAGATATTTCTCAATATAATATGGATGTATATTATCACTACATAGTATAAAACAAAGTCGCTTCCTGTTGTCTGTCTGTCCCTATGTATGCTTAGATCTTTAAAACTACGCAACGGATTTTGATGCTTTTTTTTAACATTGAATCTAGAGGATGGTTTATATATATATATATATATATATATATATATATATATATATATATATATATATGTATATGTATATTATAGAACAGAAAAGCCGAGAAATTCAAAGATTTGTATTTCATACTAGTCGCTAAAACGTACCTAGAGACAAATATTATAAAAATAACATGCGATTTCGCTTGCAGGGGAAGAACGTTTGTAAGGCGAGATTGAGTGTTGCGTGTCGGCGGGACGTAGGCGCCGGACAGCCTGGCACGTGACGCGCCCACTCGGACTGCGCCCCACCGCAGTGTTCAAGCCCCTCACCACGGATTACGTTCACCAAATAATACCCACACCAATCTTACTATGTATTAATGCATGTCCTTTGAGCGTTTTAACATATAGCGACTTTATTGGCAATAATATTAATTTAGGTAAACCCAAGCCGATCGCTAGCTTGTGACTACCTTAATGTTCTTAAGGGACATGTATAAATATACACTGTAACGGCTAGTCCCTAAAAAATTAAAAAAAAAGAAAATATGGCGTTGAAGATTTTCAATCTTATCCGAATGGACGCGTTATTCCTAACGAAACTCCGACAATGTGCGTATTTCCTATATTCACCGTATAAGTAAAGGTGTAAAGTAAACAATAAACATTACACAATTTATATTATTTTATCATATTATCTACATACCATTCGTCACAAAGTACTTATTGACGTCATTGTTTCGTTGTTCTTCGATATTGTATTCGCCAAATGTTGCTCAATGTATTGTATGTATCTATCATTTGCGTTTTAAATGAAATGTGCACATTGTGACATATAAATTTATATATATTTATTATAAGACACCAGATTGTGCACTCCTACATAATCGTTAAATAATTCCCAAATATTGATATGATCAAAAGTTGATGATATTTTTACCTTTTCTCTAATAAAAAAAAACATCCGCGAAATTCAAAAATATACACTATATCCATTTATATTTGTTATTATGAAAATAAAATACCTATGAATTTTATAATATTCGTGATTATTCTATAATGACTATATTACATGTATGGGGTTAGCGTGTATGAGGTAACATCGAGTACAGCTGTAGATGTAGGAGTGCAACAGTCCGACGTCTCATTATTATTATTAATTCTCCAAGCCTAATATAGTGAAGTGGATAAATAATGTTGCCGTAGTTGTTGTTGACAACAAAATTATGCTTTATTATAAAGATAGTTCTATTTATAGTGGAGACACTGCGACAGTCGTGACTTGGGTTCCTATTCGTAGCGCTCGCCCGCGCCTCGCCTGCGCCCTTGCGTCGTTGTTGATGAGTTCTCGATCCTCACCTACGTAGGTTTATAATATATAATATGTATCATAAAGTTGCCTATCCGTTGTTTCGATATACTTTAGGACGCGACTCGTCCTTGCGAGACAATTATCATGCACAAAGTTACGAATTATTCATTGTTTAATTTTAACACTCGTCCTGTGTTTTTTCGATAGCTCACGCGATGCGAACGATAACGGTTAAATATATAACATGTTATGTTTTTAGGTAGGCCCCATTCAATTACTAATATGTAAGTGAAAGTGTATAAATATTTCTCATGCATTCTTCCGTAGACGAGTGACTCGATGCGTAAACAGCAGGGCTGCCAGATCGTATAATTGGATACGAAAATTGTAAAATATGGTTAATTTATGTATATTTCATTTTAAGTTATTACATATTTTTATTGAAATTTTTAATTCCTCACATACTATTTTTCAAAAGTTTTGTTAATTTTTTGTATAATAAAATTTGATTTGGTATAATTTGAGTGACCCAGCGGTATATAATAAGTTGGCTCTACTGGCAGCAGTTGTCTCTACTGGCAGCCCTGGTAAACAGTGATGGCCTTATTTATGAAAGAGTGGATTTGATTCGGTTGAGGAGCCGCAGCGGTCGGCTGGTAGTGTCGCTAGTGTAGTGCCGGCAGGCCCGGGCCGCGTGCCGGGCGTTAAGTGCAATTCGATTCTTTCTATTCCAATTTGCATTTGTTTAAATCGATTTTTAGAACGAGTTTTATAATAATGAATTATTTGAATTTTGTTCCCTACATTATTACCGTAATGTAGTAACGGAGAGTTCAAATATTACGTAGAGCAATAATGCAGTTTTTATAATCCGATTTTAATACATAATTATTATACTGCAATTTTGCTCAATTCAAAAAGTCCACCGTAAAAGCTATATTTTATGCACATTGGAAGTTTTCCGCTAGAAGACCATTGCGCTGTCATAAAATCAAAGAATAATTGACCTAATGTTAGCGATTAAGGAAAGGAATGGATGTGGCAAATATCAAGTCATGGACTGAGGAATGTTTATTAAAGCTATCATAAGTAAACTGTGAGAGTATCACTAGTGAATTAACAAGTCATATAGAATAAAAAACAGTAATGACAAAATATTTTACATGACAGGTAAAATTTAAAATCAATACGCGTGTGTAGAAACAATTTAATCTATTTAAAATCTTAGCTAACTTGAATTTAACGTAATTATTATTTGCTATAATGTATGATTTATTTATGTATTATAAAATGTAAGTTATATGTTTGTTGCTTTAAAAGTTATAGGTGCCTACGGATACGATCATTGTTTAAACTGTCAGTTGTAACACGAGATTATAGTTGCAGATTACTAAAGTTATTTGTGAATATGTAATTATTCTTGTGATCTAGCATCCATTTATAAATATTTTTTATTTTCTAGATTAAAGAAAACATCTCACTGCAAACAACTCGTAATTATTTGTCCGTAAATTATTTTTACTAAGAACTAATTGCATCACCCGACTGCTATGTAATTCTGTAAGGCACAAATATTTGTTCCATGCGATCAAATTTTCAAAATAAACAGAACAGCTGTATAACAACCGTTTTCTATGTTTTATTTTAATTTCAATAATTTTATGATTTTTAGTGTGAGAATTTGAACGCAGAAGCAATTCAATATTCAAATTATAGCAAAATATATTTATTTCTCTACAAAAAAAAACCAGCATGTATTACAAAATATATTAAATGTCTATGACATTAAAAAGTGTATATAAAACTTATAAAAATTGCTGACTGTTACACATCAATCCCAAATTTTCGTTAGAATTTTGAATCGATCCTTAATAATCAATTTTTAAGTGATTTCTTCATTATTAATATGCAGTATTCGCGAACCATGATTGTTTAATCAGTGAAAACGCGCTATAGCTGCCGGGCAAACTTAAACTAATACAAGGCACTAAAAATCCATCTTAGCATCGGAAGTGGTGGGGGAAGTAGGGGGTTTTGTTTGTCCGAACTTGTTGAGATTTGCCACTTTGGATGCGAACTTAACAAAGCTCATCCCTGCCGGAGGCTCTGGCTTCGGGCAACCTTCAGCTTGATAAGAAGCTTCCAAAGAGCCTAAAATAAAAAAATATATGTACATATAACTTGATATTACCTTTATTTGCATTGACACTGGAAAAAGAAAAGGTCAGAATTATTATTCTGAATTTCTAAAAAAAAATAAAAAAATAGACAAAAATATTCATGACATTTTGATATTAATTGAAAATACTTTGTAAATTAAGGTGATTTTTGATTAAAGATTTAAGTACTTTGTTCACTTACTTTGTTGCGGAGACATGATCGAGCTAGGCTGCGATCCTGGTTGATTTTCTCCTTCCATGGATTGGCTTTTTTCATGCAATATTTCGAGAGCTGGGTTGTAATATAAAGCAAAACTGTAACTAATTTATAAAAGTAATAAAATGTTATATGTATATCTTATCAAGACGGTATCGAAAGACAAATATGTACAAGACTAACATCGTTAATATACTTAATGATTAAATAAATAAATTGGCATGTTTGTATAGTGTGATTCAACTGAAAAAGAAACAATAAGTATAAAGCTTCCCTCTAGCTCTCATTTTATAATTAATAAAGTAAACTTAAGAAAAGGTGTTGATACCTACATTTTCATAAGTTAGAAAAACGTGCTTCATCTTTAGTATATAAAGGTATATAGCACGGTCTGGGCCGATAAACAGAAAAATGTTGATTGGGACTTTTACTGAAACAAAGAAGCCGGACGGCTATCACTTGACATTGAACCAATTTTAACAAGACTCGAGACAGCGTTATAGCACAGTAACAATGGCCACCTCGGCGGGTTCACCTTTAAGATTTTTCATAAAAGACTAAAGGGTCTAGCGGCGCGGAGAGACAAAGCTACATCATCGCTAAGTATTCATCAAATTAATTTCCATTTAAAAGATTCTTTTGATAGATTACTTTAACTTTAAAATGTAGGTAAAGTGATTATAATTAGTCCACCTTTAAATTTGTTACTATTGAAAATAAAACCAGAAAGCGAATCTTTTCTTTTTTTGTAAATGTTTTTTTTTTTCTAAATATGCAGAAAGTACCGGGTTCAATTCTTCCCACTATCATCTGAAAAAAAGCAGCTTAATTATGATAATAATAAATATTAAATATTTTAATACTTAGAAATTCACCATCTTTTAGAGAGATTGTATCCATTTTAGAATCTTGAATAGTTTCCAGTTGCTGACGAAATTTCGTTGTTATCTTGCGACGTTTATAATCTGCCTCTATTTGCTGTTTAGTGCGTGGGATACGGAAGCGGAAACAACAGCACACTATCACTACTGGAAATGGAATGCTTTATGAATAATGATTACTTTATTACGTGGATATAAATGTATGATTTATATTCTTCTTTAGTAGGTACACAAGACACATACAACATTTTTTAAACTTCTTACTAAAAAAGATTCCGACGAATTGAGAACCTCCTCCTTTTTTGGAAGTCGGTTAAAAAGTATAAGTACATTAATATTCTTAAGTAAAAAATTGTAACAAAAAAATGTAAGATGTTATATTGCTGTACTTTTATATAATCTTTATTATTGCTCTTATTATATATTAATGCGAAGGCGTGTGTGTGTCTCTTTTTTGCGATTTTCTGGGGATTTAATCGTTGAACCTAATTCAACTTATTACTTAGGTACATTTTTTTTAAATGTATAATGTAATTACATAAATGATAAATTAGATTTGGAACTTATTCTTTAGTCTTCTAAAATCCGCATCGCTATGGCTTAAGTAAAATGGAGGTAATCTAGGTTCAGTGGTTTTGGACAAGTGTGTATGTTTGTTACTGTCTCACGCTGAAGCGGCTAGACGGATTTGAATGCAATTTGGTACACTATGAGAAATAGACTACGACTGGAGTAACAGGCTACTGGTAGGCACCTAGGGAGGCACCATTTTGGGAAAACATGTTGGGAAATACATTTACGCATACCACCTGTAGACATACAAGGTGAGTTTGTGGGACTCACCGGCTAGAAAAGGGAGAACTACTCACTAAAACCCAACAAATCCTTCTCCGTCTTAATGGGGTGTCGTAGGAGTGCTTACTCATTACCTACACCCCGACGGCAGGTCTGCCGAAGCAGACCATAACAACCATGGGGTTGCTCCGCAGTACCTGGGGAGGCACCTGAGCGAAACCAGGGTAAGTCTTAAAAAACAATAAACGGTAGTGAAGCCGCTTGCAATTCAATAAAATTGTAATTATTGTAAAGTACAATGATTAGAAGTATTATTAAATAATTACTTTTAAGTAATAGGGTATTACCGATTTCAACTTTGAAAAGTAGTCACAGTACAGGAGGTGCTCAATTCGGATATCTCTTTATCAATAGATAAATGGGAAAGATAACTTTGGTAAGAAATGCCAAAATGTCGATTTTTAGATTTTTATGTTTGATTAAATTACTCAAGACGACGACACTTAAGTAAGGCACATGCTAGTGTTACTGTAGCAGTATTTAGGCATACCAAAAGAGGGTAATCTTTGATGGAGATTAAATATACACACGAGTGAAGCTTCGGCACATGCTAGTTTTTTAATAACATATTAGGATTTTAATTCAGATAACGATATATGTCGATGTTTATGGCTTATCTATATTCTATTTTTCATTCCATTTTACTAAAATTGTTTTTTTTTAGAAAAAATTGTAACCAGGTGTAGGTAATTTTTTCAAAGAAACATTTATATTTTCATATTTTTGCATTAAAAAAAATAATTATTTTATGTTAATCATTAATCAACCACCAAGCCACATAACATAATACTGTGGCTCTTATTTTGTTTTGATTAGTACCTATATTATATACTTACTGAGTGAAGTAACACCAGCTAGGCACAAAAACATTATTTGCCATACTCGTAGTTTCCCGATTACAAGCCTTTCAAGCCATTGGGGCTCCTCAGAATTTTTTATTACGTCCATTATCGGATCCATTTTAGTACTAGTATATTACCTATACAACAATTCAAATTTAAGTAAGTACGGAATGCTCTTTAGTCAAACTAGAACACAGCAAAGTATAGGCGCCTGTAAAATACTCCCATTGAAATGAAACTAATTGTCCCAATTCTGAGGAGTGGTTAATTGCCACACCTATCCACCCCCTGGCACTCCCCAATTTACATTACTATTATTGCTAAAGTAGTGCTGATAAGTGTATACCTGATAATGCCGTTTACGAATATAAAATCATTTCCTATTATAATTGTGGCATTGAGCGTAAACATATTTGGAATCGTATGTACAACTAAGAAGCAAGATGTTCCCATAAAAATATTCTTTGAAGTATTTATATTTCCCTCCTAAAATTGCAGTAATTTGTGTTGCTCTATAAAATGTTAAAATATGTAGCGAATAATACAAAAAAAATAATTATCAGAATTTAAGTTCATGACTTTAAGCAAAATCTCAACGTTGTAATACTATACAATATATTTTTTTCTTATTTTACTTTACTATTGATATATTTTTAAAAGTTTTAAAGGAAAAGTTTAAAGTTTATGTAAGCTAGAATGAATTACATGTTTTTTCAAGTATTCATTATGCTTTAAAAATATATCACTACACTTTTTCCTTAAATTCATAAGTAAAAGTGATTTTAGAATAAAATATTTCTTGTGAAGTGTTCTAAGTATATTATTACGCGACTCATGTTCCACGAGTTGTGATTCGATCTTTTTTTTGTAATGACAACATACGGTCGATCGTTTTTCTCTTTCGTTTGAAGTCTATTTCATTTTCCCGCAGAAAATAGGGTGTCGAATCTGTCCTATAACCTCCGTTATATTTATTACTATTTAAAGATCGAAGATGCATCTTTTATGATAATTGTGGATTAATTCGTGTAAAGATTGTTCTAAGTGATGTTGTGTAAGATCATTTGTGTTCTTACGATAACTCTGTAGCGTTTTTAAAAATTAAACATGGCCTCGAATCGAGGAATTCAGATTGGATCCGCGTGGTTTCAACGGAAGCTCAACTTGAGACCGCAGCACCGAGGTGTGCATCTCGTCACGGAGGAGATCCTAAAGCAGGTGCCTGAGTTGTCACAATTTGCAGTCGGTCTCTGCCACATCCAAAGTGAGTACCTGAAGAGCACTCTTGCCGCCGATGTTGTACCCCCTCCCTAATAAATATTCGTTAATTTATTTAAAACGGTTAATTGTAGAATTTTCCAAAGGTTTTAAAAATTATAGATTAAAATTACAGAAAACTTAAATAATACTAGTTTCTCGTCAGTAGACAGCTGATCAGTCTGATCAGAGATAACTTTTTCTTCCAGTAATGCATACATCAGCGAGCCTCGCGCTAAACGAAAGCTGGGATCCTGATGTTAGAGACGACATGGAAATGATGCTCAACAAAATCGTGCCTGAGGGTCTCCCTTACCGCCATTCGTGCGAAGGTCCCGACGACATGGTGAGGCATTACTTGTATCCAAAATCCAAATCAGATCACCATAGTTTTTGTTTTTGATAGGCCTATTCAAAATATATTTAAAAAATTTATCAATTATAGTTATTGACATTCATATGTTTGTTTTGTAAGAATTTGACATAGTTTATTGCTTGTTTTCTTTGACTGTTGCTATACTTATTGACAAATGCTTGCAATTAACTAAAACAAATTTTTAACTAGGTGTACCTTTTTCAATTTTTTATGATATAGGTTTTAACATAATGAAATTAGCTAGACTATGGTAATATAAGTTTGCTTAATAATTAATAATGAAGTGCAAAGAATTCAAGGTTAACTATAATGTTAATAAAACAAATTAAGATGTCATGTTGAAGATAGTTAATTCTTATCTAGAAATATACTAAACAATTTGAGTCTTAAATTATTAAGATTTGATAAGGGTTAACATTTATGAAATTACTTCATATATATTATGTTTTTATATTGCTGTTTACTAACAGGTCAAAAACATTTCTTTGAATTATTTACATAAAAAATAAATTTACTAAATATTGCAAATTAACATAGGAATTTATATTATATATATATTATATTTTATGTATGTTGTCAATCATTTTAGACTCAATATTCTATTAGCTATTAAGAATATTATAAAATAATACATACATATATCATCCATATATTATCAACTAACAACTCTCCCTCGCTTTGCTCGGGTTCGTCCCTAATGCAAAACAAATCTATCCCACGGGAACCAAACATGTTTTTGGTTTAAAAAGTAAGGCTTTTAGCCATTTTCGAGTGATTGAATAATAAACATCCAACCAAACTTTCACATTTATAATATTAACTAGCGACTTACCCTCGCTTCACTCGGGTTCATCTATGGATTGCGTCCCCATACAAAATTTCATCCCCATTTCCACCTCTTTAAGGGATGATTTCCAGGATAAAACTATCTTTTTACCAAATTTTATCTAAATCGGTCCAGTAGTTTCAGAGCTTATTCAGACAAACAAACAAAATATCAAATCTTTTCTCTTTATAATATTAGTATAGATGGGATGTTTAATTTATATAATTCTGTTATTGGGAGTAGATACTTTACAGACTGCACAATTTATTGTTATAAAAGTGCCAGTAAGACAAACAAATACCTGTCTACAGTAGTAGCTGCAATAACAAATATTTACTAAAAATATTAATGTATAATTTTTGTATTTCGTAGCCTGCACATGTAAAAGCATGCTTCCTGGGCTCGTCACTTACAATTCCGATCACAGATGGAAAGTTAAATTTAGGAACTTGGCAAGGAGTTTGGCTATGTGAACATAGGAACCATGCTGGCAGCCGAAAGGTACATTGTCTTATTAAGCTTAAGGGTTTGGTATGTATATAAGTATCATACTTCTCATGCTTACATGGCTAACTTGATCCTTAGAATAATATGTTTGATAATAATAGTTATCAGTCAGTATTACACATTAAATATTATATGTACCAATTAGTTAAAATTATACTTAATCCCTCAACAAACGCGGACACGCCGGCGTTACAGTTAACAATAGAGTTCCTAGAAATTTAATTAATTTCTTAGAAATTTACCTGGAGGTGTTAAAAGTAGTTTTAAATGTGTAAATTGTATTTAACTTTGTAAACATTAATTTTCTTCAAATATATATATATATTTGGAGTATATATACTTGAATTTTATATTGTAATAATTCAATAAGGTTTTACTCTCATATTATCTTTCGAAGATTTCATCAGTACTTATGTCTTAAAATGACATACATTGGTAATGATCTAATTAAATACTCCTATTTCTGTACAAGTTAAAAAATTTAAATTTATCAAATAAATTAGATTGTTTCGAAATTAGAAAATTTTCTTCAAAGAAGTATATATTACTAGCGACTTAATCTTGTTACGCTCAGGTGCATACCTAGGTGTTCAACAGCAGCTTAATTGATATCCATGGTCGTAGTCTATCTGTGTAAATGTAAATTTTATCCAAATCTGTTGAGCCGTTTCAGTGTTAGGAATAACAAACAATACAAACTTTCCCATATTCCCGTTAATAGTATCTAGTTTAGTGCTGTGATATACATGTAACAAGTGTTGGTGTTTGTTGTTCCAGGTGGTGGTGACCCTGTCGGGCTGCCCGCGCGACTCGCCGCTGTCGCCGGTGTCGGCCGCGTCGTGCTCCAGTTAGGAGCGGGGGGGGGTCGCGACCCCCCACACGCAGTCCCACTCGCGCCCCTCCTCCAAGAGCACGCGGAGGTAAACCCCTCGCGGAACACCTTTTATATCCTCACCAAACCCTAGGCGTTAGTTCTTACTCTTATCTTCGAACGACAATATGTACATAAGATTAATATTTTGTAACACTCTGCATGGCAGTTTGAGCATACAGACCCCACGTGACGAGAGACCAACCTTGTTATACGTTACGACTTTCATTGTGTACTTGGAAATTTTATTACTGTTGTTGTTTGCGTGCGCGGGTGTAGTCGAGATCGTTTTGTAAGGAGATACATGTTTTGATTTGTCCGAACCTCAGTAGGTTGCATAGACCCACGTCCCCGCCGCCCGGCGGCGAGGCGTCCTGTAGCGAAGTGCCATGCAAAGACGGATCCTGTCACATTGAGTTCGGTCCGTCGACTGGACCGATTTGATTTGTAGATAACTTATTATGTGCGGTTTTTAACGTATACATAAAGATTAATCGTTGTTTTATTTCGGCGACCTGTCGACATGTAAATAGACGCTGCGCGCCGACGCGACGCGCGCAGTCGCCGGAGAGTGCGAGTTCAGGAGTATTCCTTTCTGTCGTACTATTGTCACTATTTGCACTCGTTCAGATTTTTTCGGAAGACACTATATTTTAACATGACACGATGTTAGACCTTTTTACGAAATCGACACTCATTTTACACCAACTTTGTACGTAATCGCACTGGTTAAAAATCAGTCGTAAGTTTTAAGCCCTGAACGTAGGTTTATATAGTTAAGTACTTTGTACGTCTAAAATAGCTCCCTTCTCTCCGTGTTAGGTTAGACGATCGAAGATTAGTATGTGAAATATGTCCATAGCTTTAAATGTGTCACACCCGTTGTATCAACGGGTCCTTCACAGGACAATGAGCTAAAAATGTAACATTAGAAGTAGTATATCATTACCGTTAAGATCATGTAAGTGCCTCGGATTTAAGGGGTGGTATGTCTCATTTGCGGTTCGACTCTGTTCGAGGACGATACACGGCGGCTTGCACTCCTTACATTATTTTGCGTCACGACTCGAGTACTCGCTCGTATTGTTTACGACGATGGGTTTACGTTTGATTTCACTATGCAATAGTTTACAGCCACTATTATTATTTTCTTGTTGTATTAAAACGCGTATATGTATAGATGTATGTCTTCCTATGTAAGTACCAACTTAAGGCAAGAATATTGTATCGGAATAACATAACTGGTATGTGCGCGGTCTTAGGTTATACCAACACCACCTGATCCGGCCACATCGGTGTAATTTAGATATCGTAATGAGAATAAAGTAGAGGGCTTCAATATCGAACCTGTCTGCAGTATAGTGTATAGCTACTAATATAAGTAAATGGAGTTATGGTAGCGGGTGTCTTTTTATATGGATTGAGATGTAGCACGAATTAATTTAGAGAGTGATGTGTGAGGGTATATAATTTTAACTGCATTCCAGTAAACTATCACGTTTTCGTCACATTCCAGTGAACTCTCTGTTCGCGGGCTTGAAAGTGTTCTATTTGCATTTTTACACAATAATACTCCATCGGGCTTGTACTGCACAATCACAATTGAACTAGTTAGGAGTTAAAATTATAAAATGTAGAATACGGATGTTAAGGTTAAGGGTGCTGGCTGTTAGAGGTTCGGTTTCAGAGCGTGCATAGAAAACATTACAAATTAATGAATTTATATAGATAGAATCGGAAGCTGGGCAGGCTAACTTTTTTAAATCATCGTCATTAGGCGCTGGCGCCACGAGCCTGTGAAGCGGGTTAGTTTCGAATAAAATAATTGTAAATTAATACTCAGATGTATTCGCATCTAGTTACTACCTGTTTAATTTTCATCATATTACGTCATATTTGGATGGTAACTAGTGCGACGTACATCGAGTCCATAGAATACCAGAATTGATTGATTCATAAGCCAGCGCTCAAGCTGCCGCCGCGCTGGCGCTGCAGCGCGAGTGGTCTAAGACTAAGAAATATACGCACAAGTACGATGCGCGGCCAGCGCCGCTCTGTACAGTGTAGTCGTGTCCGCGGGGACATGCTAGTTTTACTTCACTTAAGACACTTATTGTGCGTTTTATCGGCCTTATAAATAATGACCACGTTCGCTGTTTTAGGTTCTGCTAGTTAAAGTACTAACTACGTACGACACTCACATTATCGTTTTATTACACTTTGCTACTATTGCATTTTTTCCTTAGCACTGCTCGTGTGTACATTTTCTGCTTACTCTTTCGGATTGATTTTGGGTGTCGGTATGGGGACGGTTATTAATGCTTTTTATTAACTATATTGATCGAAAATTTGTAAATATTTTTGTTTTTGGCAATTATATAGTGTACATATAATGTATCATGTAAAAATGTTCAAATGCTATTTGTGTATGAGTGTTAGGTATGCCACTGCCATTGAAGTTGCCTGTTCGTAACGTTACTTATAGTAAATTATCGTTTGGCACTTTACTGTCAATTTTATGAGTTTGTACTTATAATTACCTTATAAATAAATAAGTGCGCTAAAATACGTAAGTTTTCCAATGAATATAGAAAAGCGACCGGTTCGCAGTGATTCCTCCATTTTGTAAGCGTTCCTTCGTCAAGCCGGCGGCCTGGCGTAGCGAGTGTTGAGTTTGTCTTTTTGCGTTAGCTTGTGTGATCCCATTCCAGGCTGTTTAATTACAACGAATGTGTTAGTTCTATCTCGGTAGTTTTTATTGCCAGTCATGCTTCTAGTGATTGCCCTAATGAATAGAACATTTCGATCTTTGTACAATCGTCATTTTACTATGTATACGGTGAGATCATATTAGTATCCTGTTAAGCCAAAACACAGAGCTTTAATTCTATATTGCAACTGTTAAAATTATTTTTAGAAGGTCAAACGCTTTATAGTACCCAACCTGTAATAATATTATGACCGAAAGAATAATTTTAAAGGGGCGATTTAGAATCGAAACAAATTAAATCTTAAATGAAACCAATAGTTTTAGGTATATGTAAACCTTTCCAAAGTAATGAAACCAAAAACAAAGTAATACGAAAAATCAACCAAACACACAAATAGCTAAAACAACATTTAAAAATATATAAACACATTTATTTTTCTCTGTATTAAATTTGAGTGTTTTCACAATTATGAATACTATATTAATCAATAAAGACATACATTCACTAATAAGGGCACGAATTTTTAATGTAATTATTTATCAGTATAAGTAATTAATTTGTTAATCGATATTGCACATAGAAAAATGAGGTTGTAATCGAGATTTGTTGAATAACCAAGTACTAAGATGACAAATAATTTGTGTGTATATTATTTAGATAAATTACGTATGAAAATGATTGTACAGAGTTACAGACCACGAGCCGAGGCTCGCGGCCGCGGTGACGGGAACATCGTCACGATAAATCTAACTGTATCATATAACTTGTACAATATAAATATTATAGATCCACAATTATGAAAAAGATTAAATATTTGCAAAAGTTAATTCATCGAGTTTTATTTCATTTCTGTCTCCTTCGATTGTCTCGCTACAGATACTTTATGTGCTTAATTTTAATTATAAACCTATGTTATTTGGTAATTTAAGACTAATTTCTTGCGTAAGAGTTATTCCTCTGTACGGTGAGGACCGGGGCCGCTATCTGCAAACAAAAATATACCAAATATATTATATAAAAGAAAAATACAAAAAGATTGAAATAAAAATATTAAACGATAAGTTTAATATTAATTTGCTTTGCTATTAAGTAGTATTATTAATGTTAATACCTTCTATTTCTTTCTTAACCGCGCTTAAACTTGTTTTTGCCTTCTCCAGCGCTTCCCCAAGCCCAGTCTTGATCTGGCTAAACTCCTGTGTCACAAGAGACAACCTTCCTAATAGGTAGTTCAAATTGTCGTCCATCTCCGTCATGTGTGTCGAAATCGTGCCCACCTGGGAATATAATTATTAAACTAAATTATCAACCTTAACACAATGACATAAAGCTCACGTCATTTTACCTTGTCTTTCATGCTGTCCAAAGTGGCGGTACTTCCATTAACGTATAACACCGTTTGTTCCTGCAGATACAAATCGGCTATTAGTTAATTGTTAATTATGGGAACTGTGTACGTGAGTCATGCATAAATGTAATGGAATATTTTTAATTGTACTTGACGATATGAAAATATGCTGAAATTCTGACATCTTTCTTTTGAAAATCGAAATATAGTGGGAATAATAACGACACGTTTGGCTCATTTTGTAGTGACCCTACTTGCTGTGCCATTGGTCGCGGGTTTGAACCCAGCTGGCGGCATTCATTTGTGTGATGAGTACGAATGTTTGTACTCCAGTCGTGGGTGTTTATATTTATAATATGTATGTATTTAAAGTTATATATGTGCAGTGTATCAACCATTTGGTATCTATAACACAAGCCTCGTAGCTTACTATGGAACTAGACGGTGCTGTGTGTTATTGTCCCAACATATTTAATAATGTACTAAACTAAAGAAGAAAATTTATGAGTATACTTGTATGTTGATGTATATAATGAATGTTATGAAATTGCTAAAACTTTTTTAATGTTGGGAAATACATTTACGCATGTATGTATGCACGGGGTGCATACATACAGGTGGTTATATGGGACTCACCGGCTTAGAAAGCCAGTACTATACACTAAAACCCAACAAAACCTTCTCCGTCTTAATGGCAGTATCCGGACGGCAGATTTGCCGAAGCAGATCACACAGCAAGAGAAGTACCAGGAGGAACCCGCATGGTACCGCCCATTAAGTGGGCCTTTATAGTATATCTCTTAGCTTCGCGTCCTTCTGGATTGCCAGACGCTAATGAATGACGTGGGCTTGGGGATAAAATTCTAAAACTGCCTTAAAACAGCGGTGAGATTGATTGACTTTCAATTGTTAAAGGAAAGTATGCAGGAAATGTGTATAGATTCTAGATTTATTATAATATGTTTTTTCCTATTTCATTAGAAATTTCAGAAATGGTCCGTACTGTGAGTTTATCTAGAGAGGCCCGGTTGGCGGTGAGCTGCTGGTACATGATGCCGATCTGGCGCCACACTTGCGACATCTGCGTCTCTATCTTATTGGTCAAGTTGTTGAATGAGTTAGTCTGGTTCGTGATCATACTTGATTCTATGTTGTCGAATCTGAAATAAAAAGGAAGTGTTCAATACTTTAAGTATCAAAAACATTTTTTTTTTCACGCATGTCGGAGAGGTCGCGTGTTCGATTTTAATGGTTAACTTTTTCACTGAAATCTTGAAACGAAAAAAATGTAACAAACGCTCAGTCACAAGCATTTGCATTTATAATATAAATGCGATCATCATCAGCAGATGATGGAAAACGAACAATTTTACATTCTTTATATTCTTTTTCTTCCTCGCCAACTTTTTTTAAAGCGAGTATACGTACACCATACACTTGTCCGTGCCTTTTTTTATTTTTTGGTTTTAATTTTGTGATATTTTCTTTATTTTAATATTTTTTGTTATTATTTAGCACTTTTAAACGTTCCACTGCTGAGCGCGGGCCTCCCCAATACGAGGGAAATCAGCCCTAGTCCACCATACTGGCTGAAAACTTGTTAGGTTCTCTCGAACATGCAGTTTTCCTTATGACGTTCTCCTTCACCAAGTGATAATCGTGTTGAAAATGATTCGCACATGAAAATATCAGAAAAAATTACCTTTGACCAATAGACTTGTTTAACAGATTGCCTTGGGCTCTAATAAGCTCGCTAACTTCTAGCGATATCTGGTGAACGCCGTATTCGATGCGTTTTTTATTAGCGAGAACATTATCTGCAGTCTGTTGTAACACGTGCTCATTTTTCGAAAACGCTTGCAACTAGAAAAAATATATAAATAATAAGTTGTTTATTATAATTAGGCACTTAAACTATTAGGCAATTTGATTATTTCAAAGGTTATCCGTTATCTATATTAGAATGATATATCTACTACATACTTGTTTAATAAGTAGGTAGATAGATACTTATTATAGAATACATAATATAGTAACACCAAATTTTTTGATATACAGGGTTTGTAGGCTATATCACCTCATTAGCCCGCTTCCTAAATTAATACATTGGTACACTAGCTATGTTTTCGAAAATCGAATAGTACTTACAAATACAACATCAACCTATAAAGCAAATCCATAGTAATAATAATAATAATAATAATACTTTATTTCACAAAAATACATACATATTGTAGTTGAAAAGCATATTGAACAGTACATTTTGAAACAAACAATTTAGACTATCAATACAAATAATACGGTTGTCTCTGCTGCCGTACTAGGAGACCTGTATTACGGCATACAGTGCCAATCCCCCAAAAAATTGTCAGAATTAAATTATCTGTTTAGTGTGCGAGTGTGCCATTTTGAGCTGTTGGTTGGTGCTATATGTATATATGTATGTGTCTGTGATGGGTGTGTGTGTTAATGTGTGTGTGTGCGTGAGTGTGTGTGTGTGTGCGTGTGTGAGAGAGAGAGAGTTTGTTGTGAATGGGTAGTGATTATATGAAAAAAAAGTAGTTCTTATCTGGAGTAGATCAGCAGTGATTCTGTGTTCGAGTAATCCTGTTTTAGAAGCCAGTCCGTAAGTTTATGTTTTAGGTCGTAGGTATTTAAATCTATAATGTTTAATTTTTTATGAAGGTTTCTATAAATATGTACACTTAGGACAAAGAATTGGTTTTTAGCAAACGAGGTTCTGTGTTGCACATTTGGTGGAAGGTTTGTTCGTTTATTTGAATTTGATGGGCTAACGTTCTTGTGTCTTCTCAGAGTCGACATGAGCACGAAGAGCTGTCGGACCGTCAATACGTTAGTATCTGAATAGACTTGGGAAGTTGGGTATTTATAGGGTTTTCGCAAAATAACTTTAAGTACAGCTCTCTGTGCCCTCTCAACCCTAAGAAGACTTGCTTTACTTGCACCGCCCCAAGCAGCAATACAGTATCCAATGATCGATTGACATAGAGCGAGGTAGGTCATTCTTAGAATCTCTAGGTTAGATGACTCCCTAAGTAGTTTAAAAGTGTGGATTAGTCGCATTATTCTAGTGACGAGAGCGTTTATATGAACATCCCACCTTAATCCATCATCAATTTGAACGCCTAAATACTTTACAGTGTCAGTTCTTGTAAGAGGGGCACAGGAACATTGTATTATCGGTGCGTCACATGTGTGGGCAATTATTGAGTATGAGTTTGGAGGTTTATTTCTGCGGCGAATAGTGAAAGGGATGTATGCAGTTTTGTTGATGTTTAGTGTCAGAAGATTTAGTTTCAACCATTTCATGATACTTTTGAGGGCATATTCAGCTTTTATCTTGACTTCTTCCCAGGTAGATCCTTTAACTATAATCGCAGTGTCATCAGCATATGCATAGATTTTACAGTTTGGGAGGGTCATTTTACAAAGGTCGTTTACATAAATTTGGAATAGAATGGGACCAAGTATACTCCCTTGAGGTACACCGTAATTAATAGTCCTTTCGTCGCTTAAGTAGGAATCAATTTTTACTACTTGCTTGCGATTGGTAAGATAATCTCTAAAAATATCCAAGGCCATACCACGGACTCCGAGGCGCTCAAGTTTCGTGATTAGCAAGGGAACAGAGACTGTGTCAAACGCCTTAGACAGATCTAGAAAAATACCAAGACATTTCTCTTTGTGGTCCATACTTTCAGCTATATATTGTGTTAGATCCAGTACAGCATCTTCAGTGGAGATACCAGGGCGAAAACCGTATTGGTTATCAGCTATAATTCTGAATCTGTCCAAATAGTCTCTTAGGCGCTTATTTAAAAATTTTTCAAGTAGTTTTGAGAGGGAGGAAAGTACTGATATCGGTCTATAGTTGCTGACACAGTCTCTGTTACCACTCTTGTAAATTAGATGTACAACAGCTCTCTTAAGGGCTTCTGGAAAAACTCCCAGTTGCAGGCAGTTGTTAAAAATAAATGTCAGCGGTGGTGTTAGTTGTTTACAACATAGTTTTAGAACCAAGGATGATATTCCATCCCAACCTGCGGCACAATCACTGCGTAATTGGAGAATGTATGATTCGACCTCGGACTCGTCTACAGCCATCAAGGCAAGAGAGTTAGGAAGCGAACACATGGGAGTAGGATCAAACTGTACGGTTGTATCATTTAGGCCGGTTTCGTTAGCTGATTGGAGTTGGGATGCCAAATTTTGACCTATGTTACTGAAATATTTGGAAACCTCGTTAATAGACACTCTGGGATTGTCCATTATTTTTAACAATTCTGAAGGACTTATGCTTACCTTCTTTGTGTTTGTAATTTCTTTAATTGCGTTCCAAAGAGCTCTAGTGTTATCTTTTGCCTTCTCTAGTTTACTCCTTTCATGGGCTCGTTTAAGCTTACGTAGCAGACCGTTGCAAAAATTCCGATATCGAGTGTATGTGGCTTTGAGCGTTAAATTATCAGGAAACTTTCTTGATTTGGAGTGTAATTTATCGCGATTTCTGATACACTTTAATAGTCCAGGTGTCATCCATGCTTTTAGTGTTCGTATTCTTCTTGGAATTGTGACTTGTCTTGTATTTTTAGCAATAATGGCTTTAATTATTGATATAATGTGATTCATTAAAATATTTGGATCCGATGTTGAGTAAATGTCACTGAAATCTGTGTTTTCCAGGTCGCTTTTGATTCCATCGTAATTAAGTTTAGATACAGTACATTGTGCCTTATGTGCAGTTCTAATATTGGATACCGCTAGGATAGTAGGCTTATGATCGGTTATATGTGAGTCCAAAACTAGTGTAGTACTTGGAAGAGTGGTCTTTAGAAGTGTGTGGTCGAGACAATTTTTTTCACGAGTAGGTAAGAAATGGGTAGGAATTAGACCATGAGATGCATTTAGTAAAAGGTATTCAATGCTACGATCATTTCTAGACAGTTCCTTTATATCAATATTCAGGTCACCTACGAGAGCGATGTTAGGGTAAGATGACAGGTCGGAGTAGACGTTATTTAGGCTTATAAGGAAGTTATCGAAGTTTTCTTTGGTTTGGTATGCTGGCGAGCGATAGATTGAGACCACAGCTAATTTGTTATCTATGTTACATATAAGACAATTTGCATTATTAATATTTGGTTCACTTACAGTTGCGTTTAAGTCGGTCTTAGTGTATATGATAATTCCGTCATTTTTATTTTGTCAGTAATATTATAAATGTGAAAGTGTGTTTGTTTGCCCTTCTGTCACGTCAAAACGGAATGACCTATTGGCGTGATTTTTTGTGTGGAGATAGTTGGGAGGGCTGGAGAGTGACATAGGCTTTTTACCGCGGGAGATTATCTATTTCCCACGGGAAAACACGTTATAATACAATCCAAAAAATATTTATGATCCAGAATTATTTGAAACTTGGTGTTAATGTTCTTCAATAAAATTAAATGAACACGTGTTTTAGCATTTTTCGAAATTCATCTTATAAGGGGGTAAAACAGGGAGTTAAATTTGTATGAAACTACCCTTTTAGAGATTTTTTGTGATTTAGCGCGAGCAAAGTCGCGGGTTCTGCTAGTAAATAATAAAACAAGATCAAGATAATCATTCTATAAGACTAGTATAGGATAATATAGGATAGGATGACTTATAAAATTAGCAAGTTACCTCAGTGCGTAGAGTGTCGTAGCTGTGCTGTATGTCGGTGAAGGCGCGCTCGCTCATAGTGTTGCCTTGTGTCAAGCTCTGCTGAATGTCTTCGTTGGTGGCCACCAATCTGTCACCCATTTCGTGCAGTTTCATATTTATCTTAGCAACAGCTGAAATTATTTTGAAACTTTACACACACAGAAACAAGCTAATTATAGTAAATTTTTAGCTAACGTATATGTACAATTTACATATGAACTTTACTACTATAATTTACTATGTATCAATCTAGATTCTATTGCCTATTAATACCATACAGCTGCAGAAACTTCAACGTTGAAATCCAGCCAGGATTTGAACCTGTAGTCGGGTCATAAAGAGTAATAATTTTTCTGTAAAAAATATATAAATATGCAAACCAAACAAACCTCTTTACAGTAATTACCAATATATACTTCCAATGGGAGTTCAGTTCCAAAAAATTGAAAATCGGTAGGAAAGATCAAGTAATTCTAAGTATATTAAGTATATTCTACTCACATTTTTCCTGCTCTCCTGACAAGTTACTCTTTAACTCCGCAAGACCCTCGAGCGTGTAGTTTGTGCTTCGCTGTAAATCAGCAAGGCGCGGCAAATCCTTCCACATACTCTCTGCATCAGAGAGCAGCTGTTGAATTTTGCTTATATCTTTTTCTTGGCGCTCTATTACTAATAATAAGAAATATTAGTTGTGATTAAAGAAACCTGTATCTAATATTAAAATAGTTATACAGTAAGGTAGGTAAAAGGTAGTAATCAGTGAGAGTCAATAGTAAGGGGACTAGAATTTAGATATTCGATACCTAAAAATTTTCATAATAACGTAAAGTCGTAAAATCATTTATTCCTTACTTATAAATTGTGGCTTCCTTATAACTGAAAATCTTAGACTTTATACTACATAGTATTTTATTTATAAATACTTTATTGCACAACTTCTGGTGAAAGGATTAATGAAACCGTAATTAGGACGGTACAATTAATATTATATATATATACATGCTCAAATATATACATACATAAATATATAAAACAAATACATATAACTAACTTTATTAGTAGTATTTAGTATTTATAGATTGGTCTTTCTGTCGAATTGGTTGCCAATACGGCTACGAATTTTGGCATCATGTGGGTGGATGTTTATAATTTAATAATTTAGTTCCAAAAATCTATTCTATACCGATAAAATCGAACTTATCCAAAACAGTTGCTTCTATATTTGCAAATGAATACATTTCTATATTACATATCCGCTAATATTGTTATTCAAGTGGGTCTAGATATTGCAATAAACCTACTTAGATATAAAGCTCATTTAAATACACAGCATAATCATGTCATAGCTTATCGCCACAAGTAAGTTCATTGAGAAAATAAATATTTTGGTTCAATAAAACCATTTTTTTGGTACAATTTGATTTTATGTTACATCGTTATTAATTCATTATAGACCAGGGTAGAAGCCATTAAAAATAATAAAAAGTGAAAAAAATAATAGTAGGATGCAACCCATTAGAAAAGGAGGGGAATATTATAAAAATGAAAGGAAAAATAATTTACGGGCGATCTGAGGTCGGGAAGGGGATGGGGGTGAGTTTTTAAGGGTAAAAAACGGTTTTTCTCGATTTCCGGCAAAACTAAAAGTCCTATCGAAGAAAGTCAAATGGCAAAGTTGTAGGTAATAAAAAGATCTAAAACTAATTTTTTGTAAAAGATAAAAATAAAAAACCAAAAACTTGGTTTTTTGATTTTTTCACATAAATTTTAAGGTTATGTGAAAAAAGTGTAAATACAAAAGTTTTAGATCTTATTATTACCTACAACTTTGCCATATGACTTTTTTCGATAGGACTTTTAGTTTTGCTGGAAATCGAGAAAAACGGTTTTTTAGCCTTAAAACCTCATCCCCATCCCCTTCCCGACCTCAGATCGCCCGTAAATTATTTTTCCTTTCATTTTTATAATATTCCCCTCCCTTTCTAATGGGTTTCATCCTACTATTATTTTTTTTGTTTTAAAAATTATCGACCCTGGTCTATTATGGTAAAGGTACTAAAAGAGACGAGCAGTAAGATATCTATCTCAATAAAATTATTTACCTAATCCTATTCCTGATAAAACGATATTCACAATTTCAATTTATTTGTTTATAATTATGAGTATTTGTTTATAAGTTATACCACAGATCATATAATACTGGTTATACTTAAATCCTCGATGTGTAAATCATCGAAAAACATGACAAAGATTTATAAAGAATTATTAAATTCCAAATTACTTCCTTTTTGTAAGTAAATATTTATTTAAAAACTTCCGGTTTTATAACAGACTAGCATTGCCCGCGGCTCCGCCCGCGTTCAGATGACCAAAAACCAAATTCTTAGGTATTAGTATACTCTTTCTTACAATGCAGTTTTTGTATTTTTTCTCAGAAATGAGATATTTTCCCGCAGTAAAAAGTATCCTATATGTTGACCCGTATAACCAGCTATCATCATACCAAATTTCATCAAAATCCCTCCAGTGGTTTTTCTGTGATGCGGTAACAGACAGACAGACAAAAATACTAAAACTATAGATTCGGCCGCTGTATCGATAATAATGTTTATTTCAATAAAATTTTCCAAAAAATATTTATAGTACAGATTCGGCTTAGTTACAATTTTATTATATGTACTTATAGATGAGAAACTAGTTAGTCACCCACGAACGACTTTTTCTCGCAAAAATAGTTCCGTTATCTTCCATATGCATGCATTAGTTCGTAAGTTAGCTCACGAAGTGTCATGATGTCGCTGAGGGCATTCTTTTACATAATTGTATTGAAACAAATGCTATGCTATTTTTACTTTATTATGTATTTTTTTTAATTCTGGTAATAATTTCGGAATCAGAATATTTTAAAAATATTTTGGTAAACACTTTAAAACGAAACAAGTTTAAAATTTATAAAAAAAAAGTTTTTTTTACAAGTTTTTGATAAATGGTAAAGATACCTTCAGTCATTTTGCTGTGCCACGCCTCGTCAGCCAATGAAACCTCGCTAAGTGGCACAAAGTCGGTTTGCACTTTGCTGGCGGTGCCATTGTACTCGTTCAGCTTCAGCTCGTACTTGTTAAGTAGTTTTTCAGTCTCCGAAATATGCCGCTCGAACGGATTTACATCAGGAACCACTTCCAAACACATGGCTTGTAGAGCGTCCTGAAACACGAAGGTTTGTTACTTTTCAATATACTTATTCACATTTTTAAAGTTATAGGTATCATCAATAGATACTCTTTTAATTAATAAAATTATTATAACTAAAACCTAAATATAGTATGAAATCATACTTCTTTTACCTAATATTTATTTTTACCGATCAACTATTTTTCTTAAAGATAATCCCTCAATGACCGCGTACACGCCGGCGTTACAGTTAACAATAGATTTCTTAGAAATTTAATTAATTTCTTAGAAATAAATTTACCTGGAGGTTTAATAACTTGCTACAATTCTAAAAGTATATAGCTACATGTAAATCTTTAAGAATTTCTGTGTAAGAATAAAATGCATGTTTAAGGTTTACATTTCAAAAATTTTCCTAACCTTACTTAAACTTTTCTTCAAAGCTTCTATCTCGAGCCTTACTGCATTCAATTTAGCGTCAGTTGTGTCCAGGCGCTTACTCAATGAATTTTCATTGGTAGTTAAGCTGTTATCTATTTCTGTTGTAACACTGCTCTTTGTATTTTCTATCACTAAAGCTGTCAACGATTGTAAAGATTTCTTTATTTCATCTAACGCTTCGTTTGTCTTCTTCTGAGTTTCCTTTTCTCTTTCTTCCTTCTGTTACAAAAAATATATAAAAGCAAATTGAAGATGTATAGATACCTATATATAATGAGATTTCTAAGTATGCAAAGCTTAACTAAATTTGGGAAGGAGGTATTTATGTTTTTTTTTTATTTTTAATAAAGAAACAAAAGTTTATTTAAGTTTTTAGGTTTAATTAAACATTAATCAATTAGTTAGTTAAAAACTGACCACCCTTGAATAGACGTGTAGCTTTTATTTCAAAATCAATAGAAGCTGTACCTACCTGTAAAAATATATTTTCCACATTGTAGAGCCTATCATCTAGCCTTGATATTGTGCCTTTCAGAGATTCGAGGTTTCTATGCTTTTTCTCTAGACCCGCTATCATTTTTTTGAGTTGTTCCCCGAGAGCTTTCTCACGGTATTCATGTCGTTCGAGTTTGTCTTCTGAGATTCTGAACATGTGGACTAGAGACATCATTGCATCACGGATATCTTCGTGCCTGTAGTAAAATTTAAAATAAAATATTAAATAGATTTCTCAAAGATGAGATATTTTCCTACAGTAAAAAGTATCCTATATGATGACCCGGATAACCAGCTATCGCTATACCAAACTTCATCAAAATCTGTCCAGTAGTTTTCTCGTGATGCGGTAACAGACAGACAGACAAAAAATCTAAAAACTAGATTCGGCCTCTGTATCGATAATAATGACTATTTCAATAAGATTTTCCAAAAAATATTTAATGTACAGATTCGGCTTAGTTAGAATTTTATTATATGCTTAGAATATTTATATGTAAATAATCTAAGATTATATGTATAGATTTTTCTACTCTTTGTTCGCAATTAGCTCGGTATCACATATACAAATAAATGGATACCAGTAAATAACAGAAGGCAATAGTGACTTGTGACACATATTCATAGATTATTAAATTTTTGCATTTTTGTTACATCCCGACTACGGCTGAGATCAGCATTAGATATCCATGAAACACGCTCAAAAACTTATTAAGTACCTACACTTGATCTCTTTAAAAATTTTATACCACAAGTAGATATTATATTTGGCACGCAAACAATTGACTTTTGCTCTTGACAATAGGTACTCCATATTTTAAGATTTCCAGTTCGTAGGTATTTAGAATGGAATAGGGTCAGTGTGTTCGACAGATTACCTAAGATTGATAAGATATCTGCGCATATTTATTTCGTACTAGCATTGCCCGCGGCTCCGCCCGCGTTCAGATGACCTAATTGTTAGGTTTTACATATTAGTGAACTCTTATAATACAGTTTTTGTATGTTTTCTCAGAAATGAGATATTTTCCCGCGGTAAAAAGTATCCTATATGTTGACCCGGATAACCAGCGATCACCATACCAATTTCATCAAAATCCCGCCAGTGGTTTTTCTGTGATGCGGTAACAGACAGACAGAAATTCTAAAAACTATAGATTCGGACTCTGTATCGATAATAATGTCTATTCCAATTAGATATTCCAAAAAATATTTAATGTACCGATTCGACTTAGTTATAATTTTATTATATGTGTTGATTATTGTGCACTTTAAGCGAGCCACAACATATCTTTGTACATATTTATCTAAACGGCCTGCATTATAATGAATGATAGAACTTACTGTGCTAATTCAATAAGATAATGACGTAATATAGCAAGTGCCCATCGATTACATAATGACCCTTAGTTTTAAACTTTAAACGTTCGAGTATTTAAGAGAAAGGCATTTTTACGCAACGTGTGTGTGTGTGTGTGCAAATCAAAACTTAATTTATCTTTGTTATCAACTTATGTAAGTTACATAAAAAACCAGCAGTTGTTAATGTTTATTATTAGATTAGAATTCTGTTTAACGCCGCTCGTAACCAATATTCATAATTTGTATTTGAGAAGGAAATACGGCGTCGCCTTACAATTAAATGATCCGGATTGCCGCAAATCTATTAAAGTTTATTTTCATAAATAACTGACGCAAATCTACTTTCCTAATATACCTAAAAAGAAGACGCGAAATAAATAAATAAATAAAGGAGAAACATTTCTCTCATTTTTGTACCCGACTGCGGCGAAGCCCAAAGGAGGGTTATGTGTTTGCCTGTATGTATGAATATACATATGTCCTACCATACGTTCTGTCATAATTATTAAACGGATTAACTGATTTTGATGATTCATACGTCATAAGATTAGTTTTGATGACGCCAGTGTCATAGGGGTATATATATATTTTTTAAACCGAAACTTAAAAGTTGTAAATTAAAAAAAATATACTGAAATAAAAAAAACCCACTGTGTAAAAGTCAAACTAAAAGATGAGATCAAGTTGACGAAGAAAAATAATAATAAGCAGTCGGAGACATATACATGTACATAGTAGGTACAAACACGTAGCAAGACTCGCAGTTAGTTTAATACTTGGTATATATTGCATAATAATATATTTCTTTGTCAATATATTGTCATTTTTAGTTCACTTTTTACGTAGTCAAGTTTTTAGGATTCCGTACCTCAAAAGGTAAAAAAGGGACCCTTATAAGATCACTCTTCTCCGTCTGTTCGTCTGTCTGTCTGTGTGTTACCACTGATTTTCTCAGTGGACTTAGCAAGTTGAAATTTGTTCCAAATACTGAGGTCTATAGTCCCTATTAGGTGTATAAAAATCAAGGTCCTGAGTCAACACGATAAAAAGATATGGGCAAATTTAGATTTTCGTGAAAACTTTAAAGTACCAATATTTACTTTAATTTTCAACTTTTTTTATATTTCGGAATTTTCCCTTTACTCGTGCTAGCATTGCCCGCAGCTCGTTCAGATGACCAAAAACCAAATTCTTAGGTTTTACATATTAGTATACTCCTACATTGCAGTTTTTGTATTTTCTCCCAAAAATGAGATAAATGATGACCCGAATAACCAGCTATCACCATACCAAATTTCATCAAAATCCCTCCAGTTGTTTTTCTGTGATGCGGTAACAGACAGACCGACAGACAAAAATTCTAAAAACTATAGATTCGGCCTCTGTATCGATAATGTTTATTTCAACAAGATTTTCCAAAAAATATCTAATGTACAGATACGGCTTAGTTACAATTTTATTATATGTATGTACAGAAATCGACACAGAGTTTTAGTTCATAATTTAATTGTTTATGAATATTATTTAATGCGAATACGACTAATACTGACTTGGTTAAAATAGACTTATCTAGACTTCTGTAGGTTTATTATATATAGTGTGAGATTGAACCCCAGACCTCTTCGTAATAGATATAAGACATGGTTATACATGATCCACTATGCCGGCAAGACGGTCATTTAAATTATCCCAGTGCCCAGAAGCCATACTATAATAGATGGCATTAACATCGTAAAAATATAATTACTTGCTTTTAATAATAAAACAACATCATAAAACGATCAATGATCCTTGTTATAATATTCAACGTGAGTTATTTTAAATTGTACCGATAGAAAGTGTATTTCACTCTACAGCTTTTGTTTGATTTCTCCAAAGACGATGAACTTCGTTATATTTACTAAAGGTAAATGTTTACTATATTTAATTTATTTATAACATAATAATATTAAAAAATATATAATTAAGTAACCACGACTACAACATTAATATTCTACTTAGTACCTACGTCATCATTAACGGAAATTCTTGTTTCATGAACAACAAACTATTTTAGTTCTAGTACCTAACGTATTCTTGTTATCAAATTAATACTATAAATGCTAAATTTGATTGAGTGATAATATGTATTTTACTTATTAATACTTGAATTTAAGTAAAATTCGTTATGTAGATTACTCATACCCTAAATTAAAACTAGCTAAATCACAAGCGAAACCGCTGACAAAACTAGTTAATTACATTCTAGTAAACTATTCTGCTATCAAACTTTTGTATAATAATCTTTTCATTTCTTATAGTTTTAATCGAACAACAACATTGACTTATCCTCAAAAATCTCATCTTTTACTTGCCATCGCTCTCTTTTCACTGGCTCCTTCCTGCAACGTACAGTTTTACGAGCGAAAGGATCTATCAAATTATGCCTATAAACACTTTATTTATTTTTCTATCTTCTATACATATAATAAAATTCTGAGTCGAATCTGTACATTAAATATATTTTTTTTGAAAATCTTATTATAATAGTCATTATTATCGACGTAAAGGCCGAATATCTTATCCGAAAAAAAAATCTCATCTCTGAGAAATCTATACTAAACGGAAAACGTAAATAGGGTCGAATCCGAGCGGAACGAGGGTGAGTCGCTAGTCTGTTAATAAATCAGTCTTTCATACGATATCTAAATTTTAAATTTACTTTTAATAAAAATCTATATTACTAAAGTAGTAACATTTTCAATTAAACGCTTTTACGATCTAATATTGGTAGAGATATTTTGAGTTATATTTATTTATTTATTATTAAGCTAGGTAATACTCATGAATAGAGCTTCAGGCATAATTGACTGTAATTTCCATGCTCCGCCGTATATAGATAATAAATTATAATTTATGTATCAGTAAAAATAAATTTAATTAAATAACAAGACCAAATAAAACTCGACTAGCATTTGACGAAACTGCATAGTGGTGCATACACATTCATTTATTTATTTTCTTACCTATAGGAAATTACAAAAACAAGTAAATTCGAGTATTCCAAAATAACTCTTACTCTATCAATCTAGAGCTCTTTAAGCATCAAATACATACATATATGTAAGTACCTTCTTAATGGTAAAATTGAAACTGAGTACGCACTTATTATTGGATTATTATGCATTATATATGGAAGTAATTATTTATTATGAACAAAACTCCTACGATCTTCAATACTCGTTCAAACGTCTCGTAATACTATTTATGGCTACTTGTCCTGGCTGTTTATTTTCGCCTACTAAGGGAAGCCGTGAGTCATGCACGTGGAACAGGAAATCAATCATTAAAGGATAGGCAGTTTATTATATATTCACTTTATGAAAGTAACGGAGATGCGTCTTTAGCTTATTATGAATACTGCTGCCATGTTTACAGTTACCAAGCGATATAATTTGCAAACAGTAGCGTAGGAACTTGAGCGCATATTTTATTTTTGCAACATGCATCGTACCTATTTTTTTTTTTACTTTTAATATAGGTAATAATAATATTATTTTTTCGGTTTCTGTATCGATAATAATGTTTATTTTAATAAGATTTTCTAAAAAATATTTAATGTAGGTACAGATTCGGCTTAGTTACAACTTACAATTTGATTATAATTACGTATAGATTCATTTTAGAAAATTATGTATTCTTATTATTTACGACATACAAAAGGATTACTTACAATATTTTGGAGTCATAGCTTTAGCGATATACCTATTGCACAGACTTTTAAAAGATTTTATAAAAATATATTTAGAAACTTTTAAGGAATTAGAAGATGCAAGGTATATTAACCTAGCTAAATAATAATATAATTTTGCCTCATTTTACTATGTTGTGTACAGTAATATGACATATTTGAAATCGAAAAAAAGGCTTTTTTAAAAAGCTTACTTACGTGACATTCCTGGCGTGTGTGTCGCTCGCCACCAGCAGCACGGCCGCCGCCACCCACAACAGTCTCTGGAGACAATAACGATACTGATAAACTTACATGCGAATTTCAGACAAGTTTGTGTAACTTATATTTAGTTTTTTGTAATGTGAAGTGCTATGTGAACTAATGTGCTTATAAATTACAATTAAACATAATTAAAACTAAATTGATCATCAATATTTAGGTACTGCAGTTATAGGGATAATAAAATGCTTAAAATCATCATTTGTTACTATGAACTTTAAGTTAATTATTTTTATTGAATAAAGAAAGATTTACGATATTTTTAATTATAAGTAAATATTTAAAAAATAACAAAAATCAGGAAGTCGCAATTATTTATGTAGGTACTAAACTAACTCATGGTAGGTCGTATTATCTTGCGGTCATATTAAATTCAATGTTGTCGACATTGTTTTAACTCAGTCCCAAACAGCTAATTATTTCTGGGTGGTACAAAACGACTCTTCGATTATCTGAGATCACTATTGTGTTGCATAAATGGATAGATGGTAAAATGCATGTATGCAAATTAAATAACTTGTTTATATTGCATACTTGTGACTTACCCACGCTTTGCTCGGGTTCGTCCCTAGATACGTTTTAACGACCATTACTGGCTATTTCAATAAGATTTTCCTATAATTTAATTTACAGATTCAACTCAGTTAGAATTTTATTATATGTATGTATGTATTTTATTGTATGTATCTTTACATCTAAAGATTCTATAGGTATAGAATCTTTAGATGTAAAGATTTAAATATACTTTTACATAAAACCTCTTCTTTTAGGTTTTTAAATTATCTAAGTACTAGCGGCTCACAATCCAAAATCAATAAGTACTATTTCGTTTATAGGTACCTTTAAATAACTAAACGCGTTAAGTGGCAACATTAAATCAGTAATAAATGAAACATGCGAGCAGCGAGACCCCTTTAATTAAGTTTGAGCAACTGGTCAACAAAAGTGACATACTTACACACATTTACTATCCATATTTATTCATATTGAATTAGACTGTCAATAAATATTGTTAACCCGATTAATCTTAGTTAACCTAAATACCACCTCTCTTTCATTTGTATGGGAGAATGCAATAACTACTTATACTATACTTAATATTATGAAGCGACAGAGTTTGTTTGTTTGAACGCGTTAATCTCAGGAACTAGTAGTCCGATTTGAATAATTCTTTTCGCATTAGATAGCCCGTTTATTGAGGAAGGCTAAAGGCTATATCATCGTACTACTATTCAAGGGAGCGGAGCAGTAATCATAAATGTCAATAAATCGGACACTTCCATACATTATTGTAAAACTGATTTTTATAATGAAGTAAAAACGCAGGTGAAACCGCGGGGCACAGGTAGTATAATATAAGAACTATGTATTGTTACTATGTAGCTAAGCTCTAAGAATTAGTAACTTTACTATAATGACAACGTGGAATATTAACTCTACACACTTAAGTACAGTAAAGTATCTATTAAGCCACGTACTGACCATAAAATAATACCTGTCCCAATACAAAGGACCATGTGCCTAATAATTAAACAAAAGTCTATATTTTGTCAGAGTGATGGTGCTTGGTTTTTAAAAATCTATTATTCTTCCTACTAAAGCAACTTTTCCAAGATTATCCGATGTATAGGTAAAGCTTCACGTTTTCCATGTGGCATCGAGACATTAATCTTTCGATACTTGAACAAAGTAGCATTTATTTGGCATGCTGAATGATTTTAATACCTCACTTTCTTAAAACAAGGTGTCGAAAAATTGGAAAGTAAGGAAACAAGTAAGTGCCTACATTTGTGCGTGATAAGCCTAGTTTTTCAATCAAATATCAAGTTAAAGGATTTGAGGAAATAAGATTATTTTATTTTTACTTAAGTAAAAATATGTTTATAATGTCGCCTCAAATATAACACAATAGGCATATCAAGTTCTCATTGTTGGTAAGTGTACATATGGCTATAGTTAGGTACGTCCTAATATCGCTTATGTATGCAGAATTTGGTAAGAAGAAGCGTGAAAGATGTTATCGCTGCGTATTGCCAGAACTAAGGTACGTACATATGTATGTAGGTGTTGGTGAGATCTTGTCGTGGTGGGGGGGCTCAGTAGTGCCCGGCAATTCAGCCGGGCGCGAAGCCAAGTAACGCACAGGGAGGTGGCCCGCTTCGGTGGGCGGTGGGAGGTGGCCCTCTTCGGAGGGCGGTGTACCATGCGGATTGCTCCTGGTACTTCTCTGATAGCAGAGTGGACTTTGGAGCAACCCCATGGTCGTTGTGGTCTGCTACAGCAGACCTGCCGTCGGGACGTCGTAGTTGAATGCGTAAGCGATCCTGCGACGCCCCATTAAGACGGGGGAAGGCTTTGTTGGGTTTTAGTGGGTAGTACTGGCTTTGCCGGTGAGTCCCACACCTCGTGCGTAAATGCATTTCCCAACGTAAAAAAAAAAAGGTGTTGGTGAGATAGTAGGTATAAAATAAATCTCAAGTATCATTTTCAGTTATTCATTCGAATTACTGAGTCAAAAAGCATACCTTCTATATGTTAAACCAGGAAATGGCATGTTTGTAAGCCAAATTTTATCAAAATCTGTTTAGTTTTGTACTCGTAATAGAAACAAACACCTTTTGAAATGAAACTTCTTGAGAATCGTTGTGATTTGAAACTCGATGAAACGAAAATGCGACACAAAAAGAGACAAATACATAAATATATATAGGAAATAAAGCCGGTGAGGTAGAATACATTGCCATGTTGCCATAGTAACCGTTGTTATTGTCTAACAAATGTATATGTAGTAGTATATTCTTTCCGTATATGATATTTTATAAATATATTATTGTAATATGCCTAATATGCTTTATTTAATTATTTGAGATAGAATACATTACACAGGAAGTAAAAAATAATAAAATTAATTATTGGATGTATATGTGTAATGTTGATGTATATGTGTAATGTTGATGTATATGTGTAATGTATATTTATGTCAAATAAAATGTAAAATAACTTTTAAACTTGGTAAAAATAATATAAAACAATAAATCTTAATATTATCCTACTCCTCATACTCTATATTCATGTCATGCTCTCGTAGATTACTGTTTTGAAGTTTGCACACACGCACTTTTATTTTTTTATTAAAATTTATGATATCAATAGGAAAGTCAGTGAAAATTATTATCGGCAGCGAATTAAAAAAATGAAATATGTTACTAAGAAAATGCATTATATGTATGACGTAACCAAAATACACTGTTGCATCTAACTCGTCCAATTCTTCATTATGCAAATAGTTTCGAGAATGTAAATGTGCTCGCACTTCGTTATGTTGTTTGTAGAAGTCACGACAATGATACGCACAACGCAACGCTGACGGCAGCTCGAAAGGAGTTTAGGCTAAATGTTGGATCGAGACCTTGGCCGGGATCCAGGTTAATCGCACAAAGCTGTCGCGCTAACAAAGGAGGCAAGCTATGTTTAGGAAGATTTCCGCATATTTATTCCTTCATTAATTATGTGTTATTTAAATCACCAGTATCACAATAAAATGAGTAAAATATGTATCTTCTCTTATCTCTAGTGCAAATATGTTTATAATTGCCTCGTATTATTCTTGCGGGAATGAGACCTGTTAATTAATTAAGATTCTTAACATTGTTTGGTCTTAACCAACCCTAACAAACAAGGTATATGGTTTATTTATAGACATTTAAAGCCTAAAGGTACCTGCATGAAAGTCTTTATAAATGTTCTGACCAAACTGCTGAAAGACTAAGATTTCGACAATAACATTCACTAAGAAAGAGAAGAAATTAGTGGCAAAGATGACATGAAAAATTGTGTTGTCTGACAACCTAACTTGAAACTTAATGTTCGTTAAATTTTAGATAATAATGCTATTTGACTACTTTGTTGGTATGCTACTTTGTCGGTATGATAATTTATACTGTACAGTAGTTTCAGGAAATATCTTATGAAAAAAGGTACCTACAAAATCATTTTAAATGTACATACAGTAAATTATTCCATCCCTATTATTTAGATGTGGTTTGATTACTTTAAAGAATCTTTTATTATTTATATGGTCCCTTAAAGTATTTAGTATATGTACTTAGGTATATCTTATTCAGTAAAAAAAATAATAGAACTCACTTTGTTTTTGGCGACGATATTGCGTAACATGCACACAAAAAATCATACTTATGAGTATTTATTACCACCTTTTCCTTGGTGAAGTCGGTTAAAACGCACACGGTGGCGACTGGCGAGACTAGTAATCTATACTTTTTTTATACAGGGATCAAACCCACAACTTCCGGCACAGCAGGCAGTGCCAGTTAGACAAGCCACAATTTCATAATAACTTATTGTTTAAAGTTTCGTCTTATTTAATATCATAACAGAATGTATCATTTATACGTCATTAGTTTAAATGTATGTAGGTAATAATATGCATGTATTTAATGCCCTTGTGTTTAGGTATTGTCATTTATTGAGAGCCAAAATCTGTTCGACGATGAATTAATCTAGATGCAGTAATTTTGTCAAATTATGCAGGGAAGAAGACAGCAAAAACAATAGAGACTACAAAACATAAAATATAAGTTGTTAATACCTACCTATTAGCGTGGGCGATCATATCACATCGAAAGGTAAACTTCGTGCATGTAGGTAAGTAAATAAATTATTATACTTTTTTATATATTACTAGCGGCTCACCCTCGCTTCGCTCGGGTTCGTCGCTAGGTACGTTTTAAATATATGTATATAAATAATTATTACCCAGCGTTAGCCATATACATTTTATTATGGTTATTAAGTATTCTTAAATTTTATAATTTTCTGCGCAATTTTTTAATTTTTTTCTTCTTATGAACCTTCTCCTGACAATAACAAACACAACAAAAAAAATAGTTAAATCGGTCCAGCCGTTCACGCGTGATGGCGAGACCAAGGGAAATAGGGATTCATTTTTATATATATAGATGTTTGCGCAAAGTATTCGCAGTAGGTATCAGTTCAAAGAAAATTCAATAAAAAGCATAATTACATATGCAAGGCGCACCCATAATAACTCAATTTCTTGTCACGATGAGGCGTGAAAATCGTGCATCAAGCTCACAAGCTTCGGGCAATAAACTTTCTTGTCGCTTGTAGCTTATGAGAAGTTTTGTGAAATTATTATTTAAAACTCCTGAAGATAATTTGAAGTGTTATTCTTGGCTCTTGCTATCTTTTACGTTTCATCAATATAGGGGAATACCCTATACTATAATTTTCATTACATATGAAAAAGGCATCTACTTGTATTGAATGGATATATACATTTTTTTAATTGTATCAAAAGTATTTCATCTATTTCTAACTACATAACAAATTTAGTTCAACTTAATTTAGGTAGGTATATCTTACTGACGCGCGTTGGGTGCCCCAAACTTAAATTAATTATCATTATGACCTTTAGACAACGAGTTACCTTAATGTCACTTAACATGTAAAACCCATCATTACACAAAATCAATCATGTTTTTTTTTATAAAATAACATTAGGTTATAAAAAAAACTTGGTAAAGCATAGGTTTCCATTAAAGTTAATAATTAAGTTTAATCATTTGAATAACAATTACGAAATTGTAAATAATGGTTTAACATTATAATATTTATGTTGTTTATTTTAAATGCAGAATTCCTTTTGCTATATCTGATTATGAATAATTGATTTATTCACGTTAATTGGGTTTTATTTTATACTTTTTGTAAGAAGTGTACTATTTCATAATACCTATAGGTACCCTACGGTCCAATATATTTTTATTTACCGTATCAAGTATGACAACAAAGAATTTTGAACAAAAGAAATTCAAAATTAATAATTTTAAATTATTAAATAAGCAGATAAAATTATTTGGGTAAAATAACAAATACGTAACGTTTAGGTTATAATAATATTGTGTTTTATCAATATTTTACTATCAATTATTCAAATAAATATGTATTACTTATCAATCACAGGAATTTTTTAATATTCATACTTTTATATAAAGTCTAAGAAAAGAAATGTAGAGCTTACCGTACTAAATATCGCCATGTCCTTTAAGATCTAAATAAATCTAGAGGCACTGAATATTTATTTTATTTCTAATCGGTCGCTATACGAGATAGAAGCTGGCTCTATATTTAAACTAATGAGCTGCGCTCGCGCGCGCTGTCGGTCGCGAACTGATCGATGAACTGTTAGGTACCGCCATAGAGTATATTGTACCTATAGCGAGGTAGAGCTGCGGCGCCGGCGCCGGTGAGCGAGTGCGCCTGTTTGTTATGCCTTCATGTGCTTCATCGACATTCCTTTAGGTTACAGAGCCTTATTTTTGGACGCAATCGGTCAATCAACGTGCAGCTTTAATAAGTACTCCAATAACCATCAAACTTAAATAGAAATCAGTAAATCTACCTAATAGCACTACGGCAATTAAAAGTGCTCGTATTTCTTAGCTAACTAGAGTAATAAATACATTACCTATCTATATAGGTGTATATCTTGGGGTTATAGTATAAACTAATAAAAATGGAAACAGGATTCTTGCATAAGCCTTCTGCGTAGGTATACCTATTCGTTCTAAATTTTAGCAGCGCTCAGAACATAGCATTCATTGTTAATCTGTAAAACCAGGTTGTAATTCTTTATTTTTTATATTAAGTTTATTTACTTATTCCGAAAGTAAATACCGTGAATCAAATTATAAAGGACATTGCTCTTACAATTTCGGTTATACTAACACAGATAGTGTCAGCGTTTAACGCTATCTGCGGTGACGCATTCGTGAGGAGTTGTGATGTTAAGTATTCGGAAATACACATATGCGAGAGTAGGAAACTTAAAAATAATCTTTGCTACTCGTCTGACTATGTATTTCTGGTTATTCCACAACTCCTTTACACGAAAACACAGGTAGGTAGAAATCGGGAAGCTCAAATTTTATTTTTGATCCAAACTGACTAAATACATATTTGAATTCCTGCCCTATTTTGTTAATATAAAACTACATAATATTGTTCTTGCGATTGAAATAAAATTTATAGTGTATAATAATATACTTAATATTATAAATGTGAAAGTTTGCTTGTTTGTTTGTCCTTCTTTCACGTGGAAACAGAATGACGGATTGGCGTGTTTTTTTTTTGTGGAGATAGTTGGAGGTCTGGAGAGTGACAGACTATTTGTTACCGCGAGAGGTTATCTCTTTCCCATGGAGAACACGTTATAATACAATCCGAAAAAATATTTATGATCTGAATTACTTGAAACTTGGTATTATTGCTCTTCAATACAATTAAAATAAATATCTACGAGTTTTAGCATTTTTCGACATTCAGCCCATAAGGGGGTAACAATAGGGTCTGAAAGTTTGTATGAAACCTACATTTTCAGTTTTTTTGTAGTTTTAGCGCGAGCGCAGCCGGGGGTTCTGCTAATAATATATAAAGCTGAGGAGTTAGTTTGTTCGATTATACGCTTAACATCCTTTCTGAAACTGAAGAAGGTTAAAAGCTATGTAACTATCGGTGCGACCTTTAGGAGTAGAGCGAGAACTCATGAATAAAATACGCGGTCTGAGCGGCGCGCTAAGCTAGTTTTTAGCATGATTTTCATTTAGACTATACTGTACTATAAACAATTAAGAAAATTACGAATATACTTAATTATATATACTATGATGATGATGAGACTTACTATACAGGAAGACTCAATAACTAAACTTGGCCCGACCCGGGACTCGAACCCAGGACCTCCGGGTGTGCAGCCGTACATGCTAGCCACTACACCACCGAGGCAGTTAAATATACTATAATATATACTATAAACTAGTTATATAAATATTTATCGCGCGTTTTAAATTTAAAATATGTCCGTACACAGAAATGGACAATTATGCTTTAGCTATCTATATAGACCTATACACATACTTTGTACTCCTGACCTAGGCTATGTAGCTAGGTCTAGGCAAATATTCCGACTTTATAATTTTTTCATACAGTAGTATTTGAGTACAACTATGACCGTTACAGTTCCTTGTACGCAGCACTGGCCCAGGGGTAGAGCGATAGCCAGGTAGCAAGAGGCGCGAAAAAATCAAATGTGAAAAACAATTTTCAACAAAAAAATAACTTTTGATGACGCTTTTTGAAAGACGCCGGGCAGTGTTTCTAGCTCATTGTAAGTTTTCTGAAAATATGTAGAGTGACGATGAAATATTTGTAGATTTCTAACGATTGCATGTCATGCAAATTGATTTGAAAAAATTGGTAATCATTATTTATTTAATATAAATAAATCCAAAGTACTATATAAAGAATAAAGTGTCGACTAAATGGAGTTGAAAGACAATCTCGTTCTATACCTTGATCAAAGGCTAGGGCCGGCATTGCTTGTATGGATAGATATATAATGACATCAATAAAGTATTAGGTATACCTACTCAGTGACATGTTTACAAAACACTTTGCACACTAGGCTTATTACTTATTAATAATCCGTTTCTTGCATATAAAATTAATTGAGGAAATCAGTATGCACGTGTGTTGTCTTCAAATGCTTGTGATTATTATTGTATGTAGTAAGTAAATTAAATATTTATATGATGTACATAATACCTGTGTTTTACAATTATATGATGTTAATAAAAATGTATATGAATTTACATTCAAGATGTTACATGTTAGTGTTAACTTCTCAGCCTATTTTATTGTAAGAGAATTATAGTGCTATTATCTATCTATACTTATAAAAATAATAAAGTTGATCATTGGCGTAGTTTTGTAACAAAAATCGAGTGTTGGAAGATATACCTACACATTACCACATGTATGTAATATGTAGATATGTACGTGTAGATGGTAGCATATGTACTCCAGTTTAGCTTCTTTTGAAGACATATTACATTAACTTCACGAAAGTAAAAGCGATTGAAATATTATACTATTTTAAGGACTAGTATTCAATATATTTAATCATTTTTGATACAATAGTATTCTATTTACCGAATATTTTATTAAGTGATTTGCTTGATAAATGTGATAAAAATTTACATAATTTCGTAAGAACCATTCCATAAAAGATAAGCGTTTCTGTCGCAAAACAGTTGCTACAAAAGCAAACAAGCAGTGCACAGTACCTAACTAATTAACAAGTGAATGCAAAGCCACGTATTTTCGCTCTCTGTGGTAAGCAAAGTAGAAATTTACAAGCTAATTTTGAATTTATTCCACGCTATGTACCTGATACAATTGTAGGTTAGACATACAGGAACATTTAACACACATCTTTAGTATTATCTTACTTTAAAAAAATAAGTTTATTTAATTGCCTAATCTAAATATTTTAGATCTTAGTATACTTCTAACAGTTAACTGCCTCAGTGGTCTAGTGGCTAGCATGTACGTCTGCACATCCGAGTCCTGGTTTCGAGTCCCGGACCGGGCCAAGTTTAATTACAGAGTTTTTCTGTTAAGATTTTCTCAATAGTACGTAGTAGTAAATTTTCATGAAATTTTGTTCATACAAACATACAAATGATAGCTAGTTATACTGGTTAACATTTAGGATAATTTTTACTGCGGGAAAATATTTCATCTCTCAGAAATCTATAGTAACCTTAAACCGTAGAGTTAGATACAAATAACTGACGAAGTTACATACGCGTAAATATTATTATTAAAACTTTAATTGGCTCGTTCATAGTATTAAAAAATTGGCTAAGTATTCACTTGAATATTCTTTATTACTAAAATTGTTTAGTAGTATTTTTATTTATATATTCTTAGTAGGTAAGTGGTCAATGTAGGGTCATGTGACATGCCCCTTTAGAGGTTTAGACGATAAATACCTACTGCTAATCTCTTGGAAGTTATAAGTACTTGAAGTAAAGAAATATTAGGGTTTGTTCATAATGCTTTTTCTTCCATATTTATATATATTTGAGCGAACTACTTTATTACAAAAAAAAACCATACACGAGTATCGACGACCAAATAAACTGATAGGACTAAGGCGAAATAATAAACAAAGTGAGATAAAGAATTTTAATAAACAATTCAATGAGCGATAACGAGGTGTAGTACACACTAAATAACAAAATAATTATTTCTTTATAACTTTTATGTTTCTATGAACTATCCTGCGATGGCGGCTGACGCAGCCAGCCGTGCGGAAGGTCTTCCCGCACTCGGAGCAGCTGAACGGTCGCTCGTCTGTGTGCGACCTGTTGTGTACTTTCAGTATATCTAATGAATTAAATCGTTTGCCGCAGGTCTCGCATTCGAACTTCCTCTCGTTGGCGTGATACGCGTAGTGCCGGCGGTACTGCGCCATAATGTGGAAGCTCTTCCCGCACACTTCGCACGTCTTCTTCGGCGTGGGGTTATGGACGGCTTTATGCACAATGAGACCACTCTTAAACTTGAATTTCTTTTCACAAATCTCGCATGAATAAAGCTTTTCGCTGGAATGTACGTCGAGATGGCTGAGAAGGTTCCGCGTGTGTTTTCCGCACACTTCGCACACTTTCCAATAGTCGTATCTTAATTTGGCTACTTTCTTTCTTCTGCCTGCTTTTCTTTCTGACTTGATATCTCGCTTCGGTTGCGTGGCCTCGTCGGGCAGATCATCGTAGTGTAAGCCGTCAAAGTCATGACTTTCGGTAATATCGTCGTCTTTTAGTTGATGGTTGCTGTCTGTTTGTATTTCAATTTTTATTTTATCGCTATTACTCCTGAGCTCGCGGTCCGCATCCTGACATTTCCGTCTGAATTTGTATGCACATTCCAACTCCTTTACACAGTTCAGGCATATTTGTGACGGTAATGTGTCTGATTGATCGACCTACAACATTAAATATTAGGATTCAAAAAATATTTAAAGTACTTAATAACATAATTGTTTAGGCAAGGCAAAGTTGTACATGAATATATTCATGTTACAAGAGAAATGAATTTATGTATTGTAACAACTATCAAATTAACATTATTTAGCATTTTCATTTCAATTTTTGCTTTGGACACAATGTAGTGGTACATCAAAACAAATCAGATGATTATATACGAAACTACTGAAAATTTCTAAACTGGAAAACCAAACAAATACATAGCCCGACTCAGAACTCGAACCCAGGATCTCCGGCAGTTAAAGTAACAATAGCGTATTTCTCACCTCAACACCACCAATAACTCTCAACTTATACGCCAAGTCCAATCCTTCATTGTCCAAGTGGTTGTATATACTGACGCAGCCATCCTCACTGGAACACGATCTACACAAATTGGTCTCTAAAACTTCAAATTTCGGCTTTACTAGAGACAATCTTTGTTTCAATTCAAACAATTTCATATCGTCTTCTATATCGTCATCGATGACGTCATCATAGTTATCTTCTTTCTGCTCCTTTAAGGCTTGGCTCTCGTGAACTTCAGTGTACTTGGCCATCGCTTCGTAGTATGGCCATTGTTCGTTGAGTATGCCTTTGTTGGCGAATTTATGTTTCCACTGCAATGTGATTAATTTAGTCAACAATTTTTATATTTTGATATATTTTTTAACCCCGCGACGCAAAAACGAGGGGCTGATATAAGTTTAACGTGCCTATGTGTGTGTCTGTCTGTGGCATCGTAGCTCCCGAACGGATGAACCGATTATGATTGTTTTTTTTTGTTTGAAAAGTGAATTTGTCGGGAGTGTTCTTAGCTATGTTTGATGAAAATCGGTCCAAGATGGTCGAGGGTTATTTCAATTTTTAATTTAATTTAGTTATTATACACATTTTTTCTGTTTGTATATAATTGTCTTTTTACTACATAGATAATTGCAATCATAAGATTTATATACGTAATACAATAAAATGTAAATTAAGGGTTCAAATCATTTGGTGATATTGTTATTTAAATAGAGTATTATAAAACATTACCCTATAAGTTTTTAAAAGATGCCTCCAAATCTTGGACAATTCCAACAAGCTATGGTCCAGTGGAATGCCGATTACTCTCAACCGTTTCTCAACCTCTCTGCAAGAAACACCTTATTTTAAGTTGAAGTAACAAAGAAACAAAACTTTTGATAAACAAAATAATATGAATAAGGGTACCTCCAAGAATCCTCTATGTTTTTAGACGATAATCTGAATAAATGATCCAGATGAGTCCTTGTGCTAATGAAATTTTGTACCCATTCCTCTTGCCCTAAAATATATGAGAATACAAAAGTATAATATATAAATCAATGTTAAGGTATAAAATAAGCCTTCGCATACTAACAGATTCAAAACAATAGGAACATACATACATACCGATACCTTAATTCGCAAGTCGGCTAACTTCATTTCAGTGAACTTTACGGATGGATATAAAAACGAAATTATTTTAATAATTATACGAATCCAGAAAAATGAAAAGCTCTTTATTTTAAATTATTTAAAGATATTATTAAAAAAAAACTAGTGCAATTTTCCAATTCGTAATATTTTTTAAATATTAACTTTTTTTGCGAATTAAGGTAACGTTATAATAATTCTGATAGTGTATGTGCAGTTAGGGTCATTTTAAGTCTACCATCTATAATATAAAAATGAATCGCTGAATGTATTGCTAAGCGCAAATCTTGAGAGCAGCTGAACCGATTTCGCTAATTCTTTTTTAGAATATTCCTTGAAGTACGAGGATGGTTCTTACGGAGAGAAAAATTTTACAAAATTGCCTGAAAATGTCTAAAAACAACACTTTTCTATACTCTCATACAAAAGATTCGTAATAATATTTAAAAGTCAATTTAAACTTTAATACCATACCATAAAGTTTAAGTGTTAGTAGAGAGGTTCCGGGTAGGCAAAAATTGAGTTACGTTAGTATCGTATAAATATTAATGTCAATATTTGTCAATATTATTAACAAAAAACATTAAAATTTATATGGCTAACGCTGGCTAATAACTATTTATATCTATTTAAAACGTACCTAGCGACAAACCCAAGCGAAGCGAGGGTGATCCGCTAGTTCATTACGAAAATCGTTGCACAATCGACCGTGTGACATGCATTACAACAACGATATTACATATAGACGAAAGATATTTTCAATTTTACATTCATAATATCTATACTAACTATAAAAATAATATTTTATAACAGAAATCGAACTTACAGTCTACCAAAGGATTGAGGCTTAAGCTGCCCTCTCCGAAGTACAGCTCGAACAGCGTGTAGTACACCCACGACTTGTTGTTCGTAGCTTTCGCTTTTTGGTACTCCTGAAATATATATCTATTATTGTAGCCGAAATTATGATTAATACAAAAAACGAAACTTCGGGAACCAAAAATCAAAATAAATTCGCGAAAAAATCCGAAAAGATAGTTTTATTTAAAATGTCAAATATTCGCCTAAATCTAAGAAAGTATTGATACAACAAAAATAAACGTGATCGTTATCGATCATACTAGTATCACTAAAATATTTTGCATAATTATTAACGGTTTTCGATTTCTGCGCTGGAACCCTAAATATTCCCGGAACAAAACATATACTATTTGTAACGTTGTAGGGGATAATCTCTGGATCTACTGAACCGATTAGACTGATAGAAGATAGTTTGAGACCCTGGAAAGGACATAGGATACTTTTTATCCCGGAAATGATCCCTAAAAGGGGTAAAAATGAGGATGAAAGTTTGTATTGGGAAGAAAGCTAGGGACGAACCCGAGCGGAAGCGAGGGTGAGTCGCTTGTATCTATATAATCTCGACAGTTACGTAGTATCGATATAGTATTTCAGGAACCTACCGCATAAGTCGCCGCCCACTTTCGACATATCTCTCTGCCCGTTAGTGTTTTGGGGAACCCATACTCCTCTATCATGATCGCGCGAAGATTACTGTAAACATTATTTCTATTATTACAGTTGTCATTATTTATATTTTTTCAATAATAACATGTACTTATTTGTTATTTAAAGCGTTTATCGGGGGGCACGGAGTGCCCCCGCCAAGTCGAGCAAAAAAGGGCACGACAGTACCATCCTTTTCTCGAAGCGATTCAGAGCATTTTCCACCCCCCCATTACTTCGTTATGGATAAAGCTAGAAGCCTGAATTTTCAGTGACTAAAAGAACATAATAAAACTAGGCATATTTCCAAATTACATTCAATTTGAACCTGTAGTTTAAGAACTGTTGCAGATCAAAATTCGTTAATATCGTCACGCACACACTCACTCACTCACTCACCGATCATCAAAATTCTAAGGTACTTCTAGCAGACATAGGAGCTTCAAATTTTGAACACAATTAGTGTTTAGCCTATAACGGAAGGAAAAACTCAAACATCATGCAATTTCAATCCTGTTTTCGAGATATACAAACTGCATAAGTAACTTTGTATTCCTATACAAATAGATATGCGATATATGGGATTACAAAGTTATTTTTGCAGTTCATACATATCATTTTTCGTCACTTAAACTACCCAAATGTATAGCAGGGTAAATAGTGGATATACTGTAAGTGTTAGCGACGACTAAAATGTAATTATCAATATTGTAAAGAGTTTTAAGAAATAATATATTTAATATATAAATTAAAACTTATATGTATAAAAGATCTTAAATATAAAAAAAAATATACAAGTAATCGAACACTCGTGTGTTCCGTAGCGAGAGTCGCCCGGGGGAATTCGGGTGGTATCCGTAATAGGATTTCCCAACTATAAAAAAAAAGTACAGAGCCCTCGGAGCGTTAGTTTGTCTTCTACTTGACTAATACATACAATATGTATTTATCAATATTTAGTTTAGTCATGTTAAAAAAACACAGGAATAACTCATATATTATTTTATTAACTTAAATATCCAACTTAAAATATATCTTTCTCAGAGTTCCGTTTGTTATCACTAAGTATTTAATTTGTTAGTCAATTTCTCCACTTTAACGACGTCAAGGAACGCTAGAAGGTTTAGGTATTTTTTTAAATAATAGGTCACAATAAAATAGCACATAATATAAATAAACTTCATCATAGCTTGCCTTAATTTGTGCCGTTATGTCAAATATAAATTTCGTTTAAAAATCATAAAATATTTTAATTAAATTTACACTATTTTTTCCTTACATTATTTAAATTAAATATTATTTTTTCATTTCCCGATATCTTACTTTTATTTATTCATATATTCTTATAAAATTTATAATTAATGGTAAATTAATTATACAATAGTTGCACTGTAAAAGGGGGTTAGGTTAGTGTTTTACCTGTAGGTATGTATGTTTGTACGTCCGATCCTATGTTCCCTCGTAATTACTAACCTAATTTCGATTGGTCTATTTATTAATGTTTATATTTGCAATTATATGTATTAGAAAAGTATTTTTAAACGCGAAAATAATATTTTAAGCTTTTTTAGTAGCTGTATACATTTTTATGCATATACAAATGGGTACATAAATGTAATGTGAAGCGTGTATAGTTGATACCTACTAATATTCGATTACTGTTATTTATAATGAATTGATTAAAATATATACCTAATTAAGAAACAACTTGACGATTACTTAATTTTGAAACAAAGCTCGTACATTTTCTTTTACAAAGTATGATGTTGATATGAATTAGAAAACCTTCTCAACATCTCATTTCATTGCCCGTAACTGTGCCCACCTATTAGAACATGGAATATAGAGGTCATGAAATATCAATCTCTTCGAAAATTACTTTTAAAATGGAATGGAATACAACTTTCGGGATTTAACTACGATGCTGCAGATAGACACATAAATCTATACATCTTATTAAACTTATGTAAGTCGAATATCAGTATCGGGGTAGGTATTTAGGGTCAACAATGAAATTTAAATATTCGTTAAATTAACTATACATATTTATTCTTAATGCATAAGATAGTAGTATTTAAAGTCCAGGAGTCCGTAATTTCCCAATACAATAGACTTAGATTTTTTATCATCCAGACTTGTCAAAATTTGTTACCTATATCAAAGCCTCTGAAAAAAGCCCACAGAGACAAGGAGTGGGCTTTTAAAAAGTCCTTAGCTGACACACAAGAAATAGTACAAGAAAAGAGAAAAAGAAGAAATATTTACAAAAAGAAATGAGATCCCATCAAAAACATTCTGTAAAAATATTGCAAGTCTCGCAACGCATTTCTTCTACCTCAAAAAGCTATGAGATGTAATGTAAAACCAAGTCGGTTAATTTATTCATTACCTATCTATGAAAGCAACTATCCGACAACTTTGTCATAAATCGTTACCGAATTAGTTAAGTTACAACATTTTATAGTGACCGTATTAATATTAGATATATTTATTTCTTTAATTAATAGAATGACTTGGCCATCGCACATGATAATAGAATCTACAAATAACAAAATTTACCTAAAATTAGCGTTCTGAGTGCATTATTTATGTTAGTGTATGCATAAATTTGACCCGCTAGTGCTATGTTCAGTTCATCTCAGCCCAAACACACACACAGCTGGACATAGGCCTCTCCCAAAAAGTTCCACGACAACCAGTCTTGTGCCATCCGCATCTAGTGGGCTCCAGCGACTTTGACCAAGTCGTCCGTCCACCTCGGTCATGATATGTTTAATTAGGGCTATTTAAAGTTGTAGACTCTTATGTGATTATGTTTCCGTGCGATGGCCAAGTCATTCTATTAATTAAAGAAATAAATATATCTAATATTAATACGGTCACTATAAAATGTTGTAACTTAACTAATTCGGTAACGATTTATGACAAAGTTGTCGGATAGTTGCTTTCATAGATAGGTAATGAATAAATTAACCGACTTGGTTTTACATTACATCTCATAGCTTTTTGAGGTAGAAGAAATGCGTTGCGAGACTTGCAATATTTTTACAGAATGTTTTTGATGGGATATCCTTTATATGAAATTTCTAGTTTTGGAAAAGATAGTTTAATCTACCGATGACTAAAACACCAGTTTTTTTAAATAGGTACTACATAAAAATCACTGATTTCAATTTGCTAATAAGTATAACAATATGCCTATGATATAAAATTTCGGAGAAGTATTAAAACTTCGTTGTTGAAAATATAGTTAAAAATAAACTACTTTTTAACGGCGTTTTACGGATTAAAAAAAAATAATTCCAATATCGTTAAAAGTTGTCAGTGTTAAAAATGAAACCTTCTAATGAGACACAAGTTTAGTTAATTCTTTATTGTGTTATATGTGTATATAATATTAGATGAGACATATAATTTTTAATAAATTATGAAAGTATTTATACGTTAATATAACTCACTTCCACGCCCATTTCCGATCTCTAAACAGCCAATCGTGCTGCAATCGAATTTGTATAAAAGACTCAGTTATGTCTTTAGACCCTGAAACAAAGAAAATATAATTTAAATCTTGCGAGTGTTTAAGTTCACTTTATTTTATAGTTACGCCTTTATGTAACAGACTCTCTAAGAGTTCATTTTGAAATATATAGTGTATATATTTCAAAATTAACTATAATTATAAAAATATATTCTGATTTACACATAAAACTATAAGTATGTTAACTATTATTTATAAACAGTGACGGATTTATTGTATATGTCACAGAGAAATTGTATAAACCATTAAATTATAAGTTCACTAGTAAAATTATAATTTTCCGTTTTTTTTGTCAATCGTCTCCTTTTCTTACAATATAATGGGACAATTTAAGGTATATTGTAATTTCGTACCAATAGTACCAATACTTGGATATGGTGAGAAGCCTCGGTCCGTATTGATTGGTCGAACGAACATTTTTAAAACTGGCAAATACATTTGTTTTATTATAAACTTACATTGAAACTCTTCTAATACATCATTATCCGTGTTTTTCTCCCGCGGAACATGCTTTTCCCTCCATTGCGCGCGCGCCAGGCTTCGCGCCGACATACTCTCAAGGCGTCTTAAATATTCCGGTTCATGTTTCATAAAATACTCCATCATCGGCTGGTATAAATTCCAATCTTCTGGTGAAGCCGTTTTTCTTAAAACTAAACGATGTTTTCTCTGTCAAATATAAACATTGTTAAAAACATTCGAAACTGGCGACAAAATAATTGCATTAGAGTGGATAATGCAGCGAATATACTCAGTAGGCACTTTAAAAGCTCAGACTAAAGTATTATATAGACCGAATCCACCAAAAAATGTCAAAGTCGAAAATAGTAACGTGCTTTTGCTGTTTCTGCGAAGTAAACGTTTGCTTTCTTTGAAGAATAGGGGAAATTTTTGTGTAAAATAATATGAAATAACTATTGATAATAAATTTGAAAGAAGATCTGTACATATTTCGTATTTAAGGATTTATAATTTTCATCTTAAGTTCTATAAACCTTACTTCAGAAATGCTCTATTTTATTATTTGTCATAACATAACTGTACTACTTTATAAATACTATTTTTTTTATTTAAGAGAAGCCGCTTATTGTTTGCATCTGAAAGTTGTACATACATTAAAAGTTGTCCTTATGTAATGCCACAACCCTTTTAAGTCTTGTATACAGCAGTCTAAAGGTAAGTCTTGACTTCGCAGTGCAGTTTCTACTGTTCTGAAAAAAGATTGCAATATTTTAATTCTTTTACTGCAATCTTAACAGTACACAGTAGTCAGTATAGTACACACTGCTTAGACTTGGTATGGTATGGTATGTTTGGGCTGTTTTCCGCAACTCGACGACTGTGCGCCTATTTTGCGTGACTGCTTAGACTTGATCAAAATAAAAAATATAATATCTTCTATGAATTATTAATTTTTTCCCATTAAATTTACTATAATCTCTTATAGCTTACATATTTGATATTTAAAAAAAAAATTTTTTTTCATGGTTTTACTAATATTTATTTTACTTTACAATGGAAAGTTAGAGATAGAAGATAGAGATTAGAATATGTAGTCAGTTTGTACAAGAAATCTTACATTCAATTATCATGTTTGAAACTATAGTATAATAGTTTGTTATTACTTAAAAAATAAATAGTTACAGTAATTTGATTATAATGGAGGTACACAATTAGGACAAAAATTATGATTATCAGTATAGCTTATAAGTTAACTTCAGCATTAGTTGCAATACTATAAGGTTAAAACTTTTAATCAGATATTGATTCCAGTCTAATAATATAGGAAAATAGTAAATAGTATTTAAATTTTTAACAATATACTTGAATACTTACAACCACATATTTTGAAAATCAAGTTTAACTTCTTTAGCTTCTGTTACACATATAATTAATTTTAATCTCCATTCATCATTCCCTGAAAAGTATGAAAACAAAATTAGCTAGAGAGCATTACATTAAAAAAAGAAAGTATTACTAGGTACTACTAATAGTACTACTTACAAGATTCATACTTATCTAACATTTCAGTTTTACCAAAATGTTTTTCAAACATTCTATAATATTTCCAACTTTTATTTTTTGTCTTCTTAGCTATTCTATACGACTGAAAAGTATAAGTCCTTAAATTATCATGTTTCATAATTATGTAATAATTGCACTACGGGACTTAAAGCTAATGGTGTGAATTCAGCAGACTTTGTCTGCCCGTGACCACGGCTGGTGCAACCCAGTCGAAACATCAAGAACAAGGTATATAGTCACTTACGAATTCACACATCAAGTCTCGTAGTGTAATTATTACATGACTGAAAAGTAAATAAAAAATATTTAATAATGTTTACTAAAAGTTGTAATTATTTGAAAGATTTTATAAAAATATTTTTTTTGTACTATCAATATTCCATTACCATACTCACGTTATATGTATAAGCCCACTTTTTCCTTAAATGCTTTACAGTCATGTCTTCAGGAAAACCATTCTCCAAGAGAATCTTATGAAATTCACTAAAATAGTTTAAGTATACCATATTGTATTCTTTTTAATTATTAAATGATATAATTATACTTAAAATTATACCTCCCAATATATTTTGTCAATGTAACAATATTGAGTAAATATATTTCTTACCTCCATGGTTGTTTCTTTTTTTTAAATAACCATTCATTTTGAAAACGAAGTTCAAAAAATCTTCTTGTTAGTTCAGATGTCCCTAAAAGTGAAATTTAACTTTTTAGCGTAGGATGTAAGCTAATACTATTGTAATACAATTTGTAAACAAAAAGCTCTATTTACTTACAGACAAAACTTTTTTCATCCATATCTATCAATAAAAATTATGAAGTTATATTTTTAGTATGTAATAACCTTTTGCACAGTCACAAAAAATAATTTTATAATTTACAATTATAAATATTTTAGGTAAATAAAAAATCGTACCTACGACTTCTCACAACAACAAGAACAAGATGACATTGACATAATGTGACATGAGACAGTATTGTGTATAATCTATGCATAAGACATTAGTTTTTTATTTCAGTTCTCATATTATTTAAAGATAATTTTATAATGTAGAATCTATCAATTATCAACAGACAGAAGATAATAACAGTTTGAATTAAGAATATTAGCTCTTCAAGACTACACATAAAATATTTAGATAAACAAATGCCACTACCGGCTATTATTTTAAATCTAGTCTTATCATTTAAATTATAATAAAAAATTATTTATTAATAAAATTAAAAATTATGTTTTATATTTAACAAATTAACATATTAAATATTAACCTATTATAAAATACTATACTTAATAAGCTATAATAAATATTATTCTGCAATTTTATTTTTTATTTAACATATTTAATCTGCAAATGAGATATGTCAAAAATAAATTCTGTGTCGTCTGTAGTACCCATTTTATATATGTAGCAATATACTCTATGACTCTATGGTACCCATTTCTGTTTATACCTACTTTTATTTCACGTGGTTTTCGAGTTTTCGGCATGGAATTTGTATTTTATTATAAGTGATATTAATTGATGGAATAATGCATCGACTTTTGTCTGCAAAAAACTTGTGTCAAAACAATCTACATGGCATTGCGAGTAATACAACTACTTCTCTAAAAAATATAACGTTTAACCATATAAAATGTTCTTTTTGTCGCAAAATTCTCCTAAATTCACCAAGCATAGGTAAGACTGTATAAATCATATAAAAAATATTTAAATGTACAAAATTTTGCTTTAATATCTTATTATAAACATAACCTTTTTCGTGAGTTGCATAACATAATTATAACATTTTAGAAAACTTATTTCACGCGAGACATCAATCTACGAAAACGGCTAACGCATTAAAATCTTTGAAAAAGAAAAATAAACATAAAAATCCAAAAAAATATGGTGAACTTTTGCAAGGTAAGACAATAATACATATTTTGTGTAATTTAGTTTAATATAAACTACCTTAATTACCACATATTTTATTTTTACAGTAAATGAAAGTAGTATGACAGAGCTAAAGGTATCTATAAACAAGTTAAATGCATCATATCTATCAAAACTTGCTTCAAGTCCTGTATCTTTAGGCCAGCTTCATCAGTTAACTACAAAATCAACAAAGAAATCTAATGACATTGAAGTTGATAAAGAATTACTTCAGAATATTAGAGACAAAATTTTGAATAAATCTAGTGCAGAAGTTAAAATAGAAGATGACAAGTGTGCTCTTATATTTACACACCACAAAATTTCATCTATAGAACAAAGGTTTAAGACTAAACAGTATCTTGACATGGTGAAAGATAGCTATTATAATTTTAGGAAAACTACAATTTATGATCAAAGATTACAAGACTTGAGATATGCTATAAATGAGGGAGTAAATCAAGAATTTGATATAAATGCTGACCCTAAGTACATGTCTCAAGATTTTGACTCTCAAACCTCTTCAAAAAGTCCCCATGCAGTATTCAGAAAGCTATTTATAGATAACCAATTAGATAGTTATGATCAGGAATTAATGAGTCACTTATCAAATTTACAGTAAGTTCTTATTTAAGTAACTAAATTTTACGAATATAATAGTTTAACTATATTGTACAAAGTATTTATTATATTTTGTATTTTATTATTATTGATTGATGTAAAAAAGTTCCAATTGGGATGATAATTTGATAATATATATGAATATTTCATATTATTTACAGAATCCAAGGATTATCACAATCTGCTCTAGAAGAAATTAGTGATGAAGTATACAATAATGAAGTTGGTGATGTAAAGGAAGAGTTAAGTTATGAAACTAACATCAAAAGTTTAAAAGTGAAAAAAGCGTAAGTTTTCAAATTGTGAAAGAAAGGAGTATACCTTTATCACATTTGCACATTATTGATTTTGGTTCCTCGTTTTACATATTATTTGTTTGCAACCCCCCATAGCAAAAAGAGGTGTGTTATAAGTGTGATTTAGTTCACTATTTTGATTTTTAAATTTACATTTTTATTAAATTAGCAAGTGTAATTTGAATTAAAAAAATATATTGTCTAGCTAATTTTTTTTTATAACTATATATGTTTATTTGATATACATAGATTTCTTTTGATCAAAGATATTTTATCATCAAATAAATTTTACCTATATTAAAGGAAACGATTATTTTTATAGACAACAAGCAATAAAGAAGAAAAAGAAGAAGCAACGTGAGAAACGTCGTGCTGCACAAGAAGCCAATATGAAGCAGGATATAAGAGAGTTGGAGCGACGCGGCAAAGAAGAGTCCCTGCAACGTTTACTCACTTCACATTTACAACTCCTTTGTTCCTTGGATATGATTGCAGAGGTAATGTAATAATTAACTATACTGTATACATACTATATTTACACCAATTAATAAATAAAATATATTCTACATAATTTAACCTTTTAGGAAATTTGAACTGTGTTTAACTACAGTTCAAAAAAATTGTGTAAAAAAAGAATAATAAAAGCAACATTTCAGTGAATGTTCATGAATACATTTAATGACTTGCTCTTTAAGCACATTTAATATTTTTAGTAAAAATTTAATTAATAAACATTACAATTTCAAGATTATTTCAGTAATATGAATATGCAAATCTTAACTTTATTAACAACCTGTGCTTATGTATAGTGTAGTAATATTTTCTTAAAAGTCAAAGTAAATAGAGCATAATTTATTAAATATAAATGCACTAGCGAGTCACCCTCGCTTCGCTCGGGTTTATCCCTAGTTCTCTTTCCCATACAAACTTTCATCCCTATTTTCATTCCTTAAGGGATGATTTCCGGGATAAAAACTATCCTATGCTCTTCCCAGAGTCTCAAACTATCTTCTTACAAAATTTCATCTCAGTCAGTTCAGTAGATCCAGAGATTGCCCCCTACAACGTCACAAACTCACAAACTTTACGTCTTCTTTATAATATTAGTGTAGATATATGTAAGATTATTTATCTTACAAGATCATTTATCAATATAAATTTTTAAAAAGTAAATTTATAATAGATAAATTTGGTCTCGTTGACCTCCTTTGTAAGTATGTTATCTACATATTTGGTGTTCCAAATTCAAAGTGTAACTTTCTCAAACACTTTATTTATTTAGCCTAGCTTTATGCATGTATATTTTAAATTTAGCTGTCTTTTCTTGGTTTATCTGCATATGGTCCAAGAGTTTGTGAACCATCTAAGTAATGATATTCCTATAAGGCTAGAATTTTTTTAATGAGTCATATCATACTAAGTATTACATAAGCACCAAAGTGGGCATGGGGGTTAACCCCACAGCCCTTCTTGTATTTTTAACCACCAAATGTGGGTTAATGTACTTCGATGTCTTTCGAAGATATTGCTAGGTTCTCTCAGACATGCAAGTTTCCTCATTATGTTTTCTTTCAACTGTAAGTTGAGTGGGAATGATGTTGAAAATGATTCGCATATGAAAATATTCGGTGTGAAACCTTGTATTTGAAACCGCTTTACTTAATTTCCCGAGCGACCGCACTACCACTGTGCTACCTTACAAATGACATATACATTATACATACATAACAAATTTCATAAAATATATATCGCGTTGAAGTATTATTATTAATTTAATAGACTAATTAAAGATGACATTATTATTTTAAAAATTAAATCTTATATTATAAATTTCCTTCATTTTATTAAATAATCATGTCTATCGAGTGCTAAATTGTAATAAAAATTTTACAATTTATATATATATATATTTTTTTAATTTACAGGGTCATCAGATTCTACAGTATTATAGGCAGAGGGGTGCTAAGGCTTCAGACAGCCCTAAAGTTACTGATGTCAAAGTCTACAACACCTTGTTACATGGATATGCCTCAATGGTATATTATTTTTCTATTTTACACTATATAAAATATTACACTATATAAAGTATTAAAGTATATATTCAAGAGTAAATGTAGGAGGTAATCTCCGAGACTATTAAACTCATTATAAAAGTTTATTTAATTATAGAAATATATGTACAATTGTACATTCATATGTATAATCTTATAAATAAATATGAGTTTTAAGTAACAAATTAGTTTTAAGTAGTTTTGTCTATATTATTACCTACCACAGTGTGGTATACATATTACATATATATGTTGTTGTATTTCAAACTTAGAGCTTTGAATTTTAGGATGACTAAACTTTTAAAATGATTGAATACTGCTTTCGGCACGTTTGGAACAAAACATGAGAGTAAAATTTTTACGATGCGCTCCCACACCGACATCCAAAAAGAGACATGATGAAGTTAGCTGCATTCCTTGTACAAACAGAGAGTTGTGACATATGGAATGAAATCTTTAGCTATTCTTGATCTGTTACGGGAAAGAAATATAACTTCTTACGTGCGTACATAAGTACACACACACGTTTTTTTATATATATGATTATTTATAATTTTACTTCTTGCAACAGGGACAACTAGAAAGTGTCAAAGAGTTATTATCAATGATGTCAGAAGACAATATAGAGCCCAATGCTCAAACTTTTGCTGCCATATTTGAATGTATAGAAAGGACAAACTTGAGTGATAAAACCTCTTTTTTGAAGTACTATCGTGAACAGATGCACGAAAAGGTATGGTATTGTTAACATGTTCCTAAAGACTTTTGATTCCTAAAGACTTGAAAATTGCTATAGTTTTACGCACAGAAATCTTAATAATAAGCTAATAGAAGTGGCATAGACGCGTGACCTTGTCGCCGCGCATGTGACTCGTAGGTCACAAGCGCGTGTAAAGCGTTTGTTGCGGTAACTAGTGTTATTTGAGACACGGAGAGGTAAACATGGTGTTTTGCAGCATATCCAACTGCGGAAATTCTTCCAAAATTTGTAACTTTACAAATAAAGGGATAACATTTCATATGTAAGTACTTAATTTTTGAAATAATGTCGTTTTTAAAAAATATAGCCAAATCAAATGTTTTCACCACCACTACTACGATTATCGCAGGAAAACGTTTTTTTTTCAATTCAATAACCATTACCACTTAAGCTTGTTCATGTCTACTATTACAACTGCTAAAAGCAGCAATGAAATAATAGTCATGCGTAAAGAACAATATTGTCGCGTACGTAAATTCCAAGGACACGCCGCATAAGTTAGCCGCGAATTAGTGACGTGCCACCACAATTTTTTATCGAAAATTTATTACATTTGGCTTAATATTTTTCGTTAAATATTTAATTGTTACATCTCATTATGTATGTTTTCTTTCTGTCTGAATAATTTATAAAAAGTCATTTATCAACGATTATCTGTAAATTCGTACTTTTAAACTACTTTTTCATTTAGAAAATTATTAGGAGGTAGGCTTATTATTGTTATGTATATGGGTAAGTCAAAAACAGTATGCGTTGAATATCCTTGTATCGTTGACATGTTCCGCATTTATCAAATATTTTTTTTGATTTGATTGAGTAAATAATTCTAAGGGCGAGTTGTTTGATAAACATAACATAGAAATTCTATAAAAAATTTTAAGTCATTAGTTAAAAATGTATAGGATTTTAACAAATAGTTTGCATAACTTTTGTATAATAATAATAATAATATTTATTGCAAAGGTATACACCCAATTTAGAATATAATAACATATATGTAGTTATACAAGTCAATTTTTATATCACTTATGCATATATATGCAAGTCAATAAAAACATTATAAAAACAAAATTCAGTCAGACTCTTCATTAAATTAAACTAGAATTAAAAACAATATATCGCTGTTGAGTATATAGTAGCTGTTGAGTGTATAACTATATAATAATAAAAAAAATTACTTACTTTTAACTACTTTTAACGTTTTATTGTATTCCCTTTATGAAAATAAATAAATCGTCTAAAATCGCGTCGAGGAATGAAACATAAAACACTTTCAATAAATTAGTTACCTATTGTTGCAAGACTCAACGGAAAATTATCGATATGAGCATTATGCGCTTTGTGCTGCACTAGAAGTGAGCGCGCGATATCATTCTGTGCTTTTTGCACACGTTTATTATTGGTCACAGGGATCACGGGTTCTGAGATTATGCGTTTTTAGAAAATATTGCGTATTGTCATCGCTTAAAGTTTAATTTTTGTTGCAACAATGCAAAATGCATGTGTGAGCGATAGTGTGTATTTATTGTTGTCAATGTGTTGGTAGCTGCAAGCCGGCGACACGCGTCCCAGTACTAAAAGACCGCAATGGCATTTCTATTACCTTATTATTAAGATTTCTGTGGTTTTACGTGACACATCAAAATATTTTCATTTCAGAATATAACTCTAAATGATTTGTTAGATAAAAGCAAATTTCTATATGATCAACAAGAAATTGTATTAAAATCAATTCGGAGATTGGAGCCCAATTTTGAGCCTCATTATACACCACCTCTTCTTGATTACAACTGTCCATTATTGGAAACCCTCAAACTGGAAAATATAGAGAATAGAAAAGGTTTACTAATTTCACCCGCAAAGGGTCTTTTAACAACGGAGGAGTTAAAGGCCAAAGGTTTAGAACAATTTAAAATGGAAATTGCTGGTGAGATAGAGGTAAAGAATATTGCAGTTGCAGAAGATGCAGAATCCAAGAATTTGCAATTATATGTAAGTTTTTCAATTGGATTTTTATCATCATATTATTATTAATAGATTAAGAAATAAATTTCCATAACATTTTAATAATAAATTTATAAAGCCTGAATGAAGGTGCTTGAAACAAAATATTTTTTAAAATAATGCAAATTAAATACATATTAGACTAATAAATGATTCTTTTGTTATTTTTGTCTCTTGTGTTTACATAAATACTAGAGACTCATAGTCACTCTGCTTGGGTAAGTTCGCTAGTTACATAAAAACTTTTAGTATAGATTTCTCAGAGATAAGATGTTCTCCCGCAGTAAAAAGTATCCTATAAGTTATCTCGGATGACCAGCTGTCATTATACCAAATTTCATCAAAATCTGCCCAGTAGTTTGCTTGTGATGTTCCCAGACAGACAAAAATTCTGAAACTATAGATTCGGCCTCTGTATCGATAATAATAACTATTTCAATAAGATTTTCTAAAACATATATAATATACAGATTCGATTCAGAATTTTATTATATGTATAGACTATAGCTCATCCATTAATATTTCATAGCGTGAAAAACTAAAAAATGCGGAGCAAGAGTGGCGGGTTACGATGAAAGAGGCGTTGGAGCGGAATATGAGCACATTGAAATCCCGCAGCAACGCTTCACGCTTCGCTATCACGCTTTATCCATACCTTAAAGTGTTGAAGGTTTGTATTGCTTATTTTATTCTGTTGAGATAAAAACAATATTTTTGTGATTGTTTATCATCACTAGTGTTTACCGAGTGGTCGGAATACGACCATAATCAAAATTTCATCACATTTTCCTCCATCAAAATTTGAAGAAAATTTATATAAATAGTTTAGCTAACTGTATAAAAAAAAATGTTTTTTTTTAATATGGATTAGTTTTCGAGTTTCTTATATCTTTCAGAATGATGTAATTGCTGAGCGCTTGGAGCTCAGTTTTTTTCGACAGTTCTTCGAAAGATTTAGGCATTTTTTTTTCGAAATGCTAATAGAGTTTTTGACAAACAATAAGTGTATTTCTGTAATATCAATATTGAATAAAGAATTTTAAAATCTGTAAATAGCAACACTTTTTTAGGGTAACTTTATTTAATAAACATTGAAAGTAATCAAATTGACACAAAATGACTATTTGTATCTTGTATTTCTTGCAGCTAGATGACTTCGTCGATTTAATGATGAGTGAAATTAGTAAACTAGTGGATGGAAGTGACACTTACAGCCCCACACTTAAGATACTGCAGAGAGATCTCGGAACACAGGTGTACAACAAGTGAGCATAATTTTTGTATCATAATCTTTGAAAATATTTATCTTCTTACCCGACTGCGGCGAAGCCCAAAGAAGGGTTTTGTGTTTAATCTGTATGTATGTCTGATCCTATGTTCCCTCGTACTTAATAAATAAACTGATTTTAATTATTATTAATACATCGTTACATTTACCTTGACAAAGCGAGTCTTATAGACTATACGGATATAATTAAAAATGAAAAGGGTAGATTTCAGTGTCAATTTGTGTGTCTTACAAACATTTTTTTATTCCAAACCTATTGAGTGGGTTATCAAAATGAAGGCTTATAAAAGGCGGTCAGAAAAATATAAACAACTTATACGTTTACTGGTTACTGGTATACCGGTTCCTATTACAACTTGATTCTGACATATCTTTATAAAAAAAATCTTCATAGATATCAAATAGAGCAGTACAAGAAAAACGGTGTGTTGAAGAAAATTGAAGAAGTATACGAGAAATATTGTAAGTGGTACTTGGAGCGGCACTCGCTGGACGGCAGCGGCGCGCCCTACAACAGCAGGCAGGCTTGGCAGATACTCGAACATCAGTGTCGGGAGGGTGCGGCCTTGGTGAGTTTATAATCGGATTAATTGGCATTATGGGATTCACTGTCTAGAAAGCCAGTACTACACAGTAAAACAAAACGTCGTCGCAGGATCGCTTAAGCACTCAACCACGACACCGTGACAGCAGGTCTGCCGAAGCAGACCACAACCATAGAGTTGCTCCCACGGTCCACTCTGCTATCAGAGAAGTACCAGGAGCAACCCGCATGGCAATACCACTCCCGAGGTGGACCTCCTCCCAGTGTGTCTCTTGGGTTCACGCCCCGCTGGATTGCCGGACGCCAATTAAGACATTTTTTTTCTATAAGTAAACTGTAGGTAGTAGTTTCAACTCCTTTATCGTTCATAAAAATGATTCCTCCATGTAATGCTGATGACAACATGAATTATTGTAATTGAAAATATTTATTTAGATTTAGTTTTTTTTACTAGGATTTTGAAGAAACGCCATGGCCGATAGAGATGAGACAGAATATTGGAAAGTTTTTATACAACATAATTATTAATGATGTCAAAATAGATGTCAACATGTTCAAACCAAAGGCTAAAGTGTAAGTATTAAATATAGGCATATATTTATATAAATGCACTTCACATGTGAAGTTAGATACAAATTAATAATCAAGACACATTTGAGGGCGATTGGATTGTGAATACAGTTTATAATTTATATTTAATTATAAAATACCTATATTAAATTTAATTATAAAGTAAAATTAATTTTTATCTGCATCTTTAAGAGGCTGATATCACTCTAGCGTCTTATGAGTGATAAAATAAGTATGAATCACTATTTCTCAGGTATAATATAATTAGAAATCCAAGTGACCTACTGTTGGAGTCACACAGAGTATATGTTATTACTGATTCATATCACACTACTGATATAAATGCGAAAGTTTGTAAGTTTGTTTTCCAAATATCCGCAAATGTATTTAGTACACAATAGATTAATGTTACTAATAAAATTTCCCAAAATATGACGTTGCATGTATATAATATTATAAACGCGAAAGTTTGTGATTATGTATGGATGTATTATTGTTACTCTTTGCTTTAAAAATTACTGATTTTTATGAAACTTTACAGTAATAGCTTAGACGTCAGAGTAATATGTGTTAAAAATATGCGGGTACAACCCGAATTTGAATGGCTAAGCTTAGACATTAGAGTAATACATGATAAAAATATGCAGGTAGAATTTGAATAGCAAACCATTTTATTAGGCTGAACTGATAAATCAGGGGTCTAATAACAAAGACGGCAAAGTTCCATATAATATGGTCCCCGAAATGTGAATGAATGTTTGTTTACAGCAAGAAGTTACCAGCGGTGTACAAGATCCACCGTCCGTGGGGGCGGCTCGTGCGGCTGGAGCTGAAGCCGCACCCGTCGCTGGCGCGGCTGTGCGCGGCGGCGGCGCGGCCCGCACTGCGCCTGCGCGCCGCGCTCGCGCCCGCGCTGGCGCCGCCCGCGCCCTGGCGCAGCGCCACGCTCGGCGCGGGTCTGCTCACCGATACGCCGCTTATTAGGTAGCGTATTTAGTATTTTAATTTAATAGTGCTGGAGTGTTTATGTGTTAGATGCCCGCTTATTAATCACGTAAATTTCTAAATATGCAACACGATTGTATTTTAACTTAAATGTAATGACGAATAAATGATATTACGAAATAATAAGCCCATTTTCTATATGCTTATTTTATTTTCGAATAGGGAAAATGCTTGTTTTTTATACAATAGCTGTCGTTTTATGATAGTAAAAAATATCCAGCTCCAAAAACTAAAAATAAGTTTATATTTTTTAATACCATACCGATACGAATACTTTAAACGCCCGCTATTTCGAGAGTATAAGACACAGACTGTATATGATATGATGTACACAGAAAAATGACGATTTTTGCTTAAGGAATTTGTAGCGACAAAATCGCTCTGTTCTGATGTACTCTGACGTCATGTTCGGTCTGACCAATAGCGTTGCGTTTCAACTACTTTAAATTTCCCATTTGCACTTTTTAATAATTATTTTTTTACTTCATAAAAAAGAAATTACATTAAAACATATTAATATAGGCTTAATTCAGAAGCTATAAAGATTATAAAAAATATATTTCACCTTTATTTAAATCGCATGCATATTCTCTATTGTTTAGTGTAATGCATTTAGTGTGTTATATAGTGTATGCATCATCCTTAAATTAATTTATTTTTATCAGGATGCCTTTTTACGTGATGGGTCAAATGAAACGCTTAACAGAAGCTCCGCCGGGCTCCTTGTACCCGGTGCTGGACAGCCTCAACCAACTCGGCGAAGTGCCTTGGGTCATCAACGAGGCTATATTGGATTTGCAACTGAAAGTATTCAGGTATGTCATTTATGTTAAAACAATATTCGTCTTTTATTTTCAGTAAGAATATTAAGTCACGCAAAATAGGCGCATAGTCATAGAGTTGCGGAAAATAGCCCGAACATACCATACCATACTTAAATTTAATTTTGATTATATTGTATTATGTTAAATGGAATTTAATAATTGCTATTGGATAGTTTGAAGTTATCTTAGATTGAGTTTTATAAAAAAAAAATTCCAATCAAGCACTCATTACTACTCAGCAACACTGTACCGAGTACTCAGCAAGTATTTGGTATTGTGTGTACAATGATAAGGATAGCCTGCTACCGAGTATATAGTCCATAAAGGGACTATAGGAATAAGGAGCAACGGCCATTTTTTCCGACTTCATTTAAAGTTATTATGATTATTATTTTTATCGGAATAAAAAATAGCCCTTAGCATTAGGCAGAAATACATATTGCCGTGCCTTGTTTTGTTTAGAAAAAAATTGATAACGTCAAAACAAAATTTATTGTGTGTTCAAAATCTATTTTAAACGATATCCGAAAATTACATTAAAACTTTGAGTAATAGTATAAAAAATGTTTAAAAATGTGCATATTACAAGACTTCTGCGATAAACAATAGCATTCCCAAGAAGGGTTGACGTCAGCCAGGCGGCCGGTCGTTAAACTTTTGCTAAATATTATCAGCTGTACAGAAGATGTACTGCGCCGACCCCAAGTGATTGGGAAATGGGCAGGGAGACACACACACTCAGCAGTAATACATTATAGTCTCTCATCGGTAAAAGAATTTTCGAAATCGGAGTAGTAGTTCTAGAGATTACCCCATACATACAAACTTTTATATTTGGCCTTTATATAATATTAAAAGTAATTTTATATATTAATATTCATAATAATTATTGTAACTGTTTAACCCCAGGTCCGGTGGTAACAAGAAGCTGGACATCCCGCCGCCCGCGTCGTCGCTGGACGTGTCGCAGTGGGGCGGCGCGGGGGGCCTCGGGGGCGGCGCGGGGGGCCCGGGTGGCGCCGGGGACGCACTGCGCCGCCGCGTCGCCATCAACCGCGCGCGCGCCGACATGCACTCGCTGTGGTGCGACGCCCTGTACAAACTGTCGCTGGCTAACCACTATAGGTAAACTATTACTGATCGACTATATTTTTTAATATTCAGTTAATATTAGAAATAGACTAAAATTTCAAATATGTTAATAAATCATTTTAACTTAAATTTCTGAAAGTATTGAAAAATTTAAAGTATATTTTATGAAATTAAGATTTTGTTAAATTTTAACTCTTACTCTAAAATTAAGTTTTGTGAGAGTAAAATTATTACTATGCATGCACACACCGACAGCAAAAAGCGACTTAATGAAGTTACCTGAAAGCAACATTATGAGGTCAGCGGATAACTGTTTTGTGAAAATTCATAACTATATTCAAAGTAGTTTATCAAATATTCATAAATCTATAACACGTGTTTTATATCAGTGGAGAAAAAAATTAATTATTAATTTATATTATTAATAAATATCATTCCTTTTACAAACGAAGAGTTGTGATATACAGGATGAAATCTTTAGCTACTTTTATTCTGTTACGTCAAAAAGAAGTATAATTTCTTACGTGCGTGCATAACTACACGCACGTATATTTTTTTACGTTCTAACTTTATTGCTTAAGTAACATGATATCCCAACCCCCCACAGAGAGCGCATGTTCTGGCTGCCCCACAACATGGACTTCCGCGGGCGCGTGTACGCGGTGGGGCCGCACGTGTCGGCGCTAGGCGCGGACGCGGCGCGCGCGCTGTTGCGCCTGGCCGCGCGCCGCCCGCTGCGCCGCACCGGCCTCGCCTGGCTCAAGCTGCACGCGGTCAACCTCACTGGCACTAAGAAGAGTTGCACTCTCGCTGAGAGGTGACGTTTGCTTTTTTTTAAGGCATAAGTAGTATGATTATACAGCCTTATGGTAAGATGCAAGCTGTCAACCTCATGGGTACTACGAAGAGTTGAAATCTCGCTGACAGGTGACATTTGCTTTTTTTTATAAGGCATAAGTTGTATATAATATAACCTGATGGTTAGATGGAAGCCGTCAACCTAACGGTTACTCAGATGGATTGTACTCTGGCTGAGGTGTGAGATTTGTTTTTTGTTAAAAGGCTTAAGTACTATATCTATTCAACCGCACTAAAAATAACAAGATCTACAAACAGTACCTACTTAATACGAAAATGATATACATTTTCAACTTAAGAATTATCGCATTACGACGACTTTAAAGTAACATAATATTAGAGAAGGCTGAATGTGTCAAAAATATTAAATCAGTTTAATTTTAAAAGCATCTTAGAAAACGAGCCTCCCTTGATAGTGTAGTAGCTAGAATGTACGGCTTCAAATTCCAAGTTTCTGGGCTCGCATCCCGTGTCACTTTCCTATTTTCATGTACATGTAATGTTTTTTTTTTTTTTTTATATATTTACCGCAGCTATAACATAAAATACATATACCCAACAGACTGGAATACGCAGACAGTATATTAGACAAGATCCTGGACTCGGCGGACAATCCCCTGGACGGCGAAGGTTGGTGGAAGGAGTCAGAGGAGCCCTGGCAAACCCTCGCCTGCTGCATGGAGATTGCTAATGCCGTGAGGTCGCCAAACCCTGAAGGTAATATTTAATATTGCAATAATATATGATATGAGATACAATGCGACTGTTTATATGTCTGGGTGTGTGTTTGTATATTCGTTACTCTTTCATACTGAGCGGCTAGACGAATTTGGTTGAAATTTCACACAGATAGGCGATGGCATCCCTGTAAAGCAAGGGTAATTCGCTAGTATTATATCATGTTTATTTGACTCATAAATTTTATGTTTTAACATTGTTTATTGCATTATATTAGAATTTATAATAACAAGCTTTTCGGATTTTTTCGCGAGTTTATTTTGATTTTTGGTTCCCCTAATAAATTCTTGAAAAAATCCAAAAAGATAGTTTTATTTATCGGTTAGTATGTATTACAAATCTGTGAATTTTACAGCTTTTCTGTATTAAAATATGCTTGTATTATACATATTAACTTTCCTCTTGAATCACTCTATCTATTAAAAAAACTACATCGAAATCCGTTGCTTAGTTTTAAAGATCTAAGCATACATATGGACAGAAAAAGATCTAAGCAGACAGCGGGAAGCGATATAGTGATGTCAAATATTCGCGTAAATAAATCTAAGAAAGTATTAAGGGTGAAGTATCACCTCGTGTTGAGTGTGTGTGTGTGTCGGTGTGCAGAGTACGAGTGCGGGTTCCCGGTGCACCAGGACGGGTCGTGCAACGGGCTGCAGCACTACGCGGCGCTGGGCAGCGACGCGGCCGGCGCCGCCGCCGTCAACCTGGCGCCGCGCGCGCGCCCGCAGGACGTGTACAGCGAGGTGGCCGCTAGGGTGAGCACTGACTGATACCGTCCAGGCGGAATTTGTCAATGTTTTGTTTTATATTTTTGTTCCCGAATCTTCGAATACTTTACAGTAAATCGAATCCGAAAAGATCATTTAATTAAAGTGTCAAATATGCGCGTAAATCAAAAAATATATTATTATATATATTAAATATGTCAGTTAAAATTTTTTTGTTTTAATTTTCTTCAATAGAAAGCTTGTCCTGACAATAAAAAACACAAAAAAAAATATCCAATTTGGTCCAGTCCGATCTTAAGTTATGATTCGTTTTTATTATAATTGTAAGTACTCATATACAAAAATAATGTATGATCGACATCCTCACATATATCTGCCTCGGTGGTCTTAATGGTTAATAAGTACGGCTGCAGATCCGGAGGTTCTGGGTTCAAACACCGGATCGGGCCAAGTCTTTCGTTAATAAGGTTTCAATAACAACCTGGAGTTGGAAAGTTGGTGGTGTGCAACCTCCGTGTCAAAGCTGGTCAGAAGGACATTACAATTGTACATATAGGTGGAAGTGATGCGAGCGCGCGACGCGGCGGCGGGCGTGCCGGTGGCGGCCGCGCTGGCGGGCTTCGTGCGGCGCAAGGTCATCAAGCAGACCGTCATGACCACGGTGTACGGCGTCACGCGCTTCGGGGCGCGCCTGCAGATTGCGAAACAGCTCAAAGGTATGAAGTAAAACCTTTGTTTGCTTTAGAACTTAAGGTCTATGTACACGACGACTTTTTAATACGCTGTGACCTGCGCGTGTGTTCTGCGCTAATAAACTTAAAAGGGCATCGGCACACTACATTACATAAACTTGCCAATGACGCGCGGAAAGCTTACGTCTCCTCCGTATATTCTGCTTTGATATAATATTTAAAAATGCATATTGTTGCGTTCTTATTGGTATAAACGCGTGTTCAGTGCGCCTCGAACGCGTCGAGAATGTGAAGTCGAAAACGCGGTAAAAAGTTGTCATGTGCATAGGCCTTAAGATAATCTATACTAATATTATAAAGAGGTAAAGTTTGTGAGTTTGTGACGTTGTAGGGAATAATCTCTGATTGTACTGAACCGATTTAGATAAAATTTGTTAAGAAGATAGTTTGAGACAGTGGGGAGGACATAGGATACTTTTTATCCCGGAAATCATCCCTTAAGGGGGTGAAATGGGGATGAAAGTTTGTATGGTGAATCAAACTAGGGACGTACCTGAGCGAAACGAGCATGAGTCACTAGTTAATTATAAAATCACACTGGATACTGATGATTACATATCATAGCGATATTTAGCTAAATTAATTAATTATATAATATTAGTCCAGTTAATATAGACAAAAATAGTAGTTATTAGCGTTACAATAACTTCCATAGAGCTGAAAATTGGTGCAGGTCTTCAGTAGTGGTAGGGGAGCCCAAGAAGCTAAATGGGGATTTACTCGAGCGTCGTAGAGACCTATTGGGATGCAAAGCTTAGATGATAAGAAGAAAAAAATGTTATATGATATATACCTTTACATCGGTGGGGGAAGCGGCTATAGATTTTTAAATATGTAAAAAAAAACTGTTGCATAGACATCCTCGAGCGCGTCAGATATTGATAGCATAAATGCCCTACGTATTTTTAATAATGTACGTATGTTAATCTGATCGTTTGCATGATGCGGGTGATTGTATTTAAGGGTTGAAAATGAAAAAAAAAAATTTAATCGAGCGCGTCAGATTTTCTAAGGGAGTGTTAATTGCACCAAAAAAAAGCTCTCATTCACTAATCTGACGATTTCGATGGGACGCAAACTCGCGGCCATTTTCATAATGTGCAAAAAAAAATCGCCATTTTGAAATACTCAAGCGCGTCAGATTAAGATATATATGGTTCATCTTTATGTTCTAAACGTACTGTCTCATAATCTGACGATTATCTAGAGGGATTCGCCTGATCTGACAAAAAAAATTAGAAAAACGGTTCACCTTAAAGGCCATACCTGCAACTTCCCGCTAATTCCATTCCTGTGCGCTTAAAATTGTACTTATGGCATTTTTGAGGTCAAAATATAATTTATGTGATATTTTGAGCTCGCAGAGTTCAAAGAAATAATATTTCTATGCATTTGAGCTCTCCCAGCTCGAAAGTCTGTAGAAGTTTCATAGAACACTATTTTTGGAATTTTCAAACCGCAATAACTTTTGAATAGATCAAGCAATTTTCACGCGGTTGACGGCATTCGACGCAGTTTTATTATTCTCATAAGTTATTTTCAGGTTTTAATTGATCGAACCAAAAATTTCGGAGTAATCCCGAAAAAACACTTTTTTTCGGTTTTCTTTCGTTCACGATATCTCTCGAATTGAAGATCCAGAGATATTTCATTAATTCGCGAATTATTCGAAAACTTTCGAATTATTCGAAATTTTTACGAATTATTCGAAATTTTTCGAATATTCGATTCGATTCGAACGATGTTCGCACACCCCTATACTCTTTATGATCAGCTGTGATGGTGTCATGGCGGCAGAAACCAGAGTGGGGACGGAGTGAGAGAGTAATAGATAGAGAAAGAGTGAGAGAGGAACAGAAACGCGGAGAAGGAAATGTAGGCATCACGCAGCTGCACGCATTTAACTTTATCGACGAATTTTTGTTATTTCGGCTTGCGGAAATCGTCAGATTATATATTTTTCATTATTCTTGCATTATTTCCTTCAAAATAAAAAAAAATTTAGCTACGCTCGAGAATGTCGAGATGACGTTTTTTTTTTACAACTTTGTTGCCCTCCCCTTTTTTTACGTCACTCTCAAATTGTCAGATTAGTGGAATATACACTTTTTAGGATGTAATTAACTCACCCTACCTTAATCTGACGCGCTCGAGAATTTCTGGTGGTCAATTTTTTTTTACTAATCTGATCCTGTATCCTTCACGGGCGGCCTTATATATGGGCCTCATGTTTTGTGGAGGTACTGAACCGGGTACAAGGTATCCCCCTGTATATTAATCTGCCGCGCTCGAGTAACTACAGAAAATCCCCTCTTGGGCTCCCCTACTATAGTAGACTATTAAAAATAAAATATCAAAAATCTCCGATCGAATCCCCGATAAACAGATTCTACATCCAAAAAAATATTCAAGGTCAAAGGTCAAAAATATCGGTTGATTGCATTTTTCTGGTAAACGTTTAATGTTATTAATAAAAACTCTATATTTTTCATAGACATCGACGACTTCCCTAAAGAGCAAGTGTGGGCGTGCTCGCAGTACCTCACGGCGCGCACCTTCGACTCGCTACGGGAGATGTTCGCTTCCACCAAGCTCATACAGGACTGGTTCACTGATTGTGCCAAGTGAGACACTTGCTATATAATTATAGTACAAAACTAAAAACCATGCTTTTAAATAACTATACGGGACATATCCAAACCTAACGAGTTCAATCTAAAAGACTGCTAGTAGTCATTTAAGACTTCAATGATGATAGAATAAAATTATTGTATTGTCATTAATAATTCACATACATAAATCGATATGGCAATAGAAAATAGACTAAAATCGATGTTTTAGGTTACATAGGCTTATATGTATATAAATATATAAATGAAGCTAATAAAAGCGATACAATAACTGTGTACATTGAAATATTTTAAAGAAAAGTGTATATTAGTAGTATTTGTTATTGTTCGTTGCGCTAAACTGCCTCGGTGGTCTAGTAGCTACCGGTTTTTTTAAACTCAGAGACAAAACTGACATTATGTGGGTTGCTAGTTTTTTTGCAATCCTTAAATAGTGATGTGCCACTATCGAAAATTAACGTTAATAAAATCGAGTATAGTTTTTCTATAATAAGTTATCCTGAAATAATGTGTAGGTACTTATTAACGTAATAATACAAAATTAATAATGTAAATTTGAAAATCTGAATTTTTGCGATATTCTCTGGAATATAAAACTTTGAAGCGAATCGTATAATAAAGATAAAAAGTTACGATTCAACAAACCGATATCGTATGTACAAGACTGTACAAAAGAGCTGGCAACATTATTTGTAAATTTGACATTTGCATGTGTCAATTTAGTCTTTGAGATCAAGAACATCATTATAATGATTTAAAGGAAATTGTATATATGTACTAAAGTAATATCTGTTGTCGTCAGGGTGATCTCTGGCGTGTGCGGCGAGAGCGTGGAGTGGGTGACGCCGCTGGGGCTGCCGGTGCTGCAGCCCTACTACCGCCACGCCGCGCCCGCCGCGCTCGCCGCCGCGCCCGTCGACCTGCAGCAGTGCGTACTCCTATACCTCTATGTAAACTTATTAGTGCTCCTCATGGGCACCGTTATGTATAATATATATGTCTTGCGCTTAACCGATAATTTCTCAGATTCCTGACAGAGATGTGAGCAAATAACTTTACTATTCAAAAATCGCAAAAACTATGACATCACATAAAACTTTTATTTAATTTTGTTTTTTCGCCAAAAAAAACTGAAGTTAGTTTTTTAGAAGGTAGTTTTTATTTAAAAGCTTTGTTTAACGTGTGTGCCTACGTTGTTTGAATGACGTGACAGACGGCCGTGCACGATGAAGCAGCGCAACGCGTTCCCGCCCAACTTCATACACTCGCTGGACTCCTCGCACATGATGCTGACCGCGCTGCGCTGCGGCGGCGCCGGCCTCGCCTTCGTCTCCGTGCACGACTGCTTCTGGACGCACCCGGACACCGTCGACCGGATGAACCAGGTGCACTATACACAAGTAACTAAAGTATAAGGCCCTTCTTCCATTACGATACGCCCAGGTGACTCTAGTATCTTGTGAGTCCCGGATACTAATTGCTGCGGAGCATCACATATATATTTGTATCGGTGCTCATACACTACGCTATCGTACGCGTCCGCGACCCGCCGTGCTGATCGTCGACGCATCTCGAACAATTCGTTTGTTCATTAAAAGAGCACAAAACAAATGATGCATTTTTGTTATTTTTCAGTACCGTAATTGCGATCGTCGAGTTGCCAACAAATATTCAGCTAGTATGCGACTTGAGTATTGTATTCTACGTGTTTCGTAATGAGAGAAAGGCCTGACAATATTCATTGCAAAGGTACAAAAAAATTACGGTGTCCCCCGTTGGGCGTCAAAAATTATTATTGATTATAAATTACCGAGTTATCACCTAACACTAATATGTATCATCTATTATCTATTTGAGTAAACAAAAAATAGCCCGAATTAGCCGTGTACAATTTCTTTGTTTGAGATGAGGTACCTGTAATAATAAAGTAGTATATTGACTGTGGAGTTATTAAGATATTTTTGTGAATACTAGAATATTGAAATTCATTATGTAGTCATTGGCGTAAGTTGTGCAAATGGTCAAGTAAAACGAGTTATAAGAGTGCTGACTAATTGTTTTAGTGCAGTCAAAAATATTACAACAGCACCTAACACTAATATCTATATTTCTATCTATCTTCTAATCAGCCCTTTCTAACGTCCCGCTGTTGGGCACGGATCTCCATTCAATACGAGAGGAATCAGGCCATTGTCCACCACGCTGGCCAATTGCGGGTTGGCGGGTTTCACATGCCTTTCGAAAACTTGCTAGGTTCTCTCAGACATGCAGGTTTCCTCACGATGTTTTCCTTTACCGTAAGGCAGATAATCTCGGAAAACATCAGAGGTGCGAGACTCGGGATTTAAACACGCTTCACTCGGTTTCCCAAACGAGCGCGTTACCACTGGGCTACTGCTGCCTTACCAATATCTATAGAAATAAATAAAATTGAAGTGTCTGTTTGTAATGTTAAAATAACAACTTTTAACTAAATGCATATGAAATTATATACAGTACTTATAAGAAAAACATAATTTGTAAAATATTTGTCTAGTTTCGGCTAATCTCCCAAACGGCTGGACTGATTTTCACTGGCAGATAGTTGTTATAAGGAGTAATTTAAGCGCTTTTCATTATAGAAAAAGAAGTAGGGTCCCGCTCAAAAAATTAAAACATACCTTCGAATGCACCCGAGCAAAGCGAAGGTAAGTCGTTCCAATATAAATCTGATCACTTGTTTCACGGTTTTTCAGATTTGCAGAGAACAATTCGTCGCATTACACTCGCAGCCGATTTTAAATGACTTATCCAACTTCCTCGTTCAACGATACAGCTATCCAGACGCGTATGTATTTTATTTAAAAATAATTAAATTATCACCCAAAAATGAAAAACTTGTAACTAAAGAATAACATGTTCATTGCAAAGATACAAAAAATTACGGTGTCCCACGTTGGGCGTCAAAAATTATTATTGATTCTAAATTACCTAGTTAATATGAGAAAAATAGTGAATAAACTCATAACACACATTCTTAGATTGACGCGAATACTTGAAATTTTAAATAAAACTATTTCTTCGGATATTTTGTTTTAACTTAAATATTTAATTTCAGGGAGCTCGAGGACGGGACAGTGGGCGCCTCCAACAAGTCCCGCGTCAACGCGCTATTGAGGAAAGTTCCCGAAAAGGGTGATTTTGACATTAGAAATGTGCTCAAATCCGTGTACTTCTTCAGTTAATTCTTATTATACAGGTTGCTTGAATTGAGTCATATTTACTTAGAAATAAGTCGTATGGAGAATTGCATAATAAAGATTTGACTCGATCATTAATTCACTGATAGACTGATAGCTAGTTGGCAAGGTATTATAAGATAGCCATTGATAGAATTTTTTAAATGAATGCTTTGGGCTTAGCATTATTGTAGAGAAGTAATGACTTAAATGTATATAATATATGAAATGAATGTTACTATAACATTTCTTAATATGAATTTTACTATAAAGCCTCCTTTAAATGGAAAAGTCCTTTAAAAGTTTTTGGAGTATGGGATAAATAGTATCGACTCAAATAAAATATTATGCACACAAGTTTAATATAACGAAAACATAATAAAACTACATGGCTTGTAGTACTTACGATTCTATCTATTTCATATAATTTGGCGAAACAAGCGATATTAAATATCGGTTCAGGACTCTTGAGCGTGTCGTCACAAGTAACTTGTCTATACAAAAATTCTGAGTCAAATCTGTACATTAAATATTTTTTGGAAAATCTTATTGAAATAGACCTTATTATCGATACAGAGGCCGAATCTATAGTTTTTAAAATTTTTGTCTGTCTGTCTGTCTGTCTGTCTGTTACCGCATCACAGAAAAACTACTGGACGGATTTTGATGAAATTTGGTATGGTCATAGCTGATTATCCGGGTCAACATATAGGATACTTTTTACCGCGGAAAAATATCTCATTTCTGAGAAAAAATACAAAAACTGTAATTAAGAGTATACTAATATGTAAATGGAAAAATGTTCACTCAACTTGCTCCGTAGATTACAAGTGCGGGGCGTGACTCCCTCAATCCGATAGACTATGTCATTTGACATGTCTTTTAATCCAGGCTAACCGATATTCTGATTTGTCAGTAAACGGTGCCGTATACTCCTTAACGTTCCATCTATCTGCTCGTCCATATGTAAATATATGGTTGCGAGTTTTGTGCCAAGTATCTGGGACGTTAGCATAACCTCCAAATGAGTATGCTGCGTAAGGCCGGATCCCTCCAATCGTATCTTTCTGAACACGAAAAGATAGAATTAAAGATGCCAATACTTGTCTGGCGTCTATTTCAGATGATGTAACAATCTGATTGTTTCTACTCTCGGTATAGAATACGTTAGCGGATGTGTCTTGCTCGGTATTTTCAACCACTGTATAACAGACTAATGCTAAAGCTCCTTCAGCACTCTTCTTCACTTGGGGAGCGAGTTTAATCTTCTCCTCAGTCCTACTAAGTGCTAACGAGACTTTCTCAAATAAGTCAACGTTATACTGGAATTTTTGAAACTTAACCGGGAATGCGTCCTCCATAATATTTGCACTTTCTAAAAACGCTACTTGGTCGCTGGTTAAGGTAGCGGCTCTCGCCCAGCCCAAACAATTTCGGGTCGGATGACCTGCTCCTGGCTCATCTGGCCTTAGGGCAGCTGGGAGATTCCATTCTTTTATCCCTGGTGTCGCCGTCACGCGTAAATCTTCTTGAATACGCTGTCTACATACAACGGGACATGGCATGGACATATACTTCCAATGCGTGTGTGGTCCCATCTTACCAAAAGTACCATCTTCATCTGGCCATGTGGGCATCGCTAACTTGTATCTGATAGATGAACTATCAACAATGTTGCCAAGTGCCTTGATATATGATTCAATCGGTGTTGGTAGACTATGGTTCCCTGATAGAACCTGCCCGGCGAAGGAGTCTTCATCATACTCTGACGATCCATCCTCCTGTTTCAATGTAATCAGACGAGCATATAAACTCATCGTGCAATAGTATACCCATGCTGACTTTGCTACACTTTTTGCGAAATAAGGCTGATTTGACGCAATTACATCATACTCTTTTTCGCAAAGAGGGATAAAACCCTCAGCGGTAATCGCGAACTCATTGGTCCTACGATATGGGGCTACTCCGGGGAAACCCATCATGTCAATGTCACTAAACATCGGTTCATTCTTGGGCTTAGTCGCAACAGTCGACAACCTAGTTGGTCTTGGTCCTGTACTATTCGGATCACGTGGTGGAAGCGGAGGTGCGGCTGTATTCTCTGATCCTTTAGATCGCTTGCCGTAAACCTTAGTCTTCTGTCTCCTCGGACCGCTCGTACTTGGAGCCTTCTCTCCTGTATGCGCCTCGGGTTGCATGTCTTGATTACTTGTGGTAGTTGCCATCGTGGCGAGTCGCCAAATTCTAAATGAATTTAACTGCCTCGGTGGTGTAGTGGCTAGCATGTACGGCTGCACACCCGGAGGTCCTGGGTTCGAGTCCCGGGTCGGGCCAAGTTTAGTTATTGAGTCTTTCTGTATATTAAGTCTCAGTAACAGCCCGGAGTTGGGAAGTTGGCGGTGTTTCACCCCCGTGCCTCGGAGAGCACGTAAAGCCGTCGGTCCTGCGCCTTAACTCTGACCGGTCGTGTCGAGTGGTCGTCCCACCGGAGTATGAGAGTGACAGGAATAGAGAGTGCACTTGTGTCTGCGCGTACACTTGAGCACTATAATATCTCCTGCGCAGTTGGATAATCTCAATGAGATTGGCCGCCGTGGCCGGAATCGGCTAGGAGAACATCATCATCAATATGTAAAAAATAAGAATTTGGTTTTTGGTCATCTGAACGCGGGCGGAACCGCGGGCAATGCTAGTATAATAATAAAGGCATATATTAATAAAAGCGCCTTTACATTGACAGAGAAACACGATCAGAAATGAAACTAGCTGGAATAGTTTTGATGATATTATGAATTTTAACTGTCCATATTTTTACGATGTTGTGATATATTATAAAATATGTTATTGATTACCTAACGTTAAAAATTAATGAAACGGTATAATTTTGTAAATAACCAAAGCCAACGAACAATAACAGAATAATAATAGGTTTAATTCGTTTTATTCATTGTGTGATGATTCAATGTGAATCTTAAGATGTTTGAAAACCTTTTGCTTATGTCATATTAAATGTACAAAGTACCAGTTCCTTGTATGTAGAATATATAAAAAATACATCTAAATAACCCTGTATGTGGTATGTCATTATTTGTAACCCAAAAATATGTCTACTTGTGCAAATATTAGTCTGTGATGTAGTTTAAATAAATGCCCTAAAACTTAACTAGATTTTTTTTCTTGACCTTACCTTAAACGAGATTAAAACAAAGACACATACAAAACTTCATTTATTTGGTACAAAAACGATTGACATTTACGTGTTACAATAATTAAATACAACACAAATTTAAATTTGTTTATCACTAAACATTTTATATATCCCAATAATATGCTTACAACGGATAATAAATATGAGAAACAATGGCAAGTTTAAAATATTTGGCGCAAGTGCAGTCTACTGATTAAAGAGTTTCTACGTGTTTATATAAATTCATTTTACCACAGATTAAATTACAAAGCATACAGGAGGTAATACTATTGGCAAAAGAACTACATCTACAATTTTGTTTTTGAAGTGAAAACTTCTGTAGCCGTATTAAGTGATTTTTGGTAGGAGCAAAACTTATGGGTTCGCGTCACCGACATGCTACGTGTGACGTGTCGAACGCAGTCTGGTGACGTGCAGCGTCACATGTTTTGATTAATAAATAAACTACCTATATCAATATGTAAATAATTATTGTTCGAGTGCCAATGGATGTGAAAAAACACAAATTATGAAATTTTAATTATTCATTAAAAAAAAATTAAAAAAAGTTATTCCAAAGTTATAAGTTTTCACTTCTGTCGGCAGTCCCCATCACTGCCTGTTTTATTTATTTTTTTGTTTTTAAATATATGTTTTAAATATTTTAATTTAATCTATTTAGAATTTGACATCACACTCGTTACACACGTTGGGACACTTACAGCGATATAACATTTTAATTTAACACGTTATAAGTTATAACCTTTAAAACATTTTACATCCATTCATTTATTTTCTTTACTCAACTTTAATTCATTCTAATTAATTATTATCCTACAGGCACATAAATTGTAGTATAATAAGTTATGCAATGTCATTATGGTAATGCATAAATAATAAACAGAAAGAACTATTACAATTTGTCTAAAATTACTATGCAAATTGAATGAATTTACTATTTATGAGAGAATAAAAGGTTTACTACTTTTGTGTAAAAAATATTATCAAACGACATTTTATTATTATTAATTTAATAAAATTTCAAACTTACTTATAACATGTTTACGACACAGATTTTTTTGTAAAATATAGTCAATTAAAAAAGTAAGTACTTATAAGACAGACCATCAGTACATAGCACCCTAACACATAAGTACAATTGTAAAATATGCTATTTTAAAATTTTCGTCGCGCTTTAAATACACGTGTATATGAAGCCCCTATAGTTAGTGTCTGCTGCACTGACGGCCTTAGTCTCACATATGTATGACGTATATATCAGTGGCGAAGGGTCCATACAAGACGTCTTACCTTAAAATGTATTTTGCTATAATTTTACATACATTTAATTTTTTAAATGTATAGATGTTCTTTTGGAAATATATATACATATATATATAATAATAGCTTTATTTCTTTTTGCATTAATACATATATAAAAATTGTATATCAATTTTTTTTGTTTTTTTGGAACGGCTTACCTCTGCTAAAATTTCACCCTTCGTCAATGGTATGTATGTACGTACGTATGTACACGTATGTATATATGTAGTATAAAGGGCGGCGTCAGTGCACGGCGGTGTGCGGGCGCGCGGCGGGGTCGGCGCGCGCGCTGCCGCTCGTCGTGCTGCGGCTCGCCTCCGACCCGCTGTCGAGTACACCAGCTTTATTACTATCACAGTATAAATGTGCACACAGTAAACGATGACTCACTGATTTCTTCAGAAATGCAGAGAGTTGTCAAAGTATACCAGGGAAAGGTGTACGAGATGATTCCCCTAAGGGAGAATGCTTGTAATTTCAATAACGTTTAATTTAAAATAGATGTAAAAGCAGTTTATGATAGCAAATTTATCGATCTACCGGTTTTCAAAATCAAAACAAACAATAAAAAAAGTTTTCATTGTTATATTTCATTATTTTTAAATCTCTGCAAAAGCATCATCTTGGACACCCCGGTATCCAAGATGATCCTTAGGGTGTGGACAAGACGATCCTAGGAATCGTCTTGCCCCTAATTTGGGAATTTTGTGGGTTTTGGTAAAATTAATTGAAAAAAAAAACAACTTATTCAAATTACAAATGTGTTTATTTATGTAATCTTAGATATTACCGAACTTTGAGGTCAAAATAATCTTATATAAACTTAAATCTTAAAAAGCTTAAATGAAACTAAGCAAGTATTTTAATAATAAATCAGTCTCTAAATTACGGATAACAATCATCACAGCATAAGATCGATAGTATTAAGCATTTTTAACAAATTAATTAATAAATCTCTCCATAATCAACATCAAACTATAAAATGTTTTTAAAAATTAGTAGGTACTTAGGACAAAATTAAGTTAAGAGTTCTTCATATTAATATTAAGCTCAAAAACTTTTTAGCTTAGTAGGTTAGTTTAGTTAAAATTCTAAACGCGTTTTTCCTAGTGTAAATTCAGCAGGATCATCATTATCTATCCCTACACAAGATGACCCCATTTTTGACATCCTTGGAAAATGTTTCCGTGCAAAATAGACATTCAGTATCTTCTTCTTCTTCAAATGACTCAGACTCGAGGATATAAGAAGGTTTCTTCCTCTTATTGGATACTTCTTTACCTTTTCTTCCTTTACGTTTTACAGCATCTAGTGCTTTAATCATAGAGTCTCAACCACCCGCCACGATTCGTTTTTCTTCTATAATTACGCGGCATATTCTAAAACAATAAAAAATACTTCTGTGTAATAGATAAGTAAAAGTCAGTAAAATAAACAATGTGTTAGGTGCAAGATGATCCGCACGGATCATCACGTACACCAACAACCTAATCATCTTGCCCCAACCACCATTTTTTATCCTTTATTCGAATATAACCTAAATGCTTTCTATTTGAATTATCATGCCATTATAAAAACAAAATAGAACACTTTTGATATCTACTAATGCAAAAAATATTGCATTTGACGGTCTAGAATAAAAGTAACGTAGATTTAAAATCAATCTTACCTTAGATCTACGTCAAACAATTTTGTTTTATGTCGTCAAACTTTACTCGTCACTCACACGGCCATTACGAATTGACTGATGAGAAGGGCCATCGGGAGCTATGTTTTACCAAAGGAAACATCTAGGTGGCATTAGTAGTTACCGTGTAATTTAAAAGGATCATCTTACCTCAACGGATCATCTCGTACACCTTTCCCCAATATTTTAATATTCATATCATATATTTATATATTCATATCATAGAAACCACATGAGTAAGTATTCCTACAGAGGTCAAGCTTCATACAACTGCGCAACGATGGTACACTACTACATGGCATGGCGGCACAAAGTTCGCGTAGGCTGCCCGTCGACAAAACCGATTCCTTCCGGCTCTAGCTGTTGACAATATCAAGCCGAGCGCGCTTTAGTGTTTGAAGTTGTCTCTGTATGGATATTTACTAATGTAAGAACATGTGCATGGTGAATCACTTCAGTACTCATAGGAAGTGGGCGTTAGTGGCTACAACACAGTTTTTACTTAATTCGCTATCGAACATGTCTTCAGGACTTTTTAACGTCCCACTGCTGGGCACGGGCCTCCCTTCAATGCGAGGGGGATCGTACATAAATAAGAAGAAACGTTCGCTTATGTTCCAATAAAAATGTTAATGATTATATCGTACGTGGGCGTCAAGGCGTCGACGTCGCCGTCCTGCAGACAGACCCACTGCGCGGCGGGCTCGCCGCGCGCTGCGTCCAGCGCGCCCGTGTACACCAGCAGGTCGTCCATTAGCACCTGGTACGGAAAAATATATAAATAAATAAATATGTTGGGACATTAACACACAGCGCCACCTAGTTCCATGGTAAGCTACGAGGCTTGTGTTATGGATACTAGATAGTTGACACACTACACATATATAACTTTAAATAAGTACATACATAATATTATAAATATAAACATCCATGACTGGAGTACAAACATTCGTGCTCATCACACAAATGAATATCCCCAGCGGGATTCGAACCCGCGACCGCTGGCACAGGAAGTAGGGTCACTACAAACTAAGCCAAACGTGTCGTCAAATGTTAAAAAAATATTTTTTTAATATAAATATATGAGTACATATTTTTCAGTTTCAACGAGCTACTTATCGTCGCTTCCCTCGGGTGCCTAAGAATACACTATAGAGAGTATACTTTAGTCTAGATCATAGTTAATCTTTTAAAATTTTATCCAAATCCGTTTATCGGTTTGCGTGGATACTGGAAGAGTAATAAACAAGCACGCACGCACGCACACACATACAAACACACAGATACAGACGCACACACTAAAACTTTCACATTTAACCGCAATTAAAAGTATATTGTGTATATTTTTATTTACTCATAAATATTAGAAATTTTCATTCATTTTAAATTCTTTCATTTACTAAATGAACGTTAGTATATTATTACTACGCGTAAAAAGTGAACTTACGCCGAATTCCTTAACACCTCGGGTGGGTGTTTTGGCGTAGTTCCATATCTTCATCCCGTAGACTGACACCGGGGAGTCGAACACAAAAAATACCCTGGCAATAGATATAATTAATACCAACTCGAAAACAGTTTATGTTACCTACAAATATTTTAATCGATATTTTTTTATAAACGAACATCTACTAATATCTTGTTACTATATTAGAGCTAGATATAAATGAATGTACGTTAACAGCGCTTATTCTACGTATACTGAAAATTTAAAAAATGGGGCTTACGGATTGTTGCCTTAAATGTTAAAGAAAGCCCATTATATTTGAGGTTCTATTAAAAATAATGAATGACTGTCTAAAAACCATTTAACACAAGTGGTACCGCCACGGTGGTCCAGTGGCAAGTATGTATATGTGGCTGCAGATCCGAAGATCCTGGGTTCGAGCCCTGGAATAGTACAAGTTAAGTCTTTCTGTTAAGAAAGTTTTAGTAACAGCTCAGAATGGGGAAGCCGGCTCAAGCCTAAGAACATGTAAAGTCTTTGTTTCATGACCGGTGAGAGATTTCACAAAATTTTGAGAGTGACAAGACACGTTTTGTCTGCGTATACATTTGTGTTCTATAACATCTCCATCAGTGTATAAGTAAGATTGGGCACCGTGGGCGAAGTCGGTCAGGAGAACGTAACTAAGTATAAAGTACGCGCGCACCTGTTGAGCGTGCGCGGCAGCACGGGCGCCAGCCACGAGTGGTGCGGCGCGGCGCGCGCGTGGCGCCCGTCCACCAGCCGCGCCGGCGTGCGCGCGTCCCCCCCGCCCCCGCCCCCCGCGCCCAGCACGTTCACGCTGGCCGGGTACGCGCACACGTCTGCACAATACATTAATGATTCAATATTTTCTTAAGATTCGATATTTAACATTTTAAATAAAACTATTTTTTAGGCTTTTTCGCAGATTAAAGGTCATGGTATGAGACGGTGTAGTGGGCAGGCTCCTTTATATTGATTGTCGGTTTCAAACGTTTCGACTGTTTTACAGCAATCACACACACAAATTGATCACAGTTCATTTTTAATTACCAATAATCACTGTGTACTGGGCTTGTAGTACGGACCGACCCTAAGGCAACAAACAAACACTGTTTGAGACATCCTAGCAACAAAGGTGTCCCAACAGCGGACTAATGTATTTGAAAAACTTTTGTTTATCAATATATCAATTTTCATTTAAAAAAAAACCACATACTAGACTCAGTGACGTGTATTTGCCGGCCGCAGGGCGCGTACAGCTCCACGCCGGTGAGCCCCACGTAGTAGGGGTCGCCCCACGTCGAGTAGATGCTGAGCTGCAGCACGAAGCCCGTCGGCGCCGCCTCGCATAGCGACAGCGCCGGGCTTGCCACTCCTGGGCCATGCTCTTCTAAGCTATAGGATAAAAGAAATTTAGATTATCTACGCTTATAATAAAAAGTGCATTAAAAAGATGGAAACAATTTGAGGGGGAACATAGTATAGTAGTACAGTCGGAGATATACATGTTTTATACTTGCTACGTGAATTTATGTATGGCATTTATACTAACGAATCTAATGACACGACGTATGAATCATGAAAATCGGTTAAGCCGTTTATTAATTATGAGGGAGCATACAACCTGACATACATACAGGTCAAACACATAACCCTCCTTTGGGCTTAGTCGTAGTCGGGAAAAACAAATGCAGTTTGTTGGTAAGCACATCGCTTGAGAACGAATTTCGCTACTTTTTTAGAATGTTCGTAATACTGCTAATAAGGTTACCTATTACGGATAAAAGTTTTGAAAGTTGTCCAAAATTCATTTATGAATAATAACACAGGACTTAATAAAGGTTCGTGCTCAGAAGAGAGATGTTAAAAAGGAGTCAATACAGAAAAGAAAATGAAGTATAAGCAGCATAACGTACGCCTGCGGCAGGTCGGCGCCGGCGGCGAGGCGCAGGTGCTGCACGTAGTCGTAGCAGGCGTGTCCGGGCGCGCGGCGCAGCAGCGCGGCGGCGGCGCGGGGGGCGGGGGGCGCGCACGCGCACGCCGCGCGCGCCGCAGTACGACTGCTCCAGGCTCGCGTTGTAGTTCCACACGAGGACACCTGACATGTTATTAAAAATATGTTAATATCCCTACATACATCATTCTGTTTATAATTATGTTTTATAATGTGTTAGATTAGAACTGCATGCTTTATTTCTCATTTTATTTTAATCTAATTATTTGGGTTATTTTCTTTAATTTGACATTGTCTCAGTTTCTTTTTTGTTTTTATTTATTTTTACTTGTTGTAGGTAAAGTTTATTGAATTTAACTTGGCATTGAGTTTATTTTTTTACTTGTGAAAATTGTTTTGGCTAATGTATATGTTATTTATTCTATAAATATGTAATATAAAGCTGTATGTTTTCCTGAATAAACAAATATCGGGTCTTGAATATGTACACACATACACAACTTCACGCCACTATAGTGCCAAGCGCTATGATGAATGATCTCTAATCTCTATATATCTCTTAATAACGCGAAATAGGGGTAAACCATAGACAACTTTTAAAGACCAAGTACATAAGGACTTTTAATAAGTACACTAATTTATTTCAAAGAATACCTCCTTTATTAACTTTACGAACAATACAATATTACCAACAACCTATACTATCTATACTAATATTATAAAGAGGCAGAGTTTGTTTGTTTGCTTACTTGTTTGTTTGTTTGTTTCTTTGTTTGAACGCGCTAATCTCAAAAACTAATATAAAACTAATCCGCTTTGAAAATTATTTTTGCATTAGGTACATAGCCCGTTTATTGAGAAAGGCTATAGGCTATATATTATATAATATAATATAGTCTATCTAGTCCATAGTAACCATTAAAACGTACATATAATAGATATGAACCCGAGCGAAGCGAACCACTGGTACAATACATAGGTTGCACTACTGCAACATGACAGGAATCAATAACTTTACTAAAAAATCTTACTAGTAACTTCAGTAGGTTCTGCAAACTCCATAACAATGTGTGCTAATTTGGATCCCGGAGAGAAATCAATACACCACATATCATCGCTGTCTGTTGTAATGTTATTCCCATTAAAGAGGCTTTTACAGTCAATATAGCCTTGATCTGGTATTTCTTCTTCATTTATGTCGGAAGTATACGCATACGCTCGATGCACTCTGATAGATTCGTTGTTGCAAAGTACGTCTATACCTGAAAGGCAAATTATAATTAGGCTTTTAGCTTTTTAAATATCTTTGTTGCTTATTGCCAACAGTATAAGATACCCTTTACACAACTAACTTCTAAGTATTTAAAAAAAAAAATCCATTATTTTACATATTAACACCTCCAGGTAAATTTCTAAGAAATTAATTAAATTTCTAAGAAATCTATTGTTAACTGTAATGCCGGCGTGTCGTTCCTGGAAGGATTAACTAAGAAAAGTACACCAACTTCAAAACCGTAACAAGCAAAGATTTCGCGTAACAAAAAAAGATACAATCGAATTAAAAACCTCTTTATTTTTAAAGTGGGTAAAATTGCAGTAAAAATAATTAAAAATTGTAATAAACCTGTCAATCCAATTAAATGCTTTCCTCCCCAATTAGACATTAACGTCAATTTGATTTGCTTCACCACATACTTTTCGTCTCGCTCTAAGTCATCCAATTCCTCACATCTGGTTGGGCTCAGACTACTTTTATTGTCATTTGCAGTCGGCGGCCTCTTCTCAATTGTACTAGCATCAATTAACGGCTCATTGTCTTTTAGAAGAGCTTGGAAATTCTTATCATTTACCAATATTGATTCAAGGATTTGGGGGTCTTTCGTGAAGAGAATTGTCTGTCAGAGAGAGAAAGGAAACATAAAAAGAGTTATATAATAGTACTAGCGGACCCGACAGACGTTGTCCTGTCTACACGTCTTTAATTTGAAAATTTCAAACTTTTTTTAATAATTTTTTTGATGAAAATTATTATTCAAATTGTGAATCTAAACCATTCCCAGATCCCCTTGAACACACACAAAAAATTTCATCAAAATCGGTCCAGTCGTTTGAGAGAAGTTCAGTGACATACACACTCACAGAAGAATTATATATATAAAGATAAGGAAAGTCTTTTTGGTGACTTCAAAAGTACACTTACATCACCAAAAGTCGACAAAGGTCCCTTTAATTCGCCACTCGCGCGCGCGATCTCCCCGTGAAATATGACTTGGTCATCTAACTTGATCTGTACGAGGCGGACACCACGCGCTGAGTAGATGCGCGACTTGTTGTAATTCTGAATGATAAACAGAAAGAAGAGTAATTGCATGTACTATATAGTTAATAAAATAAGTATTTTTAGTCTAACTAGTGTTCGTCTTGTGGTAAAAATTCGACCATAATCAATATTGAATTTAAGAAAAACATATATGAATAAAGTTTACCTATCAATATAAAAAATCGAACACTAATTTTTAAAATAATTTTACTGATAAGTGATAACACTAAAATTCTCAACAAGTACTAAACAAAAAAATAAGAAAATCAGTTCAAAAACAAAGAAAAAGAGATTTCCTTTTTTTTTATTTCAAAGCATTGGTGGCTTAACGCCGCACTTGCACGTTTAATATTATAATAATATAATTTTAAAATACTAACTAATCACATAAATAAATTATACAATCCAATACTTAAACTAACGGAAAATACAGACGCATCTGTAATTTTATGCAAAGCCCAATACGGATAACTTAAATGTTACCCAGCCAAATTCCAACTCACCCAAACCCTAAGCAAAGCCAGCGTGGCCGGGCGCGCCAGCAGCGCGCTGAGCGCGACGGGCGCGGCGGCGGGCGCGCTCCACGCCTGCCGCTCGTCGCGCGTACGCACCGCCCCTGTACAGATGTTCTCCAGCCGGCCGAACTTCGACGAGTCCCCTTTATCCGAATCCGACCATATCTTTGGGAAATTTGTTATTTGAATTGTTTCAATATATTGTTGACATAAACAAAAACTTTAGAGACACAATTAGCGTATCTAGTTCTTTCATTTAAAAAGTTCTTTATGTGGTGTGCGTAAGTTCGAATTTGTGTTTAGACAATTAGAGCTTTCGATTTTTGAAGTTTATTCTTTGGTTTGACTTAACGTACGTAACAAGTCGACGCCCATTTTTGAAGAGATATATTTGTTAAGAAATGTGTATCTATGTTTTTACATATCAATGTTACATAATATACATATATTATTTAGTTAGCTCATAGTAAATTTATTATAATTTAGGTCAGTATATTATAATCAATAACTTTAAAATTTACCTTTTCAACTGCGACCGTGTCGCCGTCTGAATCAAACATCTCAATACCATTCATTCCAACTAAAAATTTATCCCCCCAATTAGAGTAAATTTTAATTTCCAACAATCTGCCTTTTGGCAATTCGGGAATCGTAAATTCGCTTTTAATTTTTGCTTTTGTTCTGCTTTTATTACTTGGAATTGACAGCGGATTTCTTGAGTTAATCACGTTTGACAAAAGATTTTTGTTATTATTTTGGCGTGAACTCAGTGCACCTTTAGGTAATCTTTTTTTTCCATTCTTATTAGATTCTTGGATGCCTGAAAACAGTTTTCCGGTTAAACAGTTTTCTCTTGATTTTATTTTGAAGGTACAATATAGAAAGCTATGGTAAAATTGGTCCTTTGAGCCATTTTACTGTTATTGATAAAAGCGAATTAAATAATAACATATTATATTTATTTATATAAAATATATTACGAGATCCCAATATAACATCGTTAAAGTCCTCATCAATGGCGTTATTCATAGGCCTATGTCTCGGAGTAACATAATGTGGCAAAAGGTCTGATAGAAAATCATTTGACACACCCGTAGCTGCATCACCCATATCCAAATTTTCATTTATAGCTTTTCTTCGAGCATTCTGAGTTTGACCTATAAATTAGAAGAAATATAATTTAAATAAGACGCCTTAGAGACGTCTAAAACCTTAGTCTCAGTCTCCCGTAAGCATGATTGCTGCAAGAATTCGAAACATCAGGAACCAAAACTCAAAATACTTATTTTGATTTTTGGTTCCTTCCGCAAAAAAATCTGTAGAGATACGTTTTATTTAAAATGTCAAATATACTCGTAAATCTAAAAATGTACTTAAAATATAATATTTTTAAAGAAAGCATGATTGAAAAAGTATAAAGTTTATTTAAAAATGTCCTGCAGTCTTCATTGAATATTTTTAAATAAACTTTTTCTATTTTGAACAGTATTAAGAAAATTACAAAAATCCATTCTATAAACAAAATATATTATTGTCATTATCTTACCATTTATACGATTGTAACGTAGAGTACCAGCGGAATGGGCGATTTGCTTCTGAGGTTTTATAAGATCTATCGTCGTGTCTAATGAAGTTCTTCGCTTAATTCTAGAAAAGAATTAAAAATCATTAAACATTTATAGGTATATTGAAAAAAAAAATAAGTTCCTAAGGTATACTTTACCTAAGATGTTCATTTTTAGATTTTATAAAATTGGGATTTGATATTTCACTACTTCCATTTGAGTCTTTTATTTTGTTTTTGATATGTATATCTTGGAAATCCCTAAAATATAATAAAATTAAATTAAACAAAAAGTCAAACCAAATATATTAAATGATATTTTTAATTCAATTTTCTCACTTTGTAATATCTTTAAGCCAAAATGGAATGTCCTCGTTGGTTGAGTATTCAAGTTTTAGAGTTGGGTGCTGGGCCATCTTTAGGGCATTGAAGTATAATAGCTGACACCTTATAGTATATATACATACTATGAGATTTCTAAACAAAGATTTAAACTCAGTGAACTCATTGTAGGTATTTTACTTATAACGTAAGCAATATAATATTACTGAAGATTTTACTATAGTTTTTTTCTGAAAAGAGGAATATATATATATAGTTTAGTTTATTATGTAATTCTTTTTTATAAATACTACATTACCACTCGCCAGTTTTAAAGCATATTTTGGCCGCTGTTTGTTTGACCTTGGTCACCATAGTTACAAGAGATTTAAGCTGTTATCATTCCATGGTATCTAATATCTATGAATTTAATCGAATATGTTTGTTTTCATAAGAAAACTTTGTTAAAAATATTTCTATAACAACTCCACGTCTAATATTTACTTATGTATATTTTCAATACATACTTTTTATTAAATCTTTTATCTTGTTTCTAAATTAAGCTGTCAACACTTTACACGTCATAATGACAGATTGAAAATGTCAACATGCGGCACCTAACCTTACCAGGTTTTCATTAAAACTAATAACTAGATATTTTTAACGAATACTTTTTGTATCTAAATAGTATAAAAATGTCAGAAATAGATCCAAAGTTATTAGAAATAAGGACAGCGAATGCTGAGAAGGAAGCTAAGATTATTGAAAAAGAGTTGGATAAAATAGCAAACGATGATCTTAGTTCTGTTGGAGATCCAAGGCTTGATAAATTATTAGCTGATAATGAAAAACTTAAACATCGTCTAGCTATACTTGAAAATGCTATTAAGGCTGAATGTTCTACCGATCCTATTAAAAGGAGGAAACCTAATTTAATTACTGACATTAAATCTGTTGAAGGTACCATTTGTATATTAGATGAATTGAAAAATGTTTTTGAAATTGCTATTACTTCAGCTTATCCAGATTTGGAAGATCCACCAATTGTTATTACCCTATCGGGCAATAATCCAAAATTTGGTGATTACCAGTGTAATTCTGCCATGCCAATATCTCAGCTTCTTAAAGCAAAAAATGTGAAAACCAACCCCAGAGAAGTAGCTAATAATATTTTAAACAAAACTCCAACTTCTCCTTTCATACAAAAAATTGAAGTTGCTGGGGCTGGGTTCTTAAATATTTATTTAAACAAAGCATTGGCTGAACATGTTTTGAATACTATACTTCAGTTTGGTGTGAAGCCACCACCTGTTAAAAAAGAAAGAGTGATAGTAGACTTTTCTTCGCCTAATATTGCAAAAGAAATGCATGTGGGTCACTTGAGGTCTACAATTATAGGGGATAGCATATGCCGTGTTTTAGAATTTTTAAATCATGATGTACTTCGTCTAAATCACCTTGGTGACTGGGGTACACAGTTTGGCATGCTCATTGCTCATTTACAAGATAAATTTCCTGACTATAAAACTCACTCGCCACCTATTTCTGATTTGCAAGCCTTTTATAAGGAATCAAAGAAAAGGTTTGATGAGGATGAAGAGTTTAAAAAAAGAGCTTATTCATGTGTAGTTCAGCTTCAGTCTGGGCAACCTGACTATATAGCAGCTTGGAAGCTTATTTGTGAGGTATCACGCCAAGAATTTCAAAAAATATATGACCGCTTGGATATCCAAATTATGGACAGAGGTGAATCTTTTTATCAGAATAGGATGGATGCAGTAGTAAAAGAATTAAAAGATAAAGGTTTCTTAGAAGAAGATGATGGCAGATTAATAATGTGGGGGAAAGAAGATAGCCATGATGGAATTCCTTTAACAGTTGTTAAATCAGATGGAGGTTACACATATGACACTTCGGATATAACAGCTATAAAGCAAAGAGTAGAAGAAGAAAAAGGTGATAGGTTCATTTATGTAACTGATGTTGGTCAGTATACGCATTTTATGACTATAGATGCTTGTGCACGACGAGCTGGTATACTTACTAATGGAAAAAAGATTGAACATGTTGGTTTTGGAGTAGTTCTTGGGGAAGATAAAAAGAAGTTTAAAACACGATCTGGAGATACAATAAAGTTAATTGATTTGCTTGATGAGGGCTTAAAAAGATCTCTAGACAAATTAGTGGAAAAGGGCAGAGATAAAGTCCTTACTGCTGACGAGTTGAAAAAAGCCCAAGAGGCTGTTGCCTATGGATGTATTAAGTATGCCGATCTCTCACACAATAGAATAAATGACTACATCTTTTCATTTGACAAAATGTTAGATGACAAAGGGAACACAGCTGTGTATCTATTATATGCATTGACTCGCATCAGGTCTATCGCACGAACAGCTCAAATTTCAATTGAAAAATTAATAGATGAAGCTCAAAAGTCTGGTTTCAAACTACAACATGAAACTGAATGGAAATTGGGTAAAGTACTGCTTAGGTTCCCAGAAGTTATTCTCAAGGTATCCAATGATCTTTACTTGCACAGTTTATGTGAATATTTATATGAAATATCATCAGCTTTTACCGATTTTTATGATAAGTGCTATTGTGTTGAGAAAGATAAGAGTGGAAATATAGTCAAAATCTTTTATGAAAGATTGATGCTGTGTGAAGTTACTGCCAGAGTAATGGAAAGGTGTCTTGACATTTTAGGTATAAAAACAGTATCTAAGATGTAAGAGTATACTACTAATACTCAATTTTGTAAGTAGGATAACATATACATGTTTTTCAATAATCACAAGTAATTTTTAATAAATAAATGCAGTTTGGATGTAAAGTTTTTATTTAATTCCCAAAAACCTCTACAAAACTATACCAGGATCCATTACAAACGTAACATTAATGAAACATCACATGTATATTTAAAGAAAATAATGTTTTAACAATCACCAGGTGTATACAATATACATACTATTGTAAATTGCATGTAAGATATAAGTAGATGCTAGCTATCTATAACAACACTTTACATTTAATTCAACTACTTAATAAATTAGAAAAATTTAGATTTTTGTAGAAGTAGCAAATTTTCATAGACTCCACAGTTGGCTTCTATGGCAGTGGGCTTGATAAATGTCATTATGAGGTTCAAAATCTAATGACGGGAAGTTGTTTTCTTGTTCGATTGCGTTAAATATACCTAATAGCATTATTACATGCAGATAAAATAAAAGTTGAATAAACATATCTTATTTAGTAAAAACAAAATTATTAGATAATAATCCACAATTTTTATTTTATACTATTGATACTGTACGATGTAAGGTAATTTTGTAGGTAGGTACTGTAATATATAAATATATTAATATAGCATTACATTAATCTGGCACTACTCAAATCCTATTTAAATAATTATATATTTATATGTATATATTTAAATCTCATATATACCTAGTAATAAAATTACTTTTGTTGATATTATTAATTATTTTATTATTCATACATTTAAACATAATAACAATATATTCACACTGAATAAATGTTACAAGGAGTGTTGATACAGCTTAAAAATTTGGCCCATGCTTTAAAAATCTCCATATAAGATAGTAATAGAAGATATAGAAATAAATTGAGTTAAGAATATTTAATGCTTATATATCCTACCTTAATACATGAAGAACCAATGGCATCCCAGAGGAAGACTTGAGACACTAATTGGTTGAAGGATAATTATACATATGTTAAGAGCTATCTCAGGATTCTACATCTATTACTAGAACTGGGGATATACATTAAAAAAATAGATTTTTTTTACATTCACAAAATACATAACGTTTAAATTTTATAAATGTAACCATTTTGTAACAATACTGTATACTTACAAAACTAACTTGGTGAGACAGGTCAGATCCTATGTAATAATTAATATATAATTGATTAATATTTGACTGTAAGATAAATATTCATAAAATTCAAGATAGGATACGAATGTAAGTAGGTATGTATGTATATAGAAATTATGATACTTTCTGACCAATATAATGTCATCATATTAATATGAACAAATAGCCATTTTCATGGTCGGCTCATCATCTTCAACATTCACCAGGTTGCTTACTTTAGCTTGGTTATTACTTATTATACACATATATATTATTATTATTAAAATGACAACAGCGTTAAAATAATTTATATAATGTTTAAAAAACAAAATTAAAATTCATGAAATAAGTATACTTTAAACCCTCTTATTTATCTAATGCATGCATCGCTTCATAAAAACCTACAATTTTAAAAGCTTTGACCTCTGGATGTCCAGATTCAGTAAGATACGTTCTTCAGTACATACATATAGGTACCCTAATACCAAGTATCAGGACCTTTAATTATTTTCATTAAATTACTCATATTACAATATATACATATAATTATTATGGTCAGACAGTATTTATAATCTTAGTCTAAACACATTAAACTTTAAAAGACCCTTTCATAGCACAATCGCTAATTTAACGTAACCGTCTAGAAACAATGAAAAACTAGTTATAAAAATATTTAGGAAGGTAAAACACTTAACTCCACACCATCTACTTTGTGGGAATAAAACTTAGTAGCGGTATTAAAATGTTTCATATAGGTAGAATCGATTAGATTGGTTAATGGTTAAATTAAAATAATATTTTTATAATTCTGTGCAACTCTGCTTCCATTTATTAATTACCCTGTTGCCTCGATTATAAACTGAATTGCTTTAAAAAATATTTCAGGATTCCAATAAAAAATAATAAAACAAAACATAATAATATCATTTTAAAATTATTAGTTACGATCACTAATTTGCGAAGTGTTGTAGCAAATTCATTGACTAGAAATTGTTTATACATCGCAGTGTTCAACTGTAAGGTATACTTTTTTTAAAGGGTATTCTTAACAGCCGTGGATTTCAGTAGGGCACTCGGGGCTAGTGCCTAGGGCGGCAAAATTCGGAGGGTGGTAAAAATTTTTTCTTCGCGTTATCGAAAATGCTTTATTTATTTTACAAAAAATGAAAAATAAAAAAAGATTAACTAATAGCTACATTTTTCGGAAAATTGATATCATTTATAAATTATTTCTTTGCATTTTTATATAAATTATTTCTTTGCGGTTATATCCGGGACTGATTCTTAATAACGAATCTATCTGAAGTTTTGCTTTAAAAATAGATAAAAACTTGACACGAGCTGTACAAATTAGGTAAAATTCCTATCTCTAGTGACAAAAATCACATATAGATAGATTATTGGGATCCACCGTAAATGAATGAATTATTGGGATCAATCAGTACTCAGTAGGGCTATCAGTTAATTTTGTTGTATAAAATTGTGGACTGAAAATCCGATAATTGTGCTCCATTCCTATCACGTACGACATTGACCGAGTATTAGTTTACGGTGGCTTATGAGATCTTTCATCTAGCTACTAGCCGAATATTAATGCACGAATAATTATTAAACACATAACAATTCAATTCTCTTGTTAATGGAATCAAAACACAGATTACTTCGCCAATGTCACATAGAATGATAATATTCACACAATAATTCATGTGCCTTTAACATCATTTTAGAATTTAGATTAATTATCAATAACTTCAGCAGATACAAAAATAATTAGTTTATGAGGACATAATTCGAATATGAAGCGCAGTGATTAGCACTTTCGATGTTTCGAAGATCCACAATAGCACTGCTGGTAATAACTATGAATCTAACGCTAAAATGCGGTACAAATAAATGCATACAAGTTAAACATAAGAAGAATAAATAGTGCATAATTAGATAGATCATTTAGGGAACAATCTATTTTATATTTAATTTAAACATTCTTGTATTGCACTACACCTGCGTGTCTTTACGATAAATATTCATACGACCTACATAACATCTTTCCACCCGAGTGTCAGACTTCGCCCTAGTTTTATATCAGATTTCGATTGTCTACTATATCGTAACTAGATAAAAAACAACAATGACCGATGTAAACACACAATCTTGCGCCATTTGACCACATCGACGATGTTGATATGTAATTATGAAGCAATATTAAAAATACAGCGCACCTGTGGTCGTTTGCGCATCGATAGGAAGGCAATGTATAGAACTCATTAAGCTAATGATATATATAAAATATAAGGAATAATTCGCTTTAAATAAATAATACGTGTAAGTTAACATTTAAATGGAGTCATTTAAAATAATTCGAGATTTCGTAAATACGATTTAAAAATGGCGGACAAAAAAAAAGATTGTTTATTCAAAAATCTATTTACTTCATTAGATATAGTAACTCCTCCGACCGACGATTGAGCAAAATCTACTAGACATATCTTTACGATTATAGATAAGGAAAAAGTCATAATATGCTCAAGTTAAAACACAGTTCACCACAGATCGAAGAAAAGTTACATTTAACTAGCTATACTAAAAACTGTATAGGGAACTAATCTAAGGAAAAATTCACATGAGGTGTATAAAAGATCTTTGCTGAAAAACTGGATTTCGTATAAGTATAGATAGATATAAACATTTCTAAAAACCCTAATACACTTTTAAATATTCTAAAAAGGGTTGGATTGGTCTCGAGATTCTGGAGTACGACTACACTACAACAATAAGATTCAACAATATTTTACAAAATATACACATGCAACTATTTCGGAACGCGTTCTGATACAATTGGATTAAATTATTCGTAGACTAAAGACGCAGCGCCTTGTTGCGTAAACGTAGCCGTACAAGGCTATTTACGTGGAGTATTATATAAGTGGTCAGCATTTTGCTTATAATAATTATCTAGAAATATACTATTCGAGTAGAATGAATGCTATCAACTTTGAATATAAAAATTATAGGCAGCCTTAAATGTCAAGTAAAAGTAAACTGGAAAAACCTATTGAAGCTATTGCAAGTCAATTAATGTACATATTTGATGGGCACCGTCTACGTATTTAGTAGTACGCAGGGCGATCCTAGATCCAAGCGTAATAAATAAATAACATAGTATGTCAAGGAAAGCCAATTAAATACAATAATTAAGTTCACTGAAACAATGATACAACGATATAGAATGCGTCCGCAATCATCAATATACATCTATTACTAAATTGTAACTAAATTCAAAGATTGATTAACTTCGGATTTTTTGTATTTACCTCAGAAACCTTTCATATTCCGATGTCATTACAACAACAAAATTAATCTATATATATAAAAGAAAGTCGTGTTAGTTACTTCGCTTATAACTCAAGAACGGCTGAACCGATTTAGCTGAAAATTGGCAGGGAGGTAGTTTAGAGCCAGGAGAAGGACATAGGACTTTTTATCCCGTTCGACCGCGTTCCAATTTTTATGATATTTTAATTTTTGGATTTCTCTTAGTCCGGAATAGGTAAGTATTAAAACATATAATTAAAATGTGAGAAAGAAAGATTTTTTCTTTTTATATCTATTTAAAACGTACCTAGCGACGAACCCGAGCGAAGCGAGGGTGAGCCGCTAGTTTATGTAAAAACAAAAAAAATATATGAAAATATAAGTATTTAAATAATGAGCACAATTGATTTAAAATATAAAAAACAAGATAAATTTACAATTCGACAATTTAAATAAGCTATTGTTATATTTTTTGTTTGAAGATTTATGACACCGGAAGTATACTTTGTTCGGATTTTGATATTTATTCAGCGCATATCCAATGGACACTTGACATTTTGTGGGTCGCTGTCAAGTGAAACATCCGTGGTCTTGTTGCTGAGGTATACAAAAATAGCTTAGAGAGCTCGATAATAGAGTTTGAATAGGTCAATCGGGCAGTCTTCATTGGGTTTTGAGTTCGGGGAAAAGATGTCGGAGGATAGCTAAATAATGAACACTAGCAGCGAGAGCCACGAAAACGTGCCATATCGCGTGAGCAAACGGTATTCGACCGTCCGACTTGAAGAAAAACACCCCTACGAGGTACAGAATTCCGCCCATCTTGAGATCGTGCATCGCCGGGAACTGGTGCTGGAAATAAAATAGAATTTGTTTGAAAAGTCATTTCATTAAGTATTTTATGATGTGGGAAATAGTAAGAAGTAGGTTGCGGTTTCGTAATTAGTCCTTTAAATGGTCCGTGAATTTCTGAGACCTTCTACCTACTTACAAACAAATGCAGAAGGAATATAAAATTAATTTATTAATTAAAAAAATCTATTTTATCTAATCTTATGTTGCTTTTGCCAAATGACGGCTTTAAAATAGTTTTGCGCAAAAATACTAGTTAGAAGGTTTCAGACGCTCACGGATGATATTATGTACAAATAATTTGTACATAATAGTGTCATTACTCTTATATAAAAAGAATTTAAAGATACATAAAAATACATAAAAGAAGCGATGCCGAACATGTTATGATACTCAAGTATATAGAAGTAGGTACTTTAAATACGTTGGAGTTATGTATACGAGCAAAAGTTGTGTGCTAATTTTTAATACCTACTTATAACAAAAATATCAATGCTTTGTATTTAAAAAATAAAGAATCTAATAATTCGTTTTATTCGTTCGATAAAAATGATCAAAAATGACGAGGTTTTTAATTTTTCTAACAAATTCCAGTTATTTCTTTTTTTAGTAAACAACTAAAAGTAAAAGCGCCATCTGTGTATTACATGCACTACAAGCACATTATGTGATTGTTGATTTTTCAATTATTATCAGTAAAATTATGCAATTTCATTTAGGAACGAATTAACTCGATTTTGTACACTTAGGCCTTATCATTATTAACATTATATCTTTTACACATCTATTTTTTAACTTTTGTCTAATTTTACGCAAAGTTCAATAACAAATCGATTCATAAAATGCCGTCTATTGATATTTATTTTAAGTTATTTCTTCGTTCCTGGTAAGAAAGAACCCATGATTTTATAACGGAATCATTCACCCCTAGTGACATTTTTCACGCGAAAGAAAAATCCCTTCGCCCATTAAAGTTATACAGTGTGTTTTGACATAAAACAGTTACCAGTTTATTATTGACTATAAGTATATTATGGCTAACGATTGCGTAACTATAATATAATCACGCAAGCTACAGTCAACACGTAATTCTCATGTTTCATTTACTTGTGGGAAATTCCTGCAAAAACATAAATTTAAAAATATTAATACGCGTTATTTTAACTTTTTAGGCTTACTTTGATTAACAAGGAATATGTACATATATTATATGATGTAAGAATGACCTTGTTACGTCCTACTATTGGGCGCGGGCCCCTACTCAATTGGCCGTAATGGAATTAAGCTATTCGATTTCGCTACACTGTTTCGGCAAATGGTTTATCAAAAACTATTTTTGTTCCCCCTAGTTTCTTCATGGGCCTTCAACGTATTAGTTAATGGTAACCATAGTGGAAAAAATACCACCAAAGTAAAGATTTTCATAGTCCACAGATGTGACTTGGGTTTTAACCCGCTAATTTTTACTAAATCGAGCGTGTTACCTAATAACTTTTACTGTTGTATGTACTCGTATGTTCTATGATATAAAAAGACACTATATTTAGTAAAAAATAGTTGTCTTTCAGTTTAGCGAACGTGTTTTCTGATACCCCAAGACCTAAGTACCTACTTAATATTTACTGCATAGCCAGTCGGACGTGTCTACATGTCAAGGCGATCCAAACATTTACCACTCGATCTAGTCTAATTAATGAACAATTTTCTTTACTTTTATAGACAACAGTGCCGTAACGAAGCTAGCTATATGTGCCCGGTGCGAGCTATAACTGCGCCCTTGAAAAATGTTCTAACCTTACCCGGCAGCCGGCTCTGACAATAAAATGGACAATGTCTATAAAAATCTATTATCGAAACAGTAATTTTTTGTTTATATATAGGTAAGTACTTTGTAGAATTTTGAATAAGTACCTACATAAAAACAATAGTCTACAGTCCCTAACCGCTTTTTTTAATGATTAATAACAAATTAAAATTTCACAAGTAGCTTCATTTTGACGGGACGCCCAACTTGTCTTTCTACGAAATTTTGATAGTGTTTAGATACATCATACAATTATGGATTGATACGGAACATGCTGAAATGGTGGTTGTTGAATGTTTTACGAGTTAATCTTGAGATAATCTAACATTAAACAAGAAAAAAATATTGTCCTACAAAACAGATAGTTTGGATCAAATCGTCCCCCTCTCGAACTTGTTAAAATAACAAAGTCATAAAATTTATTAAATAATCGGCTGATTTTCATAGTATTTATTATTAAAAATATGCATAATTGAATCATCTTATCGTCCTATAAAATGGTAGGATTTCTCAGTGCTGCGTTCGAATACTGTCTCACGCTCAGCGATTCATTATTAACTGTAGGACAAAGACAGCACATGAAAGGTAAGTGTATTTTCTATAAAAAAAAACATTGTCCTACACGGTGGGAAGCGCTAGGTCCTACAAAAAATATTTAAAATAACTGATTTAAGTAAAATCGTGCTAAAACTACCATACATTAATTAACTTTCGAGAAATAAATAATGACGTAAAAATAGTTAAATAATTAATTAATAATGATATTATGTTATTATTATCTTTTACTAGCGGCTCACCCTCGCTTCGCTCGGGTTCACCTCTAGAAAAGCACAAACAAATATATCCCACGGAAATCGTTCATTTTTCCGGGATGAAAAGTAACCTGTTGCTTGACCGGCAATATAAGGTATCAGCATGCCAAATTTTACGAAATTAGGTGCGTAAGTTGTTGTGTACTAAGCTGTATAAGTTACTATAGTTTTTTGGCTATCCCACGGAAAATCTTTAATTTTCCGGGATGAAAAGTAGCTGATTTGTTTTTGTCATGTATGAAATATATTATTGTAAAGTTTCATTAAAATTCAATCAGTAGTTTTTGTGTACTAAGCTGTATAAGTTGTTATAGTTTTTTAACTATCCCACGGGAACTCTTTAATTTTCCGATGAAAAGTATCTAAGATGTTGCCAGGGGATATAAGGTACCAGGATAGAAAATTTCATTTAAATCAGTCCAATAGATTTGCAGATTAGCCCGTACAAACAGAAAAACAGACAAACAGCTCGCTCGGGTTCGTCCATACCTACGAATATGTTGTATTATCTCTTTAACCATTTGTCCAAATTTTTATATGCAGTAAAAGGGAAAAGTCTTTTGTTTTAAACATACAAGACGATTAATTTGCTTATTTTGATAAGAATTCATAATTGTTGATAATATGACCAATAAACATGATCTACCGATTTAAATTGTTTTTTAATATAAAAAACTACTTTTTGTGACTTAAATATAAAAGTTAGACATATGCTGTCGCTGACTTTTTTGTAGGCATTATTAAGCTCTACAACTTTTCTCTAGAACATAATCATATATCTCTCATCGTTAAGGCAGCGTTCGTAAGAAACGTTTTCGTTCGACCGTTTTTTCTCCGACTTACTTTGCAAATCCGACTACCACGAAAAAGCCTCTTCATTCTTCGGGTTAATATATAGCCTATGACACTCAGAAAGAACGTGGCTTTCTATTGGTAAAAGAATTTTGATAATCGGTTCAGTAGATCCAGAGATTACCCACTACAACGTCACAAACTCACAAACTCATAAACCCACAAACTCACAAACTCACAAGATCACAAACTTTACCTCTTTATTATATATTTATCTTTTATTAAGAAAATCACCAATAGATGTCACCACGTAACTGTGAAAAATAGTATCTATTTAAAGTTCGGTCAAACGTAATAAGAATTTATATCTTATTATTTTTTATAAATCCATATCCATACTTTTATATTACAAATGTGAAAGTGTGTTTGTTTGTTTGTTTGTTTGTTTGTCTTTCTTTCACGTCGAAAAGGAGTGACAGATTCACCTAATTTTTTTTTTGGAGATAGTTGGAGTGCTGGAGATTGACATAGGCTACTTTTTACCGCGGGAGATAATCTCATTCCCGCGGGAAAAAAACAAAAATTATTTATGATCAGAATTACTTGAAACTTGGTATTAATGCTCTTCAATACAATTAAATAAATATGTGTTTTAGCATTTTCCGAAATTTATCTCGAGGTAAAATAAGAGGTGAAAGTATGAAAAATATTTTTTAGAGTTTTTCTGTAGTTTTAGCGCGAGCGAAGCCGCGGGTTCTGCTAGTACTTTATTTTAAACACCTACTTAATAAAATAAACGCTTCGTTATCTTTGCTAAGAATGTCTCGATCGATCCTTTCGGTAGTACTCTTCGATATCGCACAGTTAGTGAATGAATTTAATATAAATGCTAATGCATCGATACGATGCATATTGTAAAAAGCATATCAGAATACAAATTGAAACTATAAATTTTCAATTACCAGGTTTTGTTAATAATTAATTAAAATTTAATAATATTTATATTCATAAAAAACGATATCTTGGTAATCTTTTGCTATCAAGCTCCCATCCTGGTCGTAGTACGACTACTGCGCTAGCTAAGATAACTGATGACATTTATTTGGGCATAGATAAGCAGCAACTCACAATACTGACATTGTTGGATTTTAGCAATGCGTTTGGTACTGTTGATTTTGATATTATACTTTTTTCTTAGATGTACGCGAATGTTTGACATTTTTAAATAAAACTATCTCACTCAGTCTCTCCCGTGACCATGGATGCTGTAAAGCATTCGAAACGTCGGGAATCAAAAATCAAAATAAATCCGCGAAATAATCCGAAAAGATAGTTTTATTTAAAAAGTTTTTTCTTTAGGTTGTCTTAACATATCTTCTATTGTAATTGACTGGTTCCATAGTTACCTGTAAGGATGTCTACAATGTATATGAATTCAAAATACGTTAGACTGGCTTCTAGCCAAGGCTGGCGTTCCACAGGGTGCCGTGTTATATCCTCTCTTATTTTCAAAATTTATTATTTTTACCAACTTTTCTTTCTTTGTTAACTAGTGGTGCCTTTTATTGTAATACTAGCGGCTTACCCTCGCT